GATGCGCAAGTACAAATCTTCCCGTGATCCCATCGAGCAAGATCTCTTTGCCTGCATGGTCCATGGTCTAATTGATGAATACCACTGCTATCACGAGTACCCCCTCGAGGCTTTGACCAAGACTGCAGTCATGTTCGGCGGTATCATCAACTTCCGTCTTGTTGACGGCATCACGCTAAAGGTCGGTCTCGGCATGATCCTGGAAGCTGTTCGAGAGCACGAACCGCACGACCCGATGTACAAGTTCGGTGTTGAGGCCATCGAGCAGTTGATCAACCGCCTTCCCGAATGGGCTGGCTTCTGCCACCTACTCTTCCAAATTCCATCCCTACAGGGCACCCCCATCTATCAAAAGGCAGAGGAAGTGCTACGGGAGCAAGGAAACGGGATTGGTGAATCCAGCCCCAATGCCTTTGAGGGTCTTGCTGCTGCGCCTTTGACCAATGGCAATGTCGACGACTCCCCAACCGCCGATGGTTCTGTGCGCAAGTTCCGTTCCATTCAACTCGATCCTCCTCTTCGTTCTGAGCTCTACCAGAACCCGGATGAAGATATCCAGGACAAGATTCTGTTTGTTTTGAACAATGTGTCAGAGCAGAACATTGACGAGAAGCTTCAGGATCTGCGAGAAGTGTTGCGCGACCAACACCACCAGTGGTTCGCTGCGTACTTGGTGGAGGAGCGTGCCAAGTTGCAACCTAACTTCCAGCAGCTTTACCTTGACCTTCTTGGCCGCATCGGTGACAAGATCCTTTGGGCTGAAGTACTGCGGGAGACCTATGTTAGCGTCGCCAAGCTGATCAACTCCGAGAGCACCTTGAACTCATCGACTGACCGTGGTCACCTCAAGAACCTGGGTGCATGGCTTGGTTCGCTGACTATCGCCAAGGACAAGCCTATCAAGCACAAGAACATCTACTTCAAGGGCCTGCTCCTGGAAGGCTATGATACCCAGCGCCTTATGGTCACAATTCCGTTCACTTGCAAGGTACTTGTCCAGGCCACTAAATCCACGGTGTTCAATCCCCCCAACCCCTGGTTGATGGACATCCTGGGACTCTTGCTGGAGCTTTACCACTTCGCTGAGTTAAAGCTGAACCTCAAGTTTGAGATCGAAGTTCTGTGCAAGGATCTCAACCTTGACCACAAGACCATTGAGCCTTCCGTTGTCATTCGTGATCGTGCTGCGCACGCTGAAGAACCTCTGCCAACCGCCAATCCTCCAGAGGGTCTTATCGAGCCATTCGAAGATCTGTCCCTCAATGCCATCAACCAAGGCATTCGCAACGAGAGGCTGTCCCCCGCAGCCATCATGTCAACCCTGCCGAACCTTGACAAGATTCTTGTCCTGCCCTCCTCGGCAAGTAGCATGGTCGACCCCACCGTTCTCAAGCAGATCGTGCACACCGCAGTAGAACGTGCTATTGCAGAGATCATCACGCCTGTTGTTGAACGCTCGGTCACCATCGCCTCAATCTCCACTGTCCAGCTTGTTTCCAAGGACTTTGCTATGGAACCCGATGAGGAACGTGTGCGCCATGCTGCAGGCATCATGGTCAGACAACTTGCGGGTAGCTTGGCACTGGTTACTTGCAAAGAGCCCCTGAAGGTTAGCATGACTAACTACATCCGGATGATCCAACAGGAATACTCCGAGCAGCCCATGCCCGAAGGCCTGATCTTGATGTGCGTGAACGACAACCTCGATGCTGCTTGCGGCATTGTCGAAAAGGCTGCAGAGGAGAAATCTCTTCCCGAGATCGAGAAGGTGATTGAGCCTCAATTGGAGGCTCGCCGCCGCCACCAGGCCCACCGTGCTGGTGAGCCATTTGTCGATCCTTCAATGAACCGCTGGGGACTGTTCATTCCGGAGCCATATAGACAAGCCCCCGGTGGTCTCAACAAGGAGCAACTGGCCATCTATGAGGAGTTCGCTCGCCAATCACGGGGCCCGGCGCCACCCACTGATGCATCAGCCGGCCGTCAACTTCCCGATGTGCTCGGTGACCACTACGCTGCCATTCCCAACCTCTCTACCCCGGCTGAGCAGCCCGCGGTGCCCCACAGGACCCCACAGCCACAGCCTGCTGTCTCACACATGCCCCCGCCGCAGACCAATGGATTCCTTGATGCCCAAAGCCCTCGCGAGCGTGTTGAAAACCTTGTTTCCGATCTTCAGCAATCTGCTCGAAGCGCTCCTGAAGAACATGTCAAAGATCTTGGACGGGATAGTGCCGTTCTCCAGGAATACAACCAGGCATTGCGCAGCATTCTTGCCTCGCCCAATGGAGAAGAACTGGCCCGCTTGACCTCCTTGAAGATCTGTACGACCTTGTATTCCCAGTCGCATGGATCTCTGGAGATTGAAGTCCTTGTTCACCTTCTCGCCAAGCTATGCGATATGTCCACGCTCATTGCCCGTTACACATGGGCGCTTCTCTCTGATGTTGATGACGAGCACATGTTCAATGTGCCAGTCACTGTTGCTCTCATCGACGCAGGCCTGCTTGATATCCGTCGTGTAGACATGAACCTCACCCGACTCATCATCCAGAAGAATGTGAATGCCTTGGAGCTGCTTGACAACCTGATGAGCCGTGTCCTCTTCAATGATGAGCCCTCGGCTCTCCGATCCGACTTCTCCGGCAGTTTGGAAGCCATGAGCCAGTGGCTTTCGGAGGACGCTAACGTTGCTCCGGGCGTTGAGATCGTGCGCAAGCTGCGCGAGTCTGGCATCCCTGAGGTTGTTAACCCCCTCCTCACCGACCAAGCCAGATCCAAGCGAGACCAGATGGAGTACATCTTCAGCGAGTGGATCGGAATTTACAAGGCCTCCGGCGCTACTGACCGCACCTTCCACTCTTTCCTCCAGGATCTTCACAACCGCCAAGTGATGAACTCTCAAGAAGACTCTGCGCTGTTCTTCCGTCTCAGCATCGACATCTCCGTCGCCATGTTTGAGCATGAGATTCAGAACCCCAACGGCAGCCTTGACGAGGCATTCCTTTACATTGATGCCCTCGCCAAGCTGGTCATTCTCCTTGTCAGATTCCAGGGCGAGAACACCGGCGCTGTCAAGGCAAACAAGGCCACCTACTTCAGCTCTATTATGTCTCTCTTGGTCCTGGTTCTCAACAATCACCAGGTCATGAGAGGGGAGGCATTCAACCAGCGTGTCTTCTTCCGCCTCTTCTCCAGTATTCTCTGCGAGTATTCCATGAACGGACTGCAGCACAACGAGCAGCATCAAGGAATGATCTTTGCGCTGGCCAACAAGTTCCTGTCCTTCCAGCCCCGATACGTGCCTGGATTCGTCTATGGCTGGCTGTGCTTGGTTTCTCACCGGGTGTTCATGTCGGACATGCTCAACATGCCCGACCGCGCTGGATGGGCTCCTTACTGTGAAATCATGCAGGCATTGCTATCCTACATGGGCGAGCAACTTAAGGCTGCCAACATCTCATACGTCGCAAAGGATCTCTACAAGGGCGTCCTTCGTATCTTGCTGATCCTGCATCACGATTTCCCCGAATTTGTTGCTGAGAACCACTTCCAGTTCTGTAATGTGATTCCGGCTCACTGCGCTCAGCTTCGTAACCTTGTTCTCAGCGCCTACCCATCGTCATTCCAGAAGCTTCCTGATCCTTTCCGCGAAGGCTTGAAGGTGGAGCGCATTGAGGAAATGCGGGAAATCCCCAAGATTGCTGGTGATATCATTGCTCCTTTGGAGAATGCTAACATCAAGGACGTTGTTGACGGGGTGCTTCGCAATGAGAGCATCACCGAAACTGCTGTTCAACAGCTTTGCGATGCCATCCTCGACCCCGAGGTCAAAGAAACTGGTCTCTTCTTTGTTCCCATCGACGTGGATGTCGTTCTCCTGAACGCCCTTGTGCTTTACATTGGCCAGCAAGCTGCAGTGGATCACGCCTCCAAGAGCAACACGCGTAGCGCCTTTGAGAACTCGACTCACGCCGCTCTTCTCGAGAAGCTTGCTCAAGTTCTGCGTCCCGAGCCTCGATACTACTTGCTAAGTGCGATGGCCAACCAGCTCCGTTATCCCAACAGCCACACCTACTTCTTCAGCTTCACCATCCTCCGTCTGTTTGGCGTCGACTATTCCGAGCAAGATGACTCGGATATCCGCCAGCAAATCATCCGTGTGCTGTTGGAGCGACTGATTGTCCATCGCCCGCACCCCTGGGGTTTGATCATCACCTTACAGGAGCTCCTCCAGAACCGCAGCTACTCTTTCTTCCGCCTTCCCTTCATCCAGGCGGCACCCGAGGTAAGCTTCCCAAAAGCTTTTCACCACATCATCACGAAGCTAATGACCCCCGAGATTGGACGTCTTTTCGACGCTCTTCTCCAACACATCCAGCAGCAGAGCCCCCGACCCATTGCTTAAGCTCAGCTTCTCTTCCCCTCCTCTCCCATCTCTTCTCCAGTCCTTCTCTTTGGTAAATCGGGTGGTACAGGAGTCTGTCGTCGCATGTACTTTTCATGGGGTTCTCTCGTGCGATTGCTTCTGACGTTTCATTTTTATTTCAATTTTATGTTTCATGTTACGGCTGGGATTTGCCGTGGGGATGGCATGCATATTTATTTGTTTCTTTCTTTTCATTTTACGATTTCCGCATGACTTGAGGTTACATGATTTATTCGCGTCTCATGCTGCCCGCGACCTGTAATGATAAGATTGTAAAAGCTGGAGTTGACGGTTCCGTTCTTTTCATCTACCTGCATCGATGAGGCAATGCTAATTCTTATTTTGATTATTGTGTGTACATGTAGTTGTTCGGGTCGCATTTTGCTTTAAGGCGTAGTAGCTCTTGTAACGCACAATTGAATTCGACTGAATCTTTGAAAATAGTAGAGTCGTTGACAAGATACCTTCCGTGTAACGTTATCTGTAGGGCTTAAAAGGAGTGACGTTGGGACCTCGGCAGCGATAACAGACCGCAAAGCACCTCGTCTCTACAACACCTCAGTCCCCCACAATGGCAGACTCAGAATTCACAGACGACGAGTCGGAATATGACAGTCCATCTTCAACCAGAGCCATCATAATAGTAAATCTCACAGCTGATCTCCCAACAAATCCAAACCCAACTAACAACCCCCCAGGACGCGGTCCTCGCGCCGTTACGCGCGCTGGTATCCAAGTCCGCTCTACGCCTATACCTAAACGCATTACTATTCATGGGCGCAACAACCCTCCTAATTGGAATCTCGGCAATTGCATATGGGATTTTCTACTTCAATTTCATCCCCACAGTCGGTCTCGAGCGTGAAGTCCACCTCCAATTCGGGTAGGGCCCCAGTCCCCCGCATGGCCAGATACACTATAATATAGATCACATTACTGACATGACCATCCCTATAACAGCAATGGAAACCCCTGGGGAACAGCAACCTTCGACTCAGAATTTGTAGCCCTACAGCCCTACGACGTGACCGTAACGCTCGAGCTCCCGCGCACGCCTTCGAATCTCGATACGGGCAACTTCATGTTGGATCTTACACTTTACTCTTCCCGCCCTGCATCCGCAGTCTTACCTGTTGCCGCGAATGCGCCTATAGCGCATGCACGTCGGCCTGCGCTTTTGACTTACATTTCACCGCTTGTGGATGTTGCGCGGCGGACGGCGCGGTTGCCGTTTTATGTTGTTGGCTGGAGGCGCGAGTCAGAAGTTTTGGAGGTGGGAATGATGGAAGATCTTGAGTTTGCGAGGGGTGCGCAGAATCTACCGCAGAGTTTGAGGCTTGAGATTCAGAGTGATTTGAAAATGCAGGTATATCTGGCTAAGGTGGAGTTTCGGGCCAGGCTTGCGGGGTTGAGGTGTGTTTCTTTGTTCTGTTTATTTTGCTTCTGCTACTGGCATGACTGACGTTTTTATAGATGGCTCATGTACCGGTGGAAGATTACTTCGTTCGTTGTTTTCACCTCGTTGTTCTGGTTTGTCTCGGTGGGCTCTGCTAGCCTGACATGGCTGGCCTTGACATGGGTTTTGCAACCTGCTACGACACCCAAGACTGAGATTAAGGGGGAACCACAGGGTCTTGTCAAGGATGAGTCTGATGGTGATAGTTCCTCGGGTGAGTCTTTCAGTGTCAAAAAGGAGGAGGAGCCGGAAAGTAGCTTGGTTCATAGTTACCCGGCCGAGGGTGATGAAGCTGGTATGGGATCTGGGCTTGAAAGTGCAGAAGCTCGTGGACTACAGAGACGGCGAAGTCATTTGACTCTGCAAGCAGATTGAACGAAATCAAATTGTATTTTGGCTATATTATTTGTGCTGGCCTTGAGCAACTAGTGTCAAAAGCAAAGGACATGGCGGTGTTATTCCCTCGCGCAGCACTTGCTTTCGGCATTTTGAATGGTGAAATGTGGAAGCAACCTGATCTTGATTGATGTGGACTTCATCGACGGCTTCATTGTACTTCTCACTGTCCACTTCGCGTCGGAAGCATTGTTCCATTCTGTCTCCATTTGAGACAAAGTTCAAATTTGACTCCCGTGGTCAGTCTCTTGGTCATCGAGCTCCAGAACTTAGCTTCATGTCCCTGCATGATGTATTAACGGAGACTTTTGAGCTCAAAACAATGCGATGAAGCTGAATGGCCCTTCTCCATGAATCACCATGGAAATGGTATAGTCATATAATTAATCATGGGAGATCACACAGAATCAGGAAAGAATGTGCCAAGAGTTTAAGCCATTTGTCTCATCTGTTGTGAGATGGCGCCATAGTATGAGAGCATGAGTAGGAAGTGTATAGAAAGGAAAGAGACAGAGAGGCATCTTTATATCTATGAGCAGTTGCATATCACACAGGAACATTCGTTATTTTAAGATGTTTCATAGCCTTTACCAGTATTTAGTAGCTTGTTCGCCTTGCCGATTTGGCTACATGAAAAGAAGGGGATACGGGTATACTTTGTCTGACAAGAGTATCCGATGCTTGTTAAAGTAGCGAGTCATGCTAGTGTATTAGAGTCTTTAGATGTAAGTACCAGAATGTCTCTCACAGTTTCCCTTTGGACAGTTTTAAGAGTGTTGGTAGTGCTAGTATGCCGAAGTATGAGACTGACGTGGTTGCGAAAATCCGCCGGGCAAAGCGGGGTGAACTTTCTTCCCCCACCATTCTTCACTCAACCACGCACTCAATGCATATCCTAGTAAGTACAGAGTCTCTGTATGCTGTTGCGCATATAATCCAAAGCTCACATCGTCTAGGTTACCAACGACGACGGTCCTCCGTCAAACCAGTCCTCGCCGTACGTGCATTCGCTCGTCCATTCGCTCCAAGCCGCCGGCCACACCGTCTCAGTCGTTCTTCCACACCAGCAGCGTTCATGGATCGGTAAAGCGCATATTGTCGGTGCATCCGTCAAGCCTACTTATTTCCGGCCGGGTACCCTCCACCATGAAGATGGCACAACGCACCACCTGCCCCGAGGCAGTAATGGTGAACCAAATGACGGAGGTGACGAATGGGTTCTGATCGACTCGACCCCGGCAAGCTGTGTACAGATCGGTCTCTATCACTACTTCCAGGAGCGCGGTCCCATCGACGTCATTGTCTCCGGTCCCAACTATGGGCGCAACACCACCGCACTATTCGCATTGTCTAGTGGAACCATTGGCGCAGCCATGGAAGGCGCCTGCTGTGGAAAGCGCTCAATCGCTCTGTCTTACGCTTTCAGCTCCCGCAACCACGATCCTATTATCATCGCAGAGGCATCGCGCCATTCGGTCAAGTTGATTGAGTATCTATGCGCCAACTGGGCGAATGGCGTGGATCTGTACAGCGTCAATGTCCCTCTGGAGCCCGGCGTGAGTGAGAACAAAGTTCTTTACACCAATATGCTGGACAACAGATGGACCTCTGGAAGTTGTTTCCAGGCTGCTGAGCCTACATCCGCCGATGACCCCGATCTTCAAGAGAAACAGTTGCGTAACGAAGGCGAGGTGACAGGGAAGACACCTGGTCAGAGTGTCAGCACCAGTGACACGTCTGCTACTGGACAAACACTTAAACACAAGCACTTTACGTGGGCGCCGAGCTTCCAAGATGTGTACCGCAGCGTTGAAGAAAGCGAACCTGGCAATGATGGCTGGGCGGTTAAGGAGCAGATGACCAGGTTTGTTGAGCCCAATCATACTCTGAATCATCGACTAACTGTTGCAGTGTCACACCTCTCAAGGCCAATTTCATGCATACCCTCGGAATTTCTGGGGAGATCAAACTGTGAGTGGAGATTTAGCGCGCGATAGTGGCATGGTATGAAGGGTTCTATCCGATGTACATGTTGCATACACTTTCAATATCTGGTTTAGCTGATAGATATCCCCTGCCCCTTTGATTTGATTGCATTTTTTTTTTCGAGTACATGGCCTTTTTTCTGATAGATGGACATTCTGTAGATCGGATAAACAGCCTTCGCTATACTCCATCATCGACTGCGATGACTCCTACGTGCAAGAAATGATCGAACGTGCGATTACCCGTCGCCTGGGAAGTGCGTGCAAGCGAGTCTCGTCTCTGGATGACCTCCCAGAGAGATCTGCACCGCTTTTCCAGTACCGCGAGTATGAGCGCCTCGAATTCGAACACATCATCTCCAGACCCTCGACATCCCTCGCAAATGCATACATCATCCGCAAAGCTTTGATCCGAAAGCACTACCTATCGAACACGGTAGCCAATTGGATCTCAAAGCACCCTGACAGCGTGCTACGGAAGCACTTCAAACCGGCGTTCGACTTCGAATTGGATTATGCCGAATTCCTCGATGATGCCCTTCTCGAAGCATACGAGCTGAACGACAGCCTCGCCAAGAATGCAGAACGGCCAGACTCCGAAAAGGAATGGTGGATCCTTAAGCCCGGCATGAGTGATCGTGGACAGGGAATCCGCATCTTCAACAGCGAAGACCAACTCCGCGAGATCTTCGAAGAGTGGGAAGACCCCTCTGACGACGAGTCCGGGTCCGAGAAGGATGAAGATGACGAGGACGAGGATGCCAGCGGCGCTCACGACACAGGCGTCGTCACCTCGCAGCTCCGTCATTTCCTCGTCCAGCCCTACATCGACCCTCCACTCCTCCTCCCATCGTCCTCCAACCGCAAGTTCCATATCCGAACCTACGTCCTCGCCTGCGGCTCTCTGAAAGTCTACGTTTTCAAGGAGATGCTCGCCCTCTTCGCTGCAAAGGCCTACTGCGCCCCGCATGAAGAAGAAGACGACGTCGCCGACCTTGCTCGCCATCTTACCAACACTTGTTTCCAGGAGGGCGGTAGCTCTAATGAAGGTAGCGTGCGCCGCTTCTGGGATCTCGACCACCATGTTCCATGTCTCTCTGATGACTGGAAAGAGAAGATCTTCGACCAGATCTGCGCTGTGACCGGGGAGGTATTTGAGGCGGCGGCTCGGGGCATGATGATTCATTTTCAGACCCTGCCTAATGCCTTTGAGCTCTTTGGTGTTGATTTCCTTGTTGATAGTGATGGATCTGCTTGGTTGTTAGAGCTTAATGCGTTCCCGGATTTCGCACAGACTGGTGAGGATCTTAAGGAGGCTGTTGTTGGGAGGTTGTTCGAGGAGATGGTTGATATTGCTGTTAAGCCTTTCTTTGGGCTTGGTGAGGGTGGTAATGGTGATTTGAAGTTGGTGGCTGATCTTGATCTGGGGAGAAAGGCTTAGACTGGGGTTTGATATATGATGATATACCACTTTGTGTACAAAATAAAAGTTTGATTTGGTCATATAATTGTGTCCTTTAATAGTTGTAATCCCATTTTTGGTTCTATTATACAAGGTAACCCTAACCCTACCCTCACTTGGACACTTCGAATATTTGCTCAAGAATCATTCTTCCAATATATCTTCCCCTCGAACAGACGACGGGCTGTACGAAAGACCGTAGCAGAAGTCAAGGCTCCGTCAGCATCAAAATCAGCGCCCACCAGCAGATTCCCACTGGCATGACCAATCGTAATACCAGCCCTGTCAACAGGATCCTTATCCACAACCCCAGCAACTGTACTCCCAGGTACACGAGCAGCAGCAGCAAGAGCCAAAGCAACAGTAATAGGGACAGCCTTATGCGGCTGCCCTACAGAAAGAGCACGAGCAAGAAGATCAACATCAGCAGATGTCTGCTTCTGCTCCACATCCCGAGCATCCGTAGCAGAGGGCGCCGCCACTATACAAATCTTAGGCACACTGCCGGGCACACTCGAAACCTCACCCGCAATACCCATGTTAACGCCCGCCTGCCGCCGAATAGAATCCAAACGCGGTAGCAAATCCGAATGAGCAGCAATCTCATCGGGAGTCAAATTCCCATCCACACCAAGATCAGACGCCCGCACAAAAACACACGGATTCCCAACATCAATACACGTAGCTGTGATCCCGTCAAATACATCCGTCACATTCCCAGTAGGCAGCAAAGCCCCCGTAACAGACCCAGCAGGATTAACAAAATCCAATTGCACACGGGCAGCCGTACCAGCAACGCCATCAATAGCAAAGTCACCACTAGCAGCAGCCTCACCCCCAACAACGGGGAACGAAGACCGAATAATCTTGCCAGTATTCGTATTATGAATGCGTACCTCCACCGAGTCACTGTCACTCTCACTCTCACCCAGCACAGGAAACAACCGCGCATCAACAGCAAACGGACCAACAGCACTAATCATATTACCACAATTACTTGAGTAATCGACATCGGAATTCTTGATCCCGAGAGAAACGAATGTATAATCGACGTCGGCATCTTCATGCGTCGGCGCGCCTACCACGCACACCTTCGATAGACTGGATATCCCACCGCCGAGCCCGTCCAGCTGGCGGCCGTAGGGGTCTGGACTGCCGATTACATTGCGGAAGATTGGGGGCCAGTCTTCTTTTGAGGTGGGGAGGTCTTCTTTTTTGAAGAATACTGCGCGTGAGGTACCACCGCGGTAGTAGGCTGCTGGGAGGGAGTGTTGCTTTTTGGTTTGGAGGGGCCGTTGGTATCCCGGTGTTGGCTTCGTTAGGGGAGTCCGGTATAGGACTTTGCATAGTGGTTGTTTGAACATTTCGGGTATGTTGTTTGATATTGATATTGGGGTTGGATGTTGATCTAAATACTCGGGGGCGGGATTGCTCCGGCCGAAGAGCGGAGTGGGATCGGTTCTGTTGGCGGTTATCGGATGTGCCGAGATAGGGTCTGGGGTTCTGGGGTATGCATATAAAGGTTTATATATTGGATTTGAGCGAAGGAGTGCCAATTATATACTGAAAGCTGTGGGAAAGTATACAAGTCGTATTGGGTATTTTGACATAGATAGTGTCCATATATCCTCCCCGTCCTTTCTCTATCCTAGCCATATCGCTGCTTCGCAAGAGCCTGCAAGAAACTCATGGTTTCCGACTCCTTCTGTCGATACTGCTCTATCCGCTCCTCTCGCTCCGCTTGACGAGCACGAAGGATCTCCTCCCTCCGGATCTCGCGCTCGTTCTTCTTGCGCTGGTTGTTCTCCTTCTCGCGTTTCAACGCAGACAAGTCATTGTCTCCGCCCATGAGGTCTTCCTCCGGAGCAGCCTCTGGCGAGCCACCTCGCTGACTTGCAAATGCGCGATTGCTTGCAGCAACTTCCCGGCGCTTCTCTAGCTGCCGTTCCCGAGTACCGGCCTCAGCCCGCGGCGCAATCTCATCTTCAAGATGACGCGTTGCAGCTTTGTGCGAACGCATTTCTGCCTGATATTGTTCGCGTGATTCGCCACGGGCAGCTTGTGCATCTTCAATGGCAGATTCTTGAGAGTGTTAGTACCGTATGTTGGCGAACGAACATTGGCTGGAGTAAAAAAGCCTACCTCTTTTCAGCTCGAGATCTTGCATATTCGGGATCGTAGGTCCCAAATGCGCACCGCTTCTTCCCGATCCAGCGCGCGGAAGTGCAGGCCCGTACTCGTCGTCGTCTTCATCGTCTTCTGGCTCATCCCGCGGGACATCACCGCCCTCTCGCTCACCCTGCGCATAATCAGGCGAATCACGCTGGCCTAGAGGGCCAGCAGGTGCCCGTTCCTCTACACTCTGACGCGCCCGTTCGAGTGTAGCAGGATCATACCATCCCTCAGCGAGTTCTCCACGGTTCCTGTAATGTCAGCGAAAGCGCAACAAACATGTAACACCCTTATAACCTACCATTTTTGCACAAAGCTCTTCCATCTTCCCTTGACCTCTTCCTCGTCCATATCCTCGATAAATTTTCCTTTCTGGATATCTAGATACATGCCGAACATTGGCTTGTATGCTTCTAAGTCGCGTCGGGAAAGCTCGCGCGCTTGGAGTGGGAGGACTACGGGTTGCGCGGGAGTGTCTCTGCGATGTCGTTCGTTGCGTCCGCGTTCTTTATCTTGGCCATGTCGGCGATGACGGTCTGATCTGTGTCGGTCTGATCGGTGCGGAGAGCGCGAGCGCGAGCTGTCTCTGGGTCGGTGGCGGTGTGAATGGCTGTGACGGCTGCGGTGATGGCGGCTTGAGCTGGGCGCCGAGGGAGACTCTGCTCCATGCGATGAGCGAGTTGGTGAGGGCATTGCTTGGTGGTTGATCGATGTGACGTTGGAGGAATTTGTTCGGGGTGATAAAGGCGGGTCGGTCAGCTTATCGGTCCGATACCAGGGCTTCAACTATAAAGGTCCCATCTACGTATATTGCGGCATTCATTTGCGTGATCCTGTTCTGGTGAAGTTACCTGTTTGACTCGTCTCAGAAACATGTACATTTACGTAAAAGGTCTTATTGTGGTAAATACATCTAAGCGAAGAGGTATACAACTCAATCCAACACAATCATATCAGCTTTAGCTGGGAGGAGCAGCCTGCTCCTGGCTGGGGTTAGCAGCCGCCTCAGCCGGGGTAGAAGGCGCACTCGATTCCGAGTTGGCCTTGGACCGGTTGGCTGCGGCCATTTGCCAAGCTGGGATAGAGGCAGACCGACCAAGCTTGGAGAGGGGGTTGTTGGGGCTTGGGCTGGGCGCAGCCGGGGTAGCAGGGGCAGCGGCCTGAGTAGGTTCTTGTTCGGCCGAAGTCACAGTGGCAGCGAGACCGTTGGAGGGAGCGGGGGTAGTGGAGCTGGCGGGAGTCTCCTCCGGAGTCTGGCGAGGAGCAGTGGGGATAGGAGTTGATCCAACAGTCCTGCCAGCAACGGGAGTAGCTCCGCTACCGCCAAGACGGTTGCCCAGCAAGACCTTCAAGCTCTTGAGCTCGGTTCCGAGGTCCTTCAATCGGTTCTCATTGCCTTCCCGAGCACCCTCGAGGGCCTTGGGAATAGCATCCTTCAATGACTTTACCTCATCGCTGATGCGACGAGTTTCATCATCCCTCCGGCGGGACGAGTTCTTGAGATCAGCGACAAGAGTCTCCACATCCTTGAGAGCGCTATCGAGGCGCTCGGTTCGGGCTTCTTCAGCGGACTTCAGGGCGGCAGTGTCGGTTGAGAGTTGTTCAATTAGAGTAAATGCGCGCGAAAATTGTTCATCAATGTTCTCCTTGTCTTGCTCCAGCTGGGGAGGGGTCGGTGGGGCGATTAAAGGTGAGATATAACGCTGCATTGCGGTCAGTACCACCCACCATCTACTACGAGGGGAGGGTCGAACCTTTGTGACAAAATACAATCCATAACCGACTCCGCCCATCACTGTCGCCATAATAAACCAATCGCGCCAATCTCTCTTGGGTGGCCTTTTCATGTGATTAGTGTCAAGTACCATGCGACAATCGATGATAGAACATACTCGGGAGGCGGTTGCCATTGGTTATATGGGGGATATCCATAGCCTTGAGGAGGTGGCGGTTGCCGGTAGGCAACCTGCTGTGAAGAATAGTTGGACGCCGGGGATGATGCAGCTGTGGCTGCGGCCGCGGCAGATGGGTCCTCGCCCACTCGCGATAAGGCAATGTCGACCTCCTCTTGGGTCAAGTTCTTAGATTGAAGGAATGAGACTCGCTTCTCAATTGGCGACGATGCCACCGAGGGGTCCTGTAGAACTAGATGAAGTTAGCGATTAACGCATCAAGGTGTGTCGGGTGGTTCATACAGGTAATCTAGCGGAGGGTTAGCAGCATTCCCGAAAGCGGATGATAAGACTTAGCATAGTCGGCGACTTACAGCTGAGGCAATCAGCTCCTCACGAGGAGCCATGATGATGGATGTCGACTATCAGTGAAGTGCAGGAGGAGGAGTTAAGGGAGAGTTGCTCACATCGGCAATCGCCGTTTGGACCTCGGAACTCGCGCCACGCCAAGCTTCCCCAGACCGGCGTCTCGTGATTCACGGATAAACCATTGTTCCAGAGTGACGTACACCGCCTGCCTATAGCGAAAGTGGCACGCATTGTTTACGTCTCTTTGCCCAAATCCCTCGTGCTTGCCAACCACCATATCAAAACCCTCCTCCTTCACATTCAGTGTCGCGACCTCCTTGGTTTGTGAATACTTGTTTATAGCATAAGTCTGCTTATTATCTCAAAGGCCACGCGCGTGTTGCCACCTTTAGGGCTTGCTTTCCAAGATGTCGCAAGACACTGGGCTGTTCAGTATTAAGCGTCCACCCCGAGAGGTATGAGCCCCATCCATTCGGCGCATAGTCTCGAACTAACTAAATCTATGATTAAGACCCTCGGGAGTGTGCAGAACTTCTCCGCCATTCCCCAGCCCGCATCGGCGATGAAGCGTGGAAGCTCTATTGGATTCCAAAACCCCCCGTACACCTCTCAGAACTACCGAGCCTCTCTGGTGGGCTCTGCTGGCCGGCCTCAACAACCTAATTTTACGCGCACGTCAACGGGTGGAGGCTATGGCGCTGATGCTGGTCTTTCGTCCGTTCGCCGATCCGTGTCGAGTAGCATGTTCGCTGGAGCCAGCGGCCGACAGAGCTATGCGCCGGGATCAAGTAACATGTTTGCTGGAGCCAGTGCTGGTCGACAAAGCTACGCGCCGGGAGCCATTTCCACAAACACGCCTCAGAACCCACAGCGCCGAAGCAGTGTCTTCTCGCGACCTTCGACAGGAGGAGGCCCAATGGGTCATCAGTCGTTCTTCACACAGGTCCCAACCGTGGCTGGTGTTCCCAGAGACCCACGTCCGCTCAGAGACCGATCATTCCAGGCGCGAATTGGCCAGGAGCTGTTGGAATACTTGACACTACATGGATTCGAGTTGGAGATGAAGCATTCTTTGGGACAAAACACTCTACGCTCACCGACCCAAAAGGATTTCAACTACATCTTCCAGTGGTTGTATCATCGCATTGACCCCGGATACAAATTTCAAAAGAGCATGGATGCCGAGGTACCACCCATTTTGAAGCAATTGCGGTATCCCTACGAGAAGGGCATCACCAAGTCGCAAATTGCAGCCGTTGGCGGCCAGAACTGGTCAACATTCCTTGGAATGCTACACTGGTTGATGCAATTGGCACAGATGATGGATCGCTATTCGTCTGGCGAGTATGATGATGCCTGCGCCGATGCGGGTGTTGATGTTACAGGTGATCGCATTATCTTCCGTTTCCTAACGCACGCCTACCACGATTGGCTGCAGGGTGGTGAAGATGAGGATGATGACACCGCAGAAAAACGATTGATTCCGCATGTCGAAGCCATGTCTCAAGAGTTTGCTCATGGCAATGAGCGCTATGTGCAGGAGATGGAGGCTTTGGAGGCAGAGAACCGGGCTCTTCGTGACCAGATCAAAGAGGTGGAGAAGAACTCCCCTGATATGGCCAAATTGGAACAGCACTTCCGCATTCTAGAGGATGACAAGCGGAAGTTTGAAGACTACAACCAGAATGTCAGGGGGAAAATCGAAAAGTACGAGACCCGTATTAAATTCCTCGACGCGGAGATCCAGAAAACCGACGTCGAGCTCCAGACATCTGAAGCAGAACGCGCCGATCTTCAGGCTAGTGTCGACCGCCAGGGTATCACCATTCAGGATATCGACCGCATGAACTCGGAGCGAGAACGTCTTCAAAAGAGCTTGGAAGACACCATGGCTCGTTTAGAAGAAGCGCATGCACGTGTCATGGAGAAGGAAGCCGAAGCCAGCCAGAAATTGGAAGACCTGGAACAGATCGTCAAAGCCTACAACACGCTTGGCTACCAGACAAGCCTAATCCCTTCCAGTGCTGAGAATGCCAAGGGTCAAGACTATGAGCTCAGCTTGAACATTAATGAGAACAATTTCTCCGCGAGCCAGATTGGCGGCCCGCCCAGCCGCATTTCTCCCGAGGGGGATCGTCTACTGGCGGAACCTTTCACTGGCTACCACCCAGCGCATCTGCTCAGTCTGGACCTCCGGGGTGCTGTGCGAAACACTCTACAGTCTCTTCGGAAGGAGATTAATGAACGGCGCAAGCAGGGGATCGATGATGATCTTGAGCGGCGCAATCTACTTGACAATATCAAGGAGGCTATGGATGAGAAGCGAAGTGAAGTCGAGGCCCTGGAACACCGGCGCCGGGCGGCAGAGGAGGAATTCGAACGCACCAAGGAAATCACCACTACTCAGAAGCTGGCCTCTGATGCTCAAATTGAGAAGATGGAGAAGGAACTTGCGAAGATGCGCGCTACACTCAGTGATAGTGTCCAATTGATGGAGCAGCGTGAGATGAACACCAACATCGAGTACGAACAACTGACGCTTCGGGCCAATTCTCTTCGGGAGGAATTGCATACCAACGTGGAGAATATGCTCAACGATGTGATTCGCTTCAAGGTCCATGTTCAAAAGGGCCTAGAAGACTATGAAAGCTTTGTTGTGGATGAGGTGGAACAGGAGCTTGGAGGCGAAGAGGCCCCTGAGGAGGAGCTATGAAGTCCGTTCTGACGATTAACGATTGGTGTTTAATTTGATTTGTACAAATACCCCGAACAATTCATGTCTTGGCGAAAAGGACGCGCAATGCACCGACTAGTTCTGTAGGAAACGGGTTCTCTGGGGCTGGATTTAGGTTCTATGGGCCGACGCTTAGAAGTAGCGTGTTTTCTATTGCGCCTCTAATTGTGCTTCATCCAATCCCCAGCCTCCATACCGCCATCTTCGTCAACCTGATGCAGGGGTGGATCGATCGACAGGAGCGACGTGTACACCCGGTGGAGAGCTGTCATTTGTCTGTTTCATCTGGCTCTTCAATCGTTTGAAACACGGCGCTTTGAGCCATGCTCGGGAATTCCAGACCGTCTACTGCATCCCACTCTAATATGCCCTAAGGTGATGATAGGGCTGTTTCTCCCAGAGTGTTCTTGATTGACCTTTTTCGGCATGGGATGAGTCTTGCAGGAGACTTACCACCTGCAGAGCGCCTCTCCTCACTCCCGATGATGAACCCGGAACACTGGATGTTTCGTCAGCCTTCCATGGCTTGATCCATCAGTCTGACCAAGGGGTATATAAGTAGCTACAACCACCTCCATGTGATTTTCTTTTGACCAGCAGTGCTGTGCACCTCCCTTCTTTTCACCAGCTTCAGATCTTTCTTTACATTGCTATTAAGCATCCATTCTTTTACACTTTCACATTTGTGTTCAGCAGTCCAACATTCAACATTTCAATATGAAGTTCACCACCGTCTTCGGCGTTGCCGCCCTCTTCATGGCCCCTTCCGCTATGGCCTGGAAGCTTCCTGTAAGTCTATACATAGTTGAAGCTCGACTCTCGTTCTTTGCTGACCCTGTCTCCCCAGCACGTTGACCAGGCCGATTCCGGCAGCCGTACTGAGCAACCCGCTCCCTCTGGCGCTATTCCCTCTGGCACTGCCCCCTCCGGCACCATCCCCTCTGGTACTGCACCTAGCAGCTTCCCATCTGGCGGATTCGGTGGATTCGGTGGATTCGGTGGCCAGGGCGGCTTCCCCTCTGGCTTCCCCTCTGACCACCACCAGGTCCAGGGAGGGCAGCAGCCCAGCGGCGTTCCCAGTGGCGTCCCCGGCGGCATGCCTTCTGGTTTCCCGAGGGGTCCTCGTCCCACCGGCGCTCCCAGTGTTTCCCAGGGTGGCGAGCCCCAGCCCAGCGCCAGCTTCGATGGTGCGGGGTCCTTCACTGCCCTCCCGTCTGGGGCCCCGACTCCTTCGGCTGCTCCTGGTCAGCGTGAGGGATCTGGTGAGCAGGAAGGCTTCCAGCGCCTCCACGCCCGCCAGATGCGCCCTATTTGGCTGTAGACTCTGCACCTTGCAGTTCCTTCGCTGTAGAATGAGAGATAGATCAGTTCTGTGTTTTTCTGTGGCTGCTGGATCAGTTATAGAGAAAAGGATGTTGTTGACCCCAATTCTTTGTTCGTCCTTGTAGACCTGTAATTTGTGAACAATTGTACACGTAGCAATATGACCCAACAATGTATGGGATACTTGTTGTTCTCTATATGGTATAATGAAGAACACAATGCTTGACATTGCAGAAAACAGGCTGAATGTTATGTTCTTCTCATAGTTCATCTCCGAATTATGCGGCCTCTGATTGGTCCACAGCCCGGAGCTGACTCAGCCATCTCAGATCGCGGAAATTCTTGAGCGCGACAAGACTATTTGCTCTTTTTTGCAATCTCAATCGCGCCTCGTCTGTGCGGGCTTTTACAATTTTGTTATTATTGGCATGTCTTTATGAAGACTACGACATGTCCCACCTATGATCGAATCGACATGTATCACACCAATCCCGTACGCATCGAGATCGTGAAACCCATACCGGCGCCTTCGAGGCTCGTTGCGGTATCATGAGCAGGTGCTTGCACCCCGGCCGTATCCTGCCATTCGGTCGTCGGCCAGCTATTCTACGCCTTCCGTACATCCCCCGTCGATCTGTCGCTCCTTTTTCTCGACCGTCATGGGGCAGATATATTCAGGAACGGAGCAAGCAGGACAGAAAGGTCAATTACCCCGAAGAACTCGAGTTCATGCGCAGCTATGACGATATTGCACACCCTGCCCTGAAGAATAGCGCGAAGAAGAACATCAACAATTGGATGCCATTGCTTGAGCGATATGTTTCGACACAAGTTCCCAAGCCTGCTGGTCAGTCCGGGAAGCTTCCACCTATCAGTGACCATGAACCCTACATAGAACAAGCACACGCATTGATGGGATGTCTCTGGGACGCAAGGGCTCATTACCAATATGAGCTTCTTGTACACCTTGGATCCAATATGAAACAGTGGTCTACAGTGCACGCCATCTTGAACCGCTTGATCGATACCTATGAATTGGTGGCTCCTCATATGACCCCCCGTCATCCCGCACCTTTCCTCGATTGGGCCAGACCGCTTCCTGGAGTCCGCGACTGGGACAGAGTCGATCCAGATGACCCGAGCACCTTGGAAGTCCCCGTTGACGAAAACGCCACTCTCAGCAAACTCTCACAAGGAACACGCGAAAGATCCCGGTTCAAATGGTGTCGGATTAAGCCTCTCTCAGCAGACAAACTTTCTCTCGATGAAATGACCGTGGAACCGAAGGCGAGGTTCTTTGGAGAGAAGATCTTAGCCGAAGTACTCTCCAATCTCGGTTCTTTGGTTTTAGCGGCTGCAGACAGCACGCCTGAGGAGTCTAAGCTTGCAATGTCCTGCGTTTTTCGGATTCTTGCACGTCTCCACCACGCAGGCTTGATCTCTGACAGAGTATATAAATATCCAACACCAGATGCTAGCCAGGTTGCGTTCCGGCCACCCGCCCTGCACTACCTATCGAGTTCCATCATGAGCGTTCTGACTGACGCAGCGTGGCATGAGCACGAAGCCCAGGTGGCTGCGGCAGCAGCCGATGCGGGTGAGAAATCGCCGTTTCTACCTTTCAAGATGGGCATTCGAGAGTTAGGCCCCGAGATCTGGCTAGAGCTCATTTTGTGGTGCTGTGTGGAACATGGACATTCCAAGGAGGGAGCTCTGATCGTGAATCGAATGTTAAAAAGATCGGGTGACCAAGCATGGAAGGCCGAGAGCTGGGTACCGCTATTAAAGGATCTCAATGCAGTCCAACAGACCAATCTCAGCGTCGAGCAGTCCTGGCGCCGGCCTGGTCAGGACAGGGCGTCTCAAACGTTCACAGGTCGTCAAAAGCCACCTTTCAACGGACTTGGAAAGCGAACCATCAGCACGGAAGTGCTTGTATCGCTGCGGAATGGCTTGGCAAATAGGGCTTATCAAGGACTGGGAGAAAATGGATATCTTCCTAAGGAGCTCGACAAACTATCAGCTCCTCTGACATCACTTATCGATCCTCCCGGCGCTGTTGATGAACTCAGACCAACCAACATGGTCAGCAACTGGCACATTGTGCGAGTTATGGAAGCAGGGTGTTTCTATCCATGGACTGACCCCGTTGCGTTCGAGGCACTCTTACGGTCCAATAACAATGTGGTTCCTCCTTGGACAGGCAGTGCGTCAGATGAAGCACGTCGGCTAGAAGAGAAAAAGCCGTTACAGTTTTACGATGAAACGGCCGCCATAGTTGGCCTGATCGAGTTCAATCTCAACTGTTATGCCCGAGACCGACAAAGTGGACGCCTTTTTCACGAATATGCTTGGCTTCAAAACATCATCGATGCAAGCAAGACACGCCACATTGAAACATTCTTTGAAGAACTTGGCCAAGCCAACGACGATGATTACTCGTTCTTTGATTCCACGCGCACTGTTCCTCAGGGCGTTTACGAAACGTCTGTCCCGCAGGTATCGAAGGTCACCCTGGCCAATATACTTGACCTAGTTACGACAACTGGGGCCTATGAATTCGGCAATCAACTGATCCAGCCTACCGACATGGACGGTCCTCCCATTCCACGACATTTATATCAAGACCAAGCCGTTGCACCATCTCTTCTACGATTCGCGGCTGCCTCAAATAATGCTGAGCTTGCTACTGATGTTATACAAGCCCTCAAGACACCGCTCACTGTCAACACCATCAAAGCCCTAATCAACTTCCATATCGCACGCCATAATTGGGACCGTGTGATACTAATGCTCACATTCATGACCGATTATCATCTAAAATCTTGGGCCTATAGCAATATAATCGCGCTGTCAGCCGAAATCATTCGACTTGATGGAGCCATTGAGCAAAAGAAGCATGATGGCACCTTCACCCCGGCAGATACAAAACAGTTGGATCGCGCCACAGACCTCTTCCTCCGCATTTTCCGCGGCGAGTTCAAGGTCAACAAACGTGAACGTCAAGGCAAATTTCCCCAGTCAGTAAGCTACCAGGATCGAGTGCTTTATCGAATGCACCGTGTCTTGTCAACCATCCCAGGAATTATGCCGCGCATCCTCAAGGACGTGAAAACACACCCGGGTATCATTTCCGCGATGAAAATCGAGATGATTCCTCCTTCGTCCTTCCACGTACTCTTCGCCGCCATCGTGGAGAGGCACGGGGCCGTCTTCGGAAAGAAATTCTGGGACAAATGGTGTGTCGACTGGGTCTCACCCCGAAGGCGCCTTCAGCGTCCAGGTGGTGTCTCCCGGCTACTCTACAGCCACGAGCGAGACCACAGATACGGCGACCCAAATTTCGACCCAGCATGGCAACGCCAGATCCAAACTCACGCCACCGTAGCGGACATGACAACCGTTCGGATCTTGGCACGTGCCGCCGTCCGAGAATACGCAGAAGAGTCACAATCCCTCCCCAACCGACATCGCCAAGAACAACAAATAAAACAAAACGTCCCCGCGCCCAAGTCCGATCAGCATGAGGATTTAACCGCAGACGACATCACCCAAATCTTCGACCCTTCCATCACCTACAAACCCACCCCTCAATCCGCCAAACTCAGCCAATATCCCCACGGCAAACCACCGATAACAGAACTCGAATCCATCCTCGATCACTGTCTCAGATCCTTCCTCCTCTACGGCCTCCCAGAAGACCAGCTCGACATTGAGATCCCTGGCCATCTGCGCCGTATGCAGAAACGTCGCCTCATGGCCACGGCCACGGGCAATAATGTCCGAACGAGAGTGAAGAAGAATTTTGAGGATCCTTGGATGGAGTCGTCCTGGCCTCTGCACTTGGCTACTGACGTGCCAGAGTCGAAAGAGGCTCGAAACCGTCGCACTTAGAGACTTGACCTTGACCTACTGGCTTGGGCTATTTGTATTTTTATCTAAAGTAAAAAATATTCTTCAAATGTATATAAACTTTTTTCCTCATTATTTTTCCCCCTTTGGGTATAATAAACATATTAGTTCTTCGCTGGTTTGGGTACATAGGGACATGTAGATATTGTACCACGACTTACTAACATTGGGATCATGATCAATGGAATAGGTCAATAACTTCAGAAATGCCAGTCTGATTCAGTCGTAAATATGAGTAAATGAGAACAGATCATTCCAAAAACACCAAGCATATCCAGCATATCCATATGAAACCTAATCCGAACTCCAACCTTAACAACCCAAACCAAAGGAAGCCATCGAGTCCTGCTCTTGATGCCCAGGTATACAACAAAAAAAAGCTTCTCAAAGCCTCCCAATTTCCCAGTTCGAAATCCAGGTTCAATATTCGTGTCCTTGAAACGCCACCCCTAGCCTGAATATTGTGTAGTCCTTCCATTTTATCCAAATCGAATTAACATGCAGAAAGAGCATAGGTATTGTGTGTTTTGGGGAGAAAATGTGGAAAATAAGGCGAAAGAAAGAAAGATAATAAAAAAGGCATTAAAGATGAGGCGGCAATGAGATGACGTGGATGCAAAGACGAAGTAGAATAAGAAGCGGAGAAGAAAAGCAGCAAAGGCCGTTAAAGTGAAGAAGAAGGTACGCAGAGAATCATGCGCATGTGTGGCTTTTGTTCGTGTTGGTGTTGGTGTTTCTTTTAAATATCATATCCACATCATAGATATTCATTCGTGTTGGTAGAAATCAGTTCTGTGTCCAGTCATTCTCGCTAGCATGCGGGAAGAAAGACCGCATGAATTCGCCGCTGATAGGGTCATAAGGGAAATATGAATCCTGAGTCTCAGCCGCCAACGAAGACAACAGATCCGCAGAAGACATGTTGGGGTAGTAGTGATCCTGACCGGGTGTTCCCTGCGAGTCAGAGTTTGGAAGTTGTTCCAGCTGGGGACCCCAATAATCCTGGACAGAATTAGGACCGGACAGGCCGGTCACCTGGGGCCCAGTACCGGCAACGGTTATGTCTTCTGAGGGGTATGGGTATGAAGGCATGTCGCTGACATCATATTTCATGCCCTGGGCCAGTTTGCGGAGACTTAAATCACAGAGCTGCCATGCGCGTCCTGAGGCGATGCTTTGTTTTGACATTGCGAAGAGCCAGCGGGTGGCCTTTTTGGAGAGGGAGATAAAATTTTGTTCTTCTTCTGGCATGTGGACGACACCGAATGACAGCTCGAGGAGGAGGACAGTTGCTGCTTGCATGAGATAGTGTAGTATGCACCACCATGGACAAATCCGGTACAGTTGCAGGGGATCTGGTTCGTCGGGGATGAGGTCGAGCATCTGGCATGCAGACTGGAGGGTTATCACAGCCATCTCGTGGCTAAACGTAGATTTGCCTGATTTGTCTTTCGAGCTTGCATCACGTCGGCAGAGACAGGGACGGCCGAGGGTAATTCGTCCGCTGTAGTAATGGAGCGCCAATGCCAGCTTGCACCGAAGCACGTCGGGGCTATCTTCTCCCTTCTGTGTGAAATCAAGACCCGATGGGAGACTGGCTTGCCACATCTCGGTTCGGGATCTGAGTTCTCCAATGCGGTTCTCGATGTGTGCCCATGGAACCATCATGCAGTCTACTGAATAGACTTTGTTAACGATTTCTTGCACGACAACTGCCAAATCGCAGTAGTAGAGATAGCATAGTCCGTAGCTGAGAGGCAGGTTCTTAAGCCATGCGGTATCTCGTGCTCGTGAGTGGTTGGCAGCTTCCTTGCCATTCGCTGGGTTGAGCGGCATCTGCCTGATCCACACACTTGCCACAACGTTGTTTATACGTTCGTCTCGTAGAGTCGTGTTGGTAAGTATTTCCACAGCGGCCGGCTCGTGCAATTGATCCTCCTCAAATGGAACAGGGAAAGGTGAGGTGCACACTCCATCTTGAATACAAGTTGACCGGCCAGTCATAATACCTAGCATGTGTTCAAATGTGTATAAACACCACCATACTCGGTAGCGAGCTTCTTTCGAAAGGTCTGGTGTAGTTGGACTACTGCTCTTCATGTTGATTCCAAGGGTGATAGCAGACCGCACTGCCAAAGCTGAGATTCTCCAAGCACTATGCAAATTGTAAGTGTCTGCTAGAATAAACAAGGTAAATAAACTCACCGATTGATTTGATCAGATGCAAGAAGGTAAAAGGCAATCAAGCCCTCCACTTGTACTTGCTGGAGATCAGGATGACTGAACAGGACATCCCCATTCATACTGAGAATCCTAGCTCTGGTCAGATACATCAAATGATCCTTATCATCTTCTCCTGCACGCCACGGTGCATCGATGAGTTGAGAGTGTTTAGCTCCAATGGCAAAGATCATATTCAAAATAGCAAGCCACTTGTCACCGGGCCGAGCAGTACTTTCGAAGAATGTCCGGTACTGCGCCTGGAAGAGGGGTCTGTTGATAATGGGGTAGAAAGGGTGCACAGTCGTCAAATAGCAATCAAACAGATGATCTGCTACTTCACGAGAAGGCATGGCGTATAACTGCACTGGCCCAGGTACGGAGATATCCATATCGTCGAGATGATAGTTAACCGCGTGGAGGGATAATTGCTCGTCAGCTTTTCGATCCACGCCAGGCTCCAGACTACCTGGAAAACCTTGGGCGCGTTGGTCTGCCTCTCTCTGTAGGCGTTGCATCCAGGTAAGTTCAGAGTTCTTCCCCATATACCCAGTCGCTCTGGTATTTTCCGAACGGTTATGGTCCTCTTCTACTCGGTCAATCGCTTCAAGAGATCCAATCGATGAAGGCGAAGAGGGTTCATCATTTTCTGGAGCCACCTCATCCTGAGGCGTTGCTGATTGTGACTGGGAAGTATGGGAAGACGACTCTCCCTCCTGAACATGCTGCGGTCGATGATGTTAGCGACAGATCATTGATTGCAGTGCAGGCAGAAAGAAACCAACCTTGTCCAGCAAGCTCCTAATCCGGTCCGCGGCACGAGCCTCAACAACAGTCCCCAGCTCCTTCAGCATGAGCTCATATTCTTGCGCTTTTTCCGAGAGCTTTTCCACTTGTCTGTTGTACCATCAATCGTCAGCATACAGCCCGCCACATCAACGCGAAATAAAAGAAATATGTATCAACGCAGATATACCTACTTTTTTGTCCTCTCCCTCCAACCCTGCGGATAATTGCACGTAGCTCTTAACTCCCGACATTGTCGACAGACAGGGGTATCGCCACTGCATTTCGTCTTGCGCTGTCGGCACGATTCACAAGCCCGCGGAACCCGTCGATTATAGCGCGGGGCAATTCCCGATCGCTGGCGAGGAATCGCAACTTTTGTCTGCGCGGAGAGCTTGGCGGGCTGTAATACTGGTGTTGCGTGTGTCCTTTGGACGCCTAGTGTCGAGGCCGTATCTGTGAGGGAAGGAGGGATGGATGTGGCGAGGGTATTGTTTGCTTCGGGATGCTGAGCGGAGGGTTCGCTTTGCACAGGGATACCCTCGCAGGACTGTGGCTCGGGTGCTTCTTTGATGGTCATGGTAGCGGCACCTTTGTAGGCTAAAGAGAGTGTATCCGATAGCGAGGTTAACGAGTGTTATCAAGATAGCGATCCCGATGCGATAATATGCGGTTCAGTTTGGAGTTGCGGCCAATGATAGGCTTGTATTTACCTATGCGAGGCCGGTGGGTGACGTCAGTGCTATGTCTTTATGGAGAGATCCATTAGGATAGCAAGTTGCTGTTAAGTCGTGATTCAAATGGACTAAAAAAGATTGCAAAGGCGAATGAAGTCAATGAACGCTGACTGGCGGGATGAGGGATCAGGATGACATCCCCACTTATTACTTGATTAAGTCTAGTGCTGCTGAGTCACGTCAGAACCCAAATTGGAGATTGGTGAGATAAAGCATAAAATTGGACTGAAGTATGCAAAATGTTGCGGTTTTGACACTTCTTGGCGTTCCTCTTCCGATTTAGTGCTCAGACCTTGCTGCTTTTGCTCACTAAGCAGAACTGAGCACGCCCTAAGCAGTCTGACCCAAGTACTAATCCTACCCCACTAAAATGCACTACGCTAGCCCCTTTCACGTGCCATCCTTCCTCACAAAATTGCCCCAAGTATCCCATCAGAATAGCACGGGCGTCATTTACTATACCTATTCATCCTACTAAGACTGCTAAATCTATTGCGCCATAATAGAGCTTGTTATTTGATTAGCCAATTAGTATATTAGTCATACGACATGCTCATGGGAACACTAATTCTACTACCCCAATGATCTCCTAATCAGGCTATAGATAGCTATCAGTGCCAAGCAATTTAATAAGCATTCTGTTCTGGTGACAAAGCTGATAGAATTTAACGGTAAAGCCACCGCTCGCGCCAATAAGCTCATATTTCTATAGGCACCGGAGATACCTACCTAGAGTGCCAGAAATGGGGTGTCATTCTAGATTGGATACATATCTAGGCGTTGGAAAGAATGGTGCGAGGTATATAGGATGACTCTTGACCCTTATTCAACCGAAGGGGTTGAATTTAAATATACGGTGAATATCAGACTGACAACCTCCCAAGGTCGCCGTAAGTTGCAATTCTACACCACTCATCACCACCGGTGCATCACTTCGTGCTACCTCCATATTATGCGCAGTATTACTCGACTTCAACCAGCATACTTTCCTTAAAAGCCTTTCCTTCATATCTTTCGACAGACTAGAATCGAGTACTAAAAGTATGCTACGCGTAACTGCTCATCCTTAATAGCCTCCAATTGTTAATAATACCCCATAGGTTTCTATTCTCGATTTACCGACTGAGATACTTGGGACCATAGCCAGCAGCTTGAAGGTAGACTGAGTGCTCAATAGATGCCTCTGATCAGTCTCTGAGTAATCAGTAAGCAATCACCCTACTGATCTATCACGTGATTGACTCTGAGCAGCTCACGAAGTCTGGACTGAAATTTACTCGGTGAGCCTGACTCTGAGGTCCTCATTAAAGCCGCGGCATCTGGAATAGGAGACCCCCATCCGGCAGAGGAAATATAGTCACTGAAGTATGTAAGATGTTGCGATTTTGATACTTTTGGTTAAGCCAGTCCCTCTGAAGTTTCCCAAGACTCCCATTCTACCCATCCAGGGCGAAACAAAAACAAAAACAGAGCGTATGTATATGTACAGTAGAAATAGGAATTAGCGAAAAAGGTAGGGGGCACACGCGCCAAGGAGACATGTACAAGCAGAGCGAATAAAGGGAGGGGTAATATGGCAGATCTCAGTCCAGCCAAGAGTGGAGATGAAAGAGGATAGGAGGAAGCATATTAGAGGCACGAGGGTTTAGATTTCGCCAAACATCTCATCGAGCTCATCAACTTCCACCATCTCCGGATTTTGCAATTCTCTCCAAGAATCGAAGACAGGCTCCGATGGCTTGGAGGAAATAGGCCGAGGAGTCAGGGTGAGCCTCTCGTGCGACTCTGTCAAATCAGACATCTTAAGATCGACGTCTGGAAGACCACTGTTCAACATGTCAAGCGAGCGCTTAAGAGTAGAAACAGGCGCGGCATCCGGATCCTCCGGTAGAGCAATCTGAAGAGCAGCTAGGTCATCCCCATCAACACGGGCATCGATCATGCTCGTACCAGACGAAACCGACGATGCAACCGATGTGAGAGAGGGTGAGGGCGAGGTGCCAAACAGCGCGGTTGCAGCAGCTTCATCCAAATCCTGGGCCATTTGGTCGGCGGGCATGTGCGAGAAGTAGTCACTATACTCTTCTTCAGACATCCCGTCACCGTGGAGGGAGGGAGATATAGAGCCACCGTTCACCGGTGATTCAGTGCTCCTCTCGCGGTCTCCCATGGCACTCAGGCTTTCAGAGAGAATGGACTGGCTACGACTCGACTCGCTGGCTTTCTCTTCAGAGGCGCGCTCACGCACGGCACTGGCGGTCTGAGTAAATTCCTTCTCATCGCCCTCCAGGGGCGGTGAAGCCGCGCGGTTTGAGTGCATGAGACGACTGAGGTTGCTAGCATCCGGGAAGTGATCGGAAGAACCGGCATGACTAGCGGGGCTGTTCAGATCCACATCCTCTCCAAAATCGGGAGACGATAAGTCCACTTCTGGACTAGGGCTACGTTGCCGCACCACGGCGTCTTCCTCATCCTCGAGACTTGATACACTGGGTGTGATTTGCTTGCCATCTACGGCAGATACCAGATCATCAGTCTCGGGAATAGGCTGGTGAGGGAACGTAGTAAGATAGTAGTACACTTTGCGAGGGTGAATTAAGATAAGTTCCTTGGCGATAGGGCAAGGCGCAAGAGCGGTCCAAGGACGCTTCATATAGGCAGCCAACCGCGACGAGAGGAGGGCGGCGGGATTGGCAGAACTAAAGACAAGACATGTTAGAAAGTGTCAGAAATTCCCCAAAGGTGGATAGGATACATACTTGGCGACATTCGCATTTAGCGCAACGAGGACGGCGGCGAGCTCCTTCACAAGATGAGGACGATTCCCCGTTTTCTCCAACTGATCAATTACAGCGACCACGATATCATCACTAATCCCTTCTGTGTCGATCTTGGGTGCCACGATTCCATCTAAAGGTGAGGGAGGCGGCGTATGCTCAAATGCTCCATGTCTCCCAGCGCGCGCGATCAAGAACTTGTCGGATGGCTCGGGCGATATTGAAGTTGAACCGTGCGATCTCTTAGCCTTTTTTGACAAGGGCTCATCGTGCGATTTGGAGATAGAGGGAGAGCGACGGGAAGAATTTGGCAACTGGATGCCTAGGGATGGAAGGGATAGTGACTTTCGACGTGTGTTGTATGGCATTGTGAGGGAGTGATGGCAAAAGGAGAGAACAAAGGTATCAAAAGGAAGGAGAGTAAGACACAAAAGTGTAGAGAATAAGGGTTATAATAAAAAACAGGGATATAATAAACAAAATAAGAAGTAATAATATAGGGAGAAAGGGGGGGTGGAATACAGAGGAGGGAGATCACCATGCGACAAGAAGCTGTGAAGGCAAAAAGGTCAACCTGAGGAATGGAAAATTGGGAAAAAAGTGGAAAGAAAAATAAATGGTCATGTATTGTCACGGTAATTTACATAAATGGATGTGTGGGGCTTCAGGCTCTCTTATTTTGGAGAGAACGCTCGATACGTCTACTCTATACTACTCTATACTTTATATCTATACTGTTTACTTCCATCTTCCATATGTCAGTTATACTCTACTATACTTGTACCCTATACGTTCTATCGATACATTCAATGTTTGTGATATGCCCTATTTAAAAGAAAACAAAAGAGTGGACCGGTCATTCCACTAGTCCGTAGCTGGCCTTAGCATGAAAATCCATAGTTCTTCCATTCCATCCTCGGTCTTAGTGCATACCGGGCAACAGGTAGGTGGATCAGGCCATGTGCTCTATAACCTGGTCCGGTCCATATTTTGTGCTCCGGCTCCAGCGTTGTCTCCATCAGTTTTCCCATGCATCGAACTCGGCTAATCATAGCTCACGATCTGAATAATAATAAGACCTGCCGATCCTCTGATTGGTGGATTGTGTGTGTGTCGGCACATTGGACGGGGCTAGGTGCTGGGATGCATATGTGTACAGTAGATTGTGCATTCGATCTGTCAAGTGGTTGCTAGGTGACCGGTTGCATACCCTGACCGCTTGATAGATCTAATGCATTTGTACAAGTCACTATCCAACTACCTGACAAGTCATTTTATAAAATATCAAACATCACACTCACGTTATGCATGTAGTAAAGCAAAGTCAGGATGCCGGAAACACCGAGACCCAAACAGCTTCTAGCGCAGCCGTTTACAAGTGAAAAAAAAAAAAAAGGAGTGGAGCACGGCCCAGCGATCAATCAGAGCCAGCGTAATCGGGTGTATGCGCTAGTAATGGATACCCACATTAGCGTGTCGGGGAGAAAAGGAACAGAAGTATCGCCACCGATGTCAAAGGCTGAGACAACCTTTGCCCCTCTCTATTCGTTACGTACACTTATAGGTTTGGATATATCTGCCTGGAGAGTGGTGATGCCATAAATCATGATAATCCCCTATGCTCCCTATGTAGTTTAGCACTTCGGTTCCCATACTTCGACGTGGTTATGACATATCTCCCGCAACCTTGTCGATGGCTTTTGCCATACTTTAGTACTAATCCTACACCATACCTCTCTGAGCTTGGCATCCAGGGATCGGGTACGAGCATTGCGATGCAAGCCTATAGAGGGGGTCATTCTTTGACATCCCTGCCCGGAATCCTCGCCCCGTCACGTTTATTGATCTCCGTTTTCATTACATCTACCACTCTGACCCGAAGCAGTGGGAACCTTAACCATGGGAATGGCCAGCCCATTGTTACATGTACGGCCGAAAGGATTAAGATTATCTGGTGGCTGCATCTGCTCATTTCCCACTGCGATCTAGTTATGCACAGATGAGACCTTATACGGTACCTACAGTATGCAAACGCGCGGGAATTCTCCGCATCTCCACAAATGCAACACAAGATGTCCACTCTTTAAACATAACTGGGTACATTTTTCGCGAGCAGTATGTAACAGTCCCCATGCTTTATTCTCTGGGGAGGCCAGCGAATCATCGCTACACCCATAGATCCCGTTTCTCGCCCCCAGATATAGTTAAGTTATCTAAACAACGGACAAACCAACACCCCCGACTCTAGATCTACCAATAAGACTGCGACCGCGCATGAGCCTCGATCATAACAAATCAATATCCAAACCTTGCATGGCCTCGCTTGGAACTTACCCGTAACCTTGAATTATACAAAGATAGGTGACTAACCGTATCTAAGACAAGGAATAACCCCTGTAAGGTCGTGCGACTTGCATGTAGATCATTTATGTGGATTGGATGGGGCGTTTCACTAGATGCGCCCCCCTCAGTTTGAGCCGATTTTAGCATCAACAATAGCGCAAGGCGACTCTAACTTAAACCTTCCTATGTTGGTAAACATGGTCCGATAGGGTAGCGTTCTGTTCCCCGGCTCGTCTCCCCTCGTCAAGGATTCTAGAACAATATCGGGATTTCGTTCAAATGAGGGGAAAGCGGAGTCTAGCCGCCAAGGTTTGATGGCAGCGATCCTTAAGCTTAGTTCATTATGATGTGCTTGCAGGTCTTAACGTTGATGTATATCATAACTTGCTTCGGATAGATATGATATCACCATGATATATATTGATTGCGTGGACTAATTTGACAAGCTGGCCCAGGCCATCCCAGCAATGTTCTAATGTATATTCCATAATATATTGAGCCATGGAATTCTCACTAGCACGTCTCACACATTGGATGCGCTGAAGCAGAATCGAATGAATGTGGCATCGTTCTGCAATTCCAAATACAACGCTAAGAACATTGGCAAGTTAGATATCACCAGAATTACAAGCTCTAGATCAGGTCTCAAGCAAAGGTCACTCAGAAACATCAACACCATCCAACTCCAAATGAATCGCCTTCTTAACATCACCCCCAGCCCAACACATATCAACAGCATTCCTAACAAGCTGCACCATCTCCCTCTTCCCAAATCCGCAATAACTATAAACCTTCTGCAAATTACCATCAATCCAAACATCATGCATCAACGTCGGGTCGTCACTATTAATACAAATCTTAACCCCAGCCTCCACTAACCCCCGAATCTTAGGAAACAAAACCTCCGTCGCCGTCCTACGATGATAAGCATGTGGACACAAGGTCAAACCAATCCCCCTCTCAACCAACCCCCTCCACAACCCCTCCTCATCCCAAGCATCCAACCCATGATCAATTCGCTCCGCCCCCCTCCCACCACAAACCTCAAAAATAGCCTGCCTAACATGTTCGTGTGTATCCTTCTGCCCGAAATCACAATGCATAGTAACATGCAACCCATCCGCACGCGCCAGCCCAAACCCCTCCTCAAAAAGCAAAGGCGGCCGCTCGTACGCGTTACTCGCCAACCCAACAGCATGAAATAATCCCTTACCACCATGCACAGAACCCCCAGCCCACGGCCTCGCCTCCCAATAAGCAGCAAGACCCTTCTCAACGGGTTCGTCGCGCAGGAAACACAAAATCCACTGTGATCGCACCCCATACTTCACTACGGCATCATGCTGAGCGCGTAGATACCCATCCAGAACAGCAGATGCGGGAACCCCGCGCCGCGTATGCGCCTGTATATCGAAGAACGGCTCTGTATAGCGGACGTTCATTTCTGCGCAGCGGTGTAGATAGGCCATGGCTAGATCGTAGAAATCAGCCTCTGTGCGGAGGACTTCGCATCCTGCAAAGTAGGCTTCTAGGAAGGTCGGGATGCCTGGTTGGCGGCCGTTTAGTTCGGGGCGGTGGTTGAGGGTTATGGCGTAGGAGGCTTTGAGGTCTGAGAGGGTTTTGTAGGGGAGGGGAATTTTGTTGCGGGCTGCTAGGGTCCAGCGGAGGGTTGGCGTTAGGGTTCCTTCTATGTGGATGTGAAGTTCGACTTTTGGGAGGGATTTTATGAAGGGGGTTATTTGTAGGTTGTTCATTGTGGTGCGCGTGCTGGGTTAGGTTGCGTTTGGAGTTGGAGTATGTTGTTGTTTAGATATACAAGTCGTATTGCATTGAGCCGAGGTCGGAGACCTGATGTGACTAAAGGAGGAGCTCCTCTAGGCACATTCAAGGTTTATCTAAGACAAGTGACCCCAAGTTTTTGCCGGATTGGGATGGTGTTGCTGTTTAGCTCTACTAGGGGACTTGGCTGGCATCTTTAGTTCGAATTCTGTCCAATGACCTCCTGCGCAAAGATTGTATATTGACGATAACATACAGGGGTGGCCAATGGAGACAATGGCAGTGCGGGGAATAGATAAGAATGCAACATAAGCGTGTTGTACAAAGGAGACATTATATAGCAAAGACAATTGCATTTCCTTTCACATACCGCGAGCATAACAACTTGACAATATGGCAGAGCTGAGCAGAGCTCCCGATGGAGCAGAGCAAGCGACAAACGCCGTGGCGAAAAGAGTACTACGGAAGATCGACAGGCGGTTAATCCCACTCTTGTTCACAACTTACATGTTCAATTTCATGGACAAGATCATTCTGTCCAGCGCAGCTGTGTTTGGGTTGCGCGATGATACGGTAAGATCATAGCCCAACACACAGAACCAGACTGACATCCATTCTAGGGACTAGTGGGCCAGCAGTACAGCTGGGTATCATCGGTGTTCTACTTTGGCTACCTGGGATGGGTATATCCAACAACACTCCTGATAGCCCGTCTACCAGCTGCAAAATACTTAACAGCCAACACCCTGTTCTGGGGTACTGTGGTAGCCCTCACAGCAGCGTGCACCAACTTCGGGGGCTTGATTACCGTGCGCTTCCTACTGGGAGTCGCTGAAGCAACAATCACACCAGCATTCATGTTCATCACCTCGACATGGTATACACGTGATGAGATTCCCACCCGAACTGGACTGTGGTTCGCTGGCAACGTACGTCCACCCTGTTTAACCCTATCTAACCTTACATCCACCACTAACGTCTATACCTAGAGCGTCGGCGGTATCCTCTCCAGCCTCCTCGCCTATGGCTTAGGCCACGTCAAAGACAACGTCGGACCATGGCGATGGATGTTCATCGTCCTAGGCGTGTTAACCTTCCTCTGGGGCTTCGCCTTGTGGGCATTACTCCCAGACTCGATCTCCAAAGCCAAATTCTTGTCTGAAGAGGAACGCCAATGCGCAAGCAACCGAGCCGTCATCGCAGGCACAGGCGCAACAGAGAAGACAGCCTGGCAATGGGATCAATTCGCGGAATGTCTCATGGACCCGAAGTCCTGGCTGGTCTTCTGCTTGGCATTGGTAACTCAAATCCCCAACGGGGGAACTCAGAACTTCTCCAATCTCGTTATTGTCTCATTCGGCTTTACGAGTTTGCAGTCTACGCTGATCAATATCCCTTACTCGCTTATTACCATAGCCACAATCACGGGAACAGGTTGGCTAGCAGGCCGTTTCCGCCAACTCAACTGCATACTTATTGTTGTCGTTGTAGTGCCCTGTGTTATCGGCAGTGCGATTATCTATTCGCGGGCTCATATCGTTCTGGGTGTCCAGTTATTTGGATATTTCCTCTTGTCGACGGGTCCTGCAGCTATGCCGCTCGCTATGTCGCTCGTGCAGGCCAATTACCGTGGTGTCACGAAGAAAATGACTGTCACTGCGATGCTGTTCCTGGCATACTGTGCTGGTAATATCTCGGGTCCTCAGTTCTTTCTTAGTGAAGAGGCGCCGACGTATAATACTGCTTTCCGCACTATTATGATTTGTTATGCGCTTGCTGTTCTACTTGCGTTGTGTCTGCGGTTTTATTTGCAATGGATGAATGCTCGTCGCACGCGCCTGGAAGGATTTGAAGGAAGTGCTGGGAATGCAGGTGCTGTTGGTGGGAAGGTGTTGGATGGGGATCAGGATTTGAACAATGTCGCGGATATGGTGACTCGGGTACAGCTCGTGTCGCATGATTATGAGGATATTACGGATTGGAAGACGCCGGGCTTCAGATACCGGTATTAGTTGGGATAGCTCATAAACTGGAAAGGTGATTCGGAAAATATAGTCATAGGCCATAATTCCTTTCATACCTCCACCTTTATATAATCTACATGATCAACCCACCATTCTTAAAGAAAAGAGCATAACCCGAGGCACTCGGAAATGGTTAAAAGAAGGGGGGAAAGAGAGGTAAAGGCTTTCTATGAAAAGAAAGCTCATATAGCAATGTGACCCCGAAATTCAATCTCAATTAATGTCCTTATAATACTCTGCGTGCATTTGTAGAATCTTATAAAATTTCACGATGGAAATAACGACGAAGCATACGTCACAAGCTGTATATTATCATACAAATATAAATACAATAGGAACCCCTTCAGCCAGAGCCAAATGTCTAAAGGGTGCATCACTCAGAACTTCCCGGTGGTCTCAATACATAGCGATAAGTGGTCCCAAAATGCCAACGCTTCTCTTCAACAATAACCAACCCACTTTCCCTTACAATAGCACCAATATCCCGATTCCACCAACACCCATGACGATCCGCATGGGCAGGAGCAAGATTATCAAGAATACCATTAACCCAATCCCACCGCGAACGACCATGCTCAAGAAGCAAGATATGACCATTCTTCGGCTCAGTAATCGACCCCAAATGGCGCAGCGTCCCAACAGGATCTGGCATCGAGCATAGACCCATAGTCTGCACAATGGTATCAAAGTAGCGCGGCGGATCCCCCGGTCCAGCAGGCGGGGGCGTGACAGAGCCCGCGTCGACGCATTGGTAAGACACGCGAGTGAAATCCGGGTACATAGATTCGAACTTCTGCTTTGTGATTGCGACCATCTGCGGGCTTAGATCTGTGAATGTGATCGACCGACAGCCGTTGACCTCGAGGTGGTGGTGGAATTCGTTGACGCCTCGTCGCTCGCCGAGGAGGTAGTATGGTAGATTGCGGCCTGTGCCGCAGCTCACTTCTAGGACGTTGCCGCGAGCGTGTCGGATTAGGTCATTGCGCTTGCTACCCAGTTGCATGAACTTTTCGGAGATTTCGACGTCCGCGTCGAATGTTGAGGCTGTTTTGTTGTATCTGTCTGAAACGTCGTTGGATACAACCAGGGCTTGGCTTTTGTTCACTTCGCGTTTGTATGAGACGTATAGGTAGCTGCTGTAGGTGCTTATTGCTAGGGCTGTAATTCCCATGAAGGCGAGGGCTGTTGGAGGGATTCCATGTTTGCTCTTTTTCTCCTTGGTTTCGGAGCTGGGGTCTTCAGTTTGTGAAGACTGTGTCTTTGGAGGGACTTCACGCCTTTTAGGCTTTACGGTCCTTTTGAGCTCTGAGGGGCCATTTTGTGTGTTGCCAAGAGGCTGTTTTCTCTTTGAGATTGGACTAGGGGATGTGTTAGTATGGATTCTGATGGCATTTTCACGTGTGCATACATTTGATCTCGAGGTACCTTGCTCGATGCCCGTCGGCAGGGCGTAACGGGCCACCTGACCAAGGGCACTCGGCGCAATGGGTTTGCATTCATTGCGATGGGCCCATGCGACTAGGGTTTTCTCCTGATAAGAGATGTATGCGGTCTAGCGTGCCGAGCTGGATGTTTTTCGCTTCCCTTTCACGGAAGATTTATCACCCAGTAAGGGAACAAGGTATGCTCGAAATAGGAAATTAGCTGTGCGAGCTGATAATCCATAGACCAAGGGCGGCTAATCGATGCCTATTGGGGACAATGTTGACTCGGAAGACGAAAAGTCGGGAGACGGGACCGAGTCAGGTCAGGCCGTTATCGGCTATCAATTGGGAATTCCCCCGACATCTCCAACTTTCCCACGACCTTCCTACAGACACACACACAATGGCATTGCCGTCCAATATCCTGATCGTAGGAGGCGGAGTCTTCGGGCGTAAGTATAAACAACATGCAGCACACACCCTCGGCTTGCATACCGCACACACATCACATCCCCAACTTCAACCCCATACACCGCACCCGCACCCGCACCCGCACTCAAGACACCACGCCCCCAAACACCCCAATTGCTATTGACTCAAAACTAACAAAATCCCTTAGTCTCAACGGCCCTCTCCCTAACAAAACGCCACCCAAACAGCAAAATAACAATAATTGAATCCTCGCCGACAATCCCAAACCCGCACGGCTCCTCAGTGGACACATCCCGAATCGTGCGCGCAGACTACGCAAACGCAGCCTACTCCAAGCTAGCGGACAGTGCCATCAAACAGTGGCGCAGCACAGCCTGGGGCGCCGAAGGCCGGTACACGCAAAACGGCCTCCTCCTCGTCTACCCAGCGGATAGCGCCAGCGCCAAAGAATACGCGCGCAAGAGCTACGCCAACGTGCGCCAGATCGAGGGCGATAATGTTGAGTTCTTGCCGTCGCAGAAGGACGTGTTGAGGGTTGTGCCGGCGTATGGCGAGGAGCTTGATGTGGCCGGTGGGTATGTGAATTGGGGGTCTGGGTGGTCTGATGCGGCGGCTAGTGTTGCATATGCGAAGGCGCTGATTGATGCGGAGGGGAAGGTTGGGTTCCGGACTGGGCAGGTCGAAAGGGTTCTCTATGAGGACGTCGGTGGGAAGAAGTCCAAGGCTTCTGGTGTCGTCTTCACAGATGGAACGACACTCTCGGCTGACTTGGTTATTCTCGCTACTGGAGCGTGGACATCTAAATTGGTTGATCTGCGCGGACGGGCTGTCGCGACTGGACAGGCGATTGCGTATATGCGAATCTCGGACGAGGAGCAGCGCGAGTTGGAGAATTTGCCTACGATTTTGAACTTCGCTACTGGGATCTTTATCATTCCGCCTCGGGGGAACTTGCTTAAAATTGCGCGCCATGCGTTTGGATACCGGAATCCGGTTTCGGTGCCTGTTCCCGGGGCGAGTGGACCTGGCGAGAGGATGGATGTTAGTTTGCCTGAGAAGGGGGTTCCTGTTCCGCTTGAGGGACAGGATGCTTTCCGGATTGCGTTGAGGCAGCTTCTGCCGCGGTTTGCGGAGAGGGAGTTTGTTGATACGCGGGTTTGTTGGTATACTGATACGTGAGTTTCTTTCTTGATCTCCTTTCTGGTTTGACTGAGCGCTTCTTGGGGGATATGGTGCTGATTTGTTGTTGTTCGCGGTTAGGCCTAAGGGTGACTTTATTATCTCCTACCACCCTGACCATGAGGGTCTTTTCCTTGCTACTGGTGGCAGTGGCCATGCGTTCAAGTTCCTCCCTGTTATTGGTGACAAGGTGGTTGATGCGCTTGAGGGAACTCTTGACTCTGAGCTGAGCGAGATGTGGACATGGTCTGCTGCTGCGACGGCCGATGATGAGGACTTTGATGGCGATGGCAGTCGGTCTGGAGCAAGAAGGGCGAATCTAAAAGATGAGTTGGCGAAGACGCAGAAGGCTTCGAGAAGCAGTGCGCTATAGATGGGTTGTCATGAATGTATATAACATGTTGGACGTACGAAAAGATGTATGGGGTGCATGGACAGTTGGGTATATACTTGGGAAGACGAGCCCACACAACGATGTTGTTACATTTACTTGGAAAAGAATTTTTGAGAGACTTTTTATTTTTGCTACTCAAAAGGTAGTGACGGCAGTGCCGTTCCATCAATATGCAGCCTTGGGCAGGCAAAGCAAAGATGGAATCTAAGGGCTCACCATTTTTTTTTGGCCCATGGGGAGGTGATCCACCACAGATGAAACCAGAGGATGATAAAAAAAATTAGAGGCAGCAGTCATCGACCGGCGCACGAACCGCCTCACTGCGACGTGCAGCAATCTAATTGTGTAAAAGCACGAAATGGTGGAACAAACCGGGGATCATCCGAATCGCTAGAACGCCCAACTATGCTTGCATGAAAGATTCGTAAAAGCAAAAGGAAACCGAGGCGCAGGAGTTAGGTAATCGCTGCGATCCTCAACGGGAAAAAAGCAGTGTTAATACAGGGTTGAAAGTTGAAAGCGAAGAGCATGCGATCTCCGAAAGCTTTTTCAGACCTTGCGGAAATCTGGGGAGGGTTAGCGATGAAGTGTCTGTGAGACCACAAGACAACATACCAGAAAGCACAGGGTAGATCAACTCGAAAGCCTGATAGATCTCCTCACGGACCTTGGCACCAGTAAGGACGATCTTGCCACTGACGAAGATTAGAAGAACGATCTTAGGCTTCATCATGCGGTAGATAAGACCAGGGAACAACTCGGGCTCGTAGGACGAGAAGTTATGGTGACGAGATGCGAGACCCTCCAAACGGATGGGGAACTTGATGTCGCAGGACCCGACGATATTCTGGATCTTGAAGTCCGTGAACTTGGCGTTAAAACCGAGCTTCTGGATAATACGGGCGTACTTGCGCGAGGCGAGCTTCGAGTCGTCCTCCGACTTGGCACCGGTGACGACCATCTTGCCCGATGCGAAGATCAGAGCGGTGGTCTTGGGCTCACGGATACGCATGATCACGGCAGCGAAACGCTAGTAGAAAGAAACCCAGTTCAGCCACACTGTACCCTGATGGAATCACCGGGAAGGTGTGGAAGAGAGAAATATACCTTAGGATTGTACTCGGCGTTGCGAGCGTGCAACGCGATGGTCTTGAGATCCAAGCGGCAGTCAAGGTTGACGGTGGCAACGATGTTCCTTTTGGTAGAGCCTAGTTCAGCCATTCTGGTCTCCCAGAAAGAAGCAAGAATATACTCACTGCAGGGTTGGCACAATGCCACTGCTTCCGGTAGTCGCGCCAGGAGTGGCGGCCGGGGTCGCGGGAGAAGCGGGAGTCACCCCGGTGCCGGTGACGGCATTTCCTCCGGCCTGACCGTTCATCTGAGCCATCGCCTCCTTGTCCGAGCCAGGTGGGGTCAAATCGCCAGCGCCACCAGGGAAGGAAAGCGAGGCCGTGGAGGTGAAGGCACGAGCCTGCTGGGCATTTGACGGGTGGGTGGTGAGCGTATCCATGATGGAGGCTCGAAAATCACGTGTGGGGTGCGCGAAAGAGTAAGTTGAAAGGATGACGTAACAACTGTGATGAAAAAGCCAGAGGTGAGCGAAAATCACCACTGGGGAGGGATGCGAGATGCAAGAGAGGAGGTTGGTGAAATGGGTCACGTGAGTCAAAATCTTACCTGGGAGATGGACAACTCAATGTATCCCCCTAAGGTCTTCGCACTCAATTCGGTACCTTGAATAGGTAGACACGAGTAAGGGAAGCGAAACCGTTGCAGACTGATGCAGACTGATAAGTCGAAATCAGGAGAAACGCACACTGAAGTGTTTTCTCAAGACGCGATCGCAGGCGAGATTATGACAAAGAACAGAAAGGACGGAATGAAGAGCAACTTTTTTTTTTTCTGTTTTCTTTTGTTGCGCTGCTTTTGGTATGGGATTTGTGTCTATCTGCGCGATCTGGAAAAGAGAGAAAGAGAGTGAAGTGATCCCTGAGGTTCAGCTCCTATTGTTCAAGTCGCGTGGACGAAAACCTTTTTTTCCCCTAAAAAAAAAAGAAAGGGTAGAGAGTAATCAGAGTGAGGTGAAACTGATTAGTAAGAGGAGCAGATATTAAAATGCTGCTTTGGGGGGAGGAAGATGGAGTTTCCAGAACAGCTCCGGATGCCAAGACCGAGACAGGAATGGGAGTAACGGGGGGAGGTTGGGCCTTTATATAGTGCTGACTCACAGGGGAGGCTGGGCCACCAACTAAAAGCAGCCAGAGCGGTCTCCCTTCAACCTTGGGTTCATCGCCCGCTAGCGGCTCTGGGACTGTCGCCCGTGATCCAATCAGAGTGGCTCTTCTGCCCTGATGTCTTTCATTCGCCCAACGCACTCCGCTTGTTAGCCACCCAGCCGCCTGAATGGCTGAAACACCCTTGCTTTATCCTCCGCGCCCCATGGTTGTAGGCGGTGTTCTTCCAGTCCGCGGTCCTCCTGCAGCTGATAGTCCCATCCGTCCCACGCCTAGTCCAATCATCGTCATCGACTATCCTCGGTCACTCCCTGGATGCGCTTTCCTCTTGCCGCTTTAACGGGAGGCAACTGAACAAAAATTCTCGTTTTTCGGCCCTTCTCTCTGACCTCACACTCAGGGTATATGACAAGGTGATATTGGTGTGGTGGTGCTATATTCTGTCATTCTGAATAATCGGCTCATCTACCTGTTTAGATTTATCTCTCACTTCTGTCCAATAATTCCCCCTCCCAACTTCCACCAACAGCCAACAACGGAATTCCCATCAGGACAGGGTGGCCGGTTCGATTCTGCCTGGGCGGTGGCGTCCGCGCTGATCCGTCCCGCCAAGGCTTGATGAATCTCATGGTATGCGATCTGTCAATGATCGGTCACTTTTTTAGCTTCTTTGGATCAGTCCGCTGGCTTCGTGAATGTTTGTTATGAGCCTCAGGTCATATCTGAGTATTATAACATTTTCGGGATTCCGGTATGCTGAATACCATACCCGACACCGATATCGTTACATTCCACAGTAATAATACAATACCGAGTACTCCGGACATACTTTGCACTGGCTCTTGGACCCCTGGAGTAGCACTCGACTAATTTAAGCTTGTTCTCTGGCATATGCATATATTTTATGCAAGGTGAACTTGACAGGACTTGGATTATAATCTAGAGTGATAAAGTGATGTCAAGTATGGTATTGAACAATGCATGTGATGCATGTGATGAGTCCACTACGCCGTAGGTGTAAACAGAACCCTCATGGGCTGATGTGACAGGAGACAAAGATGCAAAGAGGTGGAGATCTTTATCTATATCTATATCTACAGTATATCTATATCGTACCAAAAATCATCGAGTTTCTGCTTTTAGAATGACACCTGAGGCAGTCGACACCTCAGGCCAAGATTGGAATCGCCGACTTCCCCATTGGCTCAGAGATAATGCCGAGGATAGGCGGTTTTTCGGCGTTTCGTGATCCTCGACTCTAGTTCGGGTACTCAAGATTGATCCTCGATATCTTAATATCTTGCCCCTCCGCATTTAACCTTCCTCATGCTCCTTGGTCGCTAGTACGTCCTGGTCACAGCCTCCGGCTTCGAAAAATCTTACACCATGGCCTCCAAAAGCGCCGTCTTGCCTCTACTGAGGCGCGAACTACGATCCTCCTCCCGATTCTCACGAGCTAGCTCCTCGGTGTCCGCCATTGCCATCCCAGCCCGCTATTCAGCTAGCCCCTTCACAGCCGGACGGATCCCTCGGCGAATGGCATTGCTCGCGCCACCCCAGACACGAGCCTTCTCACAATCGCTATCACGACGAGTCGCAGATGAAAGTGGCGAATTCGACCCTCGCACCATCGAGCGGGAGTCCGATGAAGTGGATGTATGCATTGTCGGCGGTGGTATGTACTCGCGTTGGCTGTCCCGTAAGCACCCCAACTAAGCTTGATGCACTCTAGGTCCCGCCGGTCTCGCCGCCGCCATTCGATTGAAGCAGCTTGCCAACGAAGCAGGCAACGAAGAGTTCCGAGTTCTCCTCCTGGAGAAGTCTGGTGAATTGGGCGACCACATCGTGTCCGGAAACGTCTTGCAGCCAACCGCTCTCAATGAGCTGCTCCCCGACTGGCTGTCCGAGGATAACCCTTCGCGGTTCGAGGGTGCAACCCCCGCCAAGAGCGACAAGATGCGCTTCCTAACCAAGAACGGATCATACCCCCTTCCTACGCCGCCGCAGATGCACAACGAAGGAAATTACATTGTCAGTTTGAACGAGCTGACCAAGTGGATGGGAGAACGCGCGGAAGAGGTTGGCGTCGAGGTTTACCCCGGTTTCGCCGCTAGCGAGATTGTCTACAGCTCCGATGGTGCGGTGAAGGGTGTGGCGACCAACGACCTGGGACTGGGCCGGGACGGTAAGCCCAAGGATACATTCGAGCGCGGAATGGAGTTCCACGCCCGTGTCACACTGCTTGCTGAGGGCTGCCACGGCAGTCTGACCAAGCAGGTTATGAAGAAATACGACCTCCGTCGGGACAGCCAGCCCCAGACATATGGACTCGGAATCAAGGAAATCTGGGAGATTCAGCCTGAGAAGTTCAAGTCTGGTGAGATCACCCACTCGATGGGATATCCTCTCCCCAAGGATACGTACGGTGGAGCTTGGATGTACCACTTTGGCGACAACATGGTCAGTATAGGTCTGGTGGTTGGATTAGACTATCCGAACCCGTGGCTTTCGCCGTACGGGGAGTTCCAGAAGATGAAGCACCACCCCATGTTCAAGGAGGTTCTCGAGGGCGGCAAGTGCATTTCATATGGTGCCCGCGCATTGAATGAGGGTGGCTTCCAGTCGATACCTAAGTGCGCATTCCCTGGTGGTGCCTTGATCGGTGATACGGCCGGCTTCTTGAACGTCCCCAAGATTAAGGGTACTCACACCGCAATGAAGTCGGGTATGCTGGCAGCCGAGGCTACCTTTAGCGCGCTGCAAAGCGAGAACCAGGGAACCGTGTTCTTGTTCGACTACGAGAAGTCCCTGCGCGATTCGTCCATCTGGAAGGAGCTGTCCGAGGTGCGCAACATTCGGCCCTCATTCAACTCTCCATTCGGCTTCTTTGGTGGACTGCTCTACTCCGGATTGGAAGCATACATTTTCAAGGGTAAGGTGCCATGGACTCTCAGCCACCACGGTACCGACGCCGCAGCTACCAAGCCCGCGTCTGCATACGAGAAGATTGAATACCCCAAGCCCGATGGAGAAATCAGCTTCGATATCTTGACCAGCGTGAGCCGGACGGGTACCAACCATGAGGAAGACCAGCCAGTTCACCTGCAGGTAGAGGACTGGGATAAGCACAAAGATCTGGCGTGGCCCAAGTACAAGGGCGTGGAGAACCGATTCTGCCCTGCAGGTGTATACGAATATGTTGAGGACCCTAGCAAGGAACACGGTGTCCGGTTCCAGATCAACGCACAGAAGTAAGTTCTTATCTCCGACATGAGAGAGATCTAGATGCTGACCATTCCCAGCTGCATTCACTGCAAGACCTGTGACATCAAGGTTCCTACACAAGACATCAACTGGCAGACACCTCAAGGAGGGGAGGGCCCCAAATATACGTTGACGTAAGATTTAGCTTCAGGAGGGAAAAAGGAGTTTGAGGTTGGGAGTTTGTATATGGAGCCAAAGTACCAAAAAAGATTACCCGCCCCATGGGGCAGAACCGTGGAATGCAGGTGGAGGTCCAGGGATTCACATACCTTTAATTGTAAATGTACATCTATACATCTATACAACTACTGTATACGTTGTTTTTATCTTTAACATCAAACATTTAATCTTAACAGAATGAAGTAGATCAACCACGGTGGGACCACGTGGATCTGTGAAAAAGGTGAGGCGGCCAGAGTTTCGTAGTCCACCGCCAGAGCACGGTTTCCCTTTTCTCTTCCCCCTCTCGCTTTTGCTCTCCCTCTCTCTTCTCATCTGGTCCTCGCTAGTATCGGGTCAGCTGAAGTGGTATCATCGCTCTGACCTCTCACGGCCCGCCGCTTGTTTGTTGGGCGGTTACGCGCCTGCAGTCACTCGCATCCGTTCCATCCAAGGCGCCTACGTTCTGGGCTTTTTCATCATAACCCGGAGACTTCCCTTTGGCCATCTCTTTCTTTTTTCTCCAACAAACCAGTCCTTCAGATCAGCCATGACTGAGGTGTCGTCCACTCGCCTTTATCTTGGGAACCTTCCCCGCAACGGTATGCTGGCACCCACACCTGACTGTCCATTGCCCTGAGAACGCACCTCCATGCATGATCGCCAGATGTCTTCCCCTCCTGGCATCCAGAGTTCTCTTCTGCCTTGGACCCCTCTGTCTCTTGTGACTGGGTCCCTCCCCCGGGTCCACTGGGAGCTGGAACTACCACGGAACAGCTATCGCCTCGGCCGCCCTCGGATTTGTTTTTAGTATTGTCACGCTAACCGTCATGTTACCTTTTTTCTTACAGTCACCAAAGGAGACATCGAGGAACACTTCAGCAGCCATGGCTCGGGTAAGATCACCGAGATCAAGCTAATGAACGGCTTTGGCTTTATTGAATATGAGGATGCACTGGATGCTCGGGATATTGTTCCTGGTAATAACAAGCAATACCCCGCCTACCTCTGCTGACTGGCTAACTGTTTCTTTCCTGCAGCGTTCCGTATGCCCCAACGACCTACTCGCTAGCTTGACGTTTTGCTTATCAACAACACAGATGGGAGTGAATTCAAAGGCGAGCGTCTCACCGTTCAGTTTGCCCGTGGTCCCCGACGCAAGGAAGCCTTCCCTGGGCCCCAAGAGCGCAACAATCTCCCGCGTCCACGTCGCACGGTATTCCGGATGCAGATCTCCGGTCTTCCAGAAACAAGTTGGCAGGTTAGCAGCCCATGTCCATTCCTCCCCGGAGCTCCTGGTGTAGATCCCTTGAGCCTATTTCCACATTCAGCCCACATCCCAGTCTGTCGTTATCATGGCCACCGAGACAAATTCTCAATCCTCGGGCACTAACATGCTAGCGCTCATCTCTTGGTGATCTGAAAATGCGTCTTGGGCTTTTCGTTTTGCCAGGAGATCCGAGACATTCCCCTTGCCTACTCATCAAGACTTCAGACCTTTCCTGGGGAATTCTGGACTCCAACGTAGTATGGCCATTTGGATATACCTCCCCGGACAGGCCATGGACTTCTTGTTTTCCTTTCTACCACATGGACCTCCTGGATACTCTTTTACCTGGACCTGGACTCACCTTACGTTATCTAGGACTTGAAAGACTTTGCCCGCCAGTCCGGACTGGACGTGGTATACTCGGAGACAGGCCGCGAACAGGGCCGAGGGTGGGTTACCAAATTCCAGCGAAAGCCCCTATGCCAACTCCATTGACACAATTATAAGGTTTGTGGAATTCGAGACCGCCAACGACCTCAAAACCGCCGTGGAGAAACTGGACCAGCGAGAGTTCAAAGGATCGCGCGTCACCTGCGTCGCCGATGTAAGCGCCCAACCTGGCTCGGACCCGGAGGACTCGCCTCTCACCCTTTCCCAGATCCAAAGCTTTGAGGAACGTCCCGTCCGCGACCCTTACCGGTCCCGTTCCCCACGTCGCCCCTACCCGGCTCCCATGGATGAGTACGACCGCCGGATACCTCCTCCTCGTGGCTACAGTCCCCGGGATCACTATCGTGAACGGTCCCCGATTCCCATGCGCCGGGACTATTATGAACGGGATGGCTATGCCCGCAGGACTCCCCCTCGCCCGCGGATGGAAGACTACCCCCCTCCCCGTCGCCCCTACGAAGACCCCTACCCCCCTCCACCTCCGCGCCACTATGATGATCCCTACCTAGCTGCGCGGGCCTATGGTCGTCCTCGCACCCCGCCAAGAAGTGACTATGTCCCTTACGACCGTCCCCGTTACTGGTAGTGGTAGTCGCCGTGCTGGGTTTGATTGAATGTTTCAGCATTTCAGCATTTCGGCATATCAGCATATCAGCATATCAGCATATCAGTATGGGTTCTTGCTCTGTTTTTTCTTTCACTCTCCTTCGCCAAATACCCGCAACGTGTCATACTGATTTCATGGTGTCATGATTCTTTTCCACCGCTGCCACGGTCTCGTTCAGCGTGTTCTCACGGCCGGATTTTATTCTTATTTTTCAATCTCTATTCTTTCTACTGGACAGCACGAGTGTTTCGTATCCTTCGTTCTTGCAGATAGTTGACGTTGCCGTGGGGGACATATGAGGCCTCCGCCCATGGTTCTTTTTTCAAACATTTTATTCATACTTTCATATTTTCATACTGCACTCTTGATTGTGGTAGTATTTGACAATCTAATCTCCTAATCTGGTCTACTGTTAACTTAGCAGGATCTCAGCTGTAGGTGGAAGTAATGTTCTAATTTAATGGCCCGCCATGACGTGAAGTGTAGAGTATCTGTAGACCGAAATATATATCTTGAAATGCGGAACCCATTTCCGCTACAGATTGCAGCCCAGCCCAGTTTGTTATCACCTTGCAAAGGTATAGTCGGTGAATACTAGCATCCAACCATATAAAAGCACCGAGGAGAAACCCTACCGTGGACTTAACGCGGGCACAGCCGTCCTGATCTGTCCGCACCCGCTTCCGAGCCACTTTCCCCGCTAAAAAAAACCTCCTTACCTCAACCCTGGAGCTACCAACACCTCCAACCTAAGTCAATTCAACAACCACAAAATTAACAACCGCAAAAATGACCACAACACAAGCACCAGTCACCCTCCGCCAACGCCCCCAAACCCTCGACACAGTCCGCCTCCGCGACATCTCCCTCCCCCTCCCCGCAGCCCCAGAAGCCTGGCACCGAACCGGAAAATCCCAGCCCTGCACCGCAACCCTAACACTCTCATACTCATCGATAATCGCAGCCGCAGAAACGGACAATGTCTCCCTAACACTGGACTACGGCAAGCTCTTCAGACGCCTAGACAGCGACGTGCGCAACATGGCACAACTCTCCACATCAGCAGACCATCCACACAAACACATGGTCAGTGTGGCTGGGACCCGGTGCGCAGATCTGGATAACGAAACCTATGCGGTTGGAATAGATCCGCGCGTTACGGCTGCTATCGTTGCGAATGCTGGATTGGGGATGTTGGAGGAGACGGCCGCGCGCGTGGCGGAGGAGAGTGTTTCGGATGCGTATGGAGAGTGTGAGGTTGAATTGTGTTTTGGGAAGGCTTTGTTGAGGGCTGAGGGGGTTTGAGGTATCGGAGTGTTACTGTCTGGGGGGAGAGGAATGGCGGCGTGAGGTGTCCTGTTGTTTTGGAGGAGGAGTTCCGTATTGAGGGGATTCGGTGCCATGCTGTGCTTGGGGTTAATGCTCATGAGAGGGTTGAGAAGCAGGCTGTTGTTGTTGGGTTGGTGTTTTGTGGAGAGGGGTTGGGGGTTTGGGGGTCGAAGGTTGTGGAGAGTTATCAGGCTGTTACGAGGGCTGTTGCTGAGGTTTGTGGTTTTCTTTTCCTTCTCCTCCTTCTTCTCCTCCTTATACTTCTTTCTTTGAGATGTATGCTGACTTTGTTTTGGATTGTAGCAAGTTGAGGAGACTTCGTTCCAGACTGTTGAGTCTTTGGCTACGTTTATTGCTCGCATTGTTACTGTTGACTTTGGAAATGAGTTCGTTACAGTTAAAGTTGAGAAGCCCAGTGCTCTTGCTTTTGTCGGGAGGTCTGGTGTCGAGATTACTCGCTCGAAGGAGTTCTTTGATACTCACGATGTGCCGCGGAAGTAAATAACTTAACAAATGTGGATACGCCGGACTAAAACTTGGTCGAGGTGGTCACTGGCTGATTGTTATAGACAATAATGTTATAGATATCCCATGAATAGAAGAATAAAACAAGGTTGAATCTATAAAAGGTTCTATACAGAGGAGGTGACCAACCAACTTAGGTCATCATTCGGCACGTGAAAGCTGCATTGGGCCTAGTGGCTTCAGCCCCCGGATTTGCGCCTCAAATCTGATGATTTTCTGCATGCTTTGTTGAACTTCCTCACTTTTTGAGGGAACCTGGAAAGCCTCTTTCTTCTTTTATCATTATTCTCTATGTGCCCATCTCAAACACCCTTGATTCCGCTTACTGCCTCCTTGGCGAGCTTCGATCTATCCCTTCTGAACCTGGCTCCTACTTCTCACTCTCTTTCCACTGCACCTTCCATTTCCCTTCCCACCGTGGCTTTCGACACCTCCGCCCGTGAGGTGATTTGGCTAGGGGTCCCAGGTCCGTCCTGAAGAAGGGCGGACGGTAAACCTGCTCGAGAGGACTGGTCTGATCGACTGGTTTGGGCACAGAAGGAAAACCGTACTCTGATGTTCAACAGCTTTACAAGTTGAAGTAAGTCTTTCTAACAATATTTTTTTCTATCAAAAAAGTCCGATCAAGATTTTTTTATTGGTTTTATCTTTGCTATTATTGGTGGGGAAAGAAAAGCCTCACTTACCCCTCCATACATTCCTCACAGTTCAAGATCGAGGCTGACGATCTATGTGAACAGCAACTGCTGGATAGGTATCTCGGATACCTTCCTACCCTTTCATACAACCGCGCAAGGTCAATTGCGCAGCCTCGGTTATCGCCGGCGCTCCCACCTGAACCCGGGAATTTCCTCAATCGCGAAACTTTCGAACAGTGATACAAAGGCACAATGCCTTCTTCCACCGTTAACGACGACCTGTCGGTTGCGGACGTGTTCAGCCCGCAGGCTGATCTCGCACAGTCTTCCATGGATATTCCGACCAATCACCGTCGCCCCGATGCGCACATGTGTAATATGTCACCTCCCCGGATGAACAATGGATTTGGCGACTTTGCGAAACCCGGCCTCAATCCGCATATGAAGCCGCAGCGCCGAAAGAATAAGAAAAAGAATCAGGTCGGACCTGCTTGCTCCACTGTGCGCGGCTTTACTCCTCTGGCATCCGGCGATGAAGAATCGGATTTCTCCGCCGCGAGCTCCCGTACTCCATCTCGTCCTCCTACTTCTCTAGGTGGTGGTAGCCCTTTGGCGCAACCATCTACAGGCCATGGAGTCAGCGCATTGAAGCTTCAACTTAATAACTTGAGCTTGGCCGACAATACAGGTGCCACAAGCGGACTTGCTTCCCAGACACCAAGTGTTGTCAGTGCTTTCTCAGACAGCGACCAGACCGAGATTTTAACGAGTTATGAAGTGCCTCTGGACCAGGACTTTGTTAGCTCTGACGCTGTGCAACCCGAGACACCGGAGGAACGCGGTGTCGATGCCGCTGGTGTGAGTGCGGATCTGCGCAGCCAGCTGTGCCGGAAAATGACCGCAGACGACTTTGAGCCTATCCTCTGCCTAGGCAAGGGCTCGTTCGGAACAGTTCTGTTGGTGCGCCACGTCGTCACCGGCAAGCTGTATGCCCAGAAGCAGTTCCGCAAGGCTTCGATCACTGTGCACAAGAAACTGGTCGAGCAGACCAAGACCGAACGCACGATTCTGGAGAGTGTCAACCGCCACCCATTCGTCGTCAAACTATTTTATGCCTTCCAGGACCACGAAAAGCTTTACCTGATCCTAGAATATGCGCAGGGCGGCGAACTTTTCCACCACCTCGCCATGGAACGCATGTTTGAAGAAGACGCGGCTGCTTTCTACATGGCCGAGGTAGTTCTTGCGTTTGAACACCTGCACCAGAACGTCGGCGTCCTTTACCGCGATCTGAAGCCCGAGAACTGCCTCCTCGACCAACAGGGCCACTTACTCCTCACAGACTTTGGACTTAGCAAAATTGCCCTCAACGATGATGACCGCTGCAACTCTCTTCTCGGCACAATCGAATACATGGCTCCGGAAGTCATTCAAGGAAAACCTTACGGCAAAGCCTGCGACTGGTGGTCCCTCGGCGCCCTGGGCTTCGACCTACTTACCGGCTCGCCACCCTTCCGCGCAAACAACCACGCGAAACTCCAAGAGAAGATCGTCAAACAGAAGCTCACTCTGCCTTACTACCTCGGACCCGACGCCAAAGACCTCCTCACCCGCCTTCTCCGCAAGGAACCATCCAAGCGCCTGGGTTATCACATGGGAAAGGATCTCCAGACCATCAAGAAGCATCGCTTCTTCCGCAAGATCGACTGGGATGCCCTCGAGCGCCGCGAACTCGACCCCCCTATCTGTCCCGTTGTCACTGACCCAGCTCTGGCGGAGAACTTCTCCGTCGATTTTACTCAGCTCCCGCTTAGCCCATCCGTTGCAGGCCCTGGCTTTGATGAATACTATGCCAACGGCCAGGATTTCCCTGCTGGCAAAGCCCCCGATGCGGAAGGGATGAATGCGGAGAGCAATCCGTTCGGTGGATTTAGCTATGTTGCCTCAAGCAGTTTGCTGGATCATGGCCTGGGCGTCATGACTGCGGATTACTGAGAAGCAGGGTTGAGAAAGGGATGGTGACCCATGGAAAGAAAGAATTGATTTATGCCAATGCGTCTGGGGGCCACTGTTCTGGCTAATTGTTCTTCATGCATTGCATTTGCATCTATTACCCTGCGTGGCTATGTTTCTCAGTCTGAGCGCTTACTCTGTTTATCAGTTCGCATATTCAATAGGAGTTGCGCCTTCGCATTGCTTTTTTTTTAATTACTTTTCTGCTTATCGGGAATAGCATAGCTCAGCATCCAGATTACACACGCGGCTGGATCTTGAATTTGAATAAAGTTTGAAGTTTGAATCGTTGATATTGAAATTCATGAATAGTCGTCTTGTTTACATAAAATTCTTGAGAGTAGAGGGTTCGTTCAGCGACAAATTACCGAGTGGCCACCCTTGACAGGTTCTCATAGCCTCCCATAGCCCTCTCAAGCATTAAATAAACACTTAGATTTCGCCTTCTTCGCTTCCGGCATCGTCATCGGGCAGGTCCTTCCCTTTCTCAGGATTGGGTCTTGCCTGATCAATGGAGTTTGCCATGACAAGCGGAGGGTTCTTCGAAGCATCGAATTTGTTCTTTTCATTTTCATCAGAGACCTCGCCTTCTTCGCTTCCGGCATCGTCATCGGGCAGGTCCTTCCCTTTCTCAGGATTGGGTCTTGCCTGATCAATGGAGTTTGCCATGACAAGCGGAGGGTTCTTCGAAGCATCGAATTTGTTCTTTTCATTTTCATCAGAGACCTCGCCTTCTTCCGTGCTGTTTTCTTCCGTGGTTGGTTTTTGGGGGAGGTCTACTTGTGTCGAGGAGTTTTGGTGTGGGGGTGCGATCGGGAGAGAGTGCGATTGTGATTGTGATTGAGATTGAGGTAATGCCGCGGCGGGGATGCGCGGACGAGTGGTGGGTAGTTGTGACTGAGATGGAGTGGGCTGGCTCCCCTCTAGGGATGGGGTTACCGTCCGCTGGCGTTTTGGTGATCGCTCCCCATGCCCATTGAGTGTAGAAGAGGGATTTTGGGCGGGTTCCAGAGCATGCGAGGAAGAAGGGTGGGACTCTGGTTCGCGCGAGCGTTTGCGGCCATTTTGCGCCGAGTCGGGGGCTGTTACGGAGAGAGAGCGTGTAGGGTCTGCTTGCTCGGTCTCTGATTTGGGCGGGTCGCGGTCGAAAATGCGGGTTGGGTCGTTGGGGGTTGTGTCTGACAGGGCGAAGTCTGGGTAGCCTTTGCTTAGGTTCTGCTGGACACGCTCGTAGATCTTGACGATCAGCGTGCAGGCGCGAATTAGGTCGTCGAGACGGACGTCGATTTGCTCCCACCAGGGACGGCCTTCGGAGTCGTCTGGGAATGCGACATGGCAATGACGAGCGGCGGCGTAGAGGGCTGCAGCGGCCAGAACACGGGGCGAGAATTGTAGACAAACGACTGTGTAGGTGGAATCGTTCAGGAAGGCGTAGGAGGCGTTGCGGAGAGTGCGGTTCTCCTGGACACCGAAGAAGAGGGTATAGTCCCAGAGGGCACGGTATGGCGACTCAAGTTGCAAGTCAAAGCAAAGAAATTCCAACATGACGCTCTCGTTCTGCAAGATCAGGTCACGCCATCTCCAATAGTCCTTGGATTGCTCGTCGACGATTAGGTTGGGGTTCTTCATGGCGACGCGGCAGCAGGCGATAACGAAGTCTTTCATGCGTCGCATTGTCTCGTCCACCTTGAACGCGACGAACAGGGCCACTGCGGCGATCACTTTCGGGTGTATCAGGTCTGACCCGGCCTCCGGATATTGGCCCATCAATGAATAGCGCATGAGAAAGCGGTGCATATACACGGTGGCGGTCATGGAGGTCTGCGGTGGCATCTTCAGCATCAGGCTGACCTGCCAGATGAAATCGATTGCCCGGTGCCGAATGTAGTCTTCCTTCTCGCGCTCGATCTTGTCGATTCGCGACGGCGTGCGCTCAAGCTCTTCGTCCGTGAATAACCATTTTTGCTGCTCTGCTTCCACCACTGGATTCGGCAAACCGGGGATCCGTCGCTTCGGCGGTGCTGGGGAGGCAACGGACTCCATCAGGGTCAGGGTTGAAGACAAGGCGAAGAGGTTGACTGATGACGAAGGGAGGAACAGAGGGGTGACAAGTGAAGTTCTTGTGTACCCTTTGATAAATACGATAGCCGATACGGTAATGCGACAGTCAATACGGCAAAGAGAGAAGCGCGCCTGCGCGCTCGTCCGACAGTAAAAGTTTCCAGCCGCAGTTATCAGGCCCAGTGGAGCATGGCGGAGCTTTTGTCTGATCGCGGCGACAATATTAAGGCTGTCTTCGTGGAGGGAGGCGTATAGAAGGGATTTTGAAGCTATAGAGAAGATAGACGCCTGACTGGCCTGGGATATAAAGTGAATGAGGGAAGGTGCTCGTCATGAACATCCTGGGAAGCTTCCGGGCGGAACAATGGTTCTTCCGGTCCACTATATCGTCCAACAATGAGATCGCTGTGAAAACATATAACATTCAACCGTGATCATTTAGAGATCGTATCCTGTATTGAGGGTTGAAAAGCTCCATTCAAACTAGTGCTCTACAAAGATCACGACACTAGCCAAATTTGGTTAGTCATGTGATTCGATTAGTATGAAGTCCATCTAGCACTCCCTTTGAATGCATATTCATATAATCTCTCCTGAGATACCGCCGCGTGAATAAACAATAGAAAGATAATCAAATAATTATTGGTGACGCGACTTGGGTGATAGCACGTTGGTTTATCACTAACAGTGGTAAGATTAGTGCTGTTTTTAATGGCAGGCAGTTGCGCTTTGGCACAAAAATGGCGACTACAGTAGTTGATGTGGTAACCTTTAAAAATGCAGCCTGCTGTGACCTAGGCATTGTGTTGAGTGTTCACGAGACTAGCAATATGAAGAGAAGATCGCTTCAGCATGATTATCGAAGTCAAAGACCAGTCAGTTAATTTGACTTAGATGTTGATTATACCATTGATAGCTAAGTTGACTACAACAGGGGTCATAAATATGTATACTGTGCCATGTAGTATTGAACAGTCTCTACACGAAAGCCTTGAGGCGAGTATACCGTTTTGTGCATTGTCTTCGCCCTAATTTGGCCTCTCTTTTTTTCGCCTCTATTTTGCTTATTTCCGAGTGCCTCGAGTTTATCATGTAGATTGTATAAAGGTCGGGGTGTGAAAGGACTTATGGCCTATGACTCTAGTATTCGGGCTCCTGTGTGCCAGTCATGGAAAATAGAACTGCATGCTAATAACCAACTCTTTGCCTATATTTCAACAAACCTTGATCAAAAGTAACCAAAAATCAAGAGGGTGAACGAGAAAGAATTGAATTTCCATATTAATGGGAACGGAATAGCAGTTCACAAGTAATTGGAGCACACAATGAAGGGGAGTGGTAGAGGATATCAGAGAAAAGAGAGATAGATCCTCGCCTCCAAGGTACCTCAAGGTCAACCCCCAATAGCTGAGACTGCCTCGGCAGGACTCAAAGCGTTCGTGTAAGGCCGTCCTTCTCCCGGTTCCCCATAGGCGCTATTGTAGGTATAGTCTTTCGGCCAGCCTGGGGTGAAACCACACGATAGCGCCATGAGCGAATATATGCACTGTGGATGATGTTAGCAATGTGATGTGGCTAAGAGGAATAAAACCGTACGTGTGTCCATGCATAACCAGGAGTGCATCCGCCTGAAGGCTGAGCTAAACCGTCCACCATATCGCAAACTGGCAAATTCCATCGCATCATCTGCCAAGTAGGAATATCCGGACCGGATCTCTGGGGAACCCAGTTGAAGTAGCTATCGGTCTTGACCTTGGCCATCCATTCGTTTGACGTCCTAGCTACAAGATAGGCAGACCGGGCGATGTCATAGGCATTGAACCCATAGTCAGCATGTAGATTTTCAATTCCTTTAGGGCGAATGAGCTTCTTGGAATACACCTCAGACACTTGCATCTGTTTGGAGTCAGCATCATGTTTTACTGTGCAGATCGCGAGTTTGGAGGGGAATCCTACAAAAAGGAAGGCACTGCCGTCTGGATTGCACCACAACATGTCCGTAAGATCGGCATCTGGTTCGAAATCTCCATTTTCGTCGCATGGATGGTAACGTTTCCGATTCTTGGCGTAGTAGTCTTCCTTGATGGATGTGTTGTCGATCCTGAGAATAAAGATTTTGTCCTTCGCCCACAGCATATTGATCAAAGGAGCAGCAATGAACTTTTTAAGGTCAGCTGCCGGCGGCACAGAGGCACTTGTTTCGCGAAGGATATCGCTCGAGGCAAAATTGCCCGTCAGCAGAATACGCGGGATAGACGTGGGCTGAGTGACCCAACTGGCATCGGCTGGGGGCACTTGATGGAAGTATTCGTCGAAGAAGCTGCCTAGGCCCTGGAATGTACCGTCCATGATATCACTCGCTTTGTCGCCGAGTTCTGCATACGTGGAGAACTCAAGCATGGCTTGGTTGACTGAAGCCAGGGAGCCGACGGCACCGGCTCCAATAGTCATTGCTCCTCCGGCGATGCCTGCCATAGGGCCTAGCATGAAAGCACCAAATATGCTTGCCAGCCCAGCGCCGATAGTCGCTCCCGAGTCTGCACCAAAACTAGTTTCTTCATCACTTGTCTTTGAGTACTTTGTGACCAGCCCAGCGGTCTTGAAGCTCATGCTACCCCAGGCCAACTCCATTCTGTTCTTGATGAGCACGAAATATTGTGCCAAGTTGAGCATGGCGTGAAGAGCCTGTACCCTGTATACGTTACCATCCTCACACTTTAGCTGCTCGTCTAAATTCTCAATCTCGCAATTATTACTGAGACTGATGCGTGCAGGTTAGCGGCAGTGATGACCTTGAGACGAAAGAAAACGTACTTGGGACAGTTCCAGATGTATTTCTTTTGGCTTGCATCGTCTTCCTTTTTGGTTCCCTTGAATGAAGCAAATGTCTGGACAATGCTTCCTCCCACTTGAAATCGTTTGAGAGAGCAAGCTTTTGATACCAACCGGCTCTGGTTTCAAGAAGTTAGCTTTAGTGAAGAATGGTAAATTTGAACCGAGACATACGTGGTGACCAACCAATTTCCAGCATCAGTTTCACCCCACAGCTTTTTGGTCGGATAACCGAGATCATTGCATATGCGGTGGTTGAGACTGTCGTCATCCACGGGCCAATGTTCACTATTGTCCATTAGTGGGGTAACAGATCGAAATGGTGTCCGAACATACTAATAACCATCGGGAGTTGCGTCTGTTGGCTTGGGAGTTGGCGTCGGGATGGGAACGGTGCCTGTGGCTATAGGTTGATCGGGAGCTATGTATGCGGGTAGATTGGGATTCGTAGACGGGTCGACGTCATCTACAGCTGAGCTATCACTTCCAGGGCATGTGTTGAACCAGGTGTATGCCTAAGATGATGAGTGGCTGCCATTGTGATGAGTAGATCAGTAGACTCACGATGTTGGTTCGGGGGATGATATTGTGCATATCAGCACGACTTAACCCTCCGATATTTGGGAAGTATAGATTCGCCTGGTGCTTGGATTAGACGATTTTCTCACGATCGATGAACATTGTACTTACTCCTCGATCTGATCCCTGATATCGAGGCCCATCAAGCAATTCCCACTTCCAACTGGATCCAGCGGTAGGAGTATCACCCATATTGACCCAGACTTGGGTATCACCATTGAACTTGTCGACCCAGAGGAAGTCAACAGCACCGTCACCTAGAGCTCGATGAATTCTCTATTTGACTAGTTAGAATTGTAGAGAGGACATACCGTTTACATCAGCCCATTTGTGATTCGCTCGATCATACCCTTGAGTGCGCTTCACTTGGCCTTTGGCTTCAAAGTCATTTACACCCCTGTTCAGCCATCCAACCGTTCGTCCATCAGGTCTAGTAAGCGTTAGTCTGGTGCTATATCAATGACCTTGTGAGGCTTACTCCATGCACAGGTAGTCTGCACGCCCGTCACCACTACATCTAGTCAGTATCATGTCGAGTGTGAGAGGATGAGAAGACAAACTCGAGATCAGCCATGCTCACACCGATGTCAAAGAGCCCAACTCCCCATCCTTCGGTACATCTGACGTCCCCAGTAACAAATCCCTTGTAGTCCAAAAAGCCACTGCCAATCTCCTCGTTCCAGTGGTTGATCCACACCTCTGCGGCACCAGTTTCACGGTTGACGGCCCAAACATCGCACTGAAGCTTATTAGCTGATGCAGTCAAAAGATTCCCAGTTCGTATCTGAGACGTACCTTGCCGTCACCATCAAAATCCGCAAGATGGATACCCTTACGTTCTCTGCCTAGGTCGAAGATTTGCGGTCCCTCAGGGACCCAAGTCGGAGGTTTGTGAACGTTGCCGTAGAGCAAGCCACGACCATTAGGAGATATCCAGATCTAAAGAGACAGTCAATAACTGAGAAGTTAAATTGTGCACGTCTTAAGAGAAAACTCACATAATCATCTGCGCCGGTGCCTCGCCAGTCACAATAGAAATCGCCATCGCCTGCTCAGTCATGTCAGCTAAGTGGATCAGGAAAAGAGACCAAAGACTCACCCTTCAAAGTAGTCCCTCCTTTTCCGACGTTCTTCCACACGTGGGTATAGTGATTCCAAGTGGGCTTATTTTCCATAGATTCAATCCAGGAATAGTCGACACCACCTCCTGGCCAAATCTGGCCGAATTTGATCCGATCTCTAGCGCCCTTGACACCCATTCCTGCATGAGTGATACCAATGCGACGCCAATCAGGTGCCAGACTGCCTTTTCCTGTGCCACGCTGGTTGATGTACGTGGTGACCTTGCCTTCGTCGTCGAGCCAGAGCCAGTCGGCACGGAAGTCTCCATTGATATCGACAAGACGGACACCATCAATGTCACCCATGCCTTTTCCAGTGAAGACTATTCCCAAGTCCTGCCAGTAGCCACCGAACTCATTTGTCGGGGCATCTTTTTGACCTCCATTTCTCCAGCACTGAATGTCACCGTTTCCTTTGACGAGACAGTAGTCAATACGGCCATCGCCATCGATATCGCCGAGTCGGACATTGGTTTGGGCCAGATCCCCGCCAGGTGCAGCTCTGACTAGACCGATGGACTTGAATTGAGGGGGGCTCCCGCCCAGATTCATTGATACATACATGGCGCCTTCTCTGCTGATGCAGATGAAGTCATCCAGTCCATCATTGTTGAGATCACCCCAGTGTACACCTAATGCCACTATTAGAATGCAACCGGAAAGGAGAATCAAATCATATAGGGTGCTCACCTCGCGCAAGACAACCGTCCTTGACGTCAATTTCGACTGGAGCGCCAAATTTGCCGTTGTTGTTATTCGGGAACATGAAGGTGCCTTTGCCGTCCCGAGTCCAGACAAGCTCATCCAAAGCTCCCTCACGGTGGGCACCTCCCTGGTTAACCAGCTGAGCGTAGTGGATACCAGGATGGACATCGTCCTCCTTGTCAGTGATACCAATTTGCATAATTTGTCCCATAGCCACTGAATTATGCTTATAGTCACCATCATCCCAGCCACTGCCGCGTTGAGTCTGGACCTTTCCATCACCACTGTTTCCACTGCCATACTCTTTCTCAAAGGTAGTATCGGCCCAGTCATTCTCCCCAATATCCTTAGGCTTTTGCAAAAGCTCTTTCGACTCAGCTTCCTGGATTGCAGCCCACCACACCGAGGCCATCTTCTCGTATCCAGGCCCGGTTGGATGAGTTCCATCGGGCAGAAGATCTGTATGTTTGATATAGTCACTCATCTCAGCCAGAACAATACGGTCATTGTTCTTCTGGCGAGCAGCCACGATGTTGCGGTATTGTTCGTTGATTATGACCGAGTTGGCTTGCGCTTTCTCATTGTTGTTAGGTAGAAGTGTCGACAAAATGATGGTTGTTCCAGGAATAGTATCGTACAGACGAGTGAGCATCTGGTTCATCCGGACTCCCGCGTTAGGAACGTCGAAGTTTTGCAAAGCATCATTCGTGCCAGCGCTATAAAAAAAACCAATCAGCATATTATAAGCTCAGCATGTATCAGGTAGCAATACTTGATCAGAATAAGATTTGGAGCCTTCGGAATAGTTCTCTCAGCATATGTGGCCACCTCCTCAATTCGCTTCCCGACCCAACCTTCGTTGTCCTGAAAATGGCATGTCAGGTACCGATCTCGCAAGCTCAATCCATAAACAGTCAGCTTACACGATCCTTCATGGTTCCATCCTTGCGGGATCCAACCATATTCACTTCCCATCCGGCATATCGTAGCTGCTTGCGTAGATATATACGGTATCCATTTTCATCCTCCGACCTATAACCGGTAGTGATTGAAGCGCCAAGAGGCAAAACACGCAAAGCGAATGGCTTGTCACCGCGAGGTTGTAGCTTTGAGGAACCGAGGAACGCTCGTTGATGGGCTTGATGACTGGTGGATGAAGGGAATGCCAAAGTGACAGCCAGTAGCGTTAGACCGACGATGTAAACCTGCATCATTCGGCGGCGTATGCCGAGACCTACCTCCATGATTATTATGGAGATTGATCTTTTGGGAAAAAGAAAACTCAATAGAGATCTTTACTGCGCTTGAGGGTCTCATTTATGGTTGTAGGGCGCGACTACGTTATGGGGGCCAAATAGGAAGGGAAAGAGCATCCCACGGCCCCCTATCTCCTTTAATCAAACCAAAGACAGAATCCTTGGTAATTAGAATACTATATCTTGGCAGCTGTCGTAACGGGGTCGCCTAGCGGAACATGTTGGGTGGAGTAGACGGAGGGCAGTGAAGTGAACATGAGTAGAACTCGTTTAGGGCTAGTTTGCCTAGAGAGGGTTGCGTGCTTCGAGGCCGCGTGGAGATTGTTCTGTGCTTGGAACATAGGAAGAACGGTTAGGTGCAACAGGTTTGGCTATGATTGGTGAGTGAAGTATAAGGATCTAATTTGATGCTGTATTGCAAATACAGCCCTGTGGGGCTGAATTTGGGGGTCCAAATCTCCATGGGCTTTTAATTTTTTATTTGATCGGAAGACAATTTTGATGAGCCCAGTCGTTGCCAGGTCAGGTTCAGTTACTTATTTCGCCGTAGTCTCAATACCTGGGGCTCTTTTTCTTTCCAGGGGGCTCAATGGCAGTGGAAGCGGTTCCAATTACAGAATATTCAAGGCATATTGAGCAACTTGCTCAGGGAGAGAGCATTGTATGACAGAGAACACAAATTGAATGATTGTTGTTACTATTTACACTCTTTTGATTATTTCTCGAGTTATGATGCTAGGGCACACTCGTCTATACAAGTGGCAAGAAATCGCCCTGAATATCGCTACCCTCAAACGCTTGTAAATACGGTATCTGATCATATTACTGATATCTTGTAAGCGTACAGTCATAGCCATAAGTCCTTTCACATCGCTACTTATACGTCATCTATATGATTAACCCACCATTTTTAAATAACTAAAACTTGAGGCACTCGAAAGTGGGCAAAAAAAGAGGCGGGAAAAGAGAGGCCGAAGAGTGCGAAAACAATGCATGAAACAGTATACTCGCTCCGAGGCTTTTGTGTAGAGACTGCCCAATACTTCATAGCACTATATACGCATCTATGACCCCTGTTGTATGAGTGGTTCATGGCTGCTCTATGGATAGTCTTTCTTGACGCTAGTTCTGTCTTCAAATACTGAAATGTATTGTAAGCTATCACATGATACCTCATCTCACGCTTACTGGTCCTAGACAGAAGTTACTGAGCGCCTCAATGCCTCTTGTTGCGTTGCTCGCCGGGGGCTTATCCATTCACATCTAGTATCCGAGGCTGCCTTCCCTAACACCGCCATTAAGCAACGATGGCAGAAGTCATATACAAATCGGGGCATGCGATGACCCACCTTGCTAGCGATGCAGACGGCAATAGACTAGGCGGTTCGACAAGCCGGTCTAGCCAGGTCACGCAAGAGACAACCGTCAATGAGGGATCTGATCCCGTCCGCCTGCCTGGAGAAGCCGAGTACCTAACTGGCGCAAAGTATTCGCTCCTCATGCTGACCCTGGCTGGGGCCCTTGTGCTAAGCAGCATAGATATGAACATTGTCGCCACGGCAGTGCCTCGCATTACAGACTACTTCCACACAGTTGCGGATGTCGGATGGTATTCCTCCGCGTTCAGGCTTTGCCAGTGCGCTTTCCAATTTATGTTCGGCAAGGCGTACAAGCTTTTCTCTATCAAGCGCGTCTTCTTGCTTGCCAATGTCATCTCGATAGCAGGCTCGCTGCTCTGCGGAGCGGCCAATACATCGATAATGCTGATCATTGGGAGGGCGATAGCTGGCCTAGGCTCTGCTGGTCTTCTTTCAGGGTGCTTCGTCATCCTTGTGCAATCAACACCTCTGCGAAACCGGCCAATGGTCACCGGCGTGATGAGCGCCATCGAAGGCCTGGCTACGCTATCCGCACCACTCCTCGGTGGAGCTATTATGCAGTCACTTGGATGGCGATGGTGCTTTTATATCAATGCGCCTGTAGGTGCCACTACATTATTGTTGACGATGTGCTGTTTCTCGGATACGCCGAAACCAAATGGTGTTGCCCGTATGACACTTAAGCAGAAGATTTTACAACTCGACCTGATTAGCAACCTGCTTCTTATCCCCGCGCTGACTGGCCTCTTTCTCGCATTTTCGTGGGCCGGTACCAAGCATTCTTGGAACAGTGGGCTAGTGATCGGTCCTCTGGTTGCCTTTGGCGTTCTCATAACAGCATTTATCTACAACCAAAAACGCCGCGGAGACGCGGCTGCCCTCCCTTTACGTATTATGAAGCGCCGCAGCATCATCGCTGGATTCATCTTCATCATGTGTGGCAACAGCACTGGCAATGTGCTCGAATACTATCTGCCTACTTACTATCAAGTCGTCCGTGGATATACTCCCGCCAAGAGCGGCTACATGATGCTGCCTATCATCATCGCTGGAACTATTGGCGCGCTGGTCCACGGCTTCGGGACGAGCGTCCTCGGCTACTACGCCCCATTTATGGTCTTTGCCTCGATTATCATGCCTATTGCCGCAGGCCTAATAACCACTTTCAAAATCAACACTAGCTTTGCGCAGCTGATCATATACACCGGTTTCTCAGGTCTTGCCTACGGCATCGGATTCTCAGGGCCGCAGAATGCCGTCCAAACGGTGTTACCCGCAGAGGACGTCCCGCTTGGCACATCTATAATGCTGTTTGCACAGTCGTTCGGACCAACTGTGGCGGTTGCAGTCGCACAGGTCCTGTTTGTAAATCAGCTCTCGGTCAATCTAAATGGTCTCGTGCCTGGCCTGGGCGGAACAAACATCGAGAACATAGGCCTAACGCAGATTGTTGCGAGCGTACCACCGGCCAAGTCTAGAGATGTCCTTGTTGCAATTGATGAAAGTCTCACCCAAACATGGTATTTGGTGGTTGGGCTGGCGTGTGCGACGATGGTCGGAAGTTTGTTGATAGAATGGCGGTCAGTCAAGTCGAGGCGCGACTAGACGTATTAGAAGCTTTGTCTAAATTCCCCTGGAGCTTGGATATTTGAAATCTTGAGCGTTCAAAATACTGCTAGAGACCAAGTTTACGTATGTCGATACATGAAATCGTAACCTTCCGTTCATGCATAGGTATTGTCAGAGACACTAATTAAGTTACTGCACTAAAGATACGCTGATTTTGGTACATGTATATTACTCTTCTTGATTTACTAGGTTCAGGTGGAGTCTCTTACTTACGATGGACGCAGGGAACACCATGCAATTGTTACTCGATGAATCGGCAAATGTTGATTTTTGAAGCTGTATATCAGAAACTAACATTATATGAAAATACACTTGAAGGTTTTGCCTATGAGATGCATATTTGCCGGTTTTAGTGAAACAAGTATTCGAATAATGTAAGGCAACCTAGTCATCATTTTCCAGCCCTAGTAAATTGTCTCTGTGCAGGAGGGTACGTCGTGACTTCACGCTAAGGACTCGGTGCTCCAGCCCACCAACCTTACAGAGTAAATGAGCTTCTCTCGTGAAAATCGACCGAAATTATTTGCATTGTTGGTAGGTCCAGCGTGGGTAACATCTGACTACGTATAAACAATGAAAACGGAGTACTAGTTCGTATGTTAGGGCCATTTGGTGTACCGAAAAACTGGCTTCTTAATCCAGACTCTTTCGTAATGCGAACTGGCTTCCCCAAGTAAACATACAGCATCTTTGTACCTGCATTAATGCGAACTACTAGTGGATAGGCTTTTAGAGATTAAACCGCCTCTGGCTAAGATCAACAATTGAAATTGATTGGACTTGATGTCAGTTTCCCTATTCACGTCAATGGATATACTGCAACTTAACTCCTACTTACACCCTTGGACATGGTCTCAAAAGTCCCAATGGACAAGCCAGCCTCCGAGACTTCAGCGTTAGAAGTGTCTCACATGAGTGACTTGGCTCTACTGTATATTGAGTCATGAACCCCCACATTGGACTGAAAAATTGCTGGTCTAGTGAAGATATGACCTGACACGGAGACCTGTACGCTCGGTACGAAGTATTTTGCATAAAAGTTATGATTTCTCACATTATCTCCATGTCAATATAACCCTTCGTGGATATCTGGCCCCCCTGCTTGGCAAGTCTTGGCATCCACGGCCAAGGCGGTCGTGGCGTCGTGGCGGTCGTGGCGGCCATTGTTATTTCCGAATACTATTTGAGGTTCTCGCTCAGTCACGTCGTGCAGAACACAACGACGTTGGTCGGTCGATAAGACAAAAACGCTAGGGCCTCACGTTGTCAAACCCCTGACAACTGACTTGCCGAAGACTCAACGCATATAGTGTCGCCATTCTTCCCATTCTTCCGCCATAATCCTTCTTATTCCCTTGCATCCTCATATAGACCCGTCATGTTCCATTCTTATCAAATAGATTATGAATTGATTTCAGAACTTCAACCATCTAAGAACCAATCACACAGCGGATCGGATCAATTTTCTTCATATTCAAGCCTAATCCATGCTCAGGGACGAAGTATCTATTAAGCCTGCAATCATCTTCGTCAAAATTCAAGATACTGGTATGGTCACATATTTCAAGTGGAAATGGCCTGGTGGGTCCGTTTCTGTATTCACATTTCACAGGATTCAGGGGTCCGACTCGCCTTGACTTCTCCACCAGGATTCAATTTCAGCTTGCAAATGAAACTAGCCATGAAAGTGAAGACAAGACATTCACATAAGGACAGAGCGCAGACAGGCCCATCACCAACGTCAACTTGTTGTCTGGCTATGTACATGTACAGCAACCAGCTGGATTCCCGGGCTGATCTTTTCTTTAAGTAAACAACCTGCATGACCACTAGGTTGTAATAGGAAAAGTACTGCAGAGTCGGCCCCCGGGTATTTCGACGACCTCAGCTGATGACAATGCTCTCTGCATTCCCCAACCTCCTGAAGACTTAGGTGCTCGACATTTGATCCAAGCCTTAGAAGAATTTACGGGCGATGTTGGCAAGCATCAAGCTTGATAGCCCATCATGACAACCACTACCGTCTCTGCGTCCACCCCCGCATCTAACGTGCCATTGACGACATTATTCACTCCACCAAGCTCCTGCGACAACTATTCTTGGATTTCCTCGGATTGTTTGGGGACTACGTGCCGGGGTGTATATAACATAGTACGCGCGACTGAATCAGAATGTTATCCACCTGGCTGGGCGACCTCAGCGACAACGTTCTCGCCGGGGCTGGTTTGTCCGAGTGGATATTCCATCGCGGCCACCACACTGGCCTCATACGGTGCTGCGAGTAGCGAGACTCGGGCGACATGTTGTCCTAGGTATGCGATCACGACTCCTATCTCTATGAAGCAGCTTGGAAACTGACATGAGCTTCTTCGGATATCTTCTAGTGGCTTCACCGTTGCAACCGAAAGCCCTCTGGCGTGGTACACACCCGAGCCATGTATCAGAACAACTGATGTCGCTACAACTATCACGTTTAAGGTCGTTGGCGTGACACCCACCACTACAACGGCAATCACCTGGTCCAATCCTATATACCATGCAATGCCAGTCGGTCTTGCGTGGCAGTCGTCGGATACCGTATCTACATCGGTAGATGTCACGCCCAAGACAGCAACAAGTTCCACGACGGCAACTAATTCCGCGGCTGCAACGACAAGTTCAGCGCCTAGCTCGGGGGAAAGTAGTTCAGGTCTCTCGACCGGCGCAAAAGCTGGTATCGGTGTTGGTGTTTCCGTTGGCGTGATTGCCATCGCCCTTGCTATCGGCGCATTTTTCTGGCTACGGCGGAGAAAGCCCCAGGGGAGTCTCCAGCAGGTTCCCAGTGAATATGGGTCGGCGCCAAAGACCCCTAGTCATGTGAAACCCACTGAACTGGAGGATATGTCATCGACTTCTGGGGCAACTGAGTTGCCGACAGACTATCCCAGACTGCATGAGCTTAGAGGTTAAGCAGAACGATGAATAGGCTCGAGGATTGAAGGCATGTAGACCATTAAACATGTGAACGGAGCGACAGTTGTAGCTCGATAAATGCCAAATTAATAATACCCATCGTATGACTGGAACATACCATAACAGTGGATCAGCAGTGGATCAGTGGAGTGATGTGTTGTACATGTAGATCCAAACCAGAGCAATATCAGAAAGAAGAAGAAAACAATGTTAATTGCTTCTGGGATGTGATATTGGTGCCATTCCAAGACCCTGCAAAATACCGTATCGTGCTGGTAATAAGACTTGTGTATTGCATTGTAATTTTGGCCCCCAACGTGTGAGTTTGATCTTCGCTGCATAGCCTCCATAGAGATAAGTGGAACTCGCGCATCTGCTGTCAGCATCAGCATCCAAGGCTTACATGTACTATTACCAAATTAGTTAGTGTCTAGCTAGCTTCCATAATTTATGCGCTTCATCCTTCAAAGAGATGAATCTTTCACTAGTGTGATTTATTAGCAAACCTTGTAAGGCAGATTGTAGAGAGACTTGGCAGGGACAAACGAACCCAATCAGTTAAGGCTAAAATCGACGACCCACCATGCTATACTATCTTGAGTAAAGCTTTCAACGTGGTAGACAATTGATTCTGTGAGGTTGCCACCTCGCTTCGAAGCGTAGACTACTATAGAGGTGAAACTATAGTACAAAGCTCCACAGACACTTGTACTTGCCACATTGAGCGAAGTATTCATTCTAGACAGATGCCTTATATCATTCGAACAGACACTACAACTAAGTTACATCCAAGGCAGATAATTGGATAGAATGCTCAGAGTAGAAAGGTTGCAAACACTTCTATAATTGAAAAAGACCCATAGCAGGATTACCCCTGCCTCGCAGTCTGCGGGTACCTAAGCGGCTCCGCCAAGAATGATATTAACGACGCCATGGCCTATCACATCTCCTCAAGATCCTTCTGGACAAAAATTACCAGAATATAGTATAGCCGAAACACTGCAGGATTCCCAATAAATAATACATGCAGGCTGCAAATTCGACCGGATTTTCTGTATGATGCCCCGGCCTATCTCGACTTCCACATCAGCCTTATTAGCCGCAAGCCGTCCAATGCTGAGGAAATTAATTGTCTCAGACTAACTGAGCAGACTCTAAAATGGCTCGAAACGGCTCGAATGAAAAAGGGTCTTTTGAGAGCCCTCCTAGCGCGTTTACCTGGGGCCTGTAATACCTGAATTCCAGCTTCCTATATAGGCGATCCTGTCGCGAAGGTCAGAGGAGGAAAGGGGAAGAGCCAAGAATGTTCCATTTTTATCTCTAGCCTGCCGTCTCTAACAGAAGACTGGGGTCAGGGAACCCGACTAAAGCTGTCTGCTCTCTGGCCAAGCCACGCGGTTGCGGGTGCTGGCTCCCGAAAAAAAAAAAGGTACCGCCGTCGGTGCTGCTGCAAAGTACAATACAAGAGAAACATTCACAACCCTTCTCTCATGGTTGCATACGTAGCTACCACCGCACTTTCGTCCGTGGTTTTTCAGCGACAGGAGCCTTTGCAACCCCAATCGATCTGGCATTCTCCAGTGTGAAATCCTTAGGCCACACAATGCCGCATAACTTGTTAGTTGATTGGTTGGCAGCTCGTAAATAGAACAACCACAGGGTTTGAAGGAGTTCGTGCGGCAGATGAAGCATCTTCTGGCATCGAAAATACATGTTTCGCCCTCCCAGGCACTGGCCTAGTCCATCACGCCTTCCTGGCTCATCTTGGTTGTTTGGCACACGGAGCGAACATGATCCCACAAGAACATGACGTTCGGATCAATATTCGTATTCTTATTGAACGGGTACGGGATGAGGGAGTCTGTGATGTCCGATGGCGCACAAGCCGTCAGACTCCTGAAGCTGCAATGGCAACGTCTTGGCGGTCTCAATGCCGAAACTGGCAGCTTTCAAGATGATGAGGTAGAGACTAAGCCACGGGAGGTGATTGTGTACAAAAAGCAGGCCGACAAAGTGAAAACCAAAACATCAACATTCGAGTGCCCTCCTTCTTGTCCCAGGACCTTCATAGCTTTCGCCAAGCCCCCAAATCCTTCTGCCATCCTAGGCTGTGGAGGGTAATTTCCAGTCGTTGGGCATCTCAATGTATCGCAAGCCTCCACATGGGCCAGTATGTCTTGGGTTCCCAAACTACCCCAGAGAATAATTAGCGACTAGAGCTTCTAGGTAGTAGAGGAAGCCTCGTAGTTGGGGTCCACAAATTCACCATCACAACCTTCATCGAACTCGTCTAGGATCTTCGCGATGTCACTAATAAAAGTAATTTCCTGCTTCTATAGCCAATGCGAGATCATATGTGTCTTCCGTATAACGGGTAGCCGAAGGAGTGGGCGAAGAGGGCTCTAGGCAAGCCAGTGATTAGGCCGGGGCGGCCGGGGTTAATGCGAGAGTACTCGAGTGGAACCTCTCCCAATATGTCCTAATAGGCGTTGCCGTATGTGATCGTGGTTTGCTATCGTGTTGTTAGTGAATCCAAATAACCCAGTCGAAATGTACTCCACTCACCCTAGTTCTGTTCTAGGCGGGAAGATGCCTGGGAATTCTCTTGAATTCTCTCCATGATACCGAGGTCACAAAGCTTTGGACTCTAGTAACAATTAACAATTTTTGCATGAGGATCCATTTCGGAACTAGGACTGACTTTGGCCTTGTTCGTCTTCTTTTCTCGGCATGCGTGGCCTTTCAGTTTTCAAGCATATACGTCAGGTTTCTCCATTGGCGGCGGGACAACATTCGTGGGGATTATGTTCGAGCGTCGAATATATCACTCTGCAATGATTGAAACTGAGAACAAGAAAGAGATATACCTGATCTTCCCTCCCTTATATCGTTAAATCGTAGAACCGGGTGAGAGCAATTGACTTCACTAGCTCGCTCGAAGAGTCTAGAAAGCATTATTTGGCTTCACCGTGCACACTCATCCCGCTCAAGCAGCATGAATCCGGAATGGCTTCCATCGTTGTGTGAGAAAAGCATTTCATTCTGTCCAGCACAACAACAAGCAGTCCATTGCCTATCTCTGTTTGAGTTGAACAAGAAATGTGCAGACGAAGATACTGCAAAGGCTTTAGTATATCATTCAGATCACTGTCGTTGGCCGATACCATGCTTTCAATGAGCATTATCATGTCGTCGTTCGGCAGATCCTCAGCCCAACGGGATAGAGTATGGATGAGAGTCGCACCATCCACTGTGACAAACTGCTTTTAAGGTCTCCCGCACCCCTGTCGTAGATCATCATGATCGAAAAGACCATCGACCCCACGACGAGCCCATGCATATATAATCAACCGGGGACTTCTAGATGTTATACACGAGTTTTCTCCAGGTCCGGCATCTGGCAAACAGCCACAGGACTTTGAGTTCACCGAAGACACACACAGCTTGAGAAAGTATTCTTTGCCGATGGGTGTGCAGCATAAAAACAGGGCAAAAGCCAGCATTGCTTTCGCATGCCGCCGTAGGTTTGATACGTAAGTATGTCAGAAACCGAAGTCCGCAAATCGATGTTCCCTTTCCGTATTTCCATCACCTCTGGCTCCTTCGTCAATGCCTTTTTCGCCTCGTTGGTCAAAACAGGACAAAGTACAGTCTCAGCTGTGGTCTTCTCCCATGGAGTCTCGTAAATAAAGTCCGTGAACGCAATGTTGGCTCAATGGCGAGATTTGTTTGTCTCACGATTTGACGAACGATGCGTCTGATTAACGCAACAACAGAATAGCTGACGCAGTGGTGAAGACACTCTTGGTTCTCTGATGGTTGCGAATCCCCGCAATCAACGTCCCCAAATCGAATACCAACAGAATTGATCTCATTCTCTGTCACACACACGCGTCTTGTTTTGGTTTCTAGGTCTGTTGCCGGGGTCCGGGTCCAACGTCTTGGGATCAGCGGCTGGGCGGGAGGCACGGGCCTGGCCACATGTCTGACATACAACATTACCATCAAGATCGATCTCGCGGGTGGTAGGACGGCAGGATAACCGTGGTACCGGTGGACGGCACGGTGAGGTCGAGCTTATCGAGGCCAGCTTGCTAGCGGTTAAGAGCTTGCGGCGCCGGTCTCCAGTGAGGGTGCTGGAATCGAAGATGATTAGTGTCAACGAGTCGCCGAAATGCTTCTCCACTCTGTAATCCATGTATCAGGGCATTAGGGACCAGGATTACCGTCGGGGCAACGCTGCGAACATAACGGTGAGCCTCAGTCATGACGCTTCATGGGCAGAAATGTCTTGCGGCCTGTGCCGTCCCCAAAGAGAACCTTTTCAATTCAAGTATGGCAATTATGGCAGGTCATGAGTGGACCTTATGAGCAAGTTCGAAGTCTGCTCGTTGGTGGAAAAGTGAAAAAAATATGTCAGGGATTTGATTGTTGAGTGGTCCTGTAGCTTCAGAATGTCCGAGGTGATTCTGACAGATATATATAATTGGGTGACTTTTTAAGGAGTCGTGAATGAAAGGAGAGAAGATGAAATGAAGAAAAGATCGACAGGAGGAAGATGGTATATCATAAAGGAAGTATGATATATGCTGAAGGGAGTATGATATATAAGAAAGGAAGATGTTGAGGAAGATGATATTTGCTGAAGGGAAGAGAGGTGGAGGTGAGATAAGGGTAATATATAGATGAGGTATGAGAAGGTAGGAGGTAAGTAGGTAGGAGGTAGGTAGGTAGGTAGGAGGTAGGTAGCGACGATGAGCTGTCAACTTATAGCGAGAAGTAGAAGTGTTGGAATATTCTGGCTGAGCACAAAGTCTAAAAGTGACACGATTTTCTCTTTGTCTCTCAGATGAGAAAACTGCAAATAAAGAATTCCCAGTCTCAACTCACTTAATACATTTCAAAGAATATTTCCAAGCTAAAGCCACCACCGCGCAGAAAAGCAATAATACAAGTCAGATATCGATAAGGTGACATGTCATTCAAAATAATCAAGACAAAAAAAGTCCCTAAGCAATTGGTATCTCGTACTCTGGAATCAAAGTCCGACCTAGCGCCACGCTGATAGATGCAATAGACAAAACCCTTCTTGGACAATCAAGAAAATAGTACACTGCACTATTCCTCTTCACTGACCTCACTCTCATCATCACTGGGAACATACTGCCTGGAAGCAGTGGGCTGACTGTACTGATGTCTGCGAGCCTCCTCTTCCCGGGCACTTTCCTCGAAAGCGGCTTCCATCTCTGCAGCCAAGGCATCGTCATCTTCGACTTCGTCCCCTTGGGTTGTTGTGCCTGTCGGCGCTGATGAGGTCGGGTGGGTGGTTGTTCCGACTGGAGAGGGGAGTCTGAATTCGCCCATTTCTTCTTCGCCGTTTTCGCCGTCGGCGGGTGTATTGTTTGATGAAAAGTATGCGGGGTTGACCCTGAAGGAGCGGGACGGGGGCGGAGAGCCCATGTCGATAATGAGATCGCCGTCAATGATGATGTTTGAACTTGGTGATTGGCCGGCTTGTTGAGATCCTGTCTCAGCATCTGACGGCGACGAGCGAGAATCTTCAATCTCAAGCGTGTCGGGCTGGCTAGTGGGTTGGCTAGCAGGCTGGCCGACTGGCTCGGCTGGCTTTGGAGAAGGTTTGGCGACGGGTGGTTTCGCGGCTGGCGGTTTCGCGGCTGGCTTCTGCTGTCGTAGCGGGTTCGCTTGGGCCTTTGGCCGAGGCAGTGGCTTTGCGACGGACTTGGCGGCTGGTATCACTGGTGTGTTTGCTCGGCTTGCAATAGAAGGTTCCGGAGTGGTGTTATGCGAAGGTAAACAGTACTTATTATCCGGCCCGCGGTTCTTGGGAAGGTAGTGTCGCCAGTCATATGGGTTGTCTGGGTCGGCGGGACCTTCATCGTCGCTGGTATCCCCTGCATGGCGGTCCTCACCCGAAGTCGTCGGCTCATCCTCATACTTTATCTGGAGTTGTTCGTACTGTTCACGGACCTGCTTTTCCGTCTTTCCTGGCGCCGAGCGTAGATTGAAATTGAAAGTTGTGGAGACCGGCTCAAGCACAAAGACTTTGCGCTCCGGATCGAAGACCAGGACCAGGTTTTGTTCGCTCGACGGGTCCTCACTACCCTTGTATGACCAGGCCAGTGTGTGATCGGCGTTGGGGGCCTTATCGGTGACGGAGAGGTCGTAGAGATCTTGCGATTGGGAGGGAGTGATGGTTGAGCGCTGTTGTGGGGTGGCAGACTTGGATTTGTAATTGTAGTTAATGTTGACCAGGCTGTTTGTGTCCAACCTCTGTGCAAGTCGCTCGCCTAGCACAATTGGGTACTCGGCCTGCTTGGTCGGATCGATCATGGCGGAGAGGGTGGGGATTGCCATGGCTGAGGAAGAGACCAGTGGCCAGTGACCCCGAAGTCAAGAATTCGAGGGTTCGGCAGGATGCAAGGGAGGAAGAAGAGAGAGAGAGAGGGCCAAAGTCGGGGAAAGGTTGAGGTGGAGAAAGCGGAAGTAGGAAATGACCCAGTTCTCCCCACCCTACCAAAAACAAGTTAAACACTAATACTGTGAGTTAAGAGGTACATAGATATACAGAATGTAGAGATACAGAGATGATTTAGTCATGGAATACTGTATACGTTTCTTTGTTATACTCCGAATTCTGTACTACATTTTACGCAGGCTCCGACTTCGGGATGGAAATTGGTCAATACTGCCGAGCCAAAAGGATTCCATTAGACGATTACCAGCCGAGACATTAACAAAACAGCGGCGTGGAAATACAATGCGATAAAACAGTGGGAGGTATCAAACAAAGAGTCAAAACAGGCGAGTCAGCTTTTGCAGCCATCTAAGAGCCCCCAACCAGACCAAATGGGCATGTCTCATTTATTTGAACTTCTCCTTGAGCTTGTGGATGAAGCCACTCAGACGCTTCTTCTTCTTGTCGCCGTTAGTAGAAGCACCCTCAGTACTGGGGGACTGCTTGGACTCTTGCGCGGGCTTGGGGGTTGAGGTCTCGGGTGCCTTGGTAGTCTCCGGTCCAGTCGTCACGGTGGGACCGGCAGGTTTGGCGGTGGTAGTCTCATCAGCAGGGGCAGATTCCACACCAGTCGTCACAGTTGGGCCACTGGGCTCGGTCTTGGGTGCCGAGGTGGGAGCGGCGGCGGCAGCATTGCGACCAGGGGGAGGCGTTGAAGTCGGCGACACATCTGAGGAGTCAAAGCCACCAGCAACAGTGAGGTGAGGGGCGATGGGCTGGGTGGCCGCAGTCACGGTGGGTGCCGGGGCGCCTGCAGACTCTTCAACATCGACCTTCTTCTGAAGTTCCTGCTCGAATCTCTTCTTCTCGTCGACTGCATCCTGGTTCGCAGCAGCCTCGGGGTCCTGGTGGGCCTCGGCGAGAGAGTCCTTCACCACTTCAGGGACCTCCTCAACAGGCTTGTTGCCGTTAGTCTGCTTGCCCTTCGACTCTAGAGGAACCTCGGCAGCCAATGCAGCCGTGGTAGAGGTGGGAGCGGCAGATTGGATGGTGTATCCCGGGTCAGCCGCTGCTGCCTGCTGGGCGGGACCACCGGAGTAGGTGGGCTCATTGTCATTAGCAGCTGCCCTTTGCGCAGGGCCCCCTGATGGGAAGACTGGATTCGGGTATCATGTTCTTCGTGACGGGAGGAATGGTGAATGCGAAAGCGCTGCCGTCCGAAGTGTTGGCGTCAGACGTGCTGGTTGGGTTTCCGCCAACAGGAAGAGTCTGGCCCTTCTCGTATGACTCCTTGTCCAGGTTCACAGTGGAGTCCACAGTGTTGTTATGAAGCTCGCTCGAGTGAGGGACCTTTTCGCCAGGCGCCAGCTTGACAGGGTTGCCATAGCCGCCTGATGCGGGGATGGGATCCACCGACAAGGTCTGCTCAGTCTCCTGGCCGGGAGTGTCAGGGAAGGTGCCAGGCAGGTTGCCATTTGGCTCCTTGGGCACATTGGCAGCAAGTGCCGCGGTAGTGGAATCTGGAGTGACGCCAGACATCGGGGCGTCAGTGGAGTCAACGATCTCTTCAGGTAGGAGGACGTTGTTGATGTTGTTGTGGCCGTCGTTCTCCTGTCGCACACTACTATCTGTGGTCCAAGTACCGTCGACGACGAACTGAATCAAGTCAGTAAATAAAATACGTAGAACAGGGAGATAGCGTCGTAAGAGTCATAGCGACATTAAGTAGTTGGGGAAACACATGTGACGTCAGTGGAGAGGCCAGGTGCCTAGAAGGCTTCCAGGTTCTCACCGCTTCAGGGAGCTCTCACCTTGTAATGGGTTTTCTCAGGTGCCAAAGACACCTCCTTGACAAAGATGTCGCCTACCCGGTCCAGTTTCACCGTCTTACCCCAATCATCGAAAGTGCCTGTCACGAACACTTCGCTCGCATTGTTGGGCCTAAGGCAAGTAACCGGTCAGCGACCTAATGTGCCACAGCTTCGAGTTCGAGGAGATTACTCTTAAGAGAGCCATCCCTCCCCCTTAAAAATCCATGACTTACCACTTGAATGTGAATTTTCCCATCTCCAGCAATTCAGACAGAAAGGAAGGTAAAATTAAGAGGTTGGGAAGAACCTTGGAAGATTGGGAAAGAAAGGAATGATCTTCTTTAAGGCTAAAGCAGTGGGGGTGACACAGACCCTCCGGTCAAGGAACGGTGAATCCTCCACTATCTATTCCGTACACTTTAAGGCAACTGATGCTAGACTTTTTCTACTTTTTACTATTTGCAGCCACGGAGCACCGTGTACATATATCAGGGGTTAGGGGCATATGGTCTGCCTAATTGCACCAGTAAAAATAGGATATTTGCCGCTTCACATAGGGGAGGGGGCAAGGTATTACATGCAGATAACGTCTAGAATATCTCCAAATATAAAGAATATAGCCAGTTCCAAAGAACTCTGCAGATTCCCCACTGTGACTCTGAAAGCGGCAGGGTGCGGATAAGTGACTACAAGCTCCTATTCGCCACGGGTGTGGGTGGCAAAGGTGCAATGATCATCAATACGGTCCGGCTTTCTAGAAGACACTTGGAACGAAATGTGCATGGATGTTGGATCCCAGAGTCATACATGTAGTTTTCTCTTATTGGGTTCTCCATAAGTTGGTTAAGTGACGTCGACCTAAGTACAGTAGAGTGATCGACGAAAGCTCAGACCAAGCTGTACCCCTCTTCGTCTTCTCCCTCTCTTCTCAACTTGACTCTACTCTAAGCCGGATTCAATTCCCAGGTAGGTCCTTGTTTGCTTCTCTTGATTCTCTCCCGAGTCACACCTCTTTTAGTCTCCCCCACCATTGCCCCTCTTTCTTTTTTCACTACTCTCCCATGCTCAGCTTCTTTTCTCATCCTCCGTTCTCTAATTCTCAGAGATCCATAGACACCGTCTCCCCACATATCCATTCCTCTCAGCTTCAGCGTGGCCGGAGTGACGGCCCCTCCGGCCCTACCGATATGGCACAGAACACCTCGGGGTCAGCCCCATCAGTGAACACCAACTCGCGCGAGAAGTCCCCAATTCCTAAAATCCGCGAGGATGAAGAGTTCGAAGTGACGTCACCCACCGACATGACTTTCCGACAGGCCAACAACGCAGGTGCCACGTCTGTGGGCACCGCCTTGTTCGGAGGCAGCGCAGCCGCGGAAGGAGGGACACAATTTGGAGGACCACTGTTCAGCAGAAGCCCCTTCCAGGGCGACGAAGACGACGGCGAGCAAGAAGGCGAGCTAGCGCCTCTCCCAGGACAGACCGCACAGCAAGGATTCCCCAATAACTACGCGCTGGGTCGCCGGACCTCTGTGTCGGCAGAATCTCTAAATCCTACCGAAGCGGGCTCGGACAGCTGGACGCCTCCCCGCCACCCAAAGACGGAGGAGCAGGTCTCCCGGCTCAAGGCCGCTGTCAGCAGTAACTTCCTCTTCTCCCACCTCGACGACGATCAATTCACGACAGTCCTGGATGCGCTGGTCGAGAAGCCCATCCCGGCCAAGGATATCAAGGTCATCTCCCAAGGCGACGCTGGAGATTACTTCTACATCGTGGAGAACGGTAACTTTGACATCTACATCCACCCCTCCGGCGCAGTGCAGCCTGGCCCCGATGGCTTGGGTAACAAGGTGGCGTCGACTGGACCAGGAGGCTCCTTCGGTGAGCTAGCTCTGATGTACAACGCCCCTCGTGCCGCGACAGTCATCTCCACCGACCCAAAGAGTACCCTGTGGGCCTTGGACCGCATTACCTTCCGCCGAATTCTTATGGACTCGGCATTCCAGCGCCGTCGCATGTACGAGGCTTTCCTAGAGGAAGTCCCGCTGCTCTCCTCTCTTAAGCCCTACGAGCGCTCAAAGATCGCCGATGCCCTAGATACAATCAAGTACCCGGCAAACTCGACCATCATCCACGAAGGCGACCCCGGTGACGCATTCTACCTACTGGAGTCGGGTGAGGCCGAAGCTACCAAGAACGGGGTCTCGGGACCAGTCAAGACGTACAGCCGCGGTGATTATTTCGGTGAACTTGCGCTGTTGGATGACAAGCCCCGTGCGGCGAGCATCACCACCAAGACAGAAGTCAAGGTTGCGCGATTGGGCCGTGATGGATTCAAGAGGCTTCTCGGACCTGTGGAGGAGATTATGAGACGGGCCGAGTATGAATTGGATGCTGCCAAGTCTCCTGTTTCCAAATGAATGAGAAATAATACGATGAAATTGAATCTCAGGGATCGGGTGTCTTCAGAGCCGAAATCGGGGAATTAGACTCCGACTTTGCTCATACGAGTGTGTCGTCAATTCACATCTTTGAGTCTTGCCTACTGCTACCGCAATAACTCATTACGCTTTTTTTCTCTTCATTTCTTGTCTTCCACTCTCAGCTCCCTCACGCTTGATCTCTACACTCTTTACGAACCTTGACTGTATCTAAATCCTGTCTGCTTATGCGCGTCCTATCCACCTGCAGGTGACCTACTGTCGTCCCTGTCACATCATTACTTGCTACTCGTACCTGATTCCGATAGTCCAAGGCCAGAATGACTAAACTAAACAAAGTACTCAATTCAACCCATGGGTTTTACAATAACGCCGATAGTGCAATATATCCGGCCACGTAGGGACCAGCCCACGATCACCACTAACTTAACCCTAACCATCCATGAATGATCCATACACATATATCACCTAGGAACAACCAAATCACTTCTCAAAACCCACTTCTCCCCATCAGTAACCTCCATCCCCTCATGAAGCATACAATGATCCCCATGCCGATGCAAAAGCGCCATCCCAACCTCCGGCGCAACGACAATCGACTCCGGATTCCGATTTGCGCGTGTGGCTTCCGGGTAGAAGACTGTTTCGCCGCCTGTGCAGGAGGTCAGGTAGATGAGCAGGGTCCAAGTTGTGCGTGCGGGCGTTGCTCTTGAGGTTGCTGTCGAGGGGTATGGGGGGAAGGTTATGTTGTTTGAGTCGTCGTCTGGTTTGGGAATTGAGTTGTTAGTTTAGGTTGGGGTTGTTTCTGGAGTGGTATAGATACTTTTGGGAATGGGATTGGAAGTTGAATTGGAATTGAAAGCTTGATTTGACTTACAGTGCTGACCAAAGAATTGACCGGCTGTATAGCGATAAATGCGAATATTGGCATTTAACCCTAACGGATCTCCACCCCAAAGTCTGCGCGCTCGCTCGGCGACCTGGGTGGGCGAGCCATCCCCGTCCTCAGATTCATATTCCGCCTCATCAAACCTCTCCGTAACAAGTTCCTTCAAAGAAGTCTGACTCCACAACATCTCCGCAAACCGCGCATCATCAATCTGGAACCGATCATTCACCCGCAACGCCTCATCCTTCTTCGGTTTACCTGGTGTTGTCGTCAGAGGGAGGGACGCCAGGAATGAGGCGTAGGTTTTGCAGAGGGATCCCGGGAGGAAGTTGCGGATTAGGTAGATCTGGTCTGGGAGGAGGGGTTCCAGGCTTAGATCGGCGGCGGGGAGGAGGGGGCGGAGGGGTGGCCAGTTTGGGGATTGGGATTGTTTTGGGCGGGATTGTGGCTTGGGTTCTTGTTTCTTAGATTTCGAGGGCATTTTGGTGGGTTTATAGGGGTTAAAGTTGGGAGGTGAAGGGGCGAGGAGGTGGCTTTTTTTGACGTGAATGTTTAAGTTATCGCGATAAGAGTATAGCGTAGAGTGTAGACTATAAAGTTGCTGATGTATGAGTTATGTTCTCCGCTTACCCCTACAGTAGTCCTTCCTTGTATACTATGCTTTGAAGTTTTTACAGAATACGTGTTTGGCTCTGTTTGTTCTAGCCTTTTATTCCCCCTCATCTTATCCAACCTCCAGTGGAGGCAAGCCACTGAATAGCAGGAGAGGGGTCGACTCCACTGGTCTGGACTGCCAGGGCAAGAAGAATCTAAGTATAACAGGGGATTATGAGGGGGAACTGATGAACACTGCATAGTATATCTACAAAATTAATCTACATGCGCCTCCTGTATAGATCTGAAGCTCTTCAACAAAATCGGTGAACCAGTGGATCGGGATGGAATGGGCGGGGCGGGAAAGAAAATTTGTCCCGGAGAGGATCGTCGCTTTTCTTCTCCCTTATATGTTCCCCAACACCTACCCCCTCGAGAAAAGACCAGGATCTTTGAGAGCAGAACTCGAAAAACAAAAGTACTCCATGGCCTACACTCGGTGATGGCACCTGCACTACGGCTAGCTGCAGTAACCAACTCGGCCGTCTTCACCGCCCGGCCCAAAGTGAGAACTTCAGCTTTTGTTCCCTTCTTCCCTTCTTTTCCACCAGCCTGTCATGTCGTCGCAGACCATGACTGCGCCAGCTGTGGGCCATCGGCCACCTGATCCAGGTACAGATTCGCCCATGTACGACTATGGCGGCTCCCATAACTCCACGCCCCCTTCCAATCCCCGAAACGACTCCGCAATTTGCGACATGCAGAATAATTCTGCCCCGTCAACGCCAAAGGGCATGCCAACCACAGATGTCGGAATTAAGACTGAATGTTCGGATAGCCACGATATCTCAGCTTCGCAGCATCAACAAGATACCAATACGCAAAACGCTGCAAGCGCCCTTTAGCTCAACTCCTCGGCAATCAATCTGCGCCGAACCCAACAACCGCCCAGCAATTTGGAGAGGAGGACCACGATATGTCCATGGACTTCAAACTGGAGCAAAATCATTCTCAGCCTTTCGATATAAATGCCCACGCTACCTCCATCGATCCAAGCTTGCAACAAGACCCGTCAATATCGCGTGAGATTCAGGATTTGCTGAACGGAAAGGCCGCGGGTAATGAGATGATGGGAACAAATCCTTCACATCAGGATTTCGGCCATGCAGGAATTTCCTCGTCTGATGCAATGGGTACCCTTACCGATCCTCTAAACACTAAACTAGACACGGAGCAGCCCTCCCTTCTGCCGCCCTTGGACTTTAACGCCGCCCCGAAAAATGCGTTCGAGGCTCTCCACCAAAACGAGCTACTCACCGCCGCTTTCCTTTCGCAAGGCGCCGACCTCTCGGCACTGGGTTATCAAGATGGAGCTACATCAATTGCTGGGTCGGAGCCTAAGATCCAAGCATTTGCCAAGTTGGAGTTTGACGATGGGCATTTCTATTGCAATACCTACTCGTTTATCCTCGGGCGAGACGTACGAGCCGCGCGCGCTGCCCACCATCGAGAGTTCCAGTTCCGGCAGGCCGTGCGAAGCTCTCGAGCAAAGAGCTCGAGTGGGGGCAACACATCACATACCCCGAACCGTATGAAGCGGGAGGAAAGCGCAGCCATGATGGGTAGCGTTGTCAGCGATCGTGGAGGCATCATGGGATTTGATCCAGACGTTCCTCCGCATCTTCCTGGTGGAATGAATCCCAGTCGACGATCCTCAAAGTCCTCGGTGGACGAGGCCGTTGTACCCCTGCATGCAAACCCGGCCCAATTACAGTCGACTACAGACTACAACGCTCTAGCGATGCAGTCCCTACAAGATGGAAATGGAGATGCCAAGCCCGTTGACACGCTTGCTTTGCTCCCGTCTCCTGATTCCTGTCCGACCATCCCTATCCACCCCCCGACGACGGTTGACGGCAGTGCCGCGGGTCATCGGGGTATATCTCGCAGGCATGTTCGCATCTCATATAACTTTGACCGCAATTTGTTCGAGATGGAAGTAATGGGTCGCAACGGAGCTTTCATTGGAGCCGATTGGCTATCGCCAGGGCAAGTTCGTCCGCTACACAGTGGTGATTATATCCAGATTGGCGGTGTGCGCATTCGCTTCTTACTACCAGATGTTCCCATTGGTGAAACAGGCGCCGATAGGATGGAAGAACAGTTGCCAGATGGAGAAGAGGATGCAGAGGGAGAGGACGAAGACCCTCGTGCTTCGATCGAAGTCGATAATGACGTTGATGAATCAGAGAGGCTTGGGAGCGAGAGCGGGGAGAGCAGGGAACCCTCCAAGGTGCCCAAGCTCAGCCTCAAGATGAAGGATACAGATTCCTCGAAGGCAATGGAGTCTATCGAGGCAGATAATGGATCGCAGCCAGCCCGCCGACGCGGACCTGGTCGCCCTCCCAAGGACGGCATCATGTCTAAGCGCGAGCGAGCTGAACTTGCCCGTGAGCAGAAGATGGCCGCTAAGCGCGAAGCCAACGGTGGTGTCACGCCGCCTCCTCTCAAGGTACCCAAGGCTGGAAAAACAGTGGCGAAAGAGTCTGTCGTTCCTGAGTCGCCGACATCAAAACCAGCGGAGAAGCGGAAGTATACCAAGAGAAAGAAGCTCGATGGAACACTCATGGATTCTCCTCTTCCTTCGACGGAAGGTGGTCAGATTCCAGAACAGCGTCAAGAGGAATATGTCAAGCCCCCGCCGGTCAAGAAGCGCAAGCCATCACGGTCACCGTCTCCCAACTATCCTCCGGAGTCTGCTTACACACAAGAGGATTTGGCCAAGCCTCCTTACAACTACGCTGTTCTTATCTTTGATGCTTTGACGGAAGCTGGCACCCCAATGACGTTGAAACAGATTTACAGGGCCTTGAAACTGAAGTATCCTTATTTCCGCTTCAAGTGTGAGACCGAGGGCTGGACATCCAGTGTGCGACATAACCTCAATGGCAACGGCCATCTGTTCATGCACGCAGAACGAGATGGCAAGGGTTGGTCATGGCAATTGATACCTGGCGCATCGGTTGAGAAAGAAAAGAAGCGACGCCCGTCGCCTCCGCCGCAACCGCAGGCCTCGCATCCCCCAACGCCTGCTCCACAACAATACATGCCACAGATTGCCCACTCTTATGCTCCCACATCTCAAGGTCCACCGCCTGTGCCAAATCCGCCTCAACACTTCCAGTTCCCATCGATTCCGCCTGCGCCTTTCCCGGCCTCTGTGCCAGGACCGCGACAAAGTCCATATGCACCTCCATTGACGACTCCTGCTCCTCCACCCGCTCCTACTGCTGCTACAGTGCCAGTTTCAACTCCCGCTCCACCCCCGGTTTCCACGCCAGCACCGGCGCCGGCACCCACCCCTACCTCCATCTCCGCCCCGCCTCCTGCTTCTACATCTGCCCCTGTCCCGGCTCCTTCTGTGTCTGCTCCTGCTCCTGCTCCTGTTCCTGCGCCTGCGCCCGTACCTGCGCCTGTGTCAGCACCAGCACCCATCAACGCCGCTGCATCCTTCCCCATCCCCAGCACTATCCGCAGCAACCTCCCGGCTGCCTTCGCGCAGACCGTACCATCGACATACACCTCTCCCTACGCATCCAGTGCGGCTCCGCAGGCAGGCCAGCAGCAACAGACACAGACTCCACGGCCTCCCCAGGGACCTCCTCAGCACCACTCTCCCTACCCACCACAAAAGCCCTCCCAACCGCCCCACATCAACACGCAACCCCAGGCCTACCCTCCACCCAATGGACAGCCATACCAACCTCAGCACCAGCAACCGGTGCGGCCTCCATCACAGCCGATGTCACATCAACCTCAGCAGCAACCGCCGATGCAGCACCACCAGCCACAGCACCAACACCAACACCAACACTCCCACCCGCCATCGGGACTCCCGGCTCATCCTCAATCCCATCACCATCAACAGCAGCAGCAACTCCATCACCAACCTCAGCAGCAAAACCCTGCGCCAGTTGGTCCGCCAGAGTCATCCTCGTTCACTGATCGAGCAAACAAGGCAATTGATGACTTTGAGGCTGTTCTTATGGAAGATTATGAGGACAAGAACTACATCCGGGAAGTTCTTCGAAGTGCCCGCGCACGAGTGTTGGATAATGCTACTGAAAGCTCATTCCCCGGCGGCGAGCCAAAGGACGAAGCCGTCATCATGGATGTGCTTCGCAACCTGGTCGGAAGTTTGAAGGATGAATAAATGGCTTCAAGCTATCGGTTTCCCTCAAGTCCGGCACCCCGAATTCGGGTCTATAGGCTAGGCCTAGCTTGGGCTTGTTGCGAGCCGGCGTGCTAAATGGTTAATCGATGCCTTCCATTTGAACCTCCCATGGAGGTCCATCGACCCGCACTGAGATGGAGGGAATGGTCTCTCCCTGACGACTTATCGAATATACGAGTCTTATGGTTTTGTTTTATTGTTTTCGTCCTTTCTTCCCCCTTTATCTTTTTTTTCCTTTTTCTTTTTTTGCGACATGTCTGGATTCCTTGAATCTTAATGATATCCCTCTGTTCTTACCGACAGGCTTGCGTAAGCCTCCAATTTTTGTTGTCCATCGATACATTCATCGATTTCATTCTTGTTCATTGGCAAGCTGGTCTAAGAAAGACTACGCTCCCGGGGAGCAGGATATCCATCCAACCGCTGTGAAATCCCTCCCATTTTGTTCTCCTTTTTGATCCAGGCGTCATCCGCCTGACGTAAAAGCTCAGCATGATAGAAATACCAATCACATTGATGGGAACGATCATACAGTACCTCCTCCAACTCCAAGTAGGCACGAAAACCAAAAAAAAAACGAACACGCATACTGTACGCCAACCTCGGGATCATCTGCAACGATCTACAGTATCATTCGGCTGAACGGATACCCCATGCATACATGTATACACTGTACAGCACCCAAAGCAAAAGTAGCAAACCTATAAGAAACCACGTCCGATTCTCTCCCTTGCACATTCCCTCAATTTAACTTATCTATACATGTCTACATGTACATCACATAGTCGAATAGAATTTGCCTCCCCCACCCCCGTGCCAACACCAAAAAGAAATAGTGAAAGTATTGTAAGAGTTGGCGGGGGGCGGGGGGACGGTTGAAGGCCTGCAGGGCCAGCCGAATCCGACAAATCCCTAAGTCCACCTAATTCACGGGGGTTACACTCAAAAAATACACTTTGAGTGTCTCCATGTTCCCCCCATCGAGGTGCAGCTCCAGACTCTGGAAATCATGGGAGACTGACGTTTTCTTTTTTCTTCCCCTTTTTTAATTTCCTTTCAGGGATTGTTGCCGGATGTAGCCGGTTGGGCAGCTTTTCTTTTCCTTTTGCCGTGGCCCCTCCATATCCTCCAGTCTTTTACAGGAGTGTTGGTTGTTTCAAAGGATTTTGGTATATTTTTTAACGTTATTAGCTTCGAGTCACACATTCACTGGGAAGAGTACAGAATATATTCTGCCTTCTTATTGGGTACATATTTATTGTTTTTATTCTATGTCATAGGCAGGAATGTGATATTGCCTCTCATCTATAGTACATGTACATATAAGTTAAGCGCCCGGTTTCCCTCGGATAGGTCACAGAGAGGCCAAAGCGAAGCCCAAGGTCAAGGAACCACAGTGACGAAATCCGCGAGTAGGCAAGGAAAGCCTCATGGCAAGGCACGGGGTCTAAGGGGCGTGCTCTATCGATTTGTATTTTATGATTTTCTTTTTTCTAGAATCCAGTAGGAACGGTACATGACATATACTGTAGGTCCTTACGCACAGGTAGTTGCCTAGACAAATGCTATTTATTCTGTGACAATCAGGTACTTGTACTCCGAACTCCGTACTGTATTGAGAAAAGTGGATGTTCTCCATCGCCCCTCTAAGCCTAAACGAAACTGGAGTTGTCCTCTATGTTATGTCCGGGATTTGGGACGTGCATGAAACCCGCACGGCAACTTTCCGGGATGGAACGAAGGGGTGAGTATATCTATGCGTCTTTTACGGTAGACATATATGTATATGACCAGAATCAGATACTATTAGTTGTATATACTGAAGTAACGTTAAAGGGAAGGACTGTTACCAGCGCTTCCTCAACCCTCAATCTAATAGATCACTGCCTAGTCAAGGTGTAAGTGTAAGTGTAATTGCCAGTGCCGGAGCCATGCGCCAGTGCCATGCGACATGACGCTATGTGTACACTGCAGGGATCGGCAATCGGATCCTGAAGTGTCTCTAGTGAGTGTCTAGGTCTTAGTGAGTCATATATGTAGGTACATCCCCGGTGGCCAGTCAGACATGATGTGGCCAATGATGGGGACTGGAAGGTTAGTGCTTAGATAAGTGTTCTCGTGCGTGTCAGATGGTCACTTTTTGCCCTTGCTTGGTTGTACGGGGTAATGGGTGTGATGCTGTATGAATACGTTGTTATGTGTTATAAGGTCGGGAGTAACTTAGACAAGATATGTAGGTAGGCCTAGCAACGGTGGAATGTATCTACAGTATAGCCTGGACTAAAGAAGAGAAAAGAAGTGCTTAGTAAGTGGAGTGACCTTTTTTTAGTCCGAACCAGTGACACGAGCGTTGCATCACCAGGTTAGGGTCTTTTTTTTTTTTCGGTAGAATTTGATTTACAGTACGGAGTAGAGTCTGTGAATTACCTATACTCAACCCAATCATAACGAATCATCATTCTCTATTTCTTAATAAATCAAATAATGAAGTAATAATCATTGCGAAACACACCTGGGCAGGGTGTGCAAATTTAGATTTCAGGGTGCATACAGCCCCTATACACGCCCCGGCACACCAATACACGCCCCCACTAAGCCCCAACTCCGCCGTCCAGGCCTCCTTGTATTCCCAATACCCGTAACATTACCAACGGCCTTTTCCCACACAACGCCCCTGTACACTTTTCTTCTCTTCATCCTTCTTCACCTCTTTCTGCATCAACCCTCTCTCCCGTGTCAACGAGCTTTTCACTAAGTGTCGTTGCTCACCTCATTCTCGTGAGGTTTGCTTCTACGGGGAAATCTTATTTCTCCAGGTCGTTTCTTCTCACGCGTTCTCAGTGCGACTGGGCTACTCCCTGTCACCTCGATCTGGTTATTCGCCTCCTGAAGCACTTTGAATCGACTGAATTGTGATCCAAGACTCTTCTTTCTCGCATCGTTCGGCCCTGCAAGCGAGGTTTCTTTCCCTCAATTCACCACACTCCTTCACTCTTTTCTTGACGTCTCTCTGGATCGAACCTCCATGTCCTTCAACTAGAGACTGCTCTCCAAGACAACAAAAGAGCGACCCGCTCGCTGAGCAGCGTTCTCGCTACCCCAGGATCAGGATCTGGTGGAGCTTTTGACGGTTCGTCTCCCTTTTTTTCCTTGAAATCTTGTCACTCGGTCAATAGGCTTTTGTCCCCCAGTGGCCTGGTATGCTAACACCTGACTGCTCAGAAATCGTCTAGCTCTCCATCCTGAACTGGTATCTCATCCCCCTCCCTACCCTCTAAGATGCCGTCCTTCTTCGTCCCAGGCCACGGCCTGCCCACTCCTCCCCATGTCAACGGTGGTCGTATGGATGACCCCTCGTTCTACCCGGTTGGTCACGCGGGATTCCCTCCTCGCTACCACCAGAGCGGCAATGAATTCATCGAGCAGTACTCGCAGTCTCTCTGCTACGCCAAGCCGACTTCGATGAACCTTCACCCTCAGTCCGCCCACCCGATGTACCCGGCCCGTGATCTCCATGCGTTGAACCAGCAAGCCATGTTCAACCCGTTGGCCGCAACCCTGCCCCCTATCAGGAGCAACGTCCAACTCCCGCCCATGGAATCGTCCATCCCACCCCAGTACCGTCGACAGGAAGCCGCCCCGATGCAACGGCCCGAACAGCCGCGCAAGGAGGAGAAGGCTACCGGAGGTGTCGCCGCTCACCTGGATTACGAGATGGATCGCATGTCCGACTTCGTGGCGGAAATGGCCCAGGGAATGTATGAATTGTTCGCCAAACAGATCAACATTGCAGATATTGACATAAGGCGAAGCATCTACCCAGGATCTTCGGTTACTCCCCAGTTTCGGAAATACGTCTATCAGATTTTGTCTTCGACTCGTCTGCCCAGCTCCACCATCTTGCTCGGTCTGTTCTATCTGGCCAGCCGGATGCGTGTGCTCTCGGCGCAACGCGCCGTTACCAAGGGAGGAAATGGCCAAGTGTACCGCATGTTGACCGTCTCTCTCCTGTTGGGCAGCAAGTTCCTCGATGACAACACCTTCCAGAACAAGTCCTGGGCTGAGGTCAGCAACATCCCAGTTGCCGAGTTGAACCGCATGGAACTGGAATGGCTGTTCGCTTTCGACTGGAAGATCCACGACCGCATCTACGACAAGCAGGACGGATTCGCCTCGTGGCGCGCTCACTGGGACACTTGGAGTGCCAAGGCTACTGCCCGTGCTCAGGAAACTCGCCAGACTCTGGCTCCTCTTGAGACCAATGTGCTTCGCAGCCAAGGCGTCACCAAGCCTCTCATGTCGCCCGAGGGCCCCATCCCGCCGCAGTACCAACGCGGTTCGAACGTGGAGAACTCCTGGTTGAACCCGACCGCATCTGAATACTCGCCTCCTTCCGCCCTTTCCAGTGGACCCAACACCCCCGACTACTACTCGGTCGGCCCTTGGGGATACTCGAACCCGCTTCCACCCCCGCCCTACTCGCGCGGCTGGAACGCACCCCCACAGTACATGGCTCACCAAGCACCTCGATCCCAGCCTCCGTCCTACCATCACACCCCAGCGTACGGTTTGCCCTTTGCACAGAGTGTGTGGACTGGTCACGGTTCGTCGTGCGGCTGCACTTACTGTGCTAAGCACTTGGAGCACTACATGAGCACCAGTGCATTCCCCACAATGCAGCCGATCATCGCCGCCTAAGTGACGGTTTTCGACTATTTGCTTACAACAGATGGAACAGACGACATCAACGGCTTAAGACCTCCAGTCTGGCTGTCTCTCTGAGCCTTTTTCTCACTGCAACTTTAGACTTCTATGTTTCTCTGGGCGACTCGCGTGGATTTATTTCGCTGATACCGTTTTCTTCATTTCTTGTTTCCACCTTTGCGCCTTTTGACCTTTTTGTCTCGCTAGCCTCACACGCTACTGGGCAATCGGCATGCCGCGTCACCCGAAAAGTACTTTTGTTCTGCGTCTGCTGGTTCTCGTTGGCCAAGCGAAAAATTTCAAAAAACGCAAAAAAAGAGGAAAAAACGCTCCTACGGCGGACAATGGCATGCTCCGGCAACTCCACGATGCAACCCCCCAGGCCACTTCGTTTCCTGCACATTGATCTTTTGGATCTGGTGGCATTTTCAAAATTCCATCGTGGTTTCACCCTGACTCTTTCATCCCAAGGATTGCCGGAGCCGCAGTCACGACGATCACGAATCCCCAAAATCTGACTACTTTGTTTATTACCCATGACTTCGGTTTATATCTTCGGCCCTTCTTCCTGTTTTTTGCTCGGCATTGTGTCTCGCGGTGATTACCCATAGAGTGTTTTCCTTCTTCCGCTTTCGCGTTTCCCTTCATGTCGGTACATTATTCCCATTCGTCACGCTCCACGCAGTGCCCGGCGTTAATCATTTCCCATCTTCTTTCTACTTTTTTTTTTTTTTTTATCTTTCTCATCTTCATTCTCGTTCCTTTCGATCCACCGATTAGTTTCTACCTTTTCTATGGACTCTTTTTTCTCGATCCACACGATCAACAACAATTCAGTGAACTTTCGAACCCTTTTAAGCTGGGAGCTGCTGGAACCTAGTTTTTTTTTTTTTTTTTTTTTTTCGATTCCTTCTTCGGAAGTGATCAATTCCTCTTCACTCCCTTTCAATTCTGACAGTCAACCCGAAACCAATGGAGTGCCGACCTGGTCCCGATCCACCTCTTTTTGTCCATGACAGACAAAACAAACACATCAAGATGGTCGATCCCATTCGCACATCCATCTTATTCAGAAATACCCCACCGCAGTCATTCAATCCTCGCGATTGACATGTATGTAGCCTACAGTGACCTCGATATCGAAGTCATCTTCCTTCTCTTGTCTTCCACCCCCTCTGTCTCTTTCGCGGCATTGTGTCGGCGAGCACGGTCCATATCTGCATTCTTGGTTTTCTCAGTTTATGCAATTTGTGGTCCTTAGTTCTCATGACTTTGGTTCTTGGTGCGCAGGTTTATTGGAGATGATTTTCATACGTGATGAACACAGTCCTGGTGTCTGCTTTGACTGCAGTACAGTATACTTTTCTCTGGCTCGTACCCGTAGGGTCTTCTTCGCATTGTTTTTTACACTTGGTGTTTTGGGTTCCTCGTACTCCCTGCCTCGGTGGGTCTTTTGGGCATGTTTTGGTATGATGATGCTCTTCTCTCTTGGATGTATTTCTTTCTTTTGGATACTTTGGTGACATGTATTGAACCAAGTCTTCATGTTTCTATCATGGCATGTTCTGGTATACATTATTTGGGTTGACTCGTTCGATGCAATAACTAGGCAAGTGCACCAACCATGCCATCCCTATGAAGCTCATTTCATCTCACGCTGAAGGGAATCAGTTCTTATATCAAGCTTATACGACAACCAAGACTAGAGGGAAAGGGTTTGGGTTTCAATATGGATTGCTGGGATAAAGTCAAACTGGAATAGAATATTACACGGACAGATTTATCAAATGAATTGTCACAAGAACGGGGACTAAATAATTTTGGAACTCGAGAAGGGATCTAAGCCCAAACATTGAAATCAAAAGACATGTAGATGCAGTTGTGGGTAGTCTAGATTCATCCAAGCAGTCGTAAGGGTCGTAAGGGTAGGTAGGCAGCAGATAGAGTTAACAAAGCAGAGCCAGATGCAGATGTATGCAAGCATGTAAGAGTGTGGGAGAGAGACATCAATGAAAAAAAAAAAAAAAAAAACACCTGAAATGCATTGTAGCAGTGGTGACAGCATTAGTAGACGCTCCCTCTGATGCTTTGATCTTCTTTTTGCTGCTCTTCTAAAGACAATTTTTGGGTCTCAGGATGCTCCGCTGTCGAGTTATCTGGTCGTGGTGTTTGCGTTTCGGAAGGGTTGGAGGATTCGTCTCCGTCACCTAAGATGTTGGCCATGCGGTGCTCGGATTGGTTGCCGGTGGAAAGATGATGGTGGTGATGGTGATGGTGATGGTGGGAAGGGTGGTGTGGTCGAGGTTTCCTTGGTTTCCCTGTGGGATTTCCACTCATCTCGTCGTCGCCATCCTCTTCAAGTTCCTGGGAGGAGACTGGTCCTTGTGTTTGAGATGGGAATTGGAAGTGTTGTTGGTTTGCATGGGACAAGCTGCCGGTGTGGAGATTGGAAGAGCTTGACACAGAATGGCGGTGATGATGGTCATGATCTTCGCCTTCGTCGTCGGACGGAGCCAGGCTATTTGCTCCGCTCATTGAGCCACCGCCGTCACGGCCACCGAGGTGGAGCAGGGCATATTTCAAATGTGCGGAGGATGAAGACGAGGCTGGTGAATGGAAAAGATGATCCTCGCTATTTCGATTGAGTCCATGTTGATTGTGTCGCTTTGGATGCAACGGCTGGGCTGGCTGGGCCTCTGAGCTTGAATCGTAATGCTTCGTGTCGTCTCCGGTACCGTCGTCACTCCCTCGTCGCGGATTGGAGGCCTGTCTGGTGCTAGATTTTCGAGTGATATCGTTTTGAGTGGTGCTGTCCTCTGAAGATGAGACCACCTCGTCGATTGATACTGATTTGTGGAGCTTAGAGCCAAAGCTATGGCCATGTTCATCGAGATGCTTTGGATGAGAATGATCAGTGCCGTGCCGCATAGAATTCAACAGATTGGCTCGCAATAGTTGTTTCCTATCTGCAGAGATGCCGTGAGTACAGCCGTCCGGACAGCCGCCCCATTTCCGTCGAATTGGGATGTGGTCTGGCAGCGGAGCGGGCGTATGGTTGTGTCCTTTGGCTCCGTTTTCACGTTCTCGGTCCTTCTTCAAATCCGACCATGTTCGTAACTTGTTCTGTAAAGTATATTTGCCGTTTTCCGGGTTGTGGGTCAATACTACAAATTCGCAGTGGTTGATATTGCGAAGATCCTCAAAGTACTCCACGCTCCAGTGGTACCATTTCATCAGGAATACTCGTGCCATGAGACCGTGAGTGACGAGAACGCACACATTGGCAAAGTCGTCTTCACCAAAGAGGCGCCAGAGTGACTCGTTGAACCCACTTACTCGGTCGTAGGCGTCCGCCGCTGACTCTCCGTTGGGGATCCGGTAGAAGAAATGGCCATAGTCTGCCCGCTCCATCCACATACGCTCCATTTCTGTAGAGCATGGCTGGAAGTTCCCAAAGTCTTGTTCCCGCAGTCGGGGTTCTTCATAGACTTTGATTGTATGTCTGGGGAACGGTGATGGAGAAGGTGTGTCTGATGTTAGGGATTCAAGGATCCCTTCGGTAGTCTCTCTTGTCCTACGATAGGGAGAAGTGAAGAAGTGAAGGGTATCATCAGGATTAAGGAGGTCTCGGAGTCGCTGGCCCGCCTCTTGTGCTTGTCGGTGGCCCTCAGTCGTGAGCCTTACCCGATGGTCTGGAATAGTCTGGTGGATATCTCGGTTCTTGTTGCCTTCTGACTGTGCATGGCGCACCAAAATGATCATCTATCAGGCTCAGGTCAGTATAAGCCAGCACGTCCATCCAACATCTAGACTTACCCGTGGCTTCCCCATGGTAGACGGGAATGGGGCACGTAATGGAGATGCGGGGGAGGGGCTAGAGATATCACCACTCTAGAACAACGAGAAGAACGCAGGACTTGAATCCCGGTCTAACAATAAAGCAAGAACAAGAGAAACAAGAGGTTGAAACAGAAGAACAAATCGAAAAGGAAAAAAGTTGAGTCCAGAAGGTACAGACCCGCACGGACCAACTCCCGTCCATTCAGCGCGCCTCTTTTACGCAACTTCCGAATAGCATCAACCATGGCCGATTTGCTGGAGTTGCTGGCTCCTCACTTAAGTCCGGCTCTCTCGACCGATGGGACTACTGATAAATACCTCAATCGACTGTCCACCCTATCGCTCGAAGCCCTCCAGAATACCGAACCCCCATCGCTGGCCCAATCCTCCCATTCGACCCTCCTTTCCCTCCAGGCTTTATCCAACCGTTCGCACCGGGCTTTTGTCACCTCCGCCGATAATTTGTCCACACTCTCTACGTCCGTTCCACAGTTGACTCGCGAGGCGCAACAGCTCCGCGATGCCATCCCTAAACTTGACGAGGAGGCCGTTGGGTTCTCCACCAAGTACAGCAAGATCACAGACAATGCAGCTCTGGAACGACGAAAAAAGGCCATGCAGCTGTCTCGCAATGTCGATCGACTCTCCGACATCTTAGAGTTACCAAGTCTGCTGTCGGCAGCCGTGTCCGCCGCCTCAGTCAACTCCGGTACCGGTGCCTCCTCCACAACCTACTCCTCGGCGCTCGACCTGCATGCACATATCAAGCGATTACAAACACTATACCCCGAATCCCCATTGATTCAAGATGTGGCATCTCAAGCAGAGGACGCCATGAAGGACATGACAAGTAATCTAATCACGGGGCTCCGCGCTCAGAACCTACGGCTAGCAGCTGGTATGCGAACTGTGGGCTGGCTGCGTCGAGTAGCCCCGGATTTGGAGATGCTTCAAAGCGACGGAGCTGCGGGAACAGGAGAAGGTGCTCTGGGAGCCATCTTCTTGGTCTGCAGATTGGCGCATTTGGTGTCGACTCTTGAAGCTTTGGACCCTCTGCGCGAACTCGCTGATCAAGAAACCCAACGCCGCGTCAGTGGAAAGGACAAATCAGACACGACTACGTGGTCCGGTGGCCAGCAAACTGATCGCTATCTGAAACGATATATTGAGATTTTCCGAGAACAGAGCTTCGCCATTGTCTCATTATACAAAAACGTCTTCGGGTCTGAACAATCTGAATCTGAGCTTGCCAGCTCGGGCTTACGAGGCGCAGACGCTAAAGCCAAGTCGAAGCCTGCCCATTCGGATGATCCTTTGCAACGTCTACCCCCCGCTCTTGCAACGTTCCCAATGCATCTTGTCCAATTGCTCACGGATACAATGCGCACATATCTTCCTAATGTCCGAGATCGGAGCTCGAGAGAAAGCCTTCTCACCCAGCTCTTGTACTGTGCTGCTAGTCTCGGTCGCCTTGGTGGTGACTTTGGCATGATTCTGACTGAGCTGAGCGGGGATGGCGATGCGGAGGGGGACGTGGCCTACGAATGGGAGGAGGTCATGCGCAAACATCGAGCCTTGGCGGGTCGTCTGGAGCAATTGACTAGTCGGGTTCCGGTACATTAGCATTCATATACCCAAGCGCGATGATTTCCAGGATAGGTGCATTTAAATGTATAATAGATTGTCATGAAGTGTTCTCATTGCCTCAATCCCTATAGTGCGTCACTTTAGCATTGCATGCACTTTGCTCCTGCTAGTAAAGTATTTGACCCTAACCTTGGAAGCCTTGTGAGTTGGCATTGTGTGGCCAGCCCTCCTGCCTGAAGAGGTTACTGTTTCCGGGGAACCTTGTGGGGAGCCCCTCTTCAATTGACCTGATATCTCTTCCACTTGAACAGACACCCTACACTTGACGGCTGAGACACATTTGAAACGTCGCTATGGACGGCATGGAACTGCAGCGAAGAGTTACACCCCAGGATACACAGCACTCTGCGCCCTCAGATACCGAAAACATCATCCCACCGAATATCAACAGTACCGATGCATTCGACGACATACCTCCAAACGGCGGATATGGTTGGGTATGCACATTTTGTGTGTTCATGATAACAGTACACACCTGGGGCGTGAACGGCGCCTGGGGAGTGATACTAAACCACTTCCTCCTACATTCCACATTTCCCGGCGCAACCCACCTGGACTATGCATTCATCGGCGGTCTATCAATTTCAACCTGCCTAATTATCGGTCCATTGGTAACAAAGACATACAAAACCATCGGGACAACCTTCACACAGCTCCTCGGCACAGCACTAGTCTTCGCCGCCCTCTTCGGTGCATCGTATGCCACCAAGATCTGGCACCTCTTCCTAACACAGGGCGTCTGCTTCGGTATTGGAATGGGCTTCCTATACTTAACCAGCATGGCAGTCTTACCACCCTGGTTCTCAACAAAGCGAAGCCTCGCAATCGGCATTGCCGCTTCTGGTTCCGGCGTGGGCGGTCTCATCTACAACCTAGGAGCCGGGCGTGCCATCGAAACACTAGGCGTAGACGCAACCTATCGAATTCTGGCATTCTGCGCCTTGGGCGCTAACACCTTCTCCTCACTCCTAATGAAAGAACGGAAAGCAGCCCGCCCTGCCACGCCACAGCGAACCGTCAATTACCGCGAGCTTAGCCACTTCGAGGTCTTCCTCTTGATCCTTTGGGGCGTTGCTACTGAGTTTGGATACATTGCTCTCTGGTACTCGCTACCCAACTATGCTTCCTCTATTGGACTCAATCCGCAGCAGGGTTCTGTCGCGGGTGCTATCATGAACTTGGGTCTTGTCATTGGCAGGCCGATTGTGGGACATGCCAGTGATATATTCGGGCGGATCACCATCTCAATGATGATGACTGCGCTCTGTGGGATGCTTTGCTTTGCTATTTGGATTCCGGCGCATTCTTATGCCCTGTTGCTCGTCTTTGCGGTTTTGGTCGGCACTGTCTGTGGCACGTTCTGGGGTACTATCACGCCTGTCATGGCCGAAGTGGTTGGCTTGAATCGATTGCCTTCGACTTTTGCTTTGATTTGTCTTGCTCTGGTTATCCCTACTACCGTTGCTGAGCCTATCGCTCTCAGTCTTGTTGCTACCTCCGGATACTTAAGTACCCAGGTGTATGTGGCGTGCATGTTCATCCTTGGTTCGGTGAGTCTGTGGGTATTGCGGTCTTGGAAATTTTACGAGCTGGAGATGAAGGCATTGAGAGAGCGCGAAGGCGATGCTGTTTCTAGTCACGCTTTGACTGCTGTTCCGAGTTACTTCACCTGGGTTCGGCCCCGTAAGCTTTTCTTATACGGGCGCGTATAAGGTGAAGTATTCGGGGCCAAAGAATGGTTTATGAGTCTTCAGGATAATCTAGAGATAAGATGAATAAATTTATAGGGTAATAACATACATCGCACTTTTCCTCAATTGGTTAGCACCTGGGCACCCTCGGCCATGACTCAGAGTAAGATAGCGAAAAGGCGTGGCTATGCTCAACGTTTAAGTAGAACAGAAGAATCCAAGATTCAATTATTTGCAATTCTTAATTTTCCAGGTGTTCTGGACATTGCTCGCCAAAATGCCCGTCTACTTTAACCCGCTCACCAAGGAGCCCTATCTCCGGCTTCCAGCACCATGTTCCCATATTATCATCACGATGGACCGTCCACACGACATCGAAGAGACATCAAAAGCAATGACTGAGATTCTCAATGATCCACTTGTCTATCCATGGCTAGAAGGACCACCCTACCCATTTCTGCCCGAGCACGCCGAGGACTGGATCAACATGCAGTGCAAACAAAACGAAGCCATCCTAACTAAACTGCAACAAGAATACGAGCGATCAAAAAATCAAAAGCAAAGCAAGGATTCCAGTGACCAAGATGTCCCTCCAGAATTCTTCGATGTTTGCGCTTTCAGATGCATCCGTGAAGTCACCGAATACGACCTCAAGACTGGCGCAGCACTCAAGGATATTTTCATCGGCTCTATCAGTATCACCCGGTATGCCTTCTATGAATTGGAACATGGAAGCTCGGCAAGGGAAGAGGCACAGGCGAGAAACAATGAGGTACCTGCTGGAGACAAGGATATTGTCTGGGGATTAGGAAGTATGTTCTTAACCCAATTATTACTTTTCAGTGACATAGCTAACGATGTTGACAGACTATCTTTCGCCTAAATATCATGGTCAGGGAATTATGACACTGGCTGTCCGGACTCTCATTCGGGATTGGGCTATTCCTCGGATGAATCTCCATATCCTGAAAGCCAGCTATCTAGTTGGGAATACAGGCAGTTCGAAAGTTATGAGTAAGAACAACTTTGAGGAAGTGTGTACTTTGGAGGATTGGGCTCCTGAAAGCAAGAATCGGGGTCGGCCGAGGATGTCGATTGTTGTTCTGAACTGGAAGGGGCTTTCATAGCGCTCGGTGTTGAAGGGTTTACCTGTCAAGCACCTTTGGGAATAAAGGGCTACTTGGGGTTTTGGTGACTCTAAATTTGACTTGCACACAGGGCACTGAGCTCGCTTGTTGATCTTTATATAAAAAATAAAATAAAATAAGAGCTCTATTATCACATATATCGGAGGTATTGATGTATGTGGTACCTATCTTGGGATGTACAGTACAGACTTCGACCCAGGGTTACTTGCATTGATGATCACCCGCTTCGCCCGAGGTGACACCAGTTCTTCCGAGATGCTTATTTGGGCTAAGAAATGTCGCTCACCAACCTGAGCGAGGAGGCTAGGTAAGGGCTGAGGATCAGATCTCAGTTTTTCCGAATATGCACACTACCAGCTCCTGCATATGCAATGCAAGGCTGTCGCCAATTATTATTTGCTGCGTTCTTCATTTTTGCTTCTGACACGTACTACAATCTGGTCAGTGGCCAAATTTGCCAAGATCAGTGAGCAAATTATGGATGCGATTGGTTGAAGGGTAGGGGCATGAGCGAGGAACCATCTGCGGATTTCCACAATGAAGAACAAGTTAAGACCCCACTTGTTTAAGAAGAATGTGAATAGTCCTACATGTACATACCCTTTTATTCCACCGGGAAATAGATCGACATTTTGAAAGATGCAACTCTTTTGAAAATGAAATTGTGTTCTCTTTGCCGCCCCAAAAATGAAGCTGTACGCACCAGCATGCATCCCGTGTGCTAGCTGACACGAGTTCAGCTCAAGTGGCTTTGGAGTGGGTACATCTACCTTTTGTTAATTAGTTCTGCATAATATACCCCCCATATTATCGAAAATCTCTTCTCAAAAAGGGAATAAGTGGATTCGATAGTCAGGAGAGCATTCTGAAAACAATTAATCCGATGAACAGGTATGCGCAGGGTTCAATCTAGATGTATAGCCAAGAGAGGCTACTAGCAATGGCTTTTAATGGCTTTTAATGGCCAAATAAATAATCTAGAGCCTCCGCGATAATAAATTAGAGACTAATTCCCTGTTCGATCTCCTTTGACTTTTGTTACCAAAATCCAATCATTGTCTATCTTTACGGAAATGCGTCTCTTTACCATAAGCCTTGCGCTTGCTGCCACACTGGCTGATGCATCTTCATTTATCAGACCGAATAAGCCCCAGGGAAACCGGGTAAGTTGTGACAGCCCTCTCTCCAATATCGAGATGAACATCAATGCTAATATTACCAGGAGCGTGATTACCCCGACAGATGCTATCCCGATCCCTGCAAGGGAATAACCAACCAAAACTCCACTGCTGTCTGCGGAGACCCACGACTCGGTCCAAAAGTCTTTCCTAAGTACTTCCCTCTCGCCAACGAACTCCAGACCTACTCCCGATTTGGCGACCTCTGCCCTTACGAGTTCCTGGAGAAATGGACCCTGAATGCATCCGACCCCAAGGCATACTGGATCTACCCAGGGGACAGTGGTTTTACGATCAACACCGAGTCGCTTCCTATCCAGGGCAACATGACCCTTCCTGTGGGCCAGAAGCTCGATCGATTCGGATCTGAATACGGAAACTTCATGGCTCCTCTTGGTGCGCCGTATATTGAACGATCTCTGCCTCCATCCAACCTGTTTGCGCCGGAGAAAAGCAGCTTCCCTTACAACTATCATGTGTACGAGGTGACCAAGCAATTTGAGGCTTTGGTGGGCCCCGTCGCGCCTTGGTTTGAGCAGCCCGGGTTTGGCTCACAGCTTATGGTTCCGATGAAGGTGCTCGATTTGATTGACCAGGGTTTCTTGAAGAGACTGGAGACTAAGGACTATGACGAGGCTGAAGAGTACTCTGCTGGATATCTGCCCGATCCCGCTCAGCCTACTTCTTCTTAGCGCTGGCTCGGTATAGCGTAGTTGTGGATTTTCTACTCTCTGTATACTTGATTCAGCAATTTTGATGTCTCAGTGATGATCTCTAATTGACAAGCCTGTTTTCTCGCATTCTTATCCAATACAAATCCTATCTACAAACAACACAACTATACTTGGGAACATGGGAGGAAACAAAGCTTATCAAGGCGTGACAGGTCACATAACCCATTCTGGCATAATCCGAAGTAAGTTGGTCTTGGCCCTGGCAGTCTGATAAGGAACAACTAAGAGTTGGACACATCTCGAGTAGTATATCGGCATTGCCTATTATCAATCCAACATGGTAAAGAGCCAAGAATGCGCAAAGTCTACAATGTGATGGTTTAAATCATGTCTTGTTTTACAAGTAGAGAAATGTTGTCTAAGAGGGACGCATTCATCAGTGGTAACATGAGTTCTAGGCACGATAAATGGCATTGTAGTACATATAGTCACGCCAGAGCCCAAACTCCTGGAAACCAGAATAAACAGACAGGCAGGAATGCATCGTCTCACGTACGCCTCCAGACTATTATCAATATATCAGAATGGTATGGCATTGCTAACCTGCCCGTTAAGTTTGACAGGATATCCCAGCATGCTAGTTTTGATCAGCCTGGAAGTTCAGAAGGGAGACGGGGGAAAAAACATACTCTTTTCCGGTCTTAGTGCAGCCACAGCCACAGAAGATTGAGAGAGGCCAGCAGAATACCTGAATAAAGATGTGGAATAAGCACCCGTGCAACAGATCTATATGCTCTATCCCGAGAGACTATAAGGTATGACTTATACTAACCGCCGCCACAATGGTTGAGCAGAATCCTAAATAACAGTCAGACTGAGCCCAATGCTCAATATTTTGATAACTATAGAAGGTAAGGCTTACCAAGCGTCGGGCCAACCACCTTGCAGTGGCACGGATTCTGATCAGTGCCACATTGGAAACATATTGGAAAGATCGGAAAGAAGGGAATGTCACACATGGTGTCGGATTGGATATCTAGGTATTGAATTGAGCTACAAGGAAAGATCTAGTATCGTGAGAGATCAAGAGAGCTTCCCCAGATGGAGGGTTCACCGCCTGGTCTTTAGTTTTGGATTTTATCATAATGACGCAAATGATATTGAGATCCACCGACCTTGTTTGATGCAGTGTCATGCTAAGGATAAATGCGATGGGATGAGTTGTATATGCATATTTTTTATTGTATTCAGATAAAAGAAAGCAAACATCAGAACGACAATGCATTCTTAGTCTCCAGTGCCAGCCTTAACGGCTAAAATTAACCTCCTGACTCAGCATACTCAGCCACGGACTGCGGGGCTCAGCCACGGTTCCCCTCGAATCAAACATCACGGGAAGCGTTAAATGGAATGAGACCCCTGAGTTTCAGGCATTTACATTTGTCTTTTGTCGAATTTTGAACATTCTCGCCTTACAAGGACCATATCCACTCCAGGCAGCAGTGTCGGCAACTATTTGCGCACGCGACACACTTATTCTTGGCAACATATAGTGTATTTTTCCGCCGTTTCCTTTCTCGATTTCCACCCTCCCCACAAGACCCTCCAGATCTTCGACTTCTTTTCCTTAAAGAAACAAGACACTCCCCTCAAATCGATACATTCGCTATACACAGAACAACCCCCACCATGGGCGCCCGCAATCTCATCCCCCTCATCCTCCTCCTGGTCTTCGTTGGCGTCCTCGCCGTGGTCGGCTTCGTCGTCTACAGCATCGTGCAAGATGTCGGCAAGAACACGCGTGAGAAGATGGAGCGCAAGAACATCGCGTTCACCAAAGACGGCATGAAGGTGCAAGTAAAAGAGATCAAGGACGAAGCCTACAAAGATCGGACCCAAGGGTGAGTTTGGTCTCTATTGATTTTGTTTCTCACCTTGCTTCCCAAGGCTAACGCATTATCTCACTTAGTGTTCTGGTCAACATGTGGAACCACACTTCCTTCCCTGCCTACAAGAGCCGACTTTGGGATATGAGTGGCTCCTCTTCTACGGATCAGAAGAATGGCGCTGAGAAGCGCAAGTAGTACGTGTGACCTGGTCATTGTTGTAATGGTCTTGTGAACTAACGTGGATTGTACTAGATCTTCGAGAACAACCATCTGCCCGCGGCGACTTACTGCACATACTATTTTCTCTTCATCGCCGTTCGATCTACGAGTTTCATTGCATATCTTGTCTAGACACAGATCTGTCTTATGGTATAAGGAGATGGCGGCCGGCACTTGATACATGTTGACAGATACATGTTGACGGCTTTTCCACCATTTGACAGCTAGCGAAAAGTGTGTCTTATGCTTCTGGGCTTGATTTTCACCTTTTCTGTTCATATTTCTTTTCTCCTTTTCTTCTCGGTCTCGGTCAATGCGTCATGAATTATGGCAGGTCCTGATATATGTTGCTTTTACCTCTTACCAACTGTTCCCTGTGCATTTACAAGTTCAAACTACTTTTGAAATGTCTATGTCACTCTTTACGTGTGAGCTTGGGTCTAAGTTCGTGCATTGGTGATTAGGGTTAATGGAACCTGAAAACTTATTCCATAGACAATCCATGTAAAAGATAATAGGGCAAACGCCTTTTGCAGCTCCACTATAGTACATGTTGTCACCTGGTTATAGATGATCCTGATCGCAGATGTGGAACATCTAGAGCAGACGTTGTAGTGAAGACCATTATTTAGGAGTATCACCCATCGCTGTGTTTCAATGTTTCACTTGCAACCCACTTTATAGCTGTCATCGCTAAGTCATGGTTAGGTCCGGCAGCACTTTCCCTAGCACTCTGGGTTTCTGAACGGCATTGCATAAAACCATCTAGTTCGTACTACGGTATTACGCAGCAAATGGCGTTGCGGGGAATATCACTACGGGAATTAAAACCAGGAGTTAGTGGTGATGTCGACGTGTAGATTTACAGGCTAGTATATTACATGCTTGATCTGAGGGTCATCTGGTAACCTGCCTGAGTTCTAAGGAGGGGCTTTTAAACCAGTCTTGCTGTACATACGCCTGCTCACCTTAGAATGACACCCATGCGATCTTCCCACATTGCGTGAAGTTGCACTGATTAAAGCAACTACGGCAGTGACGGCCCGGTAAATAATGGTTTCTTTCTGGCTCCGATCATTTGGAATGCCAGTCAAGGATATAACAAGGTAGAGAGGTGTTGAGAAGAACTTACCTGAAGTATCTTGTCTCTGGCGGAATAAGCCGGTGTCTTCTTTCTTTACTATTAGTCCCTCCAACAAGACAAATCAGATGCAAGTTCCACTCTGACATCAAATTAGACGAAACAAATCCACAATGTTGGGGGGAAAGCCGCTGATAAGAACATATTAAAAGAAGCACGTGCTAGCAGTCAGAGGATATGCATAGAAGACAGGAAAAATAATAATTAATATCGCTTAACCTCTATAGTTCAACTGCCGCCCAGCACGTGACTTTAATGGGGCCTACAAATGACCTCGATTAGAAATAAAGTACTATGATTGGCCTAAACCCAAGAGTTAAGCAGTGGGGGCCCACTTTCCTCGCCCCACCAAGCCGACCGTCCTCGAATCAGCGTTGCACGTGCCTGGCCAGAAAGGGCCACAGAGAGCCACGCCAAGCACGTTGTCTTCCTGGGTCACTCGATAGGCTGTGATCAGCAGAGGAGCTGATCAAGTTTCTCCGCAGATGCAACATGCTTGCGCATGGGTCGGTGACTTTGAGCGATGTTTTCTCTTAAACTTAAGAAATCCCTCCTTGCTCCCTTTCTCATTCCTTTCCAGTCAAGGGGTGCTGCAAGGTTTCTCACGTTTTGAAATTTCTCACTTTCTACAACCATGTCTGTTAGCTCGTTGAAAGGCCTGATGTCGAGCTATTCCCCTCTCGCCGATCGCAGTCCCTCTTCGGAGGAGAAGGACATGAGCCTTCCTCTTCGCTCTGATGTCGAGGCTGGAAACAATAACAGTCGAGATGCGAAATCGTGTCGCTTCATCGACGGTCGCACAGTCTCAGATGCTATTATCGGTCTGTCCGACGGTATGACTGTGCCATTTGCCCTCACAGCTGGTCTGTCCGCACTGGGTGATACCAAAGTGGTGGTATTCGGTGGACTGGCAGAGCTCATCGCAGGAGCTATCTCAATGGGGTTAGGTGGATACCTGGGTGCCAAGAGCGAAGAGTGAGTATCCTCTGTTCTTTTAAAGAGCGATCGCCACAAAGTCCCGGCCGATATATTGGAACCTGATTACTGATACACTTATAGGGAATCATACAAAGCTACATTGAAAGAAACAACGACACAAACCATGACTGATGCCGCCTCTGTGTCCGACATTATTAGCGATATTTTTGAGCCCTACGAGCTACCTTCTGAATTGGTCGCTCAACTCAAAAATCACCTCTCTGCTTCCCCCATGCTCCCATCCTTCCTCATGAACTTCCACCACACCATGCCTGAGCCTTCTGGCTCTCGAGCTGTCATCTGCGCCTTGACAATCGCACTTGGATACTTCATCGGTGGATTCGTCCCTCTCCTCCCATACTTCTTCGTTGGCCCCCAGGATGCGTTCGTCGCCCTGCGCTGGTCTATTGCTACTATGGTCATTGCACTATTCATCTTTGGATATGGCAAGACATGCTTCGTTACTGGCTGGAGTGGTCGTCGGAATGTCCGAAAGGGGTTGATTGGAGGAATACAAATGGTCTTGGTGGGCGGCATCGCAGCTGGCTCGGCAATGGGATTGGTGAAAGGTTTCCAGATGCTCGCTGATGGCTCCGGTGAAAAGCATGACTAAATCGCCCCCCATTTATTCTATCTTTTGCTTCCGATGTTCTGTTGCCTGGTTCATGGTGTTGGCGTTGAGCGGCATTTTCGATTTTTGATATCTACGACGATATATCGGCTGGCGTTGGTTTTCGTTTCTTGTTTATCCATGGATCTTAGGTCCATGGCAAAAGCATTCCGGACAATTACCGTCAAGGTATTGGATGGTTTGAAATCTCCACTTCGGCGTGAAATGGACTTAGGTTCATATTTAATTCACCCGAAGGAAAGATGGGGAGAAAGAGAGAACAAGGTCTACTATGAAGTTCAGCATTAAGTTACTAAATGGTAGTGCCCAATGAATAACATGATTGACAATCTAAGATCACTCAAAGATAGATTCTACATTCCATAGGTCTGGGTAGATACAACAACATGTCTGGCAAACTAAATGGCCTCATACACTGGCCATTACCAATAGACCCCAACAAAGAGTCGAGAAAAGCTCTAGATGCTCTGTAGAAGCCAACAATGGCGTCATCGAACCCCTGAGGTCTACCCCAGATCTATTTTCAGCCCCTGATACCAAACCTTATCGCGCCCCATTCTTGCATTACCCAAATAAATGTACCCAGATAAGTCCCCAAGTTAACAGGTTAACATCCTTGGAAGTCCGGAGCTGGGGTTCTGCTCGATGAACGAGTCATGCTAAACCCCGAGATACCGTACTTCGGTGTCATCATCGTCCCACCGGATTGGGACAACATGTACATGTAACGTGAGGTTGGATCGGCGACGCATATACACCTTCCGATCGTGGTATTTGTGTATGGAAGTGGTATGCTCATCTTGAAAATTGAAATTGAAATTGGCTACTGTTAGGCTACCATTTTCTTTAGAAATGCGTTGTATAGTATGCTAAGCATGGCTGTGTAATGCCAAGGGACTATGCATGCTAGTTGATCTTTGGTATCCGACGTATCCTACTCAGCCACTAGTAAGTAACGGTAAAAGTATGCAGTGGCTTAGAATGACGACGTGAAGCATTTTTAGATATCATAGCGGTGAGTGCGGAGTAGATGTACGTGGTTGGACCGGGTAGAGCTATAACGCACGGGGGCTCTAACGGTCAAGCTGACACTTCACATAAACAGACACGTATCAGATTCACTGCTAACAGCCATGACATTACAACGTTGTCAATGCAAGGCATGGAAGAAAGCCAAACCCGCCCTACATTCCAAAAGCTAACGGATATGCACCCGAATTTCGATCAGGCAATAAGCCGCGCTCTCTCAGCCTTAGAAGCCCCGATCATAACCATTGACCTCATATGATGCACCGTGCATCTGTGGCGCAGCAACAAAAACCCATGACTGGGCATTCTCCAGCCTTACATCACTAATCTAAGTATGGAGTAACAGTAAGCCAAACCCGAGCCCACTCACTAGGCAGCAAGTCAGAGGGAGCCGAATACGAAGAGTGCGCTGTCACTCTCACTCTTACTGCCAGGCTGTCAAAGTATAGTACATATCTGTCAGAGCATGGGGCCGTAAGTTATCTTGCCTACTGTACAGTATACAGTACGGGGAGCATGTGCCTCCATACTCAACCGTTGGCGCTGAGTTCGGGATCAAGGGAGCGTGTGATTGGTCGCGGTCGCGCGACGCTGGATTCTGAAACGGCGCAGTACCAAGGACGTTCAATCACAGGTTGTATATTTTAGATTCAGGGACACGGCTAGGCTAGGCTGACGCTGTGCTCAAGCGTGTAATGGTAAGTAATTAGGGAGGCTGGTTATCCCCTGAGACAATCATTGCACATCCTCATCTCTACACGCTGCCGTGTATCCATAAGTATTTGTAAAACAGGTGTATCTATTACTCTTAGTAACAATGCACAAGTTCAATGGTCTGGTTTTCTTCGTCATAGAAGTAAAATCTAACACGCGACATATATGGGGTTCCGTGCCTGGTGCCATGATCATATGAGCCGAAACTCCGAGTGTGGATCTTGGAAAGTCACGATCCAAGATGTAACTTATGGTCTATGCGGACTTAAGCAGAGTTCCTGATATACTGTACTAGGAAGATCACCAGGACGACGGCCGAAGTGAAGGCCGACACGCCGGTTTTTGAATACGAAATACGAAAACCTTACCAATAGTGGGCTAAGCGAAATTGGGCCTGGAGATCTGGGGGCTATGATTGGCTCTCGGGATGGAACGGTGGGACAGCAGCTGCGCAGGGGCCAATCCGCCGCATCTATGGAAAATTTCCATCTTTAGTTGCCTTTTGCGTCTATGGTTGAATTGAAGATCATTAACTGCACATTGGACAATAGTTGGGAATTAGAGTTGGTAAGTCTAGAGTGTTGATCTGTAGCAGTAGATATAACTTATGTCTACTGTACTACTGCTACTACGCCATAGTAATTTCGGGGATGTCGGATACTCGTCGGACTTGAACTTGGCAAAGCTCCGAGATATGCTAAGAATTGTGATTTCTCATGCATCTTCCGATCGGGCTCTCCGTGGGTTCCGCCGCATCCGCCCAACATCAAATTCTGAGCCTGGCCGGATGACCTGTATTGAATACTGCCGAGGGCTCCGGTCAGACTCTCTTTGAAAAGCTTCCCAACACTCCAAACATGTAGGCAGGTATAGCTAGCGTAATTTGCTTTTGTCGGTAGTATAGACAGTGATATCCATACGCCGTCAGGGTCGGGTAGTATACACCAAAACAGCTAGTGACGCCATAGACTCCCGCTGACATAAGCCCGAAAAATTCAATACCCCAAAAATTGGCTGGTAATACCAATACCAATACCCTCTATCCCGTTCTTCTTCTCCCCTTCCCTTCTCTCATCCTCTTTAATTCCTAATTCCCAGGGCAGTGGTCTTCTCGAGTTCTCTTTATTCTGGGTTTCCGCCCTTGCTGTTACCTTGCATCTCGGAGCCCTTGCCAACGTGACCTCCTGAATTCCTCGCCCCTCGGCCCCGACGCCTTCCTTCTTATCGGCACCTTCATGAGCCTCTCGTCTGGCCAACCTTGATCTACCCCCTTTCCCCATCCGTGACTGCCTTTCCGTCTCGTCCGGCATTCCTCGAACCTTCAACATCCCTATTTTCCAATTCGAGTGATCCGGAACCTCCTGGAGGAGCGTTGCCACGATGAGTGCCTCCTTTCCTTCATGGAAAGATCGCACACAGAATCAGTTCGGAAAGCTTCAGATCCAAGTACCATGGCGGTCATTCCAGCTCCTGGTGCCGCATCGCATGCGTCGCAAGCTCCGTTCCAAGCTACGGAGTCGTCTCTCGCCTGCTTCGTCCATCTCAACGCTGCAGACCTCCTTCTCGCCTGTCGACACCCTCAGATCATTACAGGCGCATCGGTGGACGATGTATGATTTCCAGTACCTTTTGCTTTTGATCGTGGGCATCTTCTCCTTAACGATAATTCAATCTCCTGGCCCGCTCGGAAAGACGGCCATCGCCACGGGGCTGCTGTGCTCTCTACTTATGCCCATCACACGGCAATTCTTCCTGCCCTTTCTTCCCATTGCTGGGTGGCTGATTTTCTTCTATGGTTGCCAGTAAGTTTTACCCTGAAGTGTGTTTCAGCGTATGCGCCGCGTGCTGGTGTTGGTGGCGTGATGAAATGTGGCGGAGACGTGAACATGATGTGGCAGGTGGATGAAAGGAATTACCGCTAACAATGCCTTCTTTTAGGTTCGTCCCAAGTGATTGGCGACCTGCCATTTGGGTTCGGGTTCTTCCGGCCATGGAGAACATTCTGTACGGCGCAAACATCAGCAACATCCTATCTGCTCACCAGAACGTGGTGCTAGACGTTCTAGCATGGATCCCCTATGGTCTCTGCCATTACGGAGCTCCCTTTGTCGTCTCTTTGCTCCTTTTCTTCTTCGGCCCTCCGGGAACCACCCCTCTGTATGCCCGGACTCTTGGCTACATCAGCATGCTAGCTGTCACCATCCAGCTGGTTTTCCCTTGTTCGCCCCCGTGGTATGAGAACCTATACGGTCTGGCGCCCGCCGATTACTCCATGCAGGGCAACCCCGCTGGACTTGCTCGCATTGACAAGCTTCTCGGTATTGACTTGTACACCTCGGGCTTCAAGCAGTCCCCAGTTGTGTTTGGTGCATTCCCTTCGCTCCATGCCGCGGACTCGACTTTGGCCGCTCTGTTTATGAGCCACGTCTTCCCCCGTCTGAAGCCCCTCTGGGTTACCTACACCCTGTGGATGTGGTGGGCTACCATGTACCTATCGCACCACTATGCAGTCGACCTCGTCTGCGGAGGTCTGTTGGCCACGGTCGCCTTCTACTTCACCAAGACCAGGTTTATGCCTCGAGTCCAATCCGACAAGATGTTCCGCTGGGACTACGACTATGTTGAGATCGGCGACAACTCCCGCGATTTCGGTTACGACCTCGCCAGCTTGGATGGCGACTTCAACCTGGATAGTGATGAGTGGACCGTTGGATCTTCCTCCTCCATCTCTTCCGGCTCTTTGAGTCCCGTGGACGACCATTATACATGGGAAAGCGAGACCCTGACCTCGAATCACGACATTGAGGCGGGACGATAAGCTACTCAGCTTTGCTTGCACATACCTTCACTGTCCATTGAATGCATCTATCACTTTGAATCGGCGTTATGTTTGACGACAATGTTTGGGAACATTTTCTGCATCGAGCCATTTCGACACCCTAAGGTTTTTAATCTGTTCGAAAACCTCCGGTTCGCGCGGTTTTTCGCTTTGAGCCGAAGGTACTTTTTTACCCTCTGGCTGTACATGCCTCGCCATCCCACGTTCGGGATGGCAACTCCGTCTATAATATTAATACCGGTGGTGGAAGGGATCGGGCCTTGTCCACCTGCCTGCGATCGCCAATCCCCCGCACCACCACCGTCGACAACCTTCGCTTGTACACACCGGGACGCCCCTGGGCGGTCCCATTTCGCTTCTGACCCATGTCTTTCGTTACGACTTTATGAACTGGACAAGCCGCCCTTTTTCTTCGCTTCAGGCTCGTCCAGATTGCACAAAAATTATTATTATCATTCGTGTCGATCGCTCATACTTGGCGCCTGGGAACTTTGGATCTGTTTTGGAGAGATAAAAGGTTTCGGCGCCTTTCGCTTGCACTACACTCGCTGTGCGTTTAGAGGTCATTGGATATTGGCTGTTTACGACATTTTGCATCGGCACAAAGAAGAGAGAGAAGGGCTTCTGCAAAGAGATCGTCACACTCGGTCTGCCCTTCGTTTTTGTGTCTCCGCCACTTGGCAGGTGGTAATTCGGCGTTGACATCGTGCTGGTTCTTCCTGTGGATTCGAATTCGACAGGAAAGATCCGAGGAAAGGAATGAGGGGGAGATGGGGGTGTGTCGATTGAGTGCTGGAAGCTTGTTCTTTCACGACCTCAAGTGGCCATGGCAGCTGGGCTTGGAAGGAAAAGGTTTTTTGACGGAGGCCGTTATCCTTCTCGTCCCTTGAAGCTTGCCGATTCTCTTCGCTTCTGGCTATCGAGGATGAAGCTAATCCGACTTCCTAATGCGTGTACACCTGCGACTATCTTATAAACTCCGGCTGGACTCTGTTCGGGCTGAGAGCGGTTGTGTTCATGCCTCTTATCGTTAGTTTGGACGATGAGATGTTGGATATTCTTAGCATTATCCTTAATCCGTAGCGTACGAGTTAATGAATTATTGTACATTATTCGGTTCTTCCTTCTTGTAACAACGTTACATGTATATAATCAACAGAGTCACATGTTTCTTCACTCGGTAAGTTAACTTAATTTCTTAACTTCGAACTCGGGTAAGCATGTTTGATTGGCGGAATAGGAACAGAGTTAATGGATGTGAACTATACGAACACGAACCAACCAGCCCCCTATATCAGGTTTACATCCCAACACGAGTGGAACCGCTATACCCTGGATTCTCGATAACATCATACATAACATCATACCACGGTCCATATCTTGCATGCATGCTGGATAGGAGAAACAAAAGTTTACCACCTTAAACAAGTAATAAACAAAAAATGATCAGCAACCCCGCCTGTCAGAAAATGTGATGAGCACCGTCGATCAGCACAGACGGAAAGAAAGAAAAACATGCAGCAGTAATACTACAATACGGAGTTACAGTCTGATCCTTGCAGCTATCTTCCTCCCCCTTACAGCTCCAACTCGTGACACTATTAGTTAGAATGCATAACGGATCCCATCGCGGAAGAAGGAAACTGGCTGGATCCGACGCCCCGTGTCCACCTCCTTATCCCCTTATGCACGGGACTCGAATGGATCTATGCATCTGCATAAAGCTGCAGTTTGGTTTTGATGTGGGCTTTGACTGTAGTTACACGTAGTTACCGGACTGGAAGTAATAGAAATAGGAATGGGAATAGGGGGTTCTTGGTTTCTTCACAAAAAAAGTTACAGTATCACTAGATTTCAGAGGAAATATAGTCCAGTCCGTACACTCGCTTTTTCTCGTAAGATAATCGTAGGGTAAGTGGGAATATACAAAAGTGCCGTACAGTAAACAAGAGACCCGTCTATTGTAGAATATCCTCGGGTATGTCTAATAACAGATGTGTGTATCAAACGTAAGCCACAAGGGAAGGGAAGAGAAAGAAAAACAGTAAATCAACATTGGCCGTACATAAGGGGTTTCCGTAAACGTTTGAGGAGGGAGAGGTATTAGTCGTCAAAGATCTGTACACGATCTGCGTATTCGCGGATATTTGAGACGAATGTCTCTTCGATTAGGTCGCCTTTGCCGCCGGCAACGCGGAGGAGGAGGTCATTCAGTGATGCGCGGCCGAGGATATCGACATGGTCACCTGTGTCAAGTCAGTGGTCAATTCTGTTTCAGAGATTGGAGCATATTAAGAAGGACATACCGGTGTTAGGTCCACCTCGGGGCGAGAACCGATCTGGTTCGTGCGGCATCTCAAAGACCTTGATCTTTGTACCGGCCGGGTTATACCGCTTCATGCGCCAGCCCTTGGCGCACATATACCCTGTGCTGAGCAGGTTGACGGTGCCGTCACCCTCGCCCATAAGAACGCCGCGGTCGACACCATCGCCGTTGGTGATGGTAGTGTCCATACTGACGTTAAGGTTAACCAGAGGGTCAGTCTCTTCTTGGTAGAAGTAGCTGCGCTCTGTGGGTTTCCCCACGCCGTAGAAACAATAGATCTTCATATCGGGGGCATATGGTAGACGTGACTCGAGAGGGTTGAGCCATGTGCGAGGATCTTTCTCGTTGGCTTCAACTTCACGCCGGGTGTGTGCTACACCGTGTGAGTAGCTGCCCAGTACCTGGTTGCGGTACCAGTCCTCACTCTGGTCCAGGAGGTACTGCAGACTCTCTGTGGTGGTGAGATTGCGTTTCGTCCAGGACGAGTTGGTCTCGTGGAAGTTGAGCAGGTTGCCAAAGGACAAAGGCTGACCGGGTTGATCATCCGGTGCCCAGGTAGCATTTCCCCAGACGGCTTCGCCGCCCTTGGGTAGCATGCTGGAGATTCCCGGCATGGCGCGGAAGATCTCTGCTCGCTCCTCCTTGGATAGGAACTTCTCTAATCCATACACGGCGAAGGCGTTGAGTTGCGCGGTATCCCGCATTTCGCCGGATAGTACGGCTGTTAATCCCTTGACGGCACCTAGCATGCAGCCGCTGATGTTGACCCATGAGTCGATGTGCTTGTTGACCCAGTCTTTGCCGCCCTTCCCGTGTTCCTCGCTCTCCACCCACTTGAAGAAATATAGCACCACTTGCGAACCCATGCTGTGCGACGCCAGGGTGATCTTCTCACCCTGTACCTGCACTGCGGTCTCAATGTAAGACTTGAGCCGAGTAAAATACTTATCGCGAACTTCGAGGTTCAGGTATGACAACCGCCAGTCGTAGGCAGCCGTAAAGGCATTGGTAGGATCATAGCCAATAGTAGCCAGGTTCTCCAAAATCTTGTTCCAAATCCAATATCCAGTGATAAAGAAATCCGTCGCGTCGAATCCCTGCGCCGCGCGCAGCTTGATGCCAGGCGGGTCGAGGCCTGTCTCCCGGTCGAGCATAACGTGGTTCTTCCATTCCGCTTTATCCATAACCAGCGCTCTCATCATGCTCCAGCTGCCCCATAATCGTCGGCGGAAGTATTGGCGCGAGTTCTCGCCCGTGCCCCAGCTCTCTAGACCAGTCGAGATAACGCCGGGTATCATAACAACGGGATGTTTGGCTTGGACGCCCTGGGATTGAAGGTGTAGTCCCACAGAGAAGGAATCATAGCTGACGGTAGCGCGTTCGTGCTGCTACAGCCCCAATGTCGTCAGTCACATGAACGTAGCGTAGAGATAAGAGAGCTGCTCTCTCGGGGTCACTTACTGAGAACTGCTTCACGTCGCTTACAATACCTTGCGGAATGGCGTCCATCAAGGATTCCAAGTTCAAGTCCATGAGCGAGTCGAGACTAATAACCTCCGACTGGTTCGCAAAGAACAAGGCGATAAAGATGCCGAACAGTCCGCCCAGTACGAAGATGAACCCATTGCGACGTTTGCTCCGGGGCTTGAGGATCAGCTGCTTAACCTTTGCATCACCAAACTCCGCGCGAAGCCGAGCTTCCTCAGAGTTTGAGCCGGAGACGAGGGAGTCGGGTTGCGGGACCTTGTCCTTGCCCGTGCGGCGGCGGAGCATAGCGACCAACCGCGAGGAAGGAGAGAGGAGGGGAGTAAAGGCCCAGAGCAATTGCCTGGGACCTGAAGATGGAAAATAAAATCAACAGAAGTAGCGAAAGAAGAAAAATGTAAAGCAAAAACATGTGCACAGCCGTTAACGTTAACGGACGGATCGGCATCACATGGCAGTTGCGTAACTTTGCATCCCAACCTCCGACCACCTCCATTTCTCACCATCCCCGTGATGAATGCGCCCTCCGATCTCCACTACGTGCGGTACGATAACTCTCGCGAAAATGAGTTGGTCCCCGCGATGCGCCAACTGATCTCCAAGGATCTGTCCGAGCCTTACAGCATCTACGTCTACCGCTATTTCCTCTACCAATGGGGCGACCTGTGCTTCCTCGCGATGGACGATAAGAACGAGATGGTTGGGGTCGTGGTGTCGAAGCTGGAACCGCACCGCGACGGCCCGATGAGAGGGTATATCGCCATGCTGGCCGTGCGCGAGGAGTACCGGGGCCGGGGAATTGCAACCAAGCTGGTACGCATGGCCATCGATGCGATGATCGAGCGGGATGCAGACGAGGTACGTACAATACACGGGAGGCGGGTTTTAGCTAGCCATCGATGATTTAGAGCTAATCGGGGTATCGCGAGCAGATCGTTCTCGAAACCGAAATCACCAACACCGCCGCCATGAAGCTATACGAGCGACTGGGCTTCCTTCGTAGCAAGCAGCTGCACCGATACTACTTAAACGGCAACTCAGCATATCGTCTCGTGCTTTATCTGAAGGAAGGCGTGGGTGCGATTCGAACGGCCCTGGTTGATCCCTACGGCCCCCCGCCACCGGTTCCTGGTATACCAGACACGTGCATAGGGCATCCTTATTCCAACATGGGCTCGTTGGTTTGATAATCGTGGGCTATGCTGTACAGCTCCATTTGTGCTCTTTCAAGCGTGTTCTCGCATGACATGTCATGATAATTATGGGAAATGACCAAAATAGATATACCTACCTCACTGGATCTGGCGTCCTGGTGATTCTTATAGACAGAATCTTCGCACATTGAACTGTAACTGGCCCAGAGTAAGTCAAATAACAATTGTGTACTTCTCTCAGCCGTATAAGGACCATACGGAGGGATTCCCTTTTGACCTATGCTTTATACTGTAGTGGTGTCGATAAGGTAGTCTCGGTCATACTTCGGCTGGAGCCGGACGATGCGAGGAACAGAGCCAACATGTGTATAAAGACCCTTCTAGGTTGCTCTCGGTTTAGTCGATACTGTACTCTGTACGCCGAATGCATACTTAGCTAGGGTCTACCCGATCATTCTAGAATCTTCGAGCGATATCACTTACCGAAGCCGCCTTCACCACTCAACGAACGGCGTGATTCCCGGCACTATGGGTCCTAGCAATGACCGTTGCCTCCATGCGTACGTAGTATGACGGCAAAGACACAGTAGGGCGGAAACGGCAGGGTTCCGTCATATTTATTGATCCATGGCTATTCTATCGAGATTTTCATTATGAAGAGCTGCGGAACATGTTTACTGGCGGGACTGCACGTCCTCCAGATCTGGCAATTTCTGGAGAATCCCGATCGGCCATACATAGCTCACCACACAGTACGGAGAAGAAAAGCTCGATAATTGGGTCAGGGCCATGTTTCTAGAGGAAACCCTTATTGGCTTTTCGTATAGATGGACGTTTGAGGCCTCTGATTGGCGGGAGGACGGACCGGCGGACCGGAAATTGCCTGAACATTCTGGCAACCAATCGCCCAACGGCATGAAGTATACAGCTTCAATCTCCACCAGACTTCTCTCATCGGCCCCGTGGCATCGCCGAGTCATGGTAGTTGTCTATGCACGGCCCGATCTTACGTGCCATGGTTTCATCATAGTCCCAACCCCCTGGACCTTTCAGCTTATTTGCGGATTACCTTCCTGTTGCCACAGCCCTTTCCGATGCTTTGTCACACTGTGTCTGTTTAATCTGCCAAGCCGGGGTTTATTATGTTACTTAGGTTATCAGCCGTTCCATAGTGAAGTGGAATTTGCTCCCGGATCTTTTTCAGTCCTCCTTTTATACCAATGCTTTCCTACGCTGTCACACATTTGCCCTAATTACTCCCCCACTATACCTTTTTTGACACAGTCAAATACAGTGGCTTCCACAAAACATAAATGGCCTTATTTTCTTTCCTCAAAAGAAGCTAGGCAAACACCATGGAGCCATTACCCAAGGACGATGACCACAATGCGGGTCGTCGGGCCCGCGAGGTATATCGTTATTTTCGACCGGAGCGATTGGCCCCAATAGATGAGAATCAGTCATTCACCAGTGACGAGGCAGTCCTGCTGGATCCGTCAGCTCGGCAGGGTTCCTCTACATCAAGTCGCCCGGCATCCACCTCGCAATCTCTATCCAGCTCACGATCTGGCTCACAAGCATCATGGGGTGCATCTTTAGCCCCAATACCAAATTCCTTAGTCTTAGGTGACTCCAACGAGACACTGCATTTATTTGCGCAATTAGCCGCTTTACGCTTGAACGTGGACCGCGTCTTTATCAGGTAAGTCAGTAATAGTCGGGCGAGTGGCTCCAGCATGCTCACTGAGTTCGTCCTACCATTAGTGTGTCAGATCGTCATTCTCAGTTTATTATCGCCCAAGCTGCTCAAAAGACCAAAGACAACAATAAATATGATCGCCTAGGCGATGGGGTCTATACGGGCAGTTCCACGCTCGATGTTAGTTCGTGGACACCATGTCAGGTAGGTAGCTTTTCTCCCAGCAACTCCAGTCCATTGAACTAACTATAGTGTTACGCTACTAATAGGATACTCTTGCCCTTCCTCAATCCAAACGAGAACAGGGTGAGTATAGCTTTGTCATTTCCAACGATATGAGGGAAGATGAACGTTATAAAAACCTCTCTTTCGTGCAAAAGAAGCCAAATTTTCGATTCTATGCAGGCACGCCTCTCACAACAGACAGCAATATCAATGTTGGCTGTTTCTTTGTGCTCGATACAAAGCCTCATGCCGAATTCACCCAGTCAGAGAAAGAGACCATGGGCACCATGGGAATGCTCATCATGGACTTCCTCAGGGTGAGCCGGCAAGCCTCAGAGGGTCGGCGTGCAGCCAGGCTATCTCGAGGTCTGAGCTGCTTCGTCGAGGGCAGATCGAGGTTCGCAGATTCCTCCGAAGATCCAATTACGCATAACCCAAACCCGCAACGAAACTCGCGTCCATCTTCGAAAACAAGATCAAGTCGTCTCTCCATTTCTAATAATCAATATTCCCCCCGAAGATCTCGTTCTCGGGCCAGCGATGCTCGTTCGGTCAGTCCATTGTCAGATATCAATACCGATCATTCTAGAGCCTCTAGTGTTGGCTCGCATCTTCCTGGTTTGCAATCTGGCAATATGCAGAATAAAGATGATGGATATCAAGGAACCGCGTGGACTTTCCAGCGAGCAGCAAATCTGATCCGAGAAAGTTTAGAGCTAGAAGGCCATGGCGGTGTGGTCTTCGTCGAAGGTGGAAACGATACCACGTTCGATTTCGATACAAGAAGTGAACTCTCAGACTCTCTGGACAACAAAAAATTCGCCACTGTTTTGGGTATCTCTGCTGGCGACGCCCCATTGGGTCCGGAAACAGGCTCTGTTACACAATTCCCAGTTTCAGGGATAGACGATGGTTTCCTTCATGGCTTGCTCTGTCGTTATGGGCAGGGAAAGATCTGGTCATTCCATCGGGATGGCCTATTCTCCAGTTCTGACAGTGACGAATATACCGATTCCTCGCGCAAAAGCTGTGCTGGGGAACGACCTCGATGCACGCGGTCGAAACGTGCGAAGAAGTGGAAAACCATCGAGAACAACATGCTCAATCAATATTTCCCAGGAGCCACTCAGGTTATGTTCGTTCCTTTGTGGAATACTACCAATTCCCAATGGTTTGGTGGTTGCTTCTGCTGGAACAATGTTGAGAATGTTGTTTTCGATCAACAGGTGGAACTAAGCTCTTTGCTTGGATTTGGATCTTCTATTATGGCCGAATGCAACCGGATCGAGGCTCAAATCTCAGACCGCCAAAAGGCAGACTTCCTTGGAAGTGTGTCGCATGAACTACGCAGCCCTCTCCATGGAATTCTCGCAGCAGCAGAATTACTACAAGGCACGAAGTTTGATGACTTCCAAGGCTCTCTTCTGGGAACTATCAATGCATGTGGTCGAACGCTGCTTGATACGGTGAACCAAGTCTTGGATTATACCAAGCTTGTGTCCCTGGAAAAGGATCTTCGCCACTTGAAAAGAAACAGGGCTTCTAGTGTGGATCTTATGAGCATGCAACGCCCTGCCTCACAACTAGATGCATATATGCCTACTGATCTCTCCCTTCTCGCCGAGGAAGTTGTCGAAGGTGTTTGTCTGGGCCATTCATACAACCAACGACCAGCATCCTCTTCTGCCCCAGTTGGCACGCCTCCATGCAACGAAGGCAGCCTACAGAGCTTTGATTTCCCTCAACTGCACGTGGATGTGGATATGGACATTGCTCAAAATGATTGGGTTTATTATACACCTCCTGGTGCTCTCCGTCGCATCATTATGAACATCTTCAGCAATGCAGTCAAATATACCGATTCAGGACGCGTTTCGCTTCGTTTGGAGGCGCAGGAAGCCCCCGAGAATTGGTCTCAAAAGCATGGCACTAAAGAAGATATGATTACTCTGACAGTCTCTGACACTGGCAGGGGAATATCAGAAGAGTTCCTACGAAGCAGACTATTCATCCCTTTTGCTCAGGAGAACAGTCTGGCTGTTGGAACCGGGCTGGGCCTCTCGATTGTCCACGGGCTGCTCAAATCTCTAGGTGGAAATATTAATATCGACAGTCGCCCAGGCGAAGGAACAACCGTCAAGGTGACTCTCCCACTAGCACGCCGAGAACACAACTCCGGTGTCGCCTCCAGTGCTCCGCCATCACCTCCGCTGGAAGTGGACACCGAATCCCTGTCATCCGAAGTGCGCCTCTTACGAGACGCCCATGCTGGCCGAACCATTGCCATCATGGGCGTGGAGCCTGAGGACGCTTTCACTCATCCGCAATGGGGAGCATTCTCTCGTTACTTGACTGACTGGTATGGCCTCAAGCTGGTCTCGTCTTCATCCAAAGCGCCCATTGATGTCATATTGGCCAGTGAACTTCCACTGAAAAAGGACATCAGTTGGGATTCAGGCTCGAATCAAGCCGTGCTTGTGCTGAGTCGCAAGTTTGTCGACCACAATACTGCCCAACCTGAATGGTCTTCCTCAAACGCTCTGACCGTTGTCAGTCGTCCGTATGGTCCACACAAGCTCTCACGATTCATTCACAAATGTTTCGACCAAGCCTTCTCATTACCCGCTGCCGGGTCAGTAGTCTTGCCTGAACGAGACCGAATTTTCCCACCCACGCCGCCAGCAGACGCTTCTTCAGATCAACCAATTCCTCATGTCGATGATACACAAAGGTCAACCACAGACCACGTCCCTCCCACCCCTCAACGCTCACATGCTACTCTTCCGCCCTCCTCTACACTCGAAAACACCGAGAATGCCGAACCTACAACAGGACCTCGAAAGCCTCGAATCTTGGTAGTTGAAGATAACAAAACCAACCTAAACCTAATGCTCGCCTTCCTAAAAAAGCGAAAGCTGGACACTCTCCACTCAGCCGAGAATGGACAGCTAGCAGTGGATGCAGTGGAACAACTGCAACCGGGCTATGATATTATATTCATGGGTACGCTATGCACCTATCCCCTTCGTAAATGTCAAACGTGCATACTAACCAAGAAATCAGATATCTCCATGCCCGTCATGAACGGGTTCGACGCCACTCGATCCATCCGAGCCCTCGAAAAACTCCGCGGCCAGGACTCCAACCCGTCCGTCATCATTGCACTGACTGGACTTAGCGGTTCAAATCATGAATTCGAGGCTCTAAACTCGGGCATGGACTTGTTCCTGACCAAACCGGTTACTTTCAAGAAAATTTCCAAGATCCTGGATAAATGGTCTGAGAGAGACCTGCGACAAGAGTGAATACCAATGTGCATTCAGCACATCATGTTTGGGGAAATTTTTCTTCGGTTATATAGCATATTGGCGATTGGCACAGAGCTTTCCCGTTTCATCTTTCTATATTATCTGGCTCGCTCAATATAGCGGAGTCGTGGGAAGGCATTTGGCATCTTTCCACATACGATGAAGCACGAGCGATACCCATTTGGCTTTTGATTTTGATCTCAGTTTGATCTTGTTATACGAAGTATACGACTTAACCGCATTTCAATCATTCCCCACAAAGCCAGAATCCCTTTTAACAAAGTTGCCCCCCAAACTTAAGAAAATGTGCCGATATCCGGATAGTCCCGCATTTTTTATAACATTAACTGTTATGTAGTGTTCTAGACTGGACCCTGAGGATTAACTTAAAATTCAATGTAGTTTAATGATCTTCCTTTCCCCCGGGTTTCGGATTTCGTTTCTCCCCTTTAAATATCGAAATACAACACATTTCCTCCCCTACCAACTCCACCCATAATGGATTTCTCAGCCCTTCACCAACTACAAACTCCAGGCATAATAAAAGCAAGCAAAAGACAAGGCCGCCGACCAGGAAAATCAGCCTGTGCTGCCTGCCACGCACGCAAGAAACGATGCGACATCAGTCCGCCCTATTACCAGTGTACGCACTGTCGCAAAGAGGGTCAAATTTGCATATCGAGAGATCCAATTGAAAGGTACCAGTCAATTCTGTGTTATTTCTTTGTTTGAGAGAGGGAAAGGCGTAACTAACAATTAACCTCGGCATCTTAGACGTACTCGCCATCGGATACCCACTCGCAACCGCAACCACAACCTCACCGCCAATAGTGATAATGATAATGATAACGATGCTGTTTCCGACGATGATTACAATGGGAATATTTTACCATTCCCTAAAGGAATCGACCATGAAATTCCACGCTGGAGTGCGGCGTTTTCGATGTTCTCGGAGGTGCGCCGATTATTGGCTCCCCCTTCGCCCGAAAGTGAAGAGGATTGTGCAGAGGAAGAGAGTGGCGATTTGCAGGATTCCGCTGTAGCGGATGAAAGGGTTGGAGAAGATGAGAGAGATTATAGTGGTATTGAGAGGAACCAAAACGCTTCACTTGAGCTAGGGTCTGGGGATAGCTCTCGACGGGATATTTCCGATGATACTTCTGCAGATGAGGTATGTATTAAGGGTAACAGTATACCGACATCTCAGTCTGCGTCGCAATCTCCGTCGTCGGAGGGGAGAACAGATTCCGGGTCGGTATTGGCAGCTTGCAGGACTGGCATCGTGCATGAGAATCTTTCTTCGATGGGAGAAGTGAGGGTCCGGGGTGGACATGATTTAGACGAGCGTGTTTTTATGGATGATCTTGATGCGTTACTTAGATTTTGATGGGATTCATATAGGCGTTGAAATATTGTTTTATATCATGATAGATAAAATTGGAGAAGAGACAGCTGTCTATATATCACAGGCCCATGATTCTATGTTTCTAAATAATATACAAGAGATGTGTAGAATACAAGGTGGTGGCATAAAGGTAGACAAACAATGGTCAAAACAAGTCCGCCAGATGGTATATGCAGGCAACACGCTAGGGTCGAACAAAGAGGGATATTGGATGATGCACAGATGCAAGGAAGATGGGGTAGTTGAGGCGTTAAGGAGCTTGGTCTCTTTCTCAGTCTCTTTCGGATTTGAGACCGACGGGGATCTGGATGGCATTTTGCATCGTCCACGCCAAGGGCCGGGGTATACCACGCCACTCATAATCTAAGATGGCTGCTGCGTCCAACATAAGTGGCAGAGGATTCTTGGGGTAATAGGAGTTGGCACCAAGCTCCATGTCTCGGTCAACGAGGGCTTTGGCAAGGCGGAGCTGGCGATCTCGTTCTTCGCCCACGGGTTTCCATTTAGAAAGGTAGGCAAGAGGGTTCTGGTGGAATTCGGAGGGGATGTCGCTGAGGATGGAGTCCTTGACCGGGTAACTTTCATGGTGTAGATCGAGACCGACAATGACTTTGCCGGCATCAGTGCTCCAGATTTGGACGGTCTCGGGCCCCTTTTGGAAAGGCACACTGCGACACAGGGATGTCAGGACACATTGGTGCATTTTGTATGTCACGCGCTTCCACATGCACGCATACCGCCAAAGAACGCGGCAGATGTTGAAGTGGCGGTTCTTGAAAGCAGACAAGAACAAAGCCTCCAATGCTTGCGACGAAGGTCGGAACCCTGGCAATTCAAGAAATCGGAAGAAATATTGTACAGCGCCAAAGGTGTCGCGGCGGCGCGCTTTCAACATGTTGACAAGGGTATACTCGGGCATGAACACGTTCTGTTCGATGCAAAGTTGTATAAGCCGACTCAAAGAATCCCAGTCTTTCAACCGAGCCACCACCTCGAACATCTGACCGAGCGTGGAATGACTGAACCAATTGGCCCCGTAGGTATGAATCATAAGATCAAGGAAAGATTCAATGTCTTTCCCGCTGTCCAGATGAGTCACAAGTGAATCCTGGATCGTATGCTGTAATGCGCTCCGAATAGTTGCAGTACTGGACATGTAACCACGATGAACCATATGCTGAATGAGGTCGGCTTTTTCCGTGGGGGTCACAAGAGCACTGAGCAAGGCAAGCCATGTATCTGGATTCGGACAGACATGAGCGCGAGGCATAGCCCGTGCAAATTGACGAAACATTGCCACATCTTGAGACCGCGCAGCGTATTTCAACAAAATATTAAACGTATCAATTGTGGCCACATGCTCTGCATGCGAACACAAGTCTCGAGCATAGCCAGGAAGTTCATGGTCACATAGATAAACCAACGCGCCATTCAAAGCCGCGGTGGAGATATGCTTGTAATTTTCCTCCAACTGGAATAGAGTCATAAGACGTTGAGCAATCTGTTTGGGCGGGATAGCGTGTTGTGCTGTGGGCTTTAAAGGCCTGCCCTTTGGATCTAATTGTGGCCCACCTGAAAGGGTAAGCTCTTCAACCTGCTCGACAAACTCTTTCACCGAAGTCAGGCCCGGATGAGACATTAAAATCTCGTCAAGATGCCTGCGGTTCACTGGCTGCTTTTCAAAACACCATATCCCGCGGATTTTCGGCACAGGGACGTTTGAACGCTCCATAGCACTTTGCGAGATACACATGGGGGCCAATGGTTTTTGAATATCAACGAGAGGATCACCACTCGTTTGAAGGCTCTGTGCACGGGCAATACGAGCCTGTACAAGCTCCAAAACATGCTCTGTTCCAGACAGAATCACTCGACGGTACAGTCCCTTGTTCTCTTTCACAGACAGACAATGTACTCGGCATCCATTGTGGACTGAAAGATACCAAACATTCTCCTGCAATGTCCACCGAGTCACGCCGCAGAATATACCAAGGGTATCCTCTGCAACGAGTATTTCCTTCTGCCTTGTTCGACGCTTGGTTTTCTTCCGGGTATCTTGCTGCACTTTCTCCAACACGTCTTTTGTGTCAAACCAAGCTTTGTCCACATAATGCTTTTCATTTTTCCGGTACTTCTCCCTCTGGAATTCACGATATCGTAGCTTCTGGCTGTCCTGGGCTGACAAGTTTCGTGCAAGGCTTTGCTTCTTTGTGAGGGGCGAAGGTGGATCACCCGGGGATCTGTTATGCTGACGACTCTTCTGTATATTCTTCAACCTTGCCAATCTTCGGGGGGAGAGTAGGTTTTTCGAAGCGCCATTCTTGATCCGGGTAAAGGAACCGGACTGTTTCGGGTCGGAGGTCTCCCCAATGCTTCCATTGGAGCTATCGGAGCCAACCCCATTCCCTTTGCTGGACGGAGAACTATGTTCTGCCACCACGAAATGTGTTTCGTGACTCGAATCACCGACGGAGCGGGTAGCGGTATCAGAGGAAATCCATTGACGCGAGTATCGGGGAAGCGAAGGAGAAGGGCGAGCCGCTGGGCGAAAGGGAGCATGAAAATGCTGACATGTTCTCGTGGCAGGTTCTATCGATTTCAAAGAAGAGATTGGTCGTCGATGCCGTAAAGTAGGTGCAGCCCAGCGGGGGTAGAGGAAGAGGAGAGGTTCATCGGGCCCAGTCGTGACGGTGTCCAAGAAGGTGGACACTCGCCTCCTTAGACATGGACGGCCACGAGAGAGCATAGAGGTCGATGCTCCAACAGTCCAGAAGTCATGAATGAGAAAGGAGGATGGGCGCGTGATGAGGTGTTTGCGACGGAGGACCTTTTTGCCCCGAAAATTATCGGCGCCGATGCGGCAGGCGGTGACCCGAACTACACCAATAGTCTCGATGGCACCGTCAAGGAATTGCATATCTAGATGATCTATTCAGGCTATAGAAAGTAATCTTGTACATTAATAGATATGACCTTCTCGGTCAATCTCAGCAGCTTTGGGAATGCCCCTGAAAATCCGCCTCACCGAGTGTGACCGCTCCTCCAGCACCGGCCGCTTGGCCATTAATGTATCCTGCTTGGCCACCGGAGTCAAGTTTAGCAATTCCGTCTCCGATTCCCCGTGGGTGTCCTTAAAAACATCCGGCCCAGTGATATGGCGTTTGCAAGCCTCCGCTGCACGGGTAAGATTATCTTTCTTGCGTTGAACTGCATCGGCATCTTTGTCGGTATCTGTAAGAGTTCTGGATAAGTCGCGAACTACACCAGAAAGGTACGTTACGAATTGCCAGCGCGATGTCTGGAAAAGGAATGTGGGCATGATGTCGGGTACCTAATGTTCAGAATTAGCCAGGCAATATCAAAAGTAGTACAAAGCAGTTTCAACTCACCCTGTCGGCCAAGTAATAGAGTTCGTCCCCTCCATTGTTCACGAATTTCTTGAGGGCATCAATTTTCTCCCGATCAATAGATGCTAGCTTCAAAGCCTGCATCAAGCTAGGAATATCCCCAATCTCCTCGATCTGCGGCTCCTCATCAACCGTCATACTGGCACGACTCAAGAATCCAGATTCTACCCGGGACAACCCCGCAACGCTCTGCTCCCGGCTTCGAACCTTGGAAGAGTGGATAGTAAAATAGTCCTCGGTAAACATATGTGACTTTTCAAACTCAGATCGGCCACGGTGCCGCCTCTCTGGAACCTTGATACGCAGCCTCACCCACCGCCTCCTCCGAACAAAAGAATGGAACCACGGCTGCGTGCCATGCCAGGAGGAGGAGGCGAATGAGAAAGAATACTGCCAGCCCTGCTCATCGACATCACCCGACATATCCACATACCACGACTTCCACGCCCACTCCCAACTCGGATCGGGCAGTTGGGCGTTGGTGATGTTAACAGCGCTAGCTCTCTTATCCTGCGTGATCCAGGGACTGGGATCGAAATTCAACAGCGAGCTGTGTGAGTAGCGCGGAACTCCAAAAAAGAACCAGCCCCGCTGGTTTTCGTAGAGGATGTCCAATTCTGAGCCTCGTTTGTTCGTCTGGGCTCCAGGATCAATGTTCTCAGTCGCATTTCCATCCCCGGTATGGCTTGATATGTGTGGGGGTGCGAAATCGGCCGCATCAACATCTCGACCCCCGCTAGCTTCTCCCACGGAGCTTGCTGAGATTGATCCTCCTGGGGCTTGGGACGGTTCTCGACTGAGCGATTCCGAGGTGTCGGGTGCAATTCCTAGTCTATCGGGTTGCCATTTTGCGTATTTTCGCTTCGTGAGTTGGCTCTGGACTGATGCACGGCTTAGATGCTTCGTTAGGCTTGTTTGCCGATCTAGGGCTGATGCCTGTCGTGGTGGTCCCTCGCTGGGCTGTTGCTGAACGGGGACGGTATTATCGACCAAGGAAATGGAAGTCGAGTTCTCCATAGTCATAGTACGGGTAGTATAGGTATGTAATAGAGTATGAAAGTGGTGCTGGCCTCGATCTCGATCTCAAGGCTTCATTGGTCGAATATCACCGAGAGCAGTGCAGGAAGGTCGAGCACATTATCTTAAGAGGAAGTCCGAGAAAAAAATAAACGATAGAACAGCAGAGAGATGTAGGGTATATTGCAATAAAAGAAAATAAGAGAAGTTAAGAAAATCAAGGAAAGTGAGGCGTACAAAGAAAAAGCACAATGCGACAACGATGACATCGTTTGCGGGGATCCCGCCAAGCCCTCTCTCACCACTCCAAAAAAATAACATTGCAACATCAACAATCCCAAGTCACCATGGCAGCACCACACCACCGCAAAATTGAGCTCCAGTCTCCAGCAGACTTCACCTATCTGTATGCCAATACAATCGCGCTCGCGCGCCGCAAATTGGACCTAAACCTGCCCCCTTCCGCAATCGACAATGAAACACCGGATCCGATGCGCGAACGCGTCAGGGAACTAGTCGACGACGTGGGTTTTCCCCCTTCGATTCTATAGAAATATTGATCTCTCTGACAATCCAAATACAGTATATCAACAAAACATTCGAAACAGCCTCCTCCTCAATCAGCATCAACGGAATCGACTCAACATCAGAACAATTCCCCTTCCCAGCAGCCCTAACCACCCCAACCGAAACAGTCGAGTATGAAGCCTACGACACGGAGCTGGCGTCGCGCGTCACGGCCCTCTACGCACAACTTGAATCGCTCACGACGGGCATCGCGCAACAGAGACGGGACGCTCCTCGACGCGCGGCGAAGGAGTATGCGGCACAATTGAAGCAGTTGATTAAGGAGGAGGTTGAGGAGGAATATGATGGTGGAGATAAGAATGGCTCTGGAACGACATCCGTTCCGGAGGATGGTATGGATGTTGACTCTGCGCCAAAAGAGGGGGATGTGGCGTCTCGGTTGAAGTTGGAGACTGCGCTTGGGACGGCGGAGGAACAGGAACGGTGGTCTAGTGGGGATATTGCAGCGGTGTATGAGGATGCTCTGCGGACGATTTTGCGGTTGCAGGGTGAGGGAGGGGTTGGTGCTGAGGCCGGTGCGGAGGGTCATGCTTTGGCTACGACGGTAGGGAAGGCTGAGAGGGCTGGGCGTGCTGCTGAAGTGGTGGAGAATATGTAAGGGCTTTAAGGATCTTGCTGGCGCTTATATTTTCTGTTAATTGGGTTCTTTTTGTGATGGGGGCGTTTGGGGCTTCAGGGTTTACTCAGGACTTATGATACCATGTCTTTTCTATTGTCGATTGGCTCGAGGGAGCTAGAAATTCTTCTTTTTTTCTTTAAAAAAAATATGCTTGTGGTTACGGCATCTTTGGGCCTATATGGATAATAAGGACTGTCTTTCCATCTGCATGGAATACCGATAAAATACAGCCACCTTAGAGATACATAGATCAAGACCATAAAGCCTATCTTGTAGCTATCTGTGTAGACGATTCTACAACTGACAGTAGACCACTCCAGGATTGGAGGAATTTGGCATACAATATCAACATCATCGATATGAAGCCACGATTTAATATATGCTCATCGATGTATACTCCACAGAACAAAGACACCAGCAAATCACCGACACACCAACTCACTTTTAGATTTCACCACGTCCTGTTCCTTCTATACAGAGAGCAGCGCAGCAGGGCACGCTGCCAATCCTGAACAGGCAAAAAAAAAAAAAACAAAGCAAAAAAGCAAAAGCAAGCTCTCCATGATATCTAAATCTGAACAAAAACAACAAATTGCAAAAAAGCGAATGTAGGGTAAGGAGTCCACAGCTGTATCTGTGGATGGGTCGATGGGGATGTGTTGAAGCAATCAGAAGGAAGATGTTCCGGTCTGCCAGGGAGGTATGCAGAGGTCGGATAAGGTCGTATTCGGACGGCCGGAGGATCTAGGGTTGACCGAAATCTCCCTATATCCTTATTCTTCCGGGGGAGATAGGCGAGAGGATAGTAGGCAGTCAGGCAGAGAAAATAGAGAAAAGGCCTTTACAGACTTAGGCGGTTGTCTCAGCAGCAGCAGCCTCCTCCTTCTTCTCCTCAGTAGGAGCAGCAGCCTCAACAGGGGCAGCAGCCTCAGCCTCCTTGGGCTGAGCCCACTTGGGAGTGCGAACCCACTCATCCTCCTTCCAAGGACCAAAGTCAGAAAGCTCACAGCCACCCTCACACTTGCAAGAGCCGCCAAACTCAACGGGCAAGTTCTCAGCGGGGACCTGTTCCAAAAGCTCCTTCTGGTATCCGCTACCAAGGACGTGGATCTTGCTAACGGTGACGGGGTCAAGGAAGCCCTTGACGGCGCTGAACACGCTGCTGAAACCCCAGGGGGCGTTGATCAGGTACAGCTTACCGAGACGCTCGGGGTAGTGGTTCTGGGAGATGTCGGAGGCCTGCTTGACGTATCCGTAGACGGAGGGCACGCTGGTGATTCCAACGCCCTTCAGGTCCATGATTGTGCAGCAGGTTTCGAGGAGCTTGCCGGCCTTGCGGGAGCAGGCGGGGAGACGGGGGTCGCTGAGCTTCTCATACTCTGTCACGAGGTTCTTGAGCATGCGGTCGGCAGTTGTGATCTGGTACATCTTGTTCAGGTCGATCTTGCCCAGCTTCTCGATGTACACGGGGCGTCCATCCTGTTCTCAGTGTTAATATCCATCTGTTACCCCGAGGGTGGGGTATCAGTCAGGAGGAAAAAATGCAACCCACCTTATCAGTCTTGTGGTAGTACTGGGGGTAGTATTCGAAGACCTTCTCCTTCTCGGGGTATTCGAAGGTACGAGCGAGGTCATCAGTGCCGAACTCCTTGCGCCACGTCTCACTGTTCGTGAACCTATGATGCAAACCAGATTAGCCACCGCCAACATGGGTAAAAAACCAAGCCCAAAGGCAGAAACAGCAGCAGAAAGATTTCCAAGCCGTCAGGAAGCAACAAAAAAACTTCCCCGCAAGAATTGGACTACGTACATGTTCTTAGCAGCCTCGACATCGAACTTGCGGGCACGGAGGAAACGCAGCAGAGTCAACGTATCCAGGCGCTCAGTGTAGCCGAGCTTTTCCAGCTCAGCGCGGAGCTGGTGCACCTTAGCATCCTGTTCCGGGGTGGTGTGGCCTGGGTGGCCAGACTGCGATTCCGGCGCAGTGGTGGGGAAGTCGTACTGGTCGTACTTGGAGTCGGTGGACAACGAGTTCTCGGTAGCCATTGTGAATATGGGGTGTTGGTTGGAGAGGGGAGAGAGGGAGGTTTGAGGAAGGGCGGGAGGCGGAGGGGGTCTGGCGTAAGTGGCCACTTCGAGGTACAAAAAGTCTCTGGGGGATCGTCGAAAGTTATTCCCTGCCTTTTGATAAACAAACAATAATACGGAGTATTCCTTGGCTGTATTACTGTTTTAGATATGTTACAGAGGCCTATAAGTGAACCGTCATTTCTTTCATTGTTCTGTTCCTTGATTACTTACTTGACTCGAGGTTGATCCGCAAACAATCTACTTGGGCTCCCATCGACGACTACATTCTAATCTCGGCATAAATATGCAAACTTATATCATAACAGATAAACAGCAATAGTCTCTCGCAACCAAATACCTTTCCTGAAGCAGGGAAAAGGGGCAAGCAGACGAGGGGCAAACGTGGCGGTGTCGGTGACAAAACCCACTCTGCAAGACAGTGGACACCAGCACTGACATAAAACGCGTGTACATGCTCCCTTTGCAAATGAAAGCGAATACGATGGCACTATATAAAGTCAAGTACAAACCCCGAAATGAATTGTAATCTGTCTAGACTCTGTACAGAAAGAGGTAAACCGCCATCCTTAACATACGGGTATTCAATCCAAAACACACATCGCAACAGCAATCATTATTATACACAGCGCATGCAGACCACATAAGCCTGAGCGGTGATGAAAACAGAACAGAACAGAACAACATGCCGGAGATGGGATTGATTATAGGGCCCAGAGCCCCGAAGCCAGAGAAAAACAAAACAGAAAAAGCAAAAGACAACTATCCGCTGGGTATAGACATTGAACCGATGAGGCAAGACAAAAGAAATAGAATGGAATGAAAAGGGGGACATGAGAAAATAAACAGAAAGCACAGGATCATCGGCAGCCCCCCGTACCAGCGGGTAAGGCTTTGATCATCCTCCGTGGGTATGTTCGTGTACTGACAACATTCACACAGGGCATTTCGCCCGAGCTGCATAGACGGGCAGGTCGGAGTCGTATGGAACAGACGTCCGATTCATCATTGTCGAGGGTATATGGGAGATGTATTGGCGTCCATGATCATCACAAGATTGCAACTCAATAGTCAATCGTCACCGGCACTAGACATCGCGGGTTGGCAGGCAGGAAGCGGGCAACCTCTGCTCGGGCTCATCATTCATGAAAAGGGGACGGCTCTGGGGAGCCTGGGATCAGGCGCCTTTACCATCCCTTCTTGCGAGCAAATCGCTTGTTGAGAAGTGCTAGCACCTTAGTGACGTTGAATTGGACGTATTCCAGATCGAGGTCTTCGAGGTTATCCTTCTGCATCTCAAGGAGATCATCGAGCTTGAGATCAAGCTCTAGCAATCCACGGGCTCGGCCTATACAAATAACTTGTTAGTGATGTTCCCATTGGGGCCGAAGATTATGAACTCACCCTTATAGTGCAGGCTGATAACGAATGTACCGGGCAATGGGCTCTTGAACATAAAGTAGATGTTCGCCCGTCTGTTTTCAGGCACATTGCTGCGACGAATAACCCCCTCCTTCTCCAGCTGCTGATGAGTGAATTTGTATGGTCCAAGCTCCTGGTGTTTCGTAGTCTTGCCACGAGTTTTGCCCTCGGACTGGCTGCGCACGTTATGCAGGTATGATTTATACGTTTCAAGCTGGCCGACCAGGTAGGCATTATGGTCGCGAATGGTGGCGAAAACTTCTTCAAGTTTCCGCGTCTCCTCTAGCACCTTGTCCTTGAGGGAACCGAGATGCACCAGTTCCTGCTCCACTTCATCACGAAGCAGACTGAACTCGTCAGAGCGGTCGATCACGCCCATGTCCTGCAACTGGCTGAGCAGTTCCATGGTGCGAATTCCCTTTCGCACCATCACGGCATCGTTCTTCAAGGTCGCAGCGGCCTCGGCAATGCGATCGAGTCGCAGAGGCCGACGGGCGACTGAAGAGTTCGGAGGCAGGGATCGAAGAATCTGGACGAAAGTCGACTTGGCCTCCATGAAGAACACTTCTTCTTGAGTGATATCGAGGGCAGCGGTCAAATCATCCAGTGCAGTCTCCCATTTGCTGAACAAGGGCACTGTGATGGTCCTGTTCTCCTTGCGAGGGACCTGAGGGGGAGCAGCTCCCAATTCTTGCAGCAGCACAGACAGGTGGGAGTATTGATCCTGGGCAAGCGCTGCGCTGTGCTTCTCCAGAAGACCGTGCATGACATACATCTCGTTGAGAGTGATCTGGAGCTCAAGGTCGCGCTTCGACAGAGCCACGTAGTTGTCCATCTCGAGACTCTCGTAGAAGTCCTGCACTTCACACAGATCAAGTAGGAACTTGTTAACACGCTCCTTGTTCTGCTGAATGAAAGGCTGGAGGCTGGCCATGTAGGGTTCCTTGGCGTAGGAGGGCTTGTTCGCCAGATTCTGGATCATCTTGGCGATCAGAGTCAAGGTTCGACGGGGCTTGTCGGTAGGCGTGGCGTCGATTAGCATGTATGACCGAGGAGTAACGATCGCGGGATTGATAAAGCGCAGGAAGAAGAAACCACCGATGAGGGTACAGATGGTCTGGTCCTGGGCATCAGGGTACTTTCGGCGCGATAGACTGCGAATCTGCTTGCAAATCCATCGAATACCATACGGGGCCTCGTCGACAGACTCAATGATGGTTGAGATAAATCCATTGGCAATGTCGGTCAACATCTTCAGACGAGGAGCAATAATCGCCTGCACCTGAGCGTTATCGGCAGCATCCTCGGCTGTCACAGACCGGGCGAGGTAGTCTGGGAGAGAACCGGTTTCCTCTTCAATCTGCTTGATCATGCTCTCATAGACCTTCAAGGGGTTGATTTCCAAATCCACATCACGCAACTCAATCAGAGCATTGATCTGGTCCGCCAAAACCTGCTTCAAGTAACTCTGACCGGGACCACGGCGTGTGTATGTGGTCATCATGCGAGAAACGGGGGTGTTCTGGCGGAGCAGGGAGGAGTACTCGGGAGTGTTGTCGAACTGGTAGGTGAGAACGGACTGGAACATGGTGAGCAGAAGGTGCTCCTCGCGACTCTCGTACTGATTTCCGTAGATGGTGAACATGACGGTCTGGAGAAGGGAATCGATTTCGGCCATGGAGACTAGTCGGCAGAGGTGGGCGATGTGGCGGGGTTCGGATTGCAAGAGGAAGAGAAGGTTGCCGTACTTCTGAGTTCGCTCGTCGTTCGGGAAGAACCCTTCCTGGGGGTCTGCGGTGTCATCGAGGTGGCTGGCGACTTCGTTTTGCTACAAAGACAAGGGTTAACAAGAGCGTTAGTCGACTTTTAGGGGAAATCCTTACTTCTTCCAAGGCCATTCGATTTTGGATAAGCAATGCTATCCGTGAATCGAGATATCGCACATCCTTCTCCAGCACAAAGTTCTTCTTGGACTGCGAAGAGATCCTAGACTTCAAGTCCCGCAGATGTTTTTGTGCTGCCAGGGGGTTAGTGCGACCATTGGAAACACCGATCGCTGAGACGTACCTCGTGCCAAGTCATCAGAAATCTCCAGGTCCCGGTCCTTGGCGGACATGGACAGGTACAAAGCAGTGACCGACATCCGCTTGGATTGGCGGATCGACCGAGTATCGTGCGACGACATTGTGTTCTGTCGTGCGACGGGCTGAAACGAGGAGGACGAGGAAGATGATGCTCGAGATTGTCTAGACGCTGGTTGAAGCATCGTCGCAACGGACATGGTGGGATTTGACTAGTCGTCAGAGCCGGTTCTTGTTGCAGTGCCAGAGACAGACTGCCAATGCTCGGACGAATGGCAATTGTAGGGGCAATCGAGAAGAGATAGCCCCTGATGATAACGCGGGGGAGAATGAGGGTGAAAGGTTGACTCCAGGGACAAATGACTGCAGAGAGGTAATTAGGAGGAGTTGAAGAGTTTGAAGAAGGGAGGGGGGGGGAGATTACTCTTAGGGCGGTTCTGGGGAAAAAAGAGAGGTGGATTACCGGTGGAGCGCCCTTTTTTTCTGTATACTGCAAGGGGCCTTACCCCTGGCCCAATGCGCCTTTTCGCCACTTTACTACTTTACTACTTTACTACTTTACTTTCCTTTCTCTGATCTCCCATGCACTCCACTGAACTCTACTATTTTGACGTCAATGCAACGGAAACACAGTCTCATGTCTGCAGGGTACCTGCAGCCCTAGTCCACGAGCCGTCCATGTGCTGTTCGAGTCGAGTTTCAGGTTGATTTGAATCTTGGTACAAATGTCCATATTGGACCTGAGAATCATCCTATGTACTTCCGATAAGTTGGCACGGATGGTCTCGGATGTACTTTCACTCTCAGGCTATCCAAGGTATCCAAGATATACCCCTGTCTAAACAAACTTTAGGTCTTTCCTATTTTATCTACGCAAATTATAGCAGTACAGTAACCTTGGAATCAAAAGCTAGAAAAGTCAAGCAAGTCTGCGGGGTGTGAACATACAGTAACTGTTCTACATACGGCCTATGCTCTCAGGGGTATAGTGGAGACTAGTGGGACTGGTAGTTAGTTCCCCTTATCAACTTCCTTACCGGTGTAAAGGCACTTAGTATTAATAGACACTTATTCGGGTCGTAGAACTGTAGCAGCAGTAACATTAACTTAACATTAACATTAACATATCAAAGCCAAATTCCATCCTCCAAAGCAGATCATCCACACGGGCCTCCACCCCGTCCGGTATGAAACGCGCCAAGCTCGCCGTAGATCCCCAACCCCTGATGTACATATAAGAGGACGTACATACTTATAAAACTATACTCTGTACACAAACTTCTAACACTATCCGAGCTTCCGTTGCTGCCGGGTGAATCTTCCCCGTACTGGGATCCCTTTACCGTTAAAGATCTACGGGTGTACGTACTCTGTAAGCTAACGTTAACTCAAATCAGGTGTGTTACATGTAGTAACTTGCCAATGCACTAACTTATACATGTGTACCCCGACTATACTGGATATGCATATCGCCCTGGTCATAGCGGGTGATCGGCTATATTAATGCCTGCTTACGGAAAGGACGGTGCATTGAAGATCCTATTGAAGTGTAAGTTATTTGCTCGAACTTTGATTGCGTGGGGTCCGTTTTCCCTCTTCTTTTCTTTTTTTTTTATAACTTATTTACTTGTTTTTGCTTTTTTTGGTGGGGGATGGTCAATGCAGACGGCTATACTGTATGTCGTAGACAGAAAGTTTTATTCGCTGTTGTAAAAGTACCAGACGAGCTATCTCGAGTTTCTTATGTCTCGCAGGTGTACATGTACATGTACTGTATAGGGGTTGGCATGTGGCTGAAACTTAATGGATCTGCATGTATAACTTAAGGCGAAAAATAGAAAGTGACAGGTAAAGGAGTTCCCTTAGACAGTGTCTCACTGTATCGGTACTAGTCTGCGGCTTTAAACCTGCCACAATTTTAATCTATCTCCATCCAGCGCTGGCCTGAGCTGGTAGGGCACGTTTAACGTGGAACATTATTCGCAACACGAGGCTAATAACATCAAAACATTGAAAATAAAAAAAGGGAACCCGATTGACTTGTCTCAAATAGCATTAGATACATCGGAAATTTGAACATGCAGGTACATGTATATGTCATCAGCTCCAGAAACGCCACTATCAGGCCGCTCTGCATCACGAACGCATGTGGGTTCCAACTCTCAAACTATTAATCACCAGTTCCACTATGGAACACTTGGCAACCCTCAATCTAATCAGATCTACACCATGCAAGGTATACTTCTGCCATAAAAACCCTGATATTCAATACATACAAGTAGAATCCCAGAGCCTCCAACTGACGCACGGGTATCGCTATGCTAAAAATAATAGAAATAGAAGATACAAAAACAAAAGAACTTTGGAACCAGCCAAACCCCAACCATGCTTGTTTGTGTCATGACCCAGGTCCCGCCTATTGACGGAATGTAAGAGATTTGCCAGGCGTCTCGCGCTTGGTCTTCCGGGCACCCGAAGGAGCTTCCAGAGCCTTGGCGTAGGGGTTGAAAGCGCGCTTCTTCGGCTGCATTGCTGTGGAGGAAGATGGCGCGTTGAGGACGGCGTCGGCGGCGTTGTAGTCGAACGCAGCCTCGTTCTCGGTTTGAGCCTTCTTGAATTTCTTCTCCTTCTCTTTGCGGGACTTCTTGGACTTCTTCTCTGCCGAGTCGGGGTTGCTAGTGTCGTCGAGATCGGCCGTGGTGGAAAGGGCTTGCTTGGGGTCGTTGATGGGGGTGACCTTGCGCTTGCGGGGGCCACCGAGGTCCTTGACGGTGAAGTATTTCTTTTCTTCGGCCTCGGGGGCAGGTGTGGGTTTGAGCTTGGGTGCCTCGGCGGGCTTTTTGGGGGCCGTGCCGAGGGATTCCCGAGTCTCAGAAACAGTTGTCGGCATGGGCGGCAATGGAAGAGACAGGCGAAGGGCCTCTGCCGAGGCAGTGAGAGCATATGCAGGAGGAAGAGGGATTTCTTGGGCTTCCAGGACATCGCCCCAGAATTGGGATGTTTCGAATCGCTTTGCAACAGGGAAATCAGTGGGTTGTTGGTCGGTAACCTCCGCAATCTTCACATTGGGTTTCGGGGGTGTCGTATCGCGCCATTCCGGGCCCGTAGCACCGGCAACCTTGGCCTCCTTGATGCGCTCCAGGAGCTCATGTGCGCGGTCCTTCGTGATGGGGGTGACAGGTGACAGGGTGCGGAACAGAGTGCCCATGTCAAGCGGCATGACGGTAGCGAGCTTGAAAAGGACGTGCTTCGGGAATACGCACTGCCATCCCTCGTCCTCGGCGCGCGCCACTTCATCTCGCCATTGGTGGACAGCCTTGAAGACAGCGAATTGCTCCTTAGGGAGATTACCAGCGTTACGCCACAGCAAGTCATACCAACCTCCCGGGCCATGTCCATGCACAGCATCGTAAACTGGACGCTCGTAGCGTTGCAACGCTTCGCCCTTTGACCGCTCGTTGACGTAGTCAATGTGGCTCGCTTCGGCAGTAGAGTTTTCAATCAGGTCGTTGCGTAGGCAGTCGTAGATGTAAAGAAGATAATGTGTGTCAGACCGTGCATAGTCAAACATCTCGGACGGAAGGGGGCGAGTTCGCCAATCAGCAGTCTGGTACCGCTTATCAGCCTCGAAGTTGACAAACTTGTTCAGCAGAAACTTCAAGCTCCGCTTGGGAAAACCGAGTGCAGATGCAGCATGGAAAGTATCAAACATCCCAACCATGTAGAGACCCAAATCACGCTGCAACCAGATAATATCCATGGTAGCACCGTGAAGGACCTTCAAGATCTTGGGGTCTGTAAACACCTCGTTGAGCATCTGCAGCTCTTCTCTCCAGGGTTTCAAGGTATCTACAACCCAATCCTTCTCACGAGTGCTGATCTGCATCAGAGACACAAGACCGTGGTAAGAGTGAACGTCGTGGTGTTCCAAATCAATAGCAATTTCGTTCGCCTTCTTAAGCTCCTCCAACATCTCCTTGACTCCATCCAAGGTATCAACAAATGTAGCCGTCGTACTCTCAAAGGGTAGGTAATCAACCTGAGGAGAAACCTCGTAGACGGGCTTGGGATACTGGGAGGCACGGATTTCAGTGGCGTAGGGGTGGGGATAAGCGGTTGCGCCATCGATCTTCTGTGTCTTCAAGCACTGCTCCAACGGGACAATCGCATTCGGCTTGGACTTAAGCAGAGGCTTAAAAGGCCCCAAGTCGGAGTTATCGGGTTTGCGGTCGAATTCCAATTGCGGCTTGGGTATCTTAGATGGGCCGTAGTCGTAAATAGATGGGAAGTGAGGCGCTTTCTTTACCACCACAGGCGCCTGCTCTTCCTCCGATGGACTCAATTTCTTGATCACACCTGTGAACTCGTCCAGGCAGGCATCCGCCTTTTCCAAAAGAGAGTCGATCACGTCTACCACGCCGCGCCAGTTGTCGTCGACAGAATCCTCATCTTTAAGGGTCGGTGCGGCGATATCGGTACCGGTTGTCGCAGCTTTGAGCACGGCGGTGGTCAGCGCAATGATGCGCTCACTCTGTTCATCTAGCGTCTCGGTAACATCGGCACTGGAGGTGCGGTGGAAGTTCAAGTCTTCGGAAGAGAGCTGTCCAACAGTTCGCGTCACTTGGACCAGGGCGGACGACAGCTTGTCCTGGAACGGTTGAAATTCTGCGGAGTCCATGACTGGCAGAGCTCCAATTCCCTGGATCTTTGCAAATGAAATAAAAAGGACGAATGGAATGGATGTGAGAACGCTCCGAAAAAAAAGTCGCGGCAGGAAAATGTACTGGAGAAATGGTAGGCCCGCCTTGACCGCCTTCCCAGAGTGGCGAAATTTGTATGAATTCCGCGGATCTCGAGTCACCTTCTTCTCTCTCGAGTTGTTCTCAACTATTCAGCTATCGAACAAGAACATATTTGACTCTTCAGAATATATTCGGATCTCTTGTTTGCCCTTGTGCTTGATAACATAATACCATGGCTGCCTCCATCGCACCCGAATGCAATGATATCAAAGAGTACGTTCCAGTGCAGGCCCGGATTTATGTCAACAAGAATATACTAACATGACTCAACTAGGAAATATGACACCTGCTTCCTCAAATGGTACAGTGAGAGTATGCTTCACGATCATTGGATCTCACATACAAACAGCAGAAGCTAACTACAGAGCAGAATATCTGCGTGGCAACACTTCTTCCAATGACTGCGAAGAACTATTTAAGAACTACAAGGGATGCTTGAACGTGAGTTTCTCGACATGTCCTCGCATCTTAAAACCATTCTTGAGCTAACAAGTGTGTCTTACTGCTCGTAGAAAGCTCTGAAGGAAAGGGGTATTGACTCCATGTTGGATGATGCTCGGAAGAGTGGTAGCAGTGAAACAGATGCGGAGTTCCTCAAGAAATCTTGATTGGAAACCATCTACTTGTTTCATCATTGCCCTCCGATTGCATTGGAATTTCACCTCAAGAGCTGGCGCTATTGTTCTGTTCAGCGACGGCAAGCATTTTCGCAAATAATCATAGGACGGAGTTTGTTTAATGGGTTAAATTATTGTGTTCTCGTTCTGTGCATATAGTTCTCATATCTCATCTCTTACAGGACGTCTCGAACTGTTGTCACCACTTACACTTAAATGGACTTACGAGACGCACACTCCACTTGGGCGCTGTGTATTCTCTGTAAGAAACAATACAAACCCACCGACAGGTTGCTTTGGATAAACTACCTTGGTGTACGAGTTTAGTTTAGGCACTAGGTCTAGAGAAACAGTAAAAGAGTTCAAGCGGTGACACCAGTTTCGTGACGTCCTGTACATGTTCATATACCGATGCACGTATCTCTTCCATTCGCCAAGTTTTTGGTCCTCCTACTATGGAATAAGTCTTTGCGGTCATGTAATTAAGGATACCCCCGAAAAGAGGAATATATTATAGATATTATGTACAGAAGAAGATGCCATGAGGTGGTACATGGTATTAGCGATGACCCCGTCGCCGCATATCACCCTGCCCAAAGTTCGCCGGGACCTTAGCAATCGGGTGAAGGGCACCAATGCCCCCACCCATAGAGCCAGCGCCACTGCTCCCACCACTGCCTTTCTTGGTCTGCGTGAGTAATGCCCACACCTCTGCCATGCCGGCCCGACGGGCAGGTAACATGCTGTATTGCATGCTATAGAGGTTGCGGCGGTGGATGGGTGGTACGAAGCGGCCAGTGACAAGGCAGAAGATGACTCGGGGTGCGAGATAGTGTTTCCGGAGTCTGTGACCTAGTTGGAAGTACTGGTCGAACATTGCACGTAGCGGCAGTGGGATGGACTAAGATATGTTAGTATTTAGGTGCAAGGGTTGGCTATATAGAAACATACCTCGAGGTGGATGTAGGAGGTCATCGCAGTCGAGTTCTTATTAGTGGAGTTCTTGTCTGGTTCATCCCGCAGCTCGAATCGGATACCGCCTGGTAGACGTTGCGAGTCTTTCACACGGAGCATCAGTGCAAAAAGTGGGAAGTGATTTAAGAATGCGAGGCAGGTGTCAAGCGCTGCCTTCATTGAGATGATTAACATCCGGGCCGAAGCGAAGGTCAAGTAGAATACCACAACCGTAGGAAGAAGGAAGAACAGGACAGTGAAGAGGATGGTGCCAAGAAGAAGTTGGTCAAGGTCGTAATCGCATGAGTCAATTCGGTTGCGCAGGACGTTGCGTTTCTTGCCACGGAAGAGATGGAAAAGGGAAATGATAATAGTGAGTTGCCAGTTGAAAATGCGTGCGGAGGCAATATAGAAGGAGTAAATGTGGACTGTCAGGATTGACAGAAGATCAGAGAACAAAGCAATGGGCATGCTCGCGCCTGCAAAGCTTGAGCATCCAACAATGTAGATGACAGCAGGAAGATAAGGTTGTAGGTTAGCAATGCAAGCCGCCCAATTCTCAATGACCCAAAGGAACAGGTCACCGAGAAATGCTGCAAGTTCGTTGTTCAGTTTCAAGCCAGCTGGCCAGTCCATAAGCCATGAAATGGTGCGTTGCAGCCCTTCCACTGTCCATCCAGTCAGGACAGTGTTGATTTGCGAAGCGACCCAGTTCGCATTGTCAATTATATAAGATCCTAGCGCAATGCCGATGATCACATCATTAGCAACAAGCCACAAACTGTTATAGAACCGAATGTAGTCCGGATGACTGGTCGTTACGCTCTCCCAGTTATCCTTTCGTTGACGGAGCTTCACATATTGAATCGGCCAGTAGCAAAACTGCTGTAACCGTATATCAACCTGTTGAGCAGTCGCCGAAATATCCTTGAGAGCAGCAGCGTCAGGACGAGCACGCCACTCAAGAACCTGCAAGACGATTTCCGCAACAGATCGGTGGCATACAAGCCCAATGACAAAGACTCTGGTAACAACAGGCCAGAGCCATCGCCAGAAAACGTGGGCAATGCAAAGAACAATGAACCCCCACAGTGTTGTCGCCGATTCCACCACACGTTCTCCAACACTCATGCTTCTCTTCGCACGAATTCCAATTAAGTGGCTGTTTCTGTGCATAAGTTGTCCCATCTCATACGCACAGTTGACTTGGTTGATTATCAGCGGGAGGGCCTGCTCCTTCTGTGATGGGATGTGCTTGACGACCGAGTGAAGCTTGAGCTTCTCAACCAGAACCTTTGATCCGGCCTTGTCTCCCTCTTCTTCAGACTCTATCTTATCAGAAGACGGTCCCCAGATCTCCGCTGTTGTTGCTTTATCACCCAAAGCCAGGGAAATCGGATCCAGTGACATGTACTCCATGCGCGTTGGGTGTGGACGGTGGTACATGATAACCTGAACCGACAGATTTGCCTCGGGCGGGCAAAAGATACGAGGAGCTCTCGATGGGGGGTGCGTAGTCACATACAGATGAGAGGAACTGAATGATGTAGGAGACTGGGGAGCATTGGTTGAGCCAAGGACATGCATCTGAGACCGTCCACACAGCGTAAAGATACGCACGATCGGGTGCGGGCTATTTCGAAAGAGAATCCCCGCCCGAAGCGCATTGTCGACATTCCGTGGCTATTCCATTCAGGACCATTAGCTCCTAACCGAGTAAGCCGCCAATTCGGTCCACCTACCTCGACATCCTCCAGCACCGTGAGCACAAACAAATCAAGCTCCGAGTTCCGCCATCCCACAATCACACCGGGTGACGAAGATCGCGGGAGGTCATACGGCCAAAATACCCGTAGCAGTCCATCGCTCATGAGCATATTGTCATCCTCCACCCGAGTCCTAGAACGAACCTCGACGGCGCAACTGTTCTCGCGCAGAGACTCCGAGATTCTCGTGGCGCGGATGCTAATTACCCCAAATCGTCAGCATTCATCACGAATCCATGACCCATAAGATAACACTTGATTGTTCGCAGGATGCTCACCAACTGGCCCTCCTTCGACGCCAGGTGATTAATCGGCAGGACGAGGAGGAAGAAGAAAACGGAGAGAAACAGGAATCCCTTTGCAGTGCGCGTCTATATTAAAACACCATTAGCACTATGTTCGAGATACAGTATACTCGTGGAGCATGCGCGGTTCCAAGCTGATAAAGTCGCAAGTGGAGAGAGGGGAGGCCAAGAGCCAAAGACCAGCAAATACATGTACATACCACAACACCGTGGTCCCAGGCAAAAATGGCCAATTCGTACAGGCGGGTTACAAGATCCCACCTGGCGGTGATATAGCCCGCGACAAAGATTCCAAGGGTGAGGACGGAAAAGGGGTGCATGAATCGAGGCTGTTCAGGCGGTCCGCGTTTAGGTTGCGTGCATAGCTAGTTGAGGGGGGTGGACGGGTGGGTTTAAAGAAACGGCCGTAACGTGGGATTGAGAGGAGAGGTGTTGGTGTTAGAGTAAGGCCCGAATTGAGGAATTGGAGATTGAAATGAGCGATAACCCGGGGCTGGAAGTGTATGTTGCTTCATTGAGATCCCGCGTTGATGGCTTCTAGACCGTTTGTTACACGTGACTGGCCCCCGGCCCTAGATCGACATGGTGGTATACCTTGTTTGCTTACCGTTCAGGTGATTTCATAGTGATATCAATTGAAAATAGACATTTGGATTATCCTCTTGGATGATAGTTGAGTACACGATCATGCCTTTTCAGGCCAATTTCTCCCTAAACGCCAGACACCGTGGGGCCAACACATAATTCCCATATCCCTATAAAGCCTTGATACCCTGGAACACTTTGTTGGCTTGCAGCTTCTCGTCAGCTCCTGCTAGATCACGCATGAGCTGTCGCTTTTCTTCAGCTGTCAGCTCTTTGCCCTCGGTTGCTGCCTTCCATTTGAGCAGCATGCCCTTGAGCAGCGCGCTCCCCTCTTCCACCTCTTCATGGGTGTACTTGTCAAGGGATGGTGCAGCAACCTGTTTGCCATCACCTTCGCCTGTTGCAGATGTGAAATCTTCGAGCTCTTCGGCCTTTTGGCGTGCCATGTTGACGACCTTGTCTGGGAACCGTACTAGTTCGGCGACGTGGATACCGAAGGATTGATCACAGATTCCAGGTTCCACACGGTAGAGTAGGGTGACTTGACGCTTCTTTTTCTCCTCAGCTTCGGCCTCGGTCTCAGCGTCATTGCCATCGCCAATGAACGCCACGACGTGCAGGTTCTTGACGGCTTTCTGGTACCGGTCTGCTAATGCCGTGAGCTCGTGGAAGTGAGTCGCGAACAGACCGAAGCAGCGGATCTCGGTGACAATATGCTCTGAGATAGCCCAAGCAAGACCAAATCCATCGTATGTGCTGGTTCCACGGCCCAGTTCGTCAATGATAATCAGAGACTCTGAGGTTGCAGACTTGAGAATGTTGGATGTCTCAAGCATCTCTGCCATGAATGTCGACACACCCTTGAGCTGCGAGTCACTTGCACCGACACGGGCAAGAATACAGTCGAAGATAGTCAGCTCAGCCTCAGTACAAGGGACGAAGCAGCCAGTCTGTGCCATGAGGGCAATCACACCAATCTGTCGAATGTATGTAGACTTTCCGCCCATGTTAGGTCCAGTGATGATAAGGAATGACGATTCATCACGAATCAAAGAAACATCGTTCGTGATAAATGAGATGTCGTCCTGCATCTCCATGCAGGGGTGACGGGCTTCCTTGAGAACGGTATTTCCTGTGCCGCGGGGATGCATTTTGGGGCGGACATAGCCCGAAGGAGCATGCATCGAAGCATGTGCGAAGCTTACGATGACATCAAGGTGCGCCAGCACCCCGGCCAGCTGCTCCAACACCGGGCAATACGAAGCGGCAACATTGACAACCTCGTTGACCAGACCGGTCTGGGTTCGGTTGTAGTTGGAGGAGAGTTGGTCATGCTCGCGACGGAGGGATTGCATAGTCGAGTTGGTGAAGTAGACACCGTTCTTCTGGGTCGAACACTCCTGGTATTCCTTTTTGTTGCGGATACAGCCCGCCTCGTTACGAGTAAGACGGAAGCACCATCCATGCACTCGGTGGTTCTCCATGAAGAGCTTCTTTTCCATCTCCTGGTTCAAGTCCTTAGAAACACGACGGTGTTCCATATCCATGTCGTAGCGTAGCTTGTCGAGCTTTTTCCTGATGATCTTCAAGCTTTCGTCGAACTCGGGCTTGATGATGAATTCGTGGTTCTCCAGAGCAGCAAGATCAACTGTCGTTTCCACCATCTCCTCAAGCATGGCCAAGCTATCCGAATAACCACGTAGCTTAGATGTGTACTCCGCATCGAGGGGCTCCTGGTATTGCTCATCCATCACGTCCCCAAGCGCACTAACGAACCCAGGAAGACGAATGGAAACCTGGTATGCCCGAACAACATCTTCCAGGTTAGCCTGTTTCCGCTGGAACCGCTTGGCCAGCCGGTAAAGATCAGGAATAGAACGTAGATGCTCCTCCTGCATAGTCTGACGCAGCTCAGTGTTAACAACAAAAGCCTCGACCAATTGCTGCCGTTGCTCAATGGCAGCCAAGTCCATCAATGGCTGCTTCAGCCATTGAGCCAGCAAACGACTTCCGACAGGAGTCTTGCAATGATTCAAAAGACCAAACAAACTCATACTCTTCGACCCATCCCGCGGACCAGGCATAAGATTCAAAGCTCTCAGCGCAGAAGCATCAAGCTTCATATACTGTGACAAATCATGTTGATAAAGCTGATACTGACCAAAGTTCGTGGGATCAGTCATAACAGCAAGGTACTTAATCAAGGCCGAAGCAGACCCCATAGCCAGCTTCAACTCCGTCTGAGGGAGAGTTCCAGCGGAGTGTTCATCGCGTAACAACCTAGTAAGATCCTGCTCGATATCACGAACACCGAAATCGGCAACAGGCCGCTCGGAAATGGCAATCCCACAGCTATCAGCGATGGCACGGATCTTAGCCAGCTCAACATCCTTCCGGGTCGAATCCATAGTCACGAGACACTCCTTCACACCGAGCTGGATAACCAACGACTCGAAATTCGAGTAGATATCATTATCGAGGAATTCACTCACACCCAGCTCGCGCACACTCGCATCGGCGAAGCACACGCCGACGTTTCTCGCCTCCGCTGCCCGTGCAGATATCTTCACAGCTAGGATGATGGGCGCCTGGTCCATTGAGAGTGCACCCACGCTGCCGAGCTCTTCTTCGACGTCTTGTAGGTTACCGGGGCTGGCTTGCTTCGCGAGCTTCCAGTTGCCCTTGCCTGTGCCGCCGGAGGCCAGATCTCAATTCGCTTGTTGAGTCGGAAAAGTGATTCGCGGAGGAAGTTTCGGAATACTGTTACGCTCATTGTGACTGAGGGCAGGCCGTTGGATTCGCTGCGGCCTAGGTTGCGGATGACGGAGGTTGTCTTGTAGACGGTGCGTGCGATGAATTCTGCATCGGCGCCGTGGGATGAGTACCAGTCACCTCTGTCGAATACGCGGATTGTTTCATTGTTGTCGATTGTGGGGAGGGAGCGGTAGAAGCCAATGAAGCCGACTTCGTCGTCGACCTGGAGAGTTCAATGATTAGTTGGTGGGATCAAGTTAATTGAAGAAACCAACCCTGATACATACCTTGAGATCTGGCCGAGAAGACATTTTGTCGATTGATGCTAGGAAAGAGTGCAGCAAAAGACAATTGTGCTTGTGAGTATCCGGGTGGTTGGATCTGTCAATTCGACGCGCACTAGCCACGCGGTCACGTGTGACGCGTCGCGCGTTAAGTGGCAGCCCAAGTCCCCTTTCTAAACATGATCTAAGGAATTGATTGGAAGATAAATTCAGTGACTAATGGTATTATAATTGTTCGTCCGAAGACCTAATTTCTAAATAGTACAGGTTGAGGCTAAAAACATGAATGATAAAGTACAGGGTATCGAGCGCTGATGCAAGGCAAGATCGCGAGCAGACCGGCTCGACGGATGCAAGATGAACAAAAATCAAACAAAGGCAGAAGAGGACAAAAGTCCAGCTCCTTCAAACACAGATTTACATGGCAGGGGCCTTCACACAGGAGGCAGACTTGTCCCAGTCAGCCTTGAGCTGGGCAGCTCTCATACCAATATTTTTGGCAGAGACATCTTTGCAAGACTTCAACACCACAGACTTCATCTCTTTGACAGTAACAATGCTGATCCAATTACCGGCAACACTGGTGTCAGCCAGAATCTCAAGACACACCTCCACTTCCTCGCGGGGAATTGGGCTGCGAATAGAATCACGGACAAGTTCGACCATGGCATCCATCTTGTAAGGCTTGCGCTGAGAGGCAAACATAGCCTTGATCCCATTGCCGACGTACCCAGCAGGACGCAGCATGGCCAGAATACCAGCAACCTCCTCAACACGGTCAACAGCAGCACGGCGAACGAGTTCCTTTTTGGTGGGCGGAGGAGGCAGCTTGGACTGGCGCAATTCCTTGTTCTTGATACGGTCCAACAAACCTTGGCGACGGCTGACAGTAGCAGTCCGCTCCAGAGTGGTCGTTTGTGAAGAATCGGCACTGAGTCTCTCAGCCGTCAAGCGGAGCAAGCCGCCCTTGAGATCCTGAAGACGCTGTTGACCTTTCTGGAACGAGGTGAAAGGGGTAAGCGACTCGTGGACGGTGGAGAGACCGAGTGTCTCAATGAAAAGGGACGGGCGGTCTTCTTCGTTGGCAGCCTGCAGAGAATCCTGAGCCTTCTCCCACAGTAGATCCAGGGTCTCCTCGAAGGAGTCTTGCAAAGCGGCGGGCTGCTCGTCTGTCTGGAAAGTGCGTTCCACGCAAATTTTGCCGAGTCCGTAGTTTGCCAGTCGGTAAGAAACGGTTATCGCCTTTGAACTCCTTTCCCAAACCCACACCAGACGCTGCAAATCCTTTATCTGCACCTTGCGCTTTTTCCAGATGCGGGTCACGCTGCCAAGGAACTCTCGGAGGTCCGCAGGGGCATTGACGCCGTTGTGTGCCATGTGGAAGGAGAAAGCCTGAACAAATGCCGAATGGAGGTTGAGAACATCATTGAATAATTCAGGTCGAGGAACGATGGAGATTTCTTCTTGAACTGGTGCAATTTTCTCAAAGTCGAGGGTCCTTTGCTTCGAAGGGGTCGCGGGTGTCGAGGGGTCGGTTTTGACAGGGGCGCGAGCACGTCGACTGGGTGTCCTCTTGGGGGTTCCCTTGGGAGAAGCAAAGTGCCCACTGCGCGGTGAAGACACAGACAATTCATTCAGTCGCAAAGTTTTCGAGGGTGTGCCTTCCTCGACTGGAGCTGGGCTGCCGGCGTCGACATTTTCGAGTTCCTGAAGCTTTCGTTTCTTGGAAGGCGAGACGGGGAGCGAGGTGGATTTAGCGGGCAGTGACTTCCCAGGCAGTGACGGAGCGATGCCGGCTTTGGTTGCTCTGGTGAAGATCTGAATAGCTGGCTGGGCAGCGCTTGCCCGGGTGGTACGCATCGCGGCTTCTTGAAAAATTTTCGGTTGCCAGGGATAAGATAAAATTGGAAAGGACGATCAATGCAGCTGTAGTATGATACACAGGGTAAGAGATATCGGAATATTAGAACTGCAAATAGAAGTGGGAAAGAGCAATGGGGGGAAAATGGAGTAAGACGATATGCAGGGACACGCGTGGAAGAAGCGCGTTGAAACCACACTAGCCTATTCGGGTTAAATGGTAACGCGTGGAGTCCGAACTAGAACGCGAACGCCAATATAGATCTTCAACGTAAGAGAATGCAACTGCAAAGGAAAAAAGGGAGAACAGCAGATGGGGACCAATTTAATTAAATTGAGGGCAATGCAGTCTAGTCGTGGGGTCGGCATTCTCGTCACTACGGTAATGCTCTGGCATTGGAATGCTCAACCGCATCTATACTCCAGAGGGGCATGCTCTACAGATTGGTCAATGGATTCCGATTTAAGACTATTGGGATCGTTCCAAAGGCATTGAACATGGGACCTGAGACTGACTTCGTTTCACCTAGCGCCCTGAGAAACTACATGTGGCACCGACCACATTGCATTCATGCATACTGGCTTATAGCTTACAAAGTCTCCAAAATAACGTAAGGAACAAGTCAATTATTCATGATATTCTTGAGAACCGATTCCCGAAACGACCAGCGCCGTGACATAACATAACATTAATCGCCAATGAGGATCATGGCAACACACATTGACCTTCAATCATAGCTTATTTCTTGCTTCCAAACCAGCCGGAGACAGTACCCTTAGCGTCCGCGGCCTTCTGCTCGACCGTGCGATCCGCCTGGTCCACACCGCTGTTGACCTTATCCCGACCGGCATTGAACTTGCTCTTAGCGTCGTCGCGGAGGCCGTCGAGTTTATCCTTGCCCTCTTGGGCCCACTCGGGGATCTTCTCGCCCTTGGCGCGGGCATTGGCGATCTGTGGTTGTCAGTTAGTATGGCATGATCTCTGGTAAGGTGGCTGTGGAGGGAGCCTCGATGTTGATGTACGAGTGGGCGACGCCAAGAACGGAGGCAGGGGGTTTGCACTTACAGCTTCGTCAACCTTGGAGCCGGCGTCCTTGCCGACGTCCTTGCCGAACTTCTCGGCGCTCTCGTTGCCAGGGAGCTTCTCGCGTGCCTTTTCAGCGTCGACTGGTGGAGATGATCAGTTCAGGCACATGGTATAATTGTTGACAGCAGCTGCCGGGTTGATCACGTACTCTTTATCTTGTCTCCTGCAACTTTGGGGTCACCACCTGCTCTGTACAGGTAGTAGCCAACTGCACCGACGCCACCGGCGCAGAGGTAGAGGGGCATGCGGCTTTTAGACATGATGAATGTGAATGTAGTAATGGGTGATGTTGTAGCGAAGGTATGCAGGATTACGGTGATCCCCGTACTTATAGGTTTGTCTCGAGGTCGAAACCGGGGATAGCCAGTCAGCCGACTATGACGTCTGTTCCCGTGCCTAGACCCTCCACCTTCACTTCTTTTTTACACCTATCACTTTTGATTTTGATTTATTATACTTGTTCTGTCAATGATTTACTGCTGGCTTTATCCTTCGTTGAACTTTTTACTTCGAGAGATTTCATACATCGAGATGAGTTGTGCTGTTCTGGTTGCAGCTACAGTGTAGTAACATGTGGAGAACTACCAGACGCCCGTCGACGTCACCTACAAGTCATCGCCTCATATTGACCAACCTTGGAAGGGTCAAGGTTTCCTCCCGACCTAATTGGTTTGTGACTATAAGGCTGGGGAGGTTGTTGAACTGATGAGTATACGTCATCTGGGAATATCATCATTTTCATGCCCTTAATCCCCCAGTCTAGTAGGCATGTTGCTTGTGTGCCTCGTCTTCAGTTATATCCTCGACCGACGCCCTTTGATAATTCGAACTCATATACAAGGATGATCCTCTAACCGAATTGCAGGTTGCATTGCCAGAGTAAAACCCATCCTAAATAAAGAATATCAATCAACGTCAACTTTAGAAACAATATTAGTAGAAACACTTGCACAACAACTCACCTTATCTTCGAAACCCATGTCTCTAATCTCATCCCCAAGACCATCATCCCCAGTCAAAGGCACCTCAACTTCAGAAAGAACACTCTCCACACTAGGCCGACACCACGTCGACAACCTCAGACACCGCTGCCAAACACTAGGATTCCCCCACCACAACTCCCCTCTAACGCCAACAGCTTCATCAGAAATACCCTCCCGCCAAACCTTCCTAGAAATCCGACACGCAACCTCAGAATCATCAAGCACAAACAACCCAAGATCAACACTCGACCAATGCCTCCACCGCAACGACTCAGCATCGAACCCATTCGAACCCAGATGCAATTCTCCAGCCGAACTATGCTTAAACTGCCGACAAGACCCAGGAAACTCATAAGACACAATCTTTGATTGGACATGCGTCCAGAAAACACGGCCGTAAATCGTACAGGTCCGTTCCCAGCCGGGCATGTTGCGGCTTTCTTCTTCGTGCGGTTCTTCTATCGGCGGTTTCCAGAAACATTTTTTCTTGCCCGTGCGCGTATGTATCCACGTAGAAGAGGCGGTTGATTTTGTCGAGCCGCCAGTCCCAGCCTTCTGGGAGGGTTGGCAGGTGGATCAGTGGGTGGAGGTCTTTTTGGGGGACTTTTTCCCATGTTAGTTGGAGGACGGGTTGGTGTTGGTTCGCTTGTGTTTTGTTTGGGTCGAATGGGAAATTGTGTGGAAAGTGTTGGTTGGTTGGTTGGGGTGTAGTTGTGTTGTTCTCATGGTTTGGGTATTGGTTTGGATATGGTGGGTAGGGATATGTGAACGATGCTCCATATGTATAACCCTGGTGCAGAGGAGGTGGTTGGAAGTATGACATTGGGGTATTTTGATATGCGTAGGCGTAATAGGCTTGTGGTGGAGGATACCCATTCTGGGAAGATATGTAAGGGTTTGGTATTGGTTGGAAGCCGGTATACATTGGATGGTTGGTATGAACGGGCATGCCAGGAACCTGGCCGGGGATAGCAGGGTTGGACTGCTCGGGGGAGACTTGTGCTTTGTAGTTGTGTACAAACGGTCGCTGGTGTTCTTTCATGGACGGTCTCGAGCCCACTGTCGACGCTGAACTCCAGCCTGAAGGCGATTCAGGTCGAAACTGTTGCTGTCGTGTCCGTCGTTCATGCTGTCTTCGCGAATCTGGCTCCGAGTGATATTCTTGGGTTGAATCATCCATTTCGACAATCTTGCCGTTCACGAAGTAGCGTTTCGGTTTGGGAGGCAGTGGCTGTTCGGTATTCTGATTGATCTTCGGCTTCATTTGATCTCCGTTCCTTCGTGGCTCGTCTTGTTGCAGCTCTATATGAACAGAGACTTTGCGTGGCTTCGGCATTTCCCCTGATCGAGGTGACTGTCCGGAAGATGCACTAAGCCTGTCAGTTCGCTTCATCAATTGGAATCAACGTCTAGTGTGTACATACTTCACTTGAAGGATCGTAATATCGAGGCTCTTATCATTGAAACTTCGCCTCAATTCGTACAAATGGTTTCTCAACTCGTCATAGTGCTTGACGATATGCTCACCCCGAAACCCACAGTTCATCAGATCTCGCTGAAACTCGCGACACACATCCTTCCCATCATCATCTTTAATGGTGAACCCGGCTGCCATCGGCATGCTCGATACATCTGCCGTATATCGTTGAAGAAGAACCTTTCGTATCTCCAACAAGAGCATGGGAATAGCATCATTGTGATTGGGAGTTGCGTACAGATAGACTGCATATCCATTAGATTCAATACCGAAGGAAGCGAGGATCCGGACTTGCTTTTGATTCCTATATGACGGGGTCAGCATTCACCATGATGTACCTCTCATTGCCTTGCCATCTCATACCTATAACGCAATGACTAGTTCCTGCAATGTCTCCGACCTTCACTGCGTAACTAGAGACATTTCGAGACCTTACGTGGTCTGGGAACCCCAGTGGATCCATCTGATGCATATTTTCAGAAGTTCAAAAGCTTCCCAAGACATTAGGGATATTTATTTTGTTTTAAAAAAGCAAAATAAATGAGCCAGTGCTCTGACAGTTGTTTCCCCTCACAGGATGGCCCGGATGCGAACGCCATGGGTGTGAATACCCCTGTCGTCAGCCCTGACTTTTGCGAATATGTCCTTGTAGACCATGGAAAGATAATTCATGTTATTTGTGTCCGACGCCATCAAGATATACACGTAGTCCACACATATCTATCAACAATTTCAAGGAAAGCAAGGAATCCTTCACATCCACATCCAGGTCTCATCTCGTCACATTGAACTACAGTACAACAACCCCATACCACCAGATGAGCCTCCTGCATGGCCAGGTGTACGATACCCGGGCGATGAACACCACGTGGTCCAATCACTAAACAGTACAGATGTCCATCAGTCTTCACATTTCATTGTCTGATCTTCCATCTAAAAAATCTGATTTCTTCACAATGCCATAATACGAGCGGGGCTTATCATGGTAGGAGATTAGGAGATAAATTGAAAAGATCTAGGGCTTATATAGGCTAACCTGCCCACTTGGGTTAGGTAGTGGTCCCATCCTTGTCCAATATCCAATAAGCAGTCTTCCTATCTGACCGGGCTTGCATCAAGCCATGGACACCTCTCTCTGTGTGTGTTTGGGGAGGGAAGTGAGGCGGCGAATTATAAAATTGTCGTGGACCGCCCTTCCACTCATAATGTGAAGTTCTGTTTCGGTTATGTATATTTCGCTGATGATATCTCGCTGCGGAGTGAGATATATATCGACCTCCTTCTACCCCGGCTCCAGCGGGAAGTTCCACATCCATTCTCTCTACACACCACTCACAGGAGAGAAATCGTAGTCAAGACCGGGACCGGTGGCAATACACACGAGATATAAGCTAAATATACATATTTGGTGAGAGATAGGGAAGGAAGGGAAGGGAAGGGCCAACAGGAGGTACGATCCACAGTATAAATGCATTTCAGTCATATTCAGTTCATAACAGTTATCCAAGATTCCCTATAGTCCGTAAAAAGATAAATATAAGAAAAAACGACGTAATCCACCAAAGAGTAATATAGTAAGACACAAAAACGGAAAAGAGGTAGGTAGAGGGAGAGAGGTGTGGAAGAGGAGAGGAAGGGTGATTGGGATGGAGAGATCGAGCATGACTCGATAAGATAAGTTGAAGAGAAGGAGAAGGCAAAAGACAGAAAGTCCGCCAGTAGTAAATGGTAAAAGCAACCTCAGCCAAACCACGACCAAAATGGAGACGAAAATGGAAAATGGAATGACCTCAAATGGACAAGGTCAATGACTGGGGTATCCGTCATGTCATGTCATGCACAAGCGACTCCACCCATACAAGATCCAAGTGCCATCCCACGCGAACGCCGGACATTCAGCTCGCAAGTGAGGTATGTATGTCCAATCCAGAATCGGAATCAGAACCAAGTATCCAAAATGCAGATCAGAGACTGGAAGAAGAAAAGTAAAGCCATCCCGAATCACGAATCACAAACAAAAAAGCCAAAGGAAAAAGAAACAATAGACTCCCGAACACAAGATAAAAGAAAGATGGGGCACCGTTTCCGTGTCGTGTATCAGTCGTCTCGTTATGTCGTCACTTCATCAAGGGTTTCGTCTGTCATGATCATATGTCATAACTATGAGGAAGGCGTGCGAATCCCTGAAACATATAGGAAAAGAATTGGAAGGGCTACCATGAGCCCGGTACGTTGAAGGTTGGGCGTAGAGTAGGAAATGATAGGCGGAAGAGGAGGGTGGTTGCTGAGATCGAAAACATATCGAGATGCTGGATGCCGAGGATGTGATGAAAGATGGCTTTTCAGGCTTATAATTGAAAGCGAGGGTGATTCAGATATGTCGAGAGGGAGAATAATTTATCAAAACAATGACAATTTACAGGAACAGTTTTGCAGCTCCTTTGTTCTCGTTCGTGGCGACGGCAACGAGAGCCTCGAGGCGGCCCATGCCCGAGTTGCGGGCGGCGTCTGTGAAAACGTCGTTTCGGGGTTCCCGGTCGTGGGGTTGATAGCCGTCCGTGTGGGAGGACTGTCGACCACAGATCTATGACCGTATTAGTAACCGGGCCGATAGCCGTCCGTTCGGAGAGAGGTTCCTACCGGGGGAGGATGCTCGGAGGGGACAGAGTCTTGAGATTCGATGTATCCGCTGCTGTGCACGATCGCGGGATGGTAATCGACTGATGCCGTGGATGGGGTATGGACGCCCTCGCTGCTACTCGAATCCTCCGGGGAGGTGCGCGTTCGGCTACTGGTTGAAATGCTGGGGCGATGTCCGCGGGGCTCTTCTGGGCTTCTTTCGGCTGTTGGTCCAAATGCAGGTTGATAAGAAGAAGATGGGCGGGAAGATACATTTTGGAGTTCTGCAATGGTCTGTTGGCTCCATTGCGAGGCAGAGGCGTTCGAAGGACGCCGATCCCGGATATCCAGTCCGGTCAGGTTATGATGCAAAGACATATCCCACGATACATGGCCGCGTCGATGGCCTGGGCCAGAGATAGGTGGTGGTGGGCGATGAGATGGTTGTGTATAGTTGAAACCGGCTCCAAAGGCGTTATTTGGAGGGCGCTGATGGCCATCGATCTGCATTGGGCTGTCTTTCCGAGTGGGCGGGGTTAAAGGCCGGGAGACTACCTTGTCGAAACTCTCAATACCGGGCAGCCGGGGAGGTTGCTCGGTCCCATTTGCACCAAATGATGCCGGAACAGTATCGGGGGTGTGATAGTGATTCAAGCCACTAGTTCCGGGTCGAGGGAACCCTGTGTAAGATGATGGGTGCCACGTTCTCCTCCGCATCTCTGCCTCGGCGGCATTCAACGCGCCCTCGTCACGAGACACAGAGTAGTTGGTGCTGGCGGGGCTAGCAAACACACCAGTTGCGTTGGAATAAGGTGCGCCCGGGGCTGCGTGATAGGGCGGAGGGTATGCGTTGCCATGTGCGAGGAAAGGGTTGCTACTAGTTGGCACCGAGAGACGACGGGCGGCCGTTTTACCTTCCCAGAAACCAGCGGATGACATGGGCGAAGCATATTGAGGGCTTCCCCCACCTGCGGCAAACATATTGGAAGGGGTGTACGGGGACGCTGCGGTAGACGGACCAATGCCACGGATCTGACCTGGAGGAGTGCTCGGAGGCTCTCCCATGGAGTCCATTGCCAATCGGGATCGAGCCGCTGGGTCGTTGGCCATGATCAGCGGCGGTGGGCGCCGTCGAAGTTCCGGTGGTTGACTGAATGTAGAAGCGGTTGACGCGATGCTCGAGGTCGACAGGTTCCGGCTGTGACCCCGACTGTGGCCGCCTTGACTCCCTCCTGTGCCTGCCCGGGCCCGGCCTGGGGGCCGCACGCGATCCGTCCGGACCTGGCGCTGGAACCGAGTTCCCGTGGCGGCCAGCGAATCCCCCGGTATCTCTTCATTGACGTGGACGGTCTGGGCGTGTTGTCGGAGGTTATCAAGCCGTGAAAAGCGTCGAGAGCAATGGCACTGGAAGGGACGTTCTCCGGTGTGCTTGCGAATGTGGCGAGCCAGATGTTCGCTGCGGGTGAAGCTCAGGTTGCAGGGCGGAAAGGCGTCGCAGAAGAAACGTTGACCCTTCTTCTTCTTGGACGGCGGGGCGTTGCTCCCTGGATCGTGATCGTGGTCGGAATCGTCCTGTTCGCCCTCGGAATCGTGCATCGGTTCGTCTGACATGGAGGGGGTTCGGACGTGGGTTGGAGCATCGCGGCTGTGTGAGACCGGATTTTGGTCCGTCGACGAAGACCCCTCTGGTGTGCTTGGCACCTTGGTTGGATTCGCACGCGGCGTGGCAGCTCCATCCATTTCTTCAGGGGCAGAGTTGTTCACAGGGAGGAAGGAGGTCATGCTGGAGAGGCGGGAGTGATGTCAGGTCACCCCCAAGTTCGGACCTAACCACCAGTGGTCGCAAAGCCAACCCGACCCGGAATATTCACCCCAGGGCCAGTTGGGATTCTATACGTCTCTATGGCGATTCGGAAGCACAAGGCTACGGAATAAGCGGGCACTCGGAGTCTGGAGGCGAGATTGACTGTGAACATGGCAATCTCAGTAAGGGCTACTGGAGAGAGGCTGGGGTAAAAAAACAAAGAGATCTGATTTCACGTACGATTGAAATGCTTACTCTGGAGGGGGTGTGGAGAGAGGGGAGTGGAATGTGTGAGAGACCCAGTTTGGACGCAAGGGATCAAAGAAAATGTAGAAATTGTAAGAAATGTAAGTAATTCAAAAGGAGGGTGTGTAAGGGATCGTCAGAAGGGAAAAGATCCGAAAAGGACTCCAGGGAAATGGTGACGATTCTTATCGGAAGCGAGGGGCAAAAGACGATCCCAGGCACCTCAGACTTCCGGGGCTACCGACATGTTTCACCAGTACGGAGTATAGCTATATTCACCTAGGCAAGTATAAAGGGTAAAAGTCCTTGACGTTAACACCTGCGGACCCTGGGAACCCTCTCGCCAAGTCTTGAACAGTTTGGTTCTGGACACGATCGAGACCCTTATGGAGACAGTTTAGGGTTATATCTATACTCTTCCCTTACCGTCATACACATCGTAGACTAACTACTCTGTATATCGGTATACGAAGAGAAAGTCCGAGCCCATGTTAATTATAGATAAGAGACAGATCTCATGTACATTTCTTCCCATTCACTCCCTAGTAACTTAACCCCCCCGTACTGTACAAAGTCAACTAAAAGGATTCGTCACCTACGATCCGGCCCCTCCGTTCAAGCCGCATTCAGGCAACCCCAGTACTCTGAAACTTTCACCCCCTGGGACTAATCCCGCGATGTGCCTGCGTCGCTACTAAACTTTCCCCATGCCTGCAAACGGCATCTCTGCTGTGCATCCCATCCCAGATCCCGTGGTTCTCGTTGTGCTTAAATGTACTTTAATCCTGGATCTTTGGTTACTCGGCCTTTGCATTACGAGTCCAAGTATATGTGGAAAACCCCATCGAGATGTGTGACGCCACGCCAGATGTGGATGATGTGCTTACTGGCTCCAGCCTTTGCCTTATCCTTTAATTTATTATGATTTACCCTGGTTCTTGACCGGTGCGTTAGCCCCTGGGATAGGCGCCATGCTATAATGCAGCGCGATTGGTAGGGAAGTGAGAGGCGTTAGAACACGGATCCCTGGACTAGAATCATGTAAATTACAGTCAACTCTCGCTTATACCACGGTGGGATATTGCACATTCTTGATAATAACACATCCCTTGCTTGGATGGCCCCTTCATTCCAGTTTTTTCCATATAAATTGACAGAATATAACACATTTTGTTTTACCACACTTTCTTCCTCTCAAATCTGCTTAGTCAGCGCAATCAACCAATCAGAATGCCTCAATCTACAAGCTCTCCTACCCTCCCGACCCCACCCAAGCGCGTCAGAATGGGACCAAAGCGTACCAAATTGGGTATATCAGACGCGCAGAAACAGGCACTACGGGCATTTTGGTCTAATACTAGCCCAAAGCCCACGCAGACTGCATGTGCTAAGTGGTTTGAGGACCAATTCAAACAAGTGATTGACCGGTCAACCATATCAAGGATCCTTTCATCCAAATACAATTATCTTGATACGGGCCCTGCAGGGGCAAACAAACGATCTTCATCCTCTCATTGGCCATTATTGGACCAAAAGCTATATGACTGGGCAGATAACCATATTGGCAATGGAATACCAATAAATGGCCCTTTGATCCAAACTAAAGCAGCTGAGCTTTGGAGACAAATACCGGAATACAAAGATCGGACCAAACCTCAATTCTCTGAGGGTTGGTTAACTCGCTTCAAACAACGCCACTCTCTTCAATATCATACTTTCCACGGAGAAGCTGCCTCAGTCCCATCCTCGGTACATGATCAGATCAAAAGCACCAAATCGATTTGCAATCAATTCAAACCGTCCGAAATCTACAATATGGATGAAACTGGCCTATTTTGGCGACGTATGCCAAATGGTGGTCTTTCAAAGGGAAAAATTGCTGGCAAAAAGCTTGATAAAACACGAATCACTATTGTTGTTGCATCAAATGCGGATGGTTCCGATCGAGTCCCTTTATGGTTGATTGGCACAGCAAAAACCCCTCGCGCACTCCGGGGGGTTAATTTCCGAGCTCTGGGATGTGTTTGGCGTCACAACAAGGCAGCATGGATGCGTCATGACATTATGGAGGACTGGTTGCGATCTTTCTATGGGCGTATTCCCTTAGATAAGAAAGCTTTGCTCCTTTTAGACAATGCTTCACCACATGTTATTGGACTCCAGCGAGCGCCACCACCACCCCGGATTACGGTTGTTTTTTTGCCAGCAAACGCAACTTCAATTTATCAACCCTTGGACCAAGGTATTATCCAAAACTTGAAGCACCATTATCGGAAGAAATGGATGCGCTATATGATTGCTTTTCTTGATCGTGGGATAGACCCAAAACAAAGAATGAGCATTTATTATACTGTTACCTGGGTAACGCAAGTTTGGAGAACAAGTGTATCAGACCAAACGATTATCAATTGCTTTAAACAAAGTACTTTGATTAGTCCAAAGTCTATACCTATACCTGAGTCCGCGCCCGAGTCCGCACCTGAGTCTGCACTATTTTCCGAGCCCGGATTGAGTGATGAGATTGAAAGTCTATATAATCAAGCAATTGATAAGCTTGGTGATAAAGATATTGTGCCATTTGACGAGTTTTTGAACCCTTCGGACGAAGACATGTTAGAAGATGGGACTGAAGGGCGAGATGAGACCAATGAGCAAGATATATATATTGCCCCAACAACCTCAGAAATTCAGGATATTGACATTGATGGGCCCCCACCTGAGCTTCTGTCTAATTCTGCTATATTGGACAGCCTCCAGGATATCCTACTATGGGTTTGTAGCAAAGAAAAGGGTACCTCGGACCATATTAGACAAATTGAGAGCTTAATCAGCGACTTTGGCAGGATTCAGATTGATGAGAAACGTCAGGTGACTTTGGATCAGATGATGGGATGGAAGACTAAATAGGTATTAGGGCTTAGAGTTAGCTTGTCAAATATTATGTCATCCTCTCACCAAAACACAACTCAATTATACCACGTAATTTGGCTTGGATAGTATGCTGTGGTATAAGCGAGAGTTGACTGTATATGTATTCCATTTTCCCCACTGATTCGATCGGCACTGACGTTAACTTCCCCTCCTTACCCCTCCCAAGTGTCCCATATATATATAAGATAGACATACAACAGGATTTTGAGAGGGGATGTAAGGACGGGTACCTGTAGGTACATCTGCAGGACGCCACTGGGGCTGGCATGGGGGCGCACGGCCAAGTAGAGCCAGGTACCTGCAGGGCTTATCGATAAGTTCCCCTCAGTGCTGACGTCGTTGACTCGAAGTATGGAGATCTCTATATGTCGACCTTGTTTCGCCCCTGGAGAAAGGCGATCACTTTGCCTTTCAAGCGGTCTGCCTATCCCGTGTTACCCATCCAATCATAGGGGATGTTCTGCACATCATGCCAGGACCATCCATGTGTCTGCGTACCTGGCCACGTAAAGGAGCCGCCCACAGGTACACTGTATAGTAATATAGTAATATAGTAATATAGTAATATAGTATTATAGTATTATAGTAATATAGTATTATTTATTATTGCAGATTTGCAGATTTAAATCTTGGGTAACTCGAAACGACGGCACAGATATACACCCATAAACCCCATCTAGACCCCTCTCCAAACCAACGCCTTGATAACTCATATCTCACATATCTCATATACACACCACAAACTACACACCAAGTACACAATACACAGAGGCTGAAGAGGATCACATGCAAAAACCAAAAACGAACAAAGCACCCTGCCTCGTCCAACACCCCGACCTTATTGGCCCCAACCACCACACCTACTGACTTGCATCTGTACTCTGCATCTGCAATCCAGGGCAATATGACTCAACATGTAGTACGCGCACCAGATTTGCCCAGCCATCTTGTAAACAACACGTTCCCCTCAGACTCAGGCTCCGATCCCAGGGGGTGGGTGCACCGTGTGGGGGTCATCTGACTGCCATGTAAATACACTGCAGATGGGAGATGTAGATGTACACCATAGATATAGATGTAGATCTACTTTTCATGCCGGCTTATCTAGGGGAATTATCCGAACCTCGGAGCTTTTTGCTTTTTGTTATCTGTTCCATATGGCTGTTTCCGATACCTTGGCGTGACTGTTGGGTTCCCAGGGTACTTATTGGCTTGAAGGATGCCAGGTACACTTGTTCATTCCTTTTTTATCTTTTATTTTTTAATTTTTTATCTTTCTTTCCCTCTCCCGTCTCTCTTGGTTCGGGGGCTGTGGGCTGGTACCTGGGACTTGGGACTTGGGGATTTGTTTCCAAGGGTCTGTGAGCATTGTGCGACCGCATGGTTTCGACCGTGGCTGGATTATATATATCACATTTTGGCGGGGCTCAAATGGGAAACTGGGCGTTGGTATTATTTGTCAGCTTACAGGGATTCTGCGGGGTACCTAAGGTACCTGAGCTTCAGCTCTTTGTGTGTTAACGCCTGGGTCTAGGGTTGTGGGAGTTGGTGGTTTCAGTTGGGGCTATTATTGGCATACGAAGCCACCAATGGAATTACTTTGTTGAGCAGTTATCTCGCTATCGACTAGTGGCTTTGAGACAGCTGCACTTGGGATGATAGTCAGGTACTTGCTTACGGGGCTTTTTATCCCACTGATCTATAACTGAATTCTGGAGGATCCATGAAGCTTAATAGGAACGATTCGGTGGTTGATCTTTCTACGTTACCTAATCTTCATTATGTCCTGCGTTAATCACACAAGCAAGAGGCTTGTCTTACCGCTCTGGCAGTAGCTGGGTGTTTCTCATAACATTTGTTGAATTGGAATGTTCTGACCTGAATTTAGAGCGGTTTTACTTCTATTTGATCATGAAACCTGGCGTTCTTTGCTTTTCGATCGGCATGATTCACAGCAATTCCTTCCTGATTTGAGGACGATCCTATATCGATTGAGATATCGAGAGAGTTCTGCTAAGGCCACCCCTCCTCCCATTCTAAACTCTACCAAGTCGAGACAAGAGAAAGGTGTTACTATGTTCAGATATGTGTGTTTTTAAACCTAACTTGCGATACAAGCACCAGCTCTAAGCTGAGGCAAGTCCTTTATACACTCCTGCCTCAATATCCTGATACAGTTGGTGGACTTGGGCGTCGCCAAACGGCAGGATTTGGGCACAAACTATACCCGCCAAACCATTGTCACGATCGCACCACCAGTAAAGATTAGGGAGGCCAGACCATTGGGCTGTTCCCACAGAACGACCCGTCAAGCCCCCGCTTAGCAAGAAGGTCAGGCCCCAACCCTGACGGTCCCCGGCAACGGTTGGGTGCAGTCCTGTGCCAGAATTCGTCAGATCAGGCTTTGCGTCGGGAATGTACTTTTCAGACAGTGGCGGAAGGTTCGCGATTTGGTCGCGGAACATTTCGTCCACGGTGTCTTTTTTCAATAGCTGCGATCCAGTACTTGGTGAAGTCCCGTCGTTAAGCAGTATCGCTAGGATTTCTGGAAAGAAAATTAGCTAATGAAGATACATCCTGAATGAAGAGACATACGGCAATAATCTTGGGGTGTCGAGAAACATCCCGCTCCGCCACTGTTGAAGAGTGATTCCACATCGGATTTGTTTTCCACCGTCAGCGGTCGTCGGAGCAAATGATCCCGAGGAGAGATTCGGCCGGTTGAGTCTCGCTGGTGCATATAGGCTAATTTTTCCTTCATGGCTGAAGTTGGGATCATGGATATCTGAGTAAGGCCCAGTGGCTCAAAGATGTGTTGGTGGAAGTATTCATTCAGTGTCTTCTTGGTAACACGTTCAATCACAACGCCTACCCAATCGATATTTACCTATTATATGCCATAAATGTCAGCATCTGTGGCCCTGAGGTCAAAAGATATGCGTTCTTACACCATACTCCCAGGCTTCTCCTGGCTGGTGCACAAGCGGCTGCTTGAAGTCACTGAAATATCCCGAGAACTCGTCGAAGCCAATCGGGCGGCTGGAGTCCCGTAATTTGGTATTCATGAAGGCATATCCAAAGCCAGCTACATTTTTCGACATCAGAAAGCAAGCTTGATGTAAATCTGGCGGCAATCACTGACCTGTGTGGGTCAATAGCATCCTCAACGTAATGCCCCTCGTTTTTTCGACCAATGTGCCATCTTCTTGCAGGACTTTCACGTCCTTCAGCTCTGGGCAGATGCGTTCAAGTTCGTTGGCATCATCCAAGGAGAGCTGCCCCTGTTCCACAAGCTGCATGCATGCAATCCCAGTGATCAATTTTGTGCATGACGCGATCCAAAAGACACTGTCGGTTGCCAGTGGCTCGGTGCTTCCGTGTCCTCTCTGTCCGCCTGCGTGAGAGAACAACAACTTTCCATTCTTTCCAACAACTGCAGCAGCAGCGCCCGGTAGTCCGTTGTCAGGGTCGACGCAGGCCGAGTCAATTCGGCTTTTAAGTGCTTCAAGAGTCGTCACTGGAAGATTACCCATTTTAGAATAGAACTTGAATAGTCGATACCTTGATAAAGTGATGACGGGTGAAGATCCTAACAACGCAATATATGTAGTCGGGGCAAACCCTACACTGCCAAGTCTCCGCTGATCCCCCGCCTGATAGTTCCGCTGCGGGGTATACATCCGCTCCTATATATCCGTTACTCACATTGAAATACTCCCATAAAATACTATTTTGATAGTCCAAGTGATCGTATCTGACTTAGTCACAACGCGAGCATGTCCCAATTCCATGACCCTGCGAATCCTCGTGATATGCCAAAGTCTTGGTCTTCCGGGCGTATTCTTACAGAAATCCAGCGACACCAAAAGCGAAAGAAGGACAGAATCAACAAAGAAGGACGCGCACTAACAACCCGGTCAAGTATGACGCGTCGCGCTTGTTGAGGAGACCAATGGAAGGTTCCTTCAGTGATAGTCTTGGAGGCAATATAGTCTTCCTTGCAATGACCCTTTTGACCAGGAGGGTTGCCTCAGGTGCAGGCAGATTATCCTTGGTATGACACCGAATGGCTAAGAAATACCCTAGTTTAAATATTTGAGAATTGAAGACTCGAGGCTGGAAGAAGTCCTCCGTCACACCAAAGACCCGAGGCCCAAAAATCCGAATATGGCTCTCCCTAAGACCTATGTAACATAGGCGGGAGGCCCTCGAAAGAGTTGAGCTTTGCATAAACGTACATGAGCGGAGTGATCTTCATGTGGGGTATCAGCTTTACCGCACAAGTGCGACTCACTCACTTGGCCAGGCAATGCTATTGGCTATAGCAAGAGCTTGCGACTGACACGGATATACGAATAGCATCTTCCCCACGGATTTCTCAGGAAGCCAAGAACTGCAGGATGGCGTTGCTATTGCGGCAAGCTTCCGCTGTCTTTCGTTCCGGAATTATGCCAATTTCACCCTACGCTAGGAATAAGATGTGCATTTTCTCTGAAGTGAGTAAAGTCGCCTGTTCTGAACATAACACCAAAAGAAGCGAATGCTTAAAAGTCACTACCCTTGGGATAGCCATGGGGTCGCCCTTCTTTGCCCACGCTGAGCTTCTCATATTCACTGATCATTCCCTTTAGCCCCGGAGGTGGAAAATCGCCTGGGTTTCTTTCCAAATTGTCTCCGTACAATGTGCCGCCTTCAGATTTTGATACCTTTTTCCACTGTTCTGGTGTTTGGGGCTGAAGATCTTGTGAGAAAATCTCCCTAATTGTTCTTGGGAGATCTTCAAACTTTACTGGATTGCCGCCTTGCTTTTGATACTGTTGAGACTGTACGGACAGCTTGAAGAAATGAAAAAGGCTTCTCCCCACTGGGGAACGTCTCGCAATCGTAGAAAATGCGCTTGTGAGGCACAAGAAATCTGAGTCGAAAATATCAAAGGCGGGTTGCTCGAGCAAGGTGTATAGAGCAACATTGACCGCATACATCGTGAACAGATGCCCGTATTGGATTCCGTATTCCGACTGCATGACTTGTGTAAGAGCAGATATTTCCCGCGCAGATGAGAGCGCTATCTGATCGGCACTCTGTTCACTGTCTGGACTGAAAAACAAGGGTGTTCGTTTCTGAAGATTACTGAAGGACGAATAATAGCCGAAGTTGTCGCAGCACAGGTTGATCACAAGTGCATTGTAACGCATTCTGTTCCAAAGTCATCCGATTTAGCTGTGATCACAAACAGTAGTAAAGGTATAACGAACCCGAGGAGTAAGATATGTGGTGCCGGCTTTTCTGATGCTTTGAAAGCTTCAGGAAGCGTCGATTTCCACTGGCAGAGCCGATTGTAGTTTTCTTGCTTGGACATGTTCGCGTCACTTGTCCCTTGCCGTGCGATCGGCATGCTCCGAGAAATATCTCTGGCAATGTAAGACAGATCGCATGCCTTATCAAAATAGAGGCCCATGTGAGATGGTCGTGTGTGGCCTGGAACTGGATAAGGCATCCACGTATCATCGTCGCCTTTTGTAGCTTCAATCCGATCTATGCTCACTTGATTTACGCGGCTCGGTCTGAGGAAATTTGTATGTACAATCCTGTTTAGTCTCAATATTAGTTGGACTCTCGGCGTATAAGGACGTTTGCGACTGAGACGTACGTATCAACTTGAAACAGCCCCCAGGAAGTGCGCTTGAGTGATCTGATCATCTCTTCGGACATTTGCGATCTGTTCAGGTTCAGCTTTTTATGGTTGATAATTCCCATTTCTTCTGCCATCTCTGTCGCTTGATGAAGCATAGTATAGCCGAAATCATCATTCCCCAGATTAGAATACCTGGAAAAGGCATTAACCGCTGAATCAAGCTTCAAGTCTTACTCCAAAACATTACGTACCTCTCATACAATAGCAAGGTTGCTTGCAAGGTAGCTAGACGGGTGCCGCTTCCCCTATCGAATAGGTATAATCTCATATAACCCTCCGCTTCCGCAAGAAATTCAGCGCCTTTCGTTTTAATGTCTCCCGGTGTAGTGTAAGCTTCGGAATATTGTGAGTAGTCCTGTCATACGAAACATGTTAAGCACATAAGCAGCGGAAGCACAGGGACTCTGGTACTAACGCAAGCATTTGCAAGCATGGCATTGACCAGGAATGGGGTGCAAAAGTCCGAATGCAGGCTCCCATTCCTCATGTGCACAAGAAATGTCTCGCGGTCAATGAAAGCATAGAAAGGATAGTCCCAAGTCATATACAGGGAGATCAAGTGCGACACTAAATCATCATCATCGGTAACACTTGTCCATGGTTTTGCTGGGACTCTGTATGGAGCGCTACCGCACAAATAGCGAATGTCCATTATCTGAGGTCGGAATTGGGGCGTGTCAACCCCGGTGTTGTGTCTCGCCTTCTTGGATCGCCTGGGGGCTTCTTGGTTCCTCTCGTGGGCGTGTGCATGTCGTAAGATACTGTCTAGATATACGCGAATATTTTGTATCGGAGAGTGATTTCGGATCATTTGGAGAAGTTCTTGCTGACTGTCCTGACTCGCGGATCGGATTGTTTCAAACACATCATATAAAAGGTCGCGATAGTAATTCGAATCGCTGGTAATATCATCCGTCGCAGATATAGGGGGTCTGGTTAATGTCCCGATCTGACTGAGCTCATTTCCCGCCGCCAGGGATTTTTGATCTGTCTGGATACTTGGTGTTAATACAGGCTGGCCGCTCTCCTTTATAATACTGGCGCAGTGAAACTAAGGTGTAAAACTTGCCGATCTCATGTTTGACGTTATAAACCAACCGTAAACGATCAATCTTTTAATGTTGAGACTTAATATTAACCTGTGGAAGTGACATTTGATTCAAAAATACGAAGAGGTTCAAATTCCGGGCAAGTTTTAAGGAAGCTCGCCGGGTGACGAATTATGACACAATACCATTCACAACGGTTTTTATGTAGAAAGTTACAACTCTTGAAACTTATCTTCATCAAATACCTTACGAACTTCGCCACATGCTTACATAGTGACCCGAGTCAAGGCACACGGTTTTTGATTGGTAGTGGAACATTCCAATGCCCCCAAATTGCGAGTGTCTAAAGCCTCAAGCCCAGTATCTGACAGACATCTGCGAAGTGCTCTAGCAAGTTTCATCTAACCGGATGTTTCTAGACAACCAGGCACTCACTATACCGTGATACGTGGGAAAAACTGCCGGAACATGACATCACAGCTTCTGCCGGACTGAGCAACGAACAAATTTTGATTGGGAGGCACATTATTCCAACACTCACAGCGGGCGCAACCTTCTGTTCACAATAATGAAACTTGCAATTCCTCAAACAATTCTGGGCTCCCCGACACTGGCAAACAAGATATCATCAGCGGAAATAGAATGCAACAACGATATTCCGATTTGCAGACAATGTCGATAATTCAACGTTGAATGGTCGATCCATCTCACCGCATCTTTGGTTTACAACAGGGGCCATAGATGTGTATACAGTGCCACTGATGAAGCATTAGACAGTTTCTACACGAGACCCAGCCTCGAAGCGAGTATACCGGTTTTGGAATCGTTTTCGCCCTACTTTGGGCTTTCTGTTTTCACCTCTTTTTTGCCCATTCTCGAGTTTCGCGAATCGCAGTTGTTGAAACATGTTGGTTAATCATGCAAGTTAAGTGAACATAGCATACAAGATGGGGGGTGGAGTGTGAAAGGACTTACAGCCAGCCTATGACTGTAGTTTCCGATGTGTGAACTTTGCAGTGCCGTATTTGTTCTTAAGTGTAGTATCCTACAGTAAACAGAAACTGTTGAGATTACTGCTTTCTAGATATATTCTGGCCATTAAATTCCCAATGTTTCAACCGGATTGCATCGCCATCACGTGTTCATGTTTATCGACCAAAGTACCTAAAAATCATCCCCCTCTTTGTCAATAATTACCTGAAACTCTTCAATTACAAGCGAATCAAGATGGCCTCTCTAGACAACCTCAAAGTCTCTGAAGGAGAAGACGGTAGCCTCCTAAAAGAAGAAATCCAAAGACTAGTCGACACAGCAGGCTGGCAACTACAGAACGGCGATGAAATTCAGAAGACATACCATTGTCGAACCTGGACGAAGATCAGCGTTCGTTATGGAAACCACAAAAAACTATATAATACTGATGCTGATGCTGATGCCTGACTCTTACAGGACTTCTTCACGGGCGTAGCAACAAAATGCAAAGAGGTGAACCATCACCCGAGAGTGATTTTGGTATGGATGTCCACGCTCGGGTGTTTATGCGTCAGCTACGTAGTTCTGACTTGTCATAAAGGATTATAACTCCATCACCTTCTTCTGGAAAACTCATTCCCCTCCTGGCCTCTCCCAGAAGGATGTTCGTATGGCTGATTTTTGTGATGCTTGGGCTAAGGTCGTTAAGACTGTTCCTGCTGAAAGTGCGCCAACTTGCTCTGATGCATAAGCTAGCTAGTTAACAGGATTTTCCTACGAGGGGTATCCTTTTTTTGTTATTTCTGTTGAATGGACGGGACAGACCAGGATAGAGTTTCACACTTTATTTCATATTAAATCTGTAGCTCTCCCTGTAAACAGGCTACTTCTATCTTATTAGATTTCATCGTAGTGCTATCCTTATCAAGCTTCCACTTTCATGATGACAGGACTACCGTCCCAGTGGACCTACAACCGAGCTCACCATGACGGCAGCTTCCCGCTCCCAGTTACCCACGACAACAGTCTCGGTTCCTGATCGGCCCTTCTCGGCCAACAGGCTTGTTGCTGAAACACGTGATGCGCGAAGCACGCACTCCTTGATCTCGACTCTCAGTCGATCGCGGTTGGACCGTAGTGTTCGTGCAGACACACCGCCACGGTTGACGATTTCCTGGACACGCGAGGTGAGGGATGAGGCGAGGGAGCGCCAGTAGTAGGAAGGTAGTGATGAAGTATCCAGGGCCTGCAGGAGAGGCTGTAAGAGATTAGACGTGGCTGATGGTGCGGTTTGGGATCCGGCGGCCTCGTCGGCTGTGGTCGTCGAATTCAAGAGGGGGTGAGGTGGTGGGCGGAGATTTTTGAGAATAGTCTCGAGAGCGACGATGTCCTGGCATCTTGCGGAAATATCGGCTAGAGTTCGATCCATGATTGGCAGTTGGGAGAGAGCTCGGGCGAGTGAGTTCACGGATGTCATGATTGCGGTGTGCATGTACCCTTGTAGTGTTGACAACAAGAGTTCGGGCTTGTAGTCAGATGCAGTGGTGGCCCCTTTGGGAATGGGTGAAAGGAGATATAAAGTGGTCGCAGCGGTTGCTAGGCGTACACGCGCATCTCGGGCTTGTTTGTAACCGGATGGCATGGATTGGCTGTTGCCGCTTGCTGAGTTTGAGGACAAAGAGAACCGGTTGATGGTCTGCTGTGCTCTGGATTTGACCATGTTCTCTGCGGGCATGACAAACTCTCCTCGAAGAGTGCGAATGACCTTCACCCGGTCCAAGCCGTAGCCCTCTTCGCCTTCCGCTGCAGCTGAGAACATTTCGCGCAGATTGAGGATCGTGTAAGCTGCTCTTTCCAACGCACGGAACCCATCTTTTCCTGACGGTGATGCCGCCGGGTCCGCGCCTGCTGAAATAGCCGGTCCTATTGAGCCTCGGCCTGTAATTTCAGCGACTTGACTCTCCAGCTGTCTGCCTAGCGTCAAACAACGTGTAACAGACCTTGCTAGTCTGACTGTTGCCAATGAGTTTTCAGCGGCAATGCGAGCTTCGTCGGCCGCTTGCCATTTTTGGACCACTTCTTTTGAAGACGCTCGTATCCTCGGGTCACTGATTCAATTTGCGTCCCTGATTCCTTGAGGATGTGATCAGCTGCTGCAGTCCTGTCTTGTGTGTGTGCAAGCAATGGCAGGGCTGATTTTGTTGTCAATGCATGAATGTGTGTGTCGATCTCCTGGAGATCAAATAGTACCCGGGATAATGGTGTCGATAGATCCAGTGGAGAGTCTGTTGCATTGTTTGTGCTGTTCACCAGTGTATTGGCGAACGAAGACGGGGAGAACTCCGGGTCCAAGAAGGCCTCGTAGTCTATATACGAGGGGTCTCCTTCCGCCATTTTGGTCTAGACGCGTCTAATTTCTGGACTGCTGCATGGGAGAAAAAGCAGAAGCTGGTCAAGTCAAGATACGCTCTAGACTAGCCAATCTAGGTTTGGCAGTGGGGCGAGGATTGAATTCCAAGTCTCTTCAATGGAATATCAAGAACGTAGATGGGAGAGGGATATCGGCGAGGGACCACATGGCAGCCAATCACGTGTTGGTGTCTTAGTCATCCTATACATCTCACCTCGACATGCAAATGTAGAGCAATTATTCTTGCTTAAGTGGCATATGAATGATGAAAGATTATTAAGCCGGTCATAAAGAGTATCATTTGCAGTTTGCACAAGTCAATTAATGTATTTAGGCTCAGGAGTATTCATATATTGACTCAGTGACCGTATGTGTCAAGCTTATCGCAAGCCAAATGGCGTATGGATGCCGATCTCATGACACAAAAGAACGACAGCCAATGAATATCGCATTTCGAATAAAGCCAGTCGGCCTTTTACTTTACTTCCAGCGCCTTCCAATGACACGGCGGGGTTCCCCAAACTCTCCACAGATAAGACTTCGGAGATAATTCCGATGTGATCGTAAAGGGTAATTCTTTCCCGGTCGAGTCCCGGTCGAGTTTGTTTCAGACTCTTAAACAACTGAGAGTATACACAATATCCCACAAACACTCTAGACTCCCAACACTACACTGATTCACCATGTCAACATCTACAACCACCCAAACCGAGCAATCAGTCCGCCTAACCAGCGGAGACCAACTCCCCCACTCCCCTCAGCAGCAAACGATGCCTCATTCCAAGGCCTGGCCCGGGGAACCCGCAATGGAGCCCTCAAGCTGCGCGGAATCCCCACCTTCACAAACCTCCAAGAAAAGCGCCAGTGGATGAAGGAGCATATGGCCGCTGCATTCCGCTACTTCGGCAAGCTGGGCTATAATGAGGGCGTTTCGGGTCACATTTCTATGCGAGGTATGTATCTATATATGCATATGGACATGCACACACATATGCATATATGTACCTTCCTGCCTCTTGCGCAGGGGCAATGCTAATATTAACACTAAATGTCAATAGACCCCATTCTCGCAGACCATTTCTGGATGAACCCCTTCGCAAAGCACTTCTCAACCATCAAGGCGTCGGACCTCGTACTGCTAGATGCGGATGGGTTCGTTGTTGATGGTGGTGCCCAGCTGCCGGTTAATGAAGCCGGGTTCCTGATTCATTCTGAGATTCACAAGGCCCGGCCTGATGTTGTTGCTGCGGCGCATACGCATGGTATTCATGGGAAGACGTGGAGTTCGTTTGGGAAGCCAATTGAAATGCTTACTCAAGGTTAGTTGGCTCCAACCTTGGAAGATTGTGAATTGTGCTTTTCGGGCTCGGTTTGTGCTAATGTAGGATTAATTTAGATGCTTGTAACTTCTTTGGTCGACTTGGTGTTTATGAAGACCATGGTGGTATTGTTCTCTCTTCGGAGGAGGGGAAGAATATTGCGAAGGCGTTGGGTCCGGATAATATTGCGTGTATTCTGCAGAATCATGGGTTAGTTGATATTTTTCACTTTCCTTCCATTTCTCTCTAACCAATGTTTGGTCTTGTCTAGACTTTTGACTGTCGGTCGAACCGTCGATGAAGCCGCAATTCTCTACTCTATGCTAGAGCACGCTTGTCACTCACAACTTATGGCTGATGCGGCTGCTGCCAATGGCGTCCCGAAGAAGATTATTGATGATGCTGCGGCTAAGTTCACTGCTGAGGCTGCTCAGAACCCTGTAAGTTGTGGTGCCAGCTCTTATTCCTACAGCCGTGTAGATACTGATATTTCAAAGCATAACTTCTATACCGAGTTCCAGCCTGAGTATGAGTTGCTTGTTGAGGAGACCAATGGAAGATTCCTTCAGTGATAGTCTTGGAGGCAATATAGTCTTCCTTGCAAAGACCCTTTTGACCAGTTTTGGCTACAATTTGGTAATTTGTTCTAGCCATACGTTCATAGTGGCTAAAAAAAAAAAATAGTCTATCGTCTTTCATAACCTCTGGCTGGAAATGGTGTTGTTGGCTGTACATTTGAAGATCAACTAACTTTATTTATTGACCAAGACATATGAAACAACTTGCCAAGTTGATATACTGCGCACAAGGTATAATAAGGCTCCTAGCTAGTCCAGGTCATACAAAGGAACAAGAAATCTGCAATTGTACATATTCCATTTCCATACAGTTCGTCGTCAGCTCCACTGACAATAATAATAATACACACCCAACACATATTAAGAAAAGATACAGATTAAAAAACAAAAAAGGGAATCGATTAAATCAAACGCCATCTATACAGATGCAACCGCCGCAAGGGTATACAAAATGGAAAAGGAAGCGTCAATAGGACCTCACAGACCCAGGCGTGAAGAAAAGGCCAAAAAAGATAACAATCAGGCCAGAAAATAAAATAAAAGTCGTTCATAACCCCGATTCCTTCCCAAGAAAACATCCAAAGGGCGTAGAAGGGTGGAGAGAGAGGCCTTGTTTCATACAGCACGCTCACCAGCATGCTTCATATCATCCAATTCATATTCCTGCAAGCTGCGCTCACGGCCACGACCCCGACCAAAGCTTGACTCTTGCTGACCATCACCAGGAGAAGGCTGAGAAGACGACCCAGCTTGGCGGCTACTACTACCACCACCAAGCCCACCAAAGGAAATAGGCTCGAGCTCGCGTCTCTGGCAAGCCCACATACCCAGGAACGTCATCATAGCCGCGCTGGCAAATTGCAGACCCCACCAGAGGAAATTGGTGGGTAAGGAGTGGGTGTAGAAGGTCGTGGCGACGAGGTGAAGGAAGTGGATTGTCAGAGCGAAGTCCGGGACTAGCTTTGAGCGAGAGACGAAGAGGAGGAGGAAGATGACGCTGAGTGCTGGTTAGTATTGCTCTTTCTCTTCGCACACTTGTGTGCTGTACTGTGCTATGCTGTGGGCAACTCACCTAATAAAGCAATTCAACATCCAAACCAACCCCAACATCCAGCCAATAGTCGTATCACCCCTCAGCGAGTCCCACCCAAAGATCAAATCCAGTGAGAAGGGCGCGCCATACACGACTGTCGTGAATAGGATGAGCACCGTCGCGCAGGCATAGTAGGCAACTTGTAGCAGGAGGATCTTGCGGATAATCTTCAGCGGAGGGAGTTCGGTGCGCGACCCCGCTGGTGGACGCCGGCGCGCGGGCATCAACTATATTTATGGGGAGTGTTCCCTATGGTATGTAGTGGTTTGTGTATGTGCGTGAGTGTGTTGAGGTGTGCTGGAGCTCGGTGCGGTGCCCGAGGTCAGGGTGGAAGGAGGCGTTAGGGAAGAAGAATCATGCGATAGGGTCAGGTAGAGCAGTTATTCCAGAAAAAGTGTAACAGATATGGAGAGTAGCCGGCGTAAATGTGGCTCTCTGGACTGTGGATTATATGCAGAATATGGGAAACGTGTGCAGGTGGAAAAAGGGCCGGAGATCAACCTGCGATCAACAGTCTTGGCGGTCTCTGTGCTTTCGAATCCCGCTCCGTCACTACCTTCATCTGCACCTTTTTGACTGCTTGCTTTGCCCTGATGCTGAATACCTTTCGACCTCAAGTCTAATATCCAATTTATACGCTCGCACACCACCTCCGATTCTCTATTCTTCCAAAATGGGCTGGTTACCCTGGTCTTCCGGCGAGTCAAAGAAGAACGAAGCCTCCGACGGCGGCCGCATTGCCCCAGACCGAACAAGTCGCGCACGCTGCTGGGAAGGCCGGGATCTATTCTTTGCTTGTTTAGACAAGAATGATATCCTGGATGGAATCAAGGAGGACAAGAAGGCGCGACAGAAGTGTGCGAAAGAGGTCGAGGAGTTTGAGGCTGCTTGTTCACAGAGCTGGGTACGTATAGAGTTGCTTGCCTGGAATCTGTCATTTTACTTCTTCTTCTTTCTTTTGGAATTCGGGCTCTTGGCTTGCATTGCAATATATGGATTAGATTTACTAACGCTGTGTGTTTGGTCCGTAGGTGAAATACTTCAAGGAGAAGCGCGTGATGGAATACAACCGGGATAAGACGATCGAGCGGATTCAGAAGGAGGACGCGGCCAAGGTGAAGGAATTGAAGTCGCAGGGCTGGGGATCTAAGTAAGAAGGCGGTTTGGTTTGGTCGACAGACGGTTTCTGTACAATATGTAGCATATCCACTCTTATCACGTATCCTGATGATTCCTTTCAATGGCAGCACTTGTAGGTCTAAAGGCCTTTTTACTTAACTCGATCTAGACTACTAGAAGTAACTGGTTTGATGCGATTGTGGACTGAGGATCTGTGATGTTGGAAGTACATCTAAATAAGGTAGACTATGTGCAGAGAAGCGAAAGATCATATTATATCCAGTTTGTGGAAAAGCATACGGTCACAGCATAGCAAATGTGAGCCAATGTTGGAAATAAAATATCAACTCCGTCCTAGACACCACCTGTTGCCCTAATATCTAATATCTTGCTGCCCTTGGGCCCGTGAGTAAAATAGCAATAAACGCCTATTGTTGCAGGAACTGGCTTTCAGCCAGAACAAAAGAAAAGAAAGGGTAAAGAAAACCGAATGAAGCAACCAAAATCCACTGACAGGAATGCGAGAACGCCAAGGTCCAGAGAAAAGTAAACTCGCAAAGTGAACCTTAAGTTCAAATGAGAATGACGAATGAGAAGAGAGTCGTAAAATCATTGCTTCCATTTTGTCAGATGGTGCATCAGGTTCTGGATCTGGGGACTAGAGGGTCCCTGGCCCTGCGGCTGTTGTCCGCCCAAACCCTTGGCTAGGAGAGAAAGTAGGTTGGGATCCGTGACAACAGGCGCGTTCGGAGGCTGAAGATTAAATGGAGGAAGTAGTTGCTGTGGGTTGGTAGGAATAGGTGGAGGGCGATTCGCATTGGTCAGGAGACTGGCGAGATCTGCTGGAGGTGGTGGGTTGGGAGAGGCAAATGGTGACTGAGTAGCAGACACGGGCTGCGAAGGTGAAGGTCGCTGGAGTGCCGACAAGAGAGATGAAAGGCTAGGGCCATCCAGAGAGCCAATGAGGTTTGCAATGTTGGGAGGGTTAGAGAGTGCAGGTAGACCTGGCTGAGAAATTGGCATGGGCGGCACTGCGGGGATACCAAAGGCGGGATTTGGTGCAAATGCGGCCGGTGCAGCTCCTCGTTGCATGGCTTGAGCTTGATGGCTCAGAAGTTCAGCGGACAAATTAGGCTCCAGCTCGGGATAATCTGCAATTCTTCGTTAGAAGTGTAAAATGGGCAATTGGCTGATAAAATGTGCTTACCGAGGAATCGAACGTTGTCCAACCCGGCGGTCCGATCAAACAACTGCAGAGGAATCTTCCTGGAGATTTGATTGGGACGCGAAAGGCGAACAACTGCAAGAACACCTTCGATGAACTGGCGATGAACTGCTGCGCCAAGGGGAATCCGAGGACCGAGAACCAGTACGTCTACTCGTAACCCACGATTGCGGAAGGCATTTTCGACATGAAGAACAAAGTTTCTGGGTCATGTTAGTATTCTTTTCCAGCGAATCGGCACCGCGAGCATGTAACTAACCTGTCGAGTTCTTCAAGCACGAGGATTTGCACTTCTGGTACATCACGAGGAACTCGTCGAGGCACAGGCAAATCTGCTTCGCCTTCATAGATACCACGCGCCCTAGGGCTCAGACTGCGATAGCGCCGATCTCTGGAATAGGGAGACCGAGGGGAACGTGGAGATCGAGAACGTCTTCGTCGCTCGAACCTTTCTGGGGTTCTATCTCGCGACCGATATCCATCTCTAGTCCGGAAAGGCCTAGGGGAGGGTGATCGCGGCGGACGACGATCATCGCGCCGGCGGTGAGAGGGCTCATCACGGAAATCGCTGAAAGGCAATCGACTTGGCTCATAGGGCCGGTCGTATCGATCGCCAGGGACCCGATTGGTAGGTCGTGCGGGAGCACGGCTGAAGTCCGGTGACCGCGAGCGACGCGCCGGCGGTGCTCGGGAAGGCTCTGGCACTGGAGCAGGACGAGTAGATCTTTGAGGCTTGGAGATTTCGAGATCTGGAACAGAGTCAGTTGGCGCATTAAATGATTGGATGAGAGCGATTGGAGCACTCACGTATCTTTCGGCCCCGCACGATCGCCCCTTGCTCGACTTCAAGCGCCGCATGGCAAGAGGGAGCTTCCAAAAATTGTATAAATCCATAGGCCTGTTTGATCGATATCTGTGCCAGTTTGCCGTATTTATGGAAGATATGGAACATGTCCCGCTTGGTAACTCGTTCGGTAGGAAGGTTGCCTGTACATAACAACCGTGGTCAGATAACTGGTATAGATAGGAGCAGGGATACCACGAACCAACAAACAACCTCGATCCCATGGGAAACCGGTCCCAGAGACCTTCCGTCACGTAAATACGCTCATCGTGTAGGAACTCGTCGTATTTCTTTTGGACCTCGGGGCCCCAAGGGGAATCATCATCGATGCCTTTGATTGGCCGACCCTGCTTATCAACGCGGCCTTTCTTCGGGGCCTGAGCAGGGTCTTGCGAGGACCCCTGCGACTCTGGCAGGGTAGAGGAAGTCTGGAAGCTGGCAATAGGGGGTGGAGGCAAATCTTTGACGGACGAGGCCGTGCCAGGGGCAATAGAGTAGGGCTGGGACTGGTTCTGGGGAGGGTTACTGGGTTGGGCTGGATGGGCGGGCGCTGCATTGGCCTCATGGGCAGGCGGGTCGTAGTTCACCTCACCATTGGGGGCAAAATGAGAATTTGGGACAGGGTAATGGGTAGTTTGGGCAGGGATGCCCTGGGTTAGGAGGGGTTCGTCCGTGGGTGCTTGATGGAAAGACGAGTTTTCAGCTAGAGGCAAGGCCCCGGTGCTGGGGGCGGCTGCACCGGAGTTGGGCTGGGAGAGGTTGTCGAGGAGATTCTGGAAATTGACTCCCGCATTAGGGCCTTGGTCTTCCTTCTCGGCATCTAGGCGATTCGGCAGTTGGGTGGTACTGTCTACTTCGCCGGTGGCGAAGCCTTGGGATACCGGAGCAACCGGTACCACATGGGCGTAAGAAGGATCAGAGAGAGAGTATCCTGCACTGCCAGAGCCCTCGGTTCCAGAGGTAGGAGGGTAGTATGTCGCAGCAATAGTCATATCATTCTGCGTCGCACGGTCTTGCCCATGATAACTACCTGCGTCCTGATTCTGACGCGGCCCTCCTCCATTTAGATTCTCGTGCCACCCATCATGTGTCTGTCCCTGGTTATATGCCGAACGTTCGTAGGTTGAAGTATCGTTGAAGACGGGGTCCATTTGATTCTCCAGTACGGGAATGTTGGCTGGCTCCGGGATATGCAGCGGTCGAGGGCTTTCCGGGGTCAACGTCTTTCCGCGAAAGTGAAGCGCTTCATCGGCAGGCGTCATGTAGGACAGGAGGTCGTTTCATCTACGGAAGAAGGATGTGAAGAGGAAAATTGGCCAGATGGGAATTTTCGCGCAAGCTAAGGTGGGGCGGGAAAAGATTGGGTCGGTCGGGCTTGGTAACCCTAGAGGGGAAGGTAAGAGAGTAAAAAGGAGGGAAAAGGAAGCGAGCAAACATGAAAGGATCAGGTGGCAGCTTGAGGCGTTTACCGGCAAACTTTTAGGACATGCAGGAGGTGCACGAAGTAGGGGGAGGACCTGGCCAGGTAAACTTTTCGTCACTTAAGGGTCATTTCCGCGAATTACGTAGTCAGATGACCCTACCAGTGCTTGATCCTCCATGTGCTAAAATAGAAGGCTTCTAAGGCTTCCAAGGCCCGTACACTAGCGGGGATTGGACAACTTCCTTCAATTGCCGTTTTCAATTAGTCGCTCTCCACTTCTCTCTTCTTCATCACTCGGGGTTACTGCGATGTATAGCCGATCGTGGCACCTCCGGGTGCTACCTCAATTGCGGTACTTCACGACTCGCTCTGATGTCCAGGTTGCCCGAGACTGGCTGACAGGTCTCAATCGCCAGACCATCCCCCGCCACATCTGCGAGGTTTCTTTCAGCCGGTCCAGCGGCCCGGGCGGGCAGAATGTGAACAAGTCAGTGACTCCACTTGGAGGATCCCTGTCGCAGACTCGGTGCTGATCCTGATCTGGTTTAAAACAGGGTGAATTCAAAGGCGACATTGAAGGTTCCCTTCGACTCGTTGTTGCCATTGGTACCCCCATTGATATACCAATCGCTACGGACCTCCCGATATGCCGCCGAGAGGGCCCAATGTCTGGTCATCCAATCCGACGAGGAGCGCAAACAAGCTAATAATGTAGAGGCTTGCTTTGACAAGCTCTACCAGCTGTTAAAGAACACTGCCAAGGAGGTGGTCCCAGGTGAGACCACGCAAGCGCAAAGAGAGCATGTGCAGAAATTGTATGCTATCCTACTGTTCGGTATATCCGAGTCTAACGGAGATTACAGGCAACGCGCTCAGAATGAGGGTCGCATCAAATCTAAGAAACTGCACAGCAATAAGAAAAGCAGTCGACGGGGAAGCAAGTACGATGATTGATGCAACTTATTTATAAAATAGGATTAATCCGCCATCCTGAATTTTGATTCAATCCGATCAACGCCTAAATGCTAAGTGCAAATACCTGGGTATGCTATTTTACTCCGACGCACGCTCCGCACTGCGGATGGTGGCTGCAATGGCCTTCTGCAACGAAGGATCCAAGCCTTCGGTTGCTGCGACGGGCTGCAGCCAGTTGACAACCTGGCGGGCAAGTTCCTTACCCAGGGGGTACTCTCTCAGACGCGCAAGCGAGCTACCAAGAGCCCTCGGGAAACCGGGGGATGTGACGGGAACTCCAGCCGTGGGGGACTTGATATAACAGATCTGTGTCCGGGGGCTGGAAGGCTTGTTCTCGCGCATAGTCTCGACCACACGGCCCAGGATCTTCTGAAGACAAGGCACATCCTGGAACTCCCACACCATATTGTAGAACTCCTGCCCGAACCGATCATCATGGTTGAAGTGCTTCGAGGCGGTATCGAAAATGGTGATTGGGATAGCACCGCTCAGGGCAGGTGTAGCGTTCAGGTTTTGCAGCGCAACCTGGTCAACTTCTCCATCCTCTTCCGTGCTCGGGTCGATATCTTCGGCTGTTATCTTTGGCAAGGCAATCATATCGGCGTCCGGGTCGTCAATTCCTGCTTCTTCGACTGGCTGGGGCTTCTGGTTCTCATCCAAACCCAAGATGCGCTGGCGAGCAACCAGCTTGGCGATATAGATCAATTCCAGCTTGGCATATTGCGTCCAAATCGTCCTTGAACTCTTGCAGAATCGAAGACCGCGCTGCATGTAACTCCGAGCCTGTGTCATATCGGCGTGGTCATCGAGAACATTTTTGGCAGCGTAGACCCATAATTCGGCGCTGGTTGGGTGTAGGCGCAGAGCGTCGGTGAATATCATAGACAACTTCTTGTGGGCCTTCTGCCTCCGTGCGTAATCGATATATTGGACCCAAAGGTTAAGATCACCCTGGAACTTGCGAGTAGCCCGGTCGAGAACGAAGAAGATGCGTCGCTGGCCATTGAATCCTGCCGACCGAATTCCAAGTCGCTTCACTCGCTTCTTTCGCAGAACATCGAGGTTCATTTCATATTCAGCATAGCGCACAAAGTCCGCGGGTTGCGCACCACGAGCGTTGATCTTGTGCTCGAAGTCTGACCGTTTCTTCACGATTGAGGAAATTTCATCCTAGACATGCGAATTAGCTGTTGTTCTGCGTGCCAGCGCACTCTCGGCTTGCCTTGGTGAAAATCCCCTTGCGCTCATATTCTTTGAGCTCTGGTACCGACTTCTCGAGGAAGAACCGAGCTTTGTCTGTTGCGGCGGACATGGTTGCTGTTGGGAAAAAAAAAAAAGTCGGCATCCCGCATTGAAAAAACACCGATCAGCCCCAGAGTGCGCTTAACCTCTTTGGGATTAGCGTAGAGGACAGTTAGAACCACCGAGGGATCCGAACGTTGTTTTCCCTTCTTTCAGGGGCCGTTTGCTCGTGACAGCTAGTCTGAGTCGTTCTCTTATCTTTTCTTCTCGACACTCTTTTTTGCCTTTTTGTTCTATATACGGGATTGCCTTTCCCTCGCCATGGCTCCCCGATACAAGGACGGAGATGCCGTGGTCGCCGTAAGTGTTGATGCGCGATGGTCTGAGGCACCACTGACAGGATCTAGATCAATGGCAAATGGGTTGCTTGGTCTCACACCCTCTTCGCCTACGCAGCATTCATCAGCGCGTTGATTGTCGGCGTTGCTTTGCACTACCACAAAATCGTCCAAAACGAACACTACGGCTACCCTGACGAATGGTTCCCCTCCGTGTCCGCGACCATTGGTGATCGCTATCCCGAACGGTCTTTCTTCCAGGTCTTCATCGCCATTACCTCCGGGCCTCGTTTCGCCCTTGTCTTCCTGTGGTACATCCTCACGTCGCGTCCCAATTCGACTTTGCCCAAGCTCGTTGCCGGCGTGGGTATATTCCGTACTTTGACTTGTGGAGGTTGGACCTACGTTACATCTACCGACGACCATGACTGGCATGATATCTTCATGATCTCATATCTGGTTGCTACTTTGCCATGGACCCTTGGCTGCCTTGCGCTCAGCCCCAACAACCGCCGCGCTGTCAAGTACCGCAAGATTATGGCGAGCTTGTTCTTTGGAACATTGGTTCCTCTGATTTACTATTTCATTCAACACAAGGTCCACAAGATTCCTGGTGGTGAGTTTTTATCATATGCTCATTGAAATTGGGAACGCCGTTTGCTGATCAGTCTATTCTAGCCTACACCAAGTACGCCTTCTTCGAGTGGTCCCTGATTCTGTTCGATGTCGGTTTCGATGCGATCACCGCATTGGACTTTGAGAGCTTTGAACTTGTGGTGAGAGATGTAAAGGGCGTTAGCAGAGGGTATGTACCGTGGCTTCCAAAATGACACCATCCACATCAAATGTATAGTGCCGAAGGCTACATTGGTTATGAAAGAAAACAAGTTCTGAATTTGCATTCATTAGGCAGTTGAAGACGACTGCGGACTCTGTCTTGGAAAAAGAGTGTGTACAATCCCATAACCACAACCCACAACCCCGGAAGTTAACCAGTAGATAGGAAGGGCAAGTCGGTGGGCAACACATTCGGCGAGGGCTTCTTCTGGACCGAGATCATCGACGCTGCCTCGGATGTCTACAACGGGGTAAGATCCGCTCGCCATCTATCGATATTACGCATTACTGACTGGGCTGTAGTTCGTTTTCTGGACTATTGTGACAGCTCTCCCCGTGCTTGTCTGGTGTAAGTGACAGATCTCTTCTGGGTTGAACTTGTCTAATCTTTATAGACTTCCCTCTGTGGCACATGGGTATCTCTGGCTATGAGGTCGCCATTGTTTGCTGCACTTCCCCATTGCTCTTAGTTATTCCATCCTTGAGATACGCGGCGGCCAAGAACCTCCGCCTGCTTCACCTGGCCTCGCTCGTTGGCCTTTTGGCATACAGGTTCCAGGACCCTGCCAACCGTCTCTTTGTGACTGGTTTCGCTCTTGCTACCACATGTGCAGCATGGACCACTGGCTTCTTCGCCGAGAGAGCCAACAGCCCTCGTCTTGAGGCCCGCATCATGGCTTGGGGCGTTGGACTGATCATGTCTGTCGTTGCCAAGTTCGCATGCAAGACCAACAACCCGCTTTGGCCTATTGTTCACGCCGAGAACGGTGGCTGGAACAAGATTGGCATTTTCATCGCTCTGTTCGCTGTCTTGAGATCCCAGAGAGGCTCAAACACTAGCGGTGGTGATTACTTGCCCGCGAGTGGCAAGAAGGGCTCTTCCCTCCTGGCTGGTATTGGATTTGGTGGTCTGATGTTCGCCATTGTCTCTCTCCTGACCGACTCGAGCACCATGATCTCGTGGGTGTGGGATGGATACCCAGTGCGTGGACCGCTTGCCGCTCCCCACGGTGCTCTGACCATCTTCGCCATGGGAGCCGGTCTTGTGTATGGTATCTTCCACCCTGCTGTCGCTGGTAGCTGGACTGCCTTTGGTCTCGGTTCTCTTGGTGCTGCTCTTCTCACTTGCTACCACCACTGGACCGGATACTATGGCGCTCTCGCTCTGGCGTTCTACATCATGGCTGTTGCCCCCGTCTTGATTGTGTCCAGTGTCCGTCACTCTCCTGCGAGCACTTTCGGCATTGGCTTCGTCGTCTATGTATTCCTCCTGCTCTTCCACGTTTGGGTGGTTGCCTATGCCTTCGTCCCAGGTGGTCCTCTCGTTCGTGAGCACACTGACTGGCTCATGATTACCACCATGCTGTCCATTGGAGCCGGTGTTTTCTCTGCTGCCACCTCGAACTCCACTCGCTCCCGTAACAAGCCCGTCAGCCCCAACAGCAAGAGACAGCGGTCGTATTACATCTACGTCCTGGCTGCATTGCAACTGCTTTCCGTCTCTGTGGCCTACCTGCGCTTCCCAACCAATGACTACACCCCCCACCACAAGGAGGACAAGGTTGTTACCGCCGGTATCTGGACCGTCCACTTTGGTCTCGACAACAACATGTGGTCTTCTGAGCGCCGCATGCGCGATGTCATCGGTGAGCTCGAGCTGGACGTCATTGGTTTCCTCGAGTCGGACAACCAACGTATCATCATGGGTAACAAGGACGTCACCCAGTTCATTGCTGAGGACCTTGGCTACTACTCCGACTTTGGCCCCGGCCCTAACAAGCACACCTGGGGCTCTGCCTTGCTCTCCAAGTTCCCCATCGTCAACTCCACCCACCACCTCCTGCCCTCTCCCGTGGGTGAGCTCGCACCCGCCATCCACGCTACCCTCGACATGTACGGCGAGATGGTTGATGTCGTTGTCTTCCATTCTGGTCAGGAAGAGGATCCTGAGGACCGCCGTTTGCAGAGCGAGTATCTGTCCAAACTGATGGGCGACTCCCCCGTCCTCTGATCCTGTTAAGTTACCTCGTCACCAAGCCGCTCGAGGGTAACTACAACACCTACGTGAGCGAGCGTAGCCAGATGAAGGATATCGATCCCACCGACTGGGATAGATGGTGCGAGTACCTCCTCTTCAAGAAGTTGCACCGTACCGGCTACGCCCGTATCAGTCGTGACACCATCACGGACACCGAGATCCAGGTAAGTTTCACAAATCTCCAACGCAGTCTTCAACTCTAACCATTCCATGTTACAGGTTGGCAAGTTCGTCATCGGCGAGCCCGAGCCTGAAACCGAGATGCGCATTCCCGAAGAGATGGTCCCCGTCGGCCGCCGATTCCCTGCCCTATTCCGTGGTGAGGGAGTGCGTGGCCACCGCTACCACGTCTTCGACGAGCCCAGATACTGGCAGTAAGCGGCCGGGTATCTGACGAAGACGAAGGTACATTTGCAAAAAAAATTGCTTAGAAATAGGTGGTCGCTATGATCTTTCTGCTGTGTGACATAATTTAGGAAATAGCGCTGGCATTCCAATATTTGGGCCCGCAATGGTACTCCTACTTGAATGACGATATATTCTTTTTCCCTTGATCTGGCTGTTCTATTTGAATTCCGAATAGCTTGAGCTCCACTTCTTCCTGCATAGCCGAACAGCCGAAGCTAACAATTTATGTCAAGCTCCACATGGTTTGTGGAGGAACGTCGTAATATCAAGTGTGGAATGTGAGAATCAGGGCAGTTGACCAGATCTACAAGTCTCGGTCTATGCACATCACACTCAGCGTTAATTTTGCGCTCTTTGTTCCCAAGTGCCGAATTTAGTAAATCCTAGGCAATTTTTTCAGCCAGAGGCAATACTTTTGTGCAGTCATGTGTCTTGACATGTTCTTTGTGTGCACAGTTCTTTATTATACGGCAAGAGGCACTCTAAGTATAGTATCGAGACTATACTAAACCCACTAATCCTAGGATAATTTTGTCGATCATATCAAGTTTATAGGGCATACAACGTATATGCTATTATTTCTGGGTGCCAGATCTTGTCTTGCTTGCGCGCATTCGATATGAGGCCATAGAGCATTCAAGCACAGGGCAATGACACCAGAGTCGTATGCTCGCATTCCAGGGGTAGAGTTCATATCCTGATTAGAGCTGGGGATTGTTAGAGCTCGATACTAGGCATCACCGCACAGACTTATCACTGTCGATGTTCCGCACTCTTTGTCTTATTTGTTGGCTGGATTTCTGGTGTCGAAACAACACTAACCCGAGAATACGATCTTTTGGTGAGCTTAATCAGGCTATTTTTGTCCTGTACTTGTCAATCAAATCTAATTTCAGCTTGATTCACCCAGATTAAAACTGTTGATCGCCACCTCCAACTTCCGGGCTAGCCCTAACCCGCAACCCCCTTTGACAATATACCGGTTCACAGGGTCTAGGGAAACGTGTCGATCCTAGAGGGTTGTTGGATCATCGCTATTACTCATAAGTGCTTGTACCCCTGGCCTCATTGGTTATTGGAATTTTAAGTCTTAGCTAGGTAAACATCATCTGAGGCTCGAGGGCGGGCTTAGTCTCTTTAGGCTCATTATGAGGCACTTATCCTTGTCCTCTTCGATATTCTGCAGCCTATTGTTCTTTGTCGTATTAATTACAAATCAAATTTTGGCTTCTCCCACATGTTCATTTCCCGTGGTTGGTCGCATATCTCTAAGACCCTTTTCCTGTACGTTGATGTGGGGGGTTAATGGCGCTAGGTGCCGCGAAACAGAGATACGAATGGAATTGAAGAGTAATCGTAATATGTTCAGACGTTATGTACTCGATCTGTGAATCTGTGAATTTGAGAGCTGCCCTCGTCGGTTGCTACTACAATATATTATTCTTTAGGATAAGTTCATTGAGAATCACGTACAAGACTTGCAGTTGAATATAGATCTAATAGTAAAGCGCTAACGCCTCAATACCTTGTTTCCTGGCCTCGTGTTTCGCCCGCTCCCTGTCAGCGTCGGGGAATTTTGTTTCAATAATTCTGTTAACAGATGCCCCCGACATGCCAGCTAAGATCTCTTTCGCTTTATCCAAGGTATCAGGGTTTCCTGTACATGTTACTCTTGTTGCTTTTATTATTAGGATAGGGGTTTTACCATGTTCTGCACAATAAGACGCATACGCTTTCGCCGCCTCATACAAGGCGGCAGTGCCAATGAGTTGATGAGAAATATTAGCGTTATGGGGTGCGTTGAGAACCTGCTTGTGGGCCTGCGCTTGTTCAGAGTCATCTAACTCAGTTAGTTATAGGGAGGGATATGGAAGGTGCACATTCCCTACCGCTAAACCAATCCATAGCTTATTTGTTCGGAGAACTTGCTTGCTGCTTATTGTTAAATGAGACTTTGTGATGAATTAACTTAGAACTATGATGGCTCCAGGATAGTGGTGGTTTTATGTAGTTACCATCACTCCACTTTATTAAAAGTTCGTTTACGTATACTTTGCCGATCAGTGGCGGTGAGACCTTGCGTCGTACAACTGCATTTATATGGAAATATAGAAACACATATAACGTCAACCTGTACTCTACCTTTCACGCCTTCAGCTGTGTACATATGCAGCATCCTTCTCTTATATCCTAAAGAGTATAGTACTTTTCGATATCAGTTACAGTATACTAATAAACTCTTACAACTTCTCTCCCGGAGAATAAATCCGGAATAACTTACCCTAATCTATTTCGGAATACCGCGTTGTAGAATCGGCAGAATCGAAATAGTAATAGCCGTAACCAAACAATAAGTCATTGAAATAATACGGTAATTTCCGATGGAATTGCATTGAATTGATTGGTACAGTGGTGTAACAAAAGTATTTGACCTCCGGTACTTCTGGATCCAACTTTTAGCTCTGACCGCCTTTTATACCGCCTAACGAACAACGAATCCACGTTAGGTCTATGGCTAAAAGCTACATAGGAAGCTTAGGAAGGCCTAGATATTAACATATATAAGCATATAGCAGAGTCTATGCTTTATAGGGTAGCTAATGATATTAAGTATAAGCAATGGCATACTAGCTATTAGATTGAACTGAATTTCGGATGTTTCTGCCAAGCAGTATTAGAAAAGTGGGTCCCAGCCGAAGTACCCGAGGTCAAATACTTTTGTTACACCACTGTAGTTCTGGTAATCTGGCATGATCGCCAGCCTTCTAAAAAGATAATGGTTAACGTAGTTCACGGGTTAACCGGACACACGGTTTAACCCGGACACCCTTTACGCCATAGCAAATGCGGTTTTCCACAACTTCATATTTCACCCCCTAATGCTAAGGGTAAATACTTCTAACTTGTCACAAGTTTCTGCGGATATTGATGATGGTTAGCTTGTTGCAGTCAGCCTGTTCTGCCATTTCAGATGTGGTGGACTGGCTCTCTATCATATCACGTATAAGAATGAGCTTCGCAGGAGAGAGCCTTGGAGCCATGTAGCCTTGAAGTAAATGGGCGCTAAAACTGGGAAGACTTGTAACTGCAACATTGAGGGAAGTTCTTGAGTGACGGAAGGGAAGGAGAGGCTGTCTGGTTGCGTGTGTATGGCGGTTTCATGCAAAATACATCCTTCGCGGTCTGAGAATTGTATTATAAAATACAGCGACTATTCTAGAAAGCGGTCTGAAATGAGCCTAAAATACCTGGTCCAATCAGAGCTCACATTTAGCGGATTTATTTTCCGGCAATGAAGTCGCAAGAGTGTGGAGGTATAACTGATTTCGAAAACGACTGTATTATACCAATTCATTTTAGGCTATGAAACGATGAAGTTAAAGTCTTACTCTCAAGGTCGAACTAAAACGCCTCTTGTCAGTACGTTGAGTTGTTTTGGGTGGACCTGTGACAGGCTGCGTGGGTATACAAAGAACATGTGCAGAAAGAGTACCACAACATATTGGAAACGCAGCGAAAAAGGTCAGTCAATACAACGCTGAAGTCATCCACGTTTTATGCGGCTTCCCAGTCGGCCAACTTCCTCTGCATCGCCCTGGCGTTTTGGTATGGAGGAAGTCTAATCATCCAGGAAGGCTATTCAATGGTGCAGTTCTTCATTGCTTACGCTGCGGTTATCGCCGGCTCATTCAGCGCCGGAGCGATTTTCTCCTTCGCGCCAGATATGAGCAAATCCCGTCAAGCAGCCCAAGATATCAAAACACTGCTGAGCCGACCTGTCACCATTGATGCCCGTCAAGAAACTGGCGAGCAGTTACCGAGAATGGATGGCAGCTTGGAGATACGAAATATCTACTTCCGATACCCCAACCGACCGGAGAGGGCGGTTCTGAACGGCCTCAGCTTGAGTGTGCAGACGGGACAATACATAGGTCTTGTAGGTGCAAGTGGATGTGGGAAGAGCACCATCATTTCTTTACTGGAGCGGTTCTTTGATCCCGAAGCGGGGCAGATCTTGGTTGATGGGAATGATATTTCCAAGTTGAATGTCAAGAGCTACAGGAGCCATCTTGCTCTGGTCAGTCAAGAGCCGACACTGTACCAAGGGACAATCAGGGAGAATATTATCCTCGGAACCAACGACGAGGATGTTTCCGAGGAGAGAGTCATCCAAGCATGCAAGGATGCCAACATCTACGACTTCATCATGTCCCTGCCGTAAGCCGCCTCTTTCCTTACAGTCTTTTCTTGCCTGTTTATTGAATGCGAATGCATGTATATTAACGTTTAGCTTAGTGATGGCTTCTCGACCGTTATAGGCGCAAGAGGTGGCATGCTCTCTGGCGGGCAGCAACAACGAATAGCCATTGCGCGAGCGCTTCTCCGCAATCCACGCATCCTCCTCCTGGATGAGGTAACTTCCGCGCTCGATTCAGAGTCAGAAAAGGCCGTCCAGGATGCACTGAATGCGGCGGCTCAAGGCCGAACAACGGTCGCTGTTGCGCATCGTATAAGCACGGTACAGAAGGCCGATTGTGTTTATGGTGAGGACAGACCTCGATCCTATTGACAACTTAAGGGACTAATTCGTAGGCTTAGTGTTGCACGAGGGCAATGTTGTGGAACAGGGGTCGCACCAAGAGTTAATGGAGCTGGGTGGAAGATACTTTGAGTTGGTCAAGCTACAGAGCTTGGAGAGCGTTTGAGCTCCGCGGACTGGAGAACATACACTGATTTAATATATCTAAATCTTCAAGGTACACGTGCAAAGGAAGTCAAAAATAAGGTAGAGTAAAACAATGACCTTTCGGTCTGCTATGATAGCCCTTGGTATGCTTCAATTCAATTTCTATGCCGAGGTGGTCACGGTTGCCTCTAAGGGTTTAGTAGTAGAATCAAGCTAATCTGGTCGTAACAAAGAGTTTTGAAATCCTTATTCCTAAGGTCCTAATCATCCTTATGTTCACCCTCATTATCGTCCGTATTGCTAAAAACAAAAAGTGCTAAACATAAGTCCGTTTGTTCTTTTGGATGTACACTAGCGCTCCTAGTCGACTGGCGGTATAAGCCTACACTAGAAGGAGGAAGGCGAGTTGGATTATTTGTCGACTATTAGGATAGGGTGTTATGCCTTATGTCTAATGATATTGGAGGACAATATATAGATCGTTAACGTTTATAAAGGGTTTCTCTGTAACAGATATATCGAGATTGTAATGTATAACTAGGTTCTCTTTATATACTGCCGCTACCTTGTTAGAAAGTGAAAACAATATGAGGGCAAGAGCTACCTATATCATTGACGTCCTAGCAGCACTTTGTAGAAAGGCTACGGCCTATATTTATGCGATAGAGCTGGCACTATTGCCTCTAAAGCTCGTGTAGGCTGCTAAACTTCTTAATATTGAAGTTATCAAGTATCCACTCTAGGAAGATTATATTGGGCATCAAAACTTTCTCTTTTGGCTCATATCATGTATTCCAGTCTAGAGCTATTGTCCTAGTCATACTGTCAGTCATATCTGGAATAGAGTGATTAGGTTAGTGGTGGGTGTAGCATTATATATATATATAGCGCGACTGGGAGTATAAATTAACTTAGGAGTAAAATGATTTACCATTAGTGTTTGGATTTCATGTTAAAGATACCAGGGGAGGATGACCGTGAAGCCAATAACACCGAAGAAAGACTGGCCTCTTTTTTTTTTTTTAACTTGCGGTGTATATTGTCTCGTAGCAATTCGTATTCTTATAGCCTACGAAGTCTGGCTGAGTTCAAGTGTTAAGAGTTTGTAAAGAACCTCACACAAGAACCTCATAGCTACAATTGGTATATATAGTCTAGCCTTCTCGCCTAAAAATGTTTCCTAGTCGAACGAATTTTCATACACAGATGTTAACCCTAGTCTACGTCAGAGTTAAGTCTGGGTCATAGTGCCACAATACCAGGCCACAACCCCATCCAATGGGACGATCGTCCCATTGGATGATAATCTATTCAAATAGGTAGAATCGGTTCCGTGGAATTATGTTTTTATGTATACGGATTGCAAGCCATATTAAAAAAAGCCGTAGTAATGCATAAGATTCATTTAATCTAAGCTTATTGAACAAATATATAGCTGGTGCGTGTAGAATACCACTAGTCCTCTATAGTAAGCGAACATTTAGGCTCATTAGCATATCTGTTTAAGCTTAGAAATTTCACGTAGGGCTAAAGCGACCACTATACCAGTTGGCCACTAGCTTATGCTCAAATATCCCTTAGAAGAATGATACGGTGAGCAGGAGGCTAGGAATAGCTAGATTTGCTACAGTTTTAAGCCGCTAACCTAGCTGATCAGTTGCAAAAATATCTACTAAGCAGTTCAATCCGAGCGAACCCTCACTAAAGGCCCTGTATATTGATCTTGTAGATAAAGAAATGAAGAAAAGGCCACAAATGCATTGTTCATGAAGTTGTACACTAGGAAAAAATAGAAATACATGTCATGTCTTGTAGCCTTAGTTGCCCGCAACAACAGCTAGGCCCTCATAGATCTTCTTCTTGACAGCAAGGAAGCTGCCTGCTCCACGACCCAAAGCAGACTGGCCAATTGAAGACTGCGCAGTCGCTTCGATCTCAATCTTGCCAGTGCCCGATTTGCGGACAGCGACGCACTTGTCAATCAACAGCGTTCCCTCACCACGGAACTCGGCAGTGTGGCCAGCTGCTTGCATCAGCCTACGAAGATCAGCCAAGCGCAAATCGCCGACATGTAGAGGGCGTGTCACGGATCTGGTTCCCGCGGCCATATTGGCAGGGAGGATATCGAGAAGGGGATAGACATCTGGCTTTTCAGTTGATTTTTTGTCTTGTTCTAAGGCCGGGGCAACGGCAGATGAAGCTGCTTCGTCTTTCAGCTGCTTCATCTTCTTGCCTACTGTTTCGGTGTCGCTATCGTCGACGATGGGTTCTGGACCTCGCAGTTGGGCTGTGAGAGCAACCACACCCAGACTGCGGACGTGCTGCCAGTTGAGTCGTCGGACGAGGGTGTTGCTCAGTTTGACCATCCAAGCATTCGTATCGACACTGGCATCGATGACCTCGCCATTGACGGGCGTGAAAATGATAGAAGCTGAGTCAAAGTGGGGATCGGCGACAATAGCACCAGGTTTGGCAGCCAGTAGCTTCTTGCATTCAGAAGCCAGGGCATCGGTTTCTTCCTTCATTCCACCGACCAAGATCAACTTCTGAGGTTGAATGAGCGGGATCAACATTTCCAAGCTACGCTTGTCGTGCAACCCCATGAAATCAATGAAAGCAATCCTAGCGTGGAGTGTGACGCTCTGCGGATGGAACACGGCCTTGGCAGGTCCTTCGAATGTCTGACCATCTGCTTCTTCTTCAGACTCCACGGCCTCATCGGCATCTTCGCCATCGGTGGCAAGGCTGAGATCATCATCGTCGACCTTCCGGCCATCCATGTGTAGACGCTTTCGCCCTGTTGCGCCGCCGGACAACTTTCGCCCATTGGGCCCAACGGTATCATCCCATCGTCGCTTTTGGCCGAGCTTAGTTTCCGCATCGGACCGCCGTTGTTGCATATCGATCTCTTCACGTTCCTCGGCCCGTAGGTATTCCTCCGGGCGAATGAATTCTCCGTATTCGTCACCCTTCTTTCTTGGTGCCACGAAAGGGAACATGCGCTCGCGACCCTTTTTACCACGCACATCATAATCGTAGACGTTCTTTCGGCGAAGCAGAATATTGACACCAAGATCCTCATCACTGACGGCAAGCTTGCTGCGATTGGCGTGGGCAAGTGATGCTGAAAAGTTCAATGCTCGGCCCTGCTGTTCAGGATCCGAGTCTTCGGAAGATGTCGAGCTCGATCCGTCATCGAGAGCGTCTGCAACGTTTTCAATAGGCTCTTGGCCCCGGGTTTGTGATGTGTCTTGCAGCTGGCGTTTAGTAGCAAGATACTGCTGGTATAGTAACTGCTCTCCGGCGTCGAGAGGTGCCCGCTGCACATCTGTCCAAGACAGTTCTCGTCCGCCGCTGTGGACTTGTTCGAGCAATTCACCATCCGATCCCTTTTCCAAGGCCACACCATCTCTTCGTTCTTCATACCACTCCCAGATCATTTTTCCGAGGCTCATCGAACTCCGAGAATCCTCTGTTGCTTCTGTCGTCTCTTCCCTGCGGAAGGACTCAGTCAATAACAACAAATTATTGGGTCCTTGGGCCAATTGTCGAAGAGACTCCTTTGAGAAGCCCCAGTCAAGAGATGTATCAGATGCAAGAATGACCTTAGGGCCTTGGTCTGCCAGAAGTTTTTCGAGACGCTTCTTGCGCTCAATGATCTTCAGGTGCTTGAAATGGAACGGTCCTGCGCCCTTGCTAGAGCCCTTATCTTGTCCACCTGTCCTTTGCCCATTCGTGGCATCTGTGCTTTCCGCAGCTTCGAACTCGCGTACAATATTCTCGTCCATCCATTCAAGCATGCTTCGGGCAAGTCGCATTGTGGTGGTAACCTTCTTACCGGCCAAATATAATCCTGCCCCTTGAAGAACATCATCTTTATTGCCAGCTGACGCATCTCGCCAGGAATGCTCCAAAGAATAGGCCAGCTCTAAAACTCGCGCACTTGTGTCAGTCGGAATGAGAACAGTGCCGCCCTTCGCAAGACTACTGCGGATCATATCAAGAAGAAGATCGTCCCGCTTTTTCCGCCCTCCGGAGAGTGCCAGCTTATCTCCTCCCTTGGTACTGCAGATCAAAGCCGTGGGTTTTCGTAACTGCTCAATAACCTCTGCTCCGCTGGCACCTGACCCGCCAAACCAAGCAGCACCTGCAACCACGCTCTCACGAGCCTGATTCCAGTCCATTGCATATACAATAGACTCCAGCCCATGCTGGATGTGCCAAATTGTTCCACCGACGGTGTGGCCGGCATTGTAAGCCGTGAGGGTGAGCCCGTTTAACGGCGGCGAGAACGGCGAAGGGAGCGGTTGGTGAGGTTGAGAGTATTTGAGCGGTTGAATGAGAGAGAAATATCGAGAGATCTCCTCCGCAGTCGGCGATTGAAGGAGTATTCGGCTTGTGCTGCCTGAAGCTTCGGTGTCTCGATCGCCCGGCACACCCGCCAACGCTGAAGCTGCGCCAGACTCTGAGACAGAGGTCTTCGGTAGGAAGGTCGCAGCAAGCGGTGCTGAGGCATAGAGGTCTTGTAAGAGCGTACGGCCGAAGGCGATGACGGGACTTGTTGCGTAGATTGGAATTTGCGTGAAGAGGGGGAAGGTTCTGCAGCAGTGAACCAAGGCGCCGATGTGCGCCGGTGTAGCGTGTGTCAGGAGAATTAAAGAGAGGGTTGGGATATGTCTGTTCATCTGTTAGTTTATCCTGCAGAAACAGCTTGGTCGCATTCGCACTTCTCAAGTTTCGCTAAATCAAGGGTATCAAAGCTATCATCCCAACCGACATCAACAAGGATCTTGATGCCCCCATCAAGCTCCAAGATAGACTGCGACGCCCGTGAGGATGACGATTGCGCGCCTAGGAGAGGAGTGAAAGTAAACATCGTGGGAATCTGCCGTCGCTCGCAGCAAGCCTAGTCGCAATTGGCTCGGCCCAAATATGCGGTAACAGTTCGGGCAATTGTTACGCAGATGTATGTTGTAATTTCATTCAGTTGATTTCATTTGGTCAAAGGATCGATCCATTGTCAGAGGGTGTCAAGTGTCTGATTTGCATGAGTTGAGACAGAGCCTGACGCGGTGATAGGTCAGATGACTGGCAAGCTATCTGGGTTGCTACTTTAATTGCGTTTCTTTAGTCTCGACTTCGCAAGGTCGCTGGTTCGATCCCGGCTCGTCCCATTCTGTTTTGTGTCCCTCACATATTATTTTTTTCTAAAAGATTTACCTCTATCAATGTACTCTTATTTCTTTTTGTTTGGGGAAGCGGGCGACTGAAGCTCATAAGGTCCCTCTCGCCATATCGGACCTTTTTTATTTAGGAGAGCTGGCGACTGAAGCTCATAAGTTCGCTAGTTCAATCCCGACCCGTCCCATTCTTTTCTTGTATTGAATTAAGCCGATAAGGATGCTAGCTTGGAGAGTATCGATCAATCAGAATTGGGAGAAAAGACCAAGATTGACAAACATGGTAATCCTAATAACATGTGTTGACCCAAGCGCATTATCAAATACCCGAACTCCAACTATGGGGAACTTATCTCTATATCTAATTTTTCTGAAATGGAACAACAAGATGTTGTGAAGAGCCAGTGTCACCTCTAAACGGAGATATCATCAGGCTCTTCACCGTCACTATCATCATTATCCTCGGTAGGAATCTCTTGAATGATATCATTGGTCTGAGGGCCGGTATATTTCCTACAATATCAAGACACGTTAGTACGTCGGACGACGAGCAGAATGATACAACTCTTCCAATAAATCTTACCCCCGAGCCGCAACCCACCACCAAACCATTGCAAAAGCGGCAATGAAAGCACCAACACAGATAGCATAATTCCTGCGCAAAAGACATTAGTATAACTCGCACCCTAAAACCACCAGTCCCAGCTCAAGGCGACTTACATGTTCGCAGGCGTCACAGGTAACTGTGGCGGGAAGAAGAGAATAGTACTGATGAACAAGACCCATATAACAGCAACGTAATTGATAGGGGTACCCCATCTCCCAAGCGTGAAGGGACCCTCAATGAACTTGACCTTGGACTTGTACAGTTGGTGAGCAAGGATAACAGAAACATAGGACAGGTCCAGTGCCGGAGCAGTAATGTTGAAGATAGCAGTAGCTGTTTGCGTAGAACCGATGGCGATGCAGTTCAAGCTAATGCTGAATATAACCACGAACCACACGGCGTTGACGGGCGTGTGGGTATTGGGATTGACTTTTGATAGGAATCTATATGAAATCAGCTTAAGCTAGCTTGTGATCTGTGGAATGAATATACTTTGAGAATGGAAGAGCGTCATCTCGGGCGAAAGCATAGGCCATTCTTGTATCTGCCAGCATAGCTGAGCAGCCTGTGAAGAATTGAACTAGAATTGCGAACGACCACATTACTGTGCCGCCCCGCTTCCCACCGGCGTTGAGGAAGATTTGAGCGGCTGGGAGGCCGGTGGGGGACTTTAGGATTCCTTCGAAATCTGTTAGACAGAAGCACATTGAGACCGTTAGAAGCCATCCGAATGCTCCAGAGACTAGAACAGCTGTTTTTATGGCAACTGGGCCCCGTACGGCTGCATCATGAGTCTCTTCGGACATACTGCGAAACCATTAGAAAAGCCAGTGCGGTGAGGTCAAATCTACCTACTGTGTTGTCCCATCGTAGTCTGTCATTGTCCAAGCCACAGACAAGAATCCCAAGAAAAAGGAGAACACTTTCGAGCCCCACCCTGAGCCGTCCGTGAAGTGGCCAAAGACCCAGGAAGCTGGCTGTTTGTTGGGGGTTAGGGTTATCAACGCAACGCAGATGGCGATTGTGGCGCCGACTATGCTTTCATTAGCTTCAGGCAATCAATATGAAATATATCAAAACGCACTGTTGATCGGAGCAAACCACAAGATGATTCGATGTAAAGACTTTGTTGTAAGGGAACATATAACCCCGAGTACACATAGTAGTGCGATTGACACCAAAACGGTTTCCAGCGCAGTCCTGAAAGCACATTAGCTCAAATTTATGACCTAGTAGTTGGGACCTCACGGTGAATACGAATACTTGCCATTGACAAGATCCGAGTTCATACTGACACAAGCCAGTAACATCTGGCTGACAGTATATGCCACACTCGACACGCCAGCAGTCTGGCCGAGGAGGTTACACCATCCCTGAATCCACGAAAAGATCGGGACCTGGTCGGGAGGTACGACGTGTTTCGTGACAAAGTACATTCCTCCCGCCGTAGGATATGCTGATACTAGCTCCGCTACTGAGCTTCCAATGCACATCGCCATAACGGAGCCAATCAGCCAGCACCACACGGCGGTTGCGGGACCGCCAGCCGACAACGGCGCACCGAATGTCGCAGGCACGGAGCCCAGCACGCCCAGGATTGAGATGGCATATGAGACGGTTGACCATTTGGAGAATTCTCGTCGCAATTCCTAGTCCAGATTGTTATCAGATGTTGCCCCGCAATTGATCATAGCCCCTGGGAATACCTGTTTATACCCAATTCGAGCCAGCAGTAGCTCATCGTCATCGTGGATTGTGGCCATTGGAGCTTGAAGGGTCTGTATACCCTCCCTTTCTCTGACTTTGCGATCCGGGTCTAGCTTTACTGTTAGATCCATGGCGAGGTGAGGTGGCCAGTATATGCAAGGAGGTAAAAAGATAACGAAAAAGAAAAGAAAAATGCTTCGGCAAAACTCACAGAGTGTCTACCCTACTTGTGTTACATCTATATTCGAAAAAAAAGGTGATCAAGGGGTTAGAAGTGCCGAACAACTAACAGGGAGGAAAGTCGGTGGGATGAACAGCAAAAAAAAAGCCCTAAGCTTCAGACGGGACTAGCATCGGCATTGGGCCTGCAATTTGATAAGGGGAAATGACTTGATTCGAGACAAATGCCGGTCAAGGCGTAGTAGAGACAGTTGCAAGCGATAGATGAAAATCCACCGGGCTTAGCATGTGCACAAAGAACGGGAATAGCGTTGGTCCGAGTGGCATGGTTAGCCTGTGAATGGTTAGCCTCTAGCACGCATCCTGGCATCCTGCAACCTGCAACCTGGCAACATGGCAACATGGCAACAAGGTAGCCGTTGAGTGGCGAGCGAATAGCGGTGGAATCGCCTAGAACATAATGAAATATGAAGAGAGTAGCAAGACTGCAAATGTACGTGAGGTGTACATCTCCAGTACGGAGAGAAGTATACGGACCCACGTGAAGGACCTCGGAGCCACGTAAATCCGGAGTTTAGGTGGTCAATATCAACATGGAGTAGATCCTCCATGGTCATTTCTTACTCTCCATAATACGATTCTTGTAATTTTTCTTCATTTTTTTCGCTCTTTGGTCTCCCTTTCATACCGGCATGATCTACCATGGCCGACCCTTCAATGTATAACGCGATGGGTCAGGGCTCTCGCGACGACCCCTCGAATCCGTACGCCCAACAAGCTCCTCCTCAGGCATACCCAGCTCCGTATTCCCCGGCCGCCCCTCCGCAGCCAGGAGCTGCCTACGCCCCTCAATCCTCGAATCAGTGGCCCGCCTACGGCTCACCCCAACAACCCGGGTTAACGCCAGGATCAGATGTCGCATACAATGGGCAACACGCACCAATGGGTGTCACAGGAGACCCAGGAATGGGAGGACTGGCCTCACAGATGGGCGGCTTGGGGATTGCAGCGGACGCGGGGGCCAGGACACACAAGAAGAAGCACCGCCATGCCCACCACGACATCGGGGGTGGTGCCGCGGCTCCCCCGCAAGGGTTCAACAATGGCATGGACCAAGCAGGCCTCCAGCAACAGCCGTCGCAGTTCCTGAACACGGGCTTGAACACGGGCTTGAACCAAGACCGGCCAGTCTCCCCAGCGGTGGGGTTGGTATCTGGGCAGTCTGCATCACAACATGGCATGCCGAGCGGCGCAGGCTCAGTCCCTACCCAAGGCCGAATTGACCCCGAGCACATCCCCAGTATCCCACGATCGCGCGACCTGCCCGCTCAGTATTACTTCAACCATGTCTACCCGACCATGGACCAACACCTCCCCCGCCAGCGGCGATCCCATTCGTGGCGCAGGACCAAGGCAATTCCTCCCCGAAATACGCCCGCTTAACGCTGAACAACATCCCCTCCGCCTCTGATTTCCTCTCCTCGACCGGCTTGCCATTGGGCATGATCCTCCAGCCCCTCGCACCTCTGGACCCTGGCGAACAACCGATCCCCGTGCTGGACTTCGGGGATGTTGGTCCACCGCGATGCCGACGATGCCGAACCTATATCAACCCTTTCATGTCCTTCCGATCTGGTGGCAGCAAGTTCGTTTGTAACATGTGCACATTCCCGAACGATACACCTCCCGAATACTTCGCGCCGCTGGACCCCTCCGGTGCGCGTGTCGATCGCATGCAGCGGCCGGAATTAATGATGGGAACTGTGGAGTTCACTGTTCCCAAAGAATACTGGAACAAAGAACCTGTTGGTTTGCAAACACTCTTTTTGATCGATGTCAGCCGGGAGTCGGTCCACCGAGGATTCCTCAAGGGTGTCTGTCAGGGTATTCAAGATGCTCTGTACGGCGATGGTAGTGAACCATCTGGGACTGAAGGCGATGAGTCGACGCGCAAATTGCCTGCGGGGGCAAAGGTCGGCATTGTCACGTATGACAGGGAAGTGCAATTCTACAACCTGACCGTATGTCTCCCTTCTTCTCATTGCGCCCACCATTTACTCACCCATCTATAGGCAACATTGGACCAGGCCCACATGATGGTAATGACCGATTTGGAGGAGCCTTTTGTACCTTTGAGCGAGGGTCTCTTTGTGGACCCATATGAGTCGAAGTATGCAATCATCAAGTCATGCCTCTCTACAGATAACTGATTTTCTCTAGGTCCGTGATCACTTCGCTTCTCAGCAAGATACCCAGCGTTTTCTCTCAGATCAAGAACCCCGAGTCTGCTTTGCTACCAACATTGAACTCGGCACTCTCAGCACTACAGGCTACAGGTGGCAAGATTGTCTGTGCTATGGCCAGTCTGCCTACCGGTCCGGGGGCCCTGTCAATGAGAGAGGATCCAAAAATCCACGGAACAGAGGCAGAACGGAAGCTGTTCAGCACAGAAAATCCAGCATGGAAGAAGACAGCAAGCAAGCTGGCTGAAGCAGGTGTAGGCGTCGATCTGTTCATGGCAGCTCCCGGTGGCACTTATCTGGATGTGGCAACCGTCGGTATGTGAAAATTTGAGCAGCTTTATTGATAGTCGACGGAAGCTGATATTATTTACAGGACATGTCTCTGGTCTCACTGGAGGCGAGACCTTCTTCTACCCTAACTTCCATGCTCCTCGAGATCTCCTGAAGCTGCGGAATGAAATTTCTCATGCTGTCACCCGAGAGACTGGATACCAGACCTTGATGAAAGTCCGATGCTCCAATGGGCTCCAGGTTTCTGCTTACCATGGGAACTTCGTTCAGCATACACTCGGTGCGGATCTTGAGATAGGTGGCATTGATGCTGATAAGGCCATTGGTGTTCTCTTTAGCTACGATGGAAAGCTTGACCCTAAGCTGGACGCGCACTTCCAGGCTGCCTTGCTGTACACTTCCGCAGACGGCCAACGGCGCGTCCGTTGTATCAACGTTGTAGCGGCGGTTAATGAGGGTGGTATGGAGACGATGAAGTTTGTCGATCAGGATGCCGTGGTTGCTGTCATCGCCAAGGAGGGTAAGTCTTACACATCAACCAACTCTGACTATTTAGTTTACTGATGCAATAATAGCTGCATCTAAAACTTTGGACAAGACCCTCAAAGATATCCGGGCCAATATCTCAGAGAAGACAGTCGATATCTTCAGCGGATACCGCAAGATCTTCTCTGGATCCCACCCACCTGGGCAATTGGTGTTGCCTGAGAACCTGAAGGAATTCTCAATGTACATGCTGAGCTTGGTCAAGTCAAGAGCATTCAAGGGTAAGCCTTTTGCCTTACAAAATGATTGATATGGACTTCTGCTAAATCTCACAGGCGGCAACGAGTCATCAGACCGACGGGTGCATGACATGCGCATGATCCGGTCATTCGGCTGCACCGAAATGTCCCTGTATCTCTACCCGCGCATTATCCCAGTCCACAACATGCAACCAGAAGATGGATTCCCGAACGAGCACGGACAACTCCAAATCCCGCCCTCCCTACGAGCCAGCTTCTCCCGCATCGAAGAAGGCGGCGCCTATCTAATCGACAACGGCCAGGCCGTCCTACTATGGCTGCACGCACAGGTATCGCCCAATCTATTGGAAGACCTATTCGGCCCAGGCCACGACTCCCTCCAAGGCCTCAGCGCCAACACCTCCTCCCTTCCCGTGCTGGAGACGCATCTGAACGCCCAGGTACGCAACCTGCTGCAATACTTCTCGACAGTGCGCGGATCCAAATCCGTGACGATCCAGCTGGCCCGGCAAGGCATGGATGGGGCGGAGTACGAGTTCGCCCGACTCCTGCTGGAAGACCGGAACAATGAGGCACAAAGCTACGTTGACTGGTTGGTTCATATCCACCGCCAGATAAACATGGAGTTGGCTGGACACCGCAAGAAGGAGGATTCGGGTGAGAGCTCGGGTGCCTTGGCCAGTTTGTCTGCTATGCGGGCTCCATATTGGTAGAGGGAGATGGTGAGGTGAGATTCGCCCACACTATTCCAATCCACACCCTGCCAGGTACGCCCACCCTCCCGGCCGCCCGGCCGGCGCCTCCGGCTAGGCTGCAGGCTTACCTGCAAGAATGGCGACGGGGAGTTAGTTGGAGGGGTGGGGACAGATGAGGGGTCTGGCCTGTCCATGCCAGGAAAATGAGGGTGAGGGGGACGCTTACTTTGGTGGCTGAGTTGATGTAGGGTGGAGCGAGCGGCGATGCAAAGGCAAAAGGAACGGGAAAAAAAAGAACAAAAAAAGCAGAAACAGAATCGGTGTGAGACACCGGAGAATTCATGTGCACAGTTCAATATACCAGGTCGTATTTTTCTCAGTATGTCACTATGTCACCTTGGTCCACATGGGAATGCCTGTATACTCATTAGCCAAGACGCAGTAGACAGTTCCACATGTCTACTTTAACCGCCAAGTACTCAGTGGCGGTCTAGATGCTCTGGAAGGTCAAAGGAAAAGAATTGGCTTCGGTGAACTTAATTCCAGTATGGATATCCTTTTCCTAGTTTTCCCTAGTCGGGCCCACTACCCCCATTAAGGTGGGCAATAACTTAGCTGTCTAGTCTGTGTAGCCCAGAACTAAAGCGACTTTATCGCAGCGATCGGAGCCCTAATGTTCAACCGATTTAGGGCTGAGCGTTTTGGATATTATAGGCATGCATTATTTTACAACACAGTATTTCTACACAGTGTAATCCAGAATAGGATATTAGAAGAGAAACAGAATTGCCGAGAAAATTGATGATTTTTCACGATAATTGCCACAGCATCCAGACTCGGTCGCCAGGTACCAGGGTCCAACGTCAGAGGAGGCGTCCAGTGGAGACCCTCTCCAGGCGTTATTGGCTCAGGGTCTTTGACATCTATGAGGGGTTTTCACTTTTTCACTCTGTGATGTGGAGTCCGTGTTCACCTACTTAGTACGGTTAAGTTCAGAGATCTTGGGGGAGGTCAGGTACACACCTGTGCCTGCATGTAGAATGATTGGTAATGATTAAAATGGTCGCATGCAGGGAACTTGTTCTAGTTCTTCTCTTTTACAGGGTATATCTTGTTAGAGTGAATTATTGTATCATTCACCTGGTCGATCTGGTTCTATTTTGCCTCATGTTCTCTTGCCATTTTGATTCTGCGTCATATCGTCTCCCTCATTCTTCGAGATTCGCTATTCTAACATAGAAGGCCAATAAAAAAAGGATTAAAACCACCTGGCTAAATTGCCAATTCTTAGAACATTCGATTCTATATTGATTGATGTAATCTAGAACTAGAAGCCATTCTGCGGTGGTGGCCAGGGCCAGAGAGACCAGAGAAGTATAGCATGGGCAAATGTGAGAGAATAGAATGTCTGTGCAGCCATGTTGCCAAGCGTCATTGCCATGTGGAATTTCGCTGTTCCGTTTGACATTCTGAATTCTTTGCGGATGGGACCGGATGCCATGACGTGGATTCGGGCGATTTCCGGTATTGCCACGTCGGTTAGATAGTTGTGGCTACTTATGAACACGCACCGTATGCCCACGAACATGAACAATGAAGGTACTAAGTTATACAGTATCACATGCCCTGCATGCAGCCCTCATTTCATAGTCTGTAGGTTATGCAGTTGACGAGTATGTTTATCGTATAACCATTCACACCGTAACTACCGCTATAATAGTCTTGCTGTATTCAATACTGTCGAGTATCTACTGTCGAACTGCCTAACCTCGAACTGCCGGTCTGGGCTCTGAACCCAAGGGTGAGGAGTCTCTCTCCACTCTGATTCGGTTCCACTTCTTTATTTCTTTATTTCTTCATTTTCTTTTATTCTTCTTTTTTGGTTCTTTTGCCTTTTGCCTGAGACCCACAGGCATGGATCGATCCATGGTTGAGTTGGGGCTTTTGGCGTGTACCTTTCTTGGGGCATCAAGCTGCACCCTAAAATCTATATAAACCCCCCATTCACTCCGGTCTCTCTTTCGATCAACACACATTCTCTTCAAGTACAACAGTACAGTCTTTCCTTACTACATTCCTTCCTTCAACTGAGATTGAATCTCGTTGCATTCTTTACATCTGTCGACCAGACTCCCACTTCCAATCATATCTATACCAGTCTCTACGACTTCACTCTCTATCAAGATGATGTTCACCAAGTCTCTCGGCCTCGCTGCCCTCTTCGCTACCATCGCCTCTGCCCTCCCCAACGGCATCGTTCGCCGTGACGGAGCCTCCGGCAGCGTCCAGATCACCAACAACCTCAGCCAGGACATCTACGCTTGGTCTGTCACCGACCAGGTCGGTCCCATGCTGACCATCACCGCCAACGGTGGCCAGTACTCCGAGCAATGGAAGACCAACCCCAACGGCGGTGGTGTCTCCATCAAGCTGGCTTCGGACCCTGAGCAGCACGACGTCCTCCAGTTCGAGTACACCGCAGCCGGTGACACCATCTTCTGGGATCTCTCTTGTATCGACATGCAATCCGACAACAAGTTCACCGAATTTGGTTTCGCCGTCGAGCCCACTGATGAGACTTCCACTTGCCCCAAGGCTATCTGCACCGCTGGTGACTCCGCTTGCTCTGCGGCTTACCTCCAGCCTACTGATGACCACGCTACCCACGGCTGCCCTATCAACACTGGTCTCTCTTTGACCCTCGGCCAGTAAAGGACTGATATTCTCAATTTCTCAGTTTCTTGCTTTTGATGCCGTTGCCGGTTGACCCGTGCATACATTCTCTCTTTATGCTTGTTGTTATCTTTTCAAACTCGGTCACATCTAGCCCTAGCTGGCAGGTGACTCTTTTCACTTTCTTTATATATCGCCCTAGCTGGTGATGCCGCCCTTTTACAGACACGAGATTGGTGATTTTATTGTTACGCAACATGTTCGGTTGAATCGACATGTCTTCTCCCCATTGCTGGTTTTCCACTGGGGCAGGATGTCTCGTCACGAGCTATGATTTCTTACGCTGTTACTTTATGGAAATACCCCCCAACTTTGGATTTACACAAGGAGTTATATACGTTGGGGGAGAGAAATAGACTTTGTGAATAGACAGATGATCATCAGATCTCAGGAAAAATCTACGAATACACGATTTACCTCAAAAAAAACCCTTGGTAGTCTACAGAACGGAATGCATTGACTCGGAGTATTTCGATACATTCCAAGTCCAGACCCTTTTTCGGCTCTTACACGAAACGCGAAAGTTTAATAATCCTTGTCGAAGAGGACAAAGAGGTACAGTACAGTAAACCCCTCCACTGGAAAAATCAGCACAAAGCATGAGTGGTGAACAATGTGGAGTAAATGGCACACGTCTACGTATGCTGGGCGAGATCTAGACCAAGGGACGTACAGGGACCCTCCAAAACCCCCAACTGTACACGATATAATTCGCAGATCTGACTCCACTATTCAGGTCCCCTCTTCAGGTTTTCCAGAATGTCGATCTTCCGGATGGGAAATGGAAATGGCAACGCCCCTGGTGCCCACTACCGGGCTATGAAGGGCTTTTTCCCCATTTTGCGGACAGTCTGATTTGTGGGCTTTGGGTGTCGGAGGATTAATGGGTTTCTTTGACTGGCTTTGTTGCAGGGAATGGGCCGGATGAAAGGCGTTGGGCCTTTTTTTTTTTTTTTAATTCTATATTATTTTATTTGTTGTTAGTGTGTGTGATGTAATTTCCTGTTCCTATTACCCTATTTTATTATCACTCTGTCTTGACAACCGTATGAACTCATAGCGACAGGAACAAAACTCTGAACTGCCGACTCGCCATTCACATCAGCGAGACAGCGCCACCACAGACTGTTCCTATGTGGCGACATGCAATGAATGGTTCAACCACCCTCCCAAGTGCTCACCATGGAACCGCCGAACGCCTGGGGCGAACTGATTATTAAGATTCAGGGTCTTGGGGTTATGCTTTGCCGCTAGCTCATGCCATCCCGAGACTGTTAGTACTTGGCAAGTCTTAGCGCTTGGCTAGTTTTGTCTAGAGCCTCGAAGAATGTAGACTTAATTTTGGTGCAGACTGCCTAGGTGGTACCGAGTTGTGTCCCTAACCGCTTGGTGTTCCGGGTGTTCTCGGGTAGACTCGATAGGCGGACTGGTAGCGAAATTGTGGCTCATTAGGCTTCACCGTATATGCTCAACAAATCACAACACACCTGCTTCCTTGGCATTTGCTGTACGGACACGGATTTTGCTACGTGTATATTCAAACGCGGAGGGCGTGACAATCTGGGCAATGGGGGCATTAGAACAGCTATAGAAGCGTGCAATATTAACAAAATTTGTAATTGCGCTTAGTAATAGAAGTTCATACACATTCCATTTATTGTAGTTAGTTTCGAGTGCTGCTATACCAGCGAAAGGTCACATAATTCAAATCAGAATGCTGTAGCATACATCACCGATAGCGTAGAAAAATGTTCATTATAAGAAGAAACATAGAGCTAGAGATCTATAGCCGTACGACCTTGGGAAATACCTACCAGCGGATCTGTCTATTGCTATGTTGAGTGCGAACGGCGTTGGAGTAGGCGGACTAGCTACTGTGGCTTAAGTGCAATAGTAATTATAGGTGTGTTAAGAGACGAAAGGGGACATGTGAGGATGATTAATTAAAAAGGCAGAGCTGCATTATTCTAATCTAGCTTTCCCGGTCGTTCGAGTGTTCTAATCGCAGCGGACGGTACACGTACCGTGGGTATTAGTAAAACATTAACTAGTAAGAGGATTCGTTTAACATGGCCCCTTTTCTATGATATCTACAGGTAGATCAAGCGAAAGAAGCGAATAGAGTAAATAAGATACATAGTTCAATGATGTACTTCCTAGGAAACCCTTCCCTAGTCTAATGCCCGCCCCCTACATCCACAGCACAGAATAAAAGTCACAGAATAGCATTCAGCTATATACCATCTATCAACCATCAACAGATCTCCAACGAGCCCACAACCCCCTCCACCACCCCCAAACCCCCCTCGACCTCATCCCCTTAAGAAACGCATAAGCAACAACCCGATAAACAAGCGTACAAACACCCAGCGCCATAACGTTCATCGGCCCATCCTTATCCAAATTATAGAGCCTCAAAACCTGTTCCCCAGAATCAACCGGACACGCACCCCCAACAAGCCTCTGCGAATCCTCACAAGAAAAGACCTGTCCAGCCAACGAGTAAGGCGCCAGATTCGCAATCGCATACTTAATAGGCGACAAATGATTAATGCCCTGTAGGACATCATTAACGTTAAGGCTCATGACGCCACCTAGGATCGTCGATATCGAAAGTAGCACCGAGGTAACATTGACGGCGAATCCGACGTGCGAGAAAAGAGTGCAGAACATTATCCCTACGGACTCGCCGCAGCTTATTATGCAGAAGCAGTTGAAGGCGCTGACTAGGAACATGGTTATGCTGCGGTGGAGGTTGTCTGCGTAGGCGGCTAGGGCGCCGAAGATTAGGGAAGAGAGTATTTCGAAGGGGATTTCGATGGTTGTGTAGGATAATAGAAAGGTTGAGGCGCTGTAGCAGTTGTCTGCTTCTTCGCGGTAGAAGACGTCTCGTTCGCTTGGGTAGATTGCTATGTTTTGGAGCATGCCTATTGTATCGGATAGATTAGTGATCGGGCAGTGTGTAGCAGAGTCTATGTAAGACGGAGTGGAAAAGGTGGGTTGCTGCTAACCGACAAAATACAACGCTGCAAATTCCTGAATAAATCCCATACGAGACTGTACAGCCTCATAGTTATTCTTAAGCGGCGCAAAGAACAAAGCCATAATAATTGCAATACCAGGAATCTGCATTAGCCGCGCCATAATAAGCGGCGGCTGGCGCCAGAAATTGATAAACGAGCGATGAAGCACCAAAGGGAATGTAATGCGGAACGAGAGCATCTGGCGCTTGAGACTACCTAGCTCAGCTGGCGTGGCGATCTGCGATGCAGTGCGCACAAGCTCGACGGTCGTCTTGCTCCAGCTAGAAATGAGATGCTGGACACGTTCCCTGGTAACGGCCTCGCGGTCTGCCTGTTGGAGATCTATTGTGATTAGATCTAAGACGAAATCTGCCGGGTTGGTTGTGCGTGGACAGTCATGGCCTAGTGCAGCGAAGTGCATGAGCATGTTTTCGCCGCTTCCTGCGTAAACTGGATATCCGCCTCTGGCTAGGAGAAGGACTTGTGAGAAGTGCGTAAAGAGGTCTGAGCGGGATTGGTGAAGGGTCAGTATGAGTGTGCGGCCTTCTGCGGCGAGGCTGTGGAGCAGTTCAATAATGGACATTGCTGTGAAGGCGTCTAGGCCGGAGGTCGGTTCGTCGAGGAGGAGAACTTTTGGGTCTGTGAGTACTTGGATTGCAATTGAGACGCGGCGTTTCTCGCCGCCGCTTATGCCTTTGATTAGGTCGCTGCCGATGAGGTTGTCGGCGCATTCTTTTAGTCCCATTTTGTGCAGGATTTCTTCGGCGCGTCGGTTCTTTTCTTCTCGGGTCATCCATGTTGGGAGGCGGAGGCCAGCGGCGAATTTAAGACTCTCACGTACTGTAAGGGAGGGCATTAGAGCGTCGTCGTCTTGCGTAACGAAGGATGTCACGGATCGGATGACGCTTTCTGACGGGACGGCGCCGTTATAGAGCATGTTGCCGTGGACACAGTATCGGGTCCCTATAGATCCATGTAGCCTGCGCGCTATCGAGTTCAGCAGTGATGTCTTCCCACTTCCAGACGGACCCATGATGACGTTTAATTGACCTGGCTGGAACTCTGTGGTGATGGGCCTGAGGATCTGAAGTTTCTGCGCAGCTCGCCAGGGAAGTCGTCTCTTCCGTATCTCCAATGCGTACTGATCAAGCGAGATGGCAACCTTGCGTGTCTCTTCTGTCGGGCGGATTGCAATTTTGGCTTTGCTGGTAGACTCCCCTTCGGCTGCCCGTGCTTGGGCAATGTCGATAGCAAAGCGATTGTATTGCAGCAGTAGACCAGCGAGGAGATAGTGACTAACGGCAAATGCAACCAGAACCACAATTGGCCGCCAGATCCAGTTGGAGGGCATTCCAAGGCTTTGCATGATATACCGGCCAGTGTATTCTTTGCAAGCCGGATCAGAAGGATCATTGGAATAAGGGCAGTCGTAAAATTGGCCTAGTTCAGAGCCATTGAGTCCAATGAACTCATTTGCGCACAGCGCACCAAAGATGTAGAAGGTATATGCACACCACTTTAGCCATCTCACATAGACCGGGATCTGATTTGACTGAACAAAGTACCCACAAGCAAAGGATTGTAGTGTAAAGCACAGATTACCAACCAGAGTGGCACCGGGGAAACTGCGCGCTATGCCAATAGCCACTGCAGCAAAGGTGACGGCAACGTAGTGTGTGAGTAACGTCAGAAGGAAGAAGATGAAGAATTGACCTGCGTCGAGCCGATATCCTACCATAAAGTAGAAGATCAGGGAGAATATCAACGGCACGGGGAGATCCTCTAGCGGTAATCGAGCTGCACGCCGACTGAGAAGGAAAGCCGGCACGCTGACCACGCCTTCATTGCGTTCACGATCAAAGAGTCGTATGTCGATGGTCAGACGATACGTCTCATACAATAGAATGAGATACCCATTCAAGCTGCTGGCAGTGTACAGACTACCTTCTCGAGAAC